CCCAACTTCAATGTTAGTAGAGATGAAAAGCTTCATTCCTTCTTCATATACTTTCGAAACAGAAATCCAGAAGATAAAGCAAGAACTTCTCCAAGGAGATTTAGATTGCACTGCAAAAGATGAAACAGATGAAGAATATCTTTATGAAATGCAGGATATTATTGACCATCTACCTAAACTTCCTGAAATCCAACAACAAAAGCTTACTATTCCAGAATTTGACGAAATAGAAGTCAAAGCAACTGACTCAGTAGAAATAAAGAAGTTCATACGAAAGGTAAACTATGAGTTTCTAGGATTTCATTGCAACCATAAAGTTATGGACAAAGATTGCGACATGGTATATAAGAACATCTCTGACATATACAAATCTGGGGAGTTTAAGACCTACGACAACTTTGTTTCGTTAGTTGCAAAATGTGTTTGGGAAATAAGAGATAAAGATAGTAGGGTAAGGTATGGAACGAACAAATAAGACCCGCTATGTTCGAGATGAAGAAAACCATTGACGCCTTAGTTGTTTTAGCAGGTAAGGTTTCAGAATATAACGCAAAAATGAATCCGCAATGTTCAAAATGTAAAGCAGCAATGAGGAAATATAACTACTCCGTCAAAGAGATAGAACGTATGCGAAACGACTATGCAGATTTAAAGAAAGAAGCAGAAAAACCAGCAGAAGATAAAATGAACATGTTAGAATTTCTGAACAAAAACTATCCAACTGCTGACGATTTCCTATTATCTGACGTCAAGAAGAAGTATATAAGAAACCTTCGGCATAGTTAAACATTCGATGTACTAAAAGAAGAATTGAAGCTACGAAACTGTTTAGAGTCATGAACCATCGCAAACATTATACCATGTAAAACGCTTGTAAATAGTTATGTTAGAAAACATGTTAGAAAACATGTTAGATCTAACATTCTAACATAAACATTATTTTTGCTGAATTCCGTATGAAATTTCATGAGTTTTGTATGTTTTAGACCATGTTAGAAAACATGTTAGAAAACATGTTAGATCTAACATTCTAACATAAACATTATTTTTGCTGAATTCCGTATGAAATTTCATGAATTTTATGTTGTTTTAGACCATGTTAGAAACATGTTAGAAACATGTTAGATCTAACATTCTAACATAAACATTATTTTTATTTATTTTTTTATTTTGTATGTAAGAACAGAAATGACAAACACTGAGTTTGAAAACAGTTAAAAAGATAGACAATAACACTAAATTGGTTAGAATTGGTGATTTAAACGTAAGATACTCAAAGAAATAAACAAATATTCTTGTCAGACATTATATCTCCATTTGGAAAGAAAACATCCCACGACTGGGTTAGAACTGCTTCTAGTCAGAAAATTTTGACAAGAAATCCTAGGCTTATGATATCGGTAAGATTCTATGGAACTACAGCATATCTTATAGACAAAAGTCTTATACCAATAGTTTTTGTTATGGTTAGACCCAGTTGTTGGATATAACTTCATAACATATGGTTCATTCGATACGGAACGTTGCAGTGAAGGCTTACTTTACATCGTTCAGAAACCGAAGGACTTCAATACAAAGAGATATAAGATAGGAAACATATAATATAACTCAAAGATAGACAGTACAGTCAATAGAGTCAAGGTTGTGTTCGTTAACGATATGAGAGCTGCTGAAACAGAACTACTTGAAAAGTTTGAGAAAATGTATGGTGCTCCCATAAAAGGTAAAGAAACGTTTGAAGTGGATGAGATAGATAAAGCTATAAAATTATTTGACGAAGTTGCTGAAAAATACATGTAAAGCGTTTATTTTTGGTCTTTTGTGAAAGATAGAAAAAATAAAGTTAGTTTTATTTTTATTTATTTTTTTATCCGGAATATAAAGACAGATATGTCAACAACAGAGAACACAACAACAGTTATAGTCCATGAAGCTATAAATGAAGAATATGAGTACATACAGTTTAACAAACAACTCCGTCTCATTCGTTCAGTCAAAGACGATATGTACCAAATGCAAAGTATTTTGAACGCTCTTCGTTCTACAAAGCAAGCATATCATTGGTTTGAAAACCAACAGACAAAAGAACTTTTAGAAGAATTTCCTCATATGTTTGCTACCCTCGGAAAACCGAGGGTAGAGATTCCGTACGAAAATCGCAAGAATTTGGCTCCTGGTTTTAGAGGATATTATGTTCATAGACTTCTTGTAAATGCTGTTGCAATGTGGGCTTCACCTCGTTACGCTTGTTATATTTTCATGATGTTAGATGAAATTCATAGACAAGAACGTGAAGAGATGGAAAACAAGCTTGAAGCAAAAGACAAAAGCATTCAGAAAAGAATACCACGTTCGGTACCAAAAGGAAAGGAAAAGAACTATAAGTATATGATTTATACTGAAGAGATGGAAAATGAAGAAGATAAAGATATGGTTATGTTGCATTTAGTCAGAAGAAACAACAAAAGCTTTTACGACCTTGCTAAGATTTACAAATCTGACAGAAATTGGTTCTATCGCGAAAACTTACCGATTTCAATGACACCGAATGAAGATGTGAAACAAATAGTTCAAGATACGTTACCTCAAACACACTATGATATTAAAGGTTGTACAATTCTTACATTCAAAGAAGATTTGCCATTGTTAAAGGAAAAAATAACAGAGTATTTTGACAACTTCAAACAAGCAGAGTAGATGAACCATTTATTTTTCAAGCTTGACTTCAGATGGCTCAGGTAGCTCTATAAGGTAAATTGTCTTGTCAAATCCTTCTGGCACTCCAAGTTCTTCCTTCCGACATTCCAAGTTCTTCCTTCCGACATTCCAAGTCCTTCCCGACAACTGGAAAAAAATTTCCCGACAACTGGAAAAAAAATTCCCGACAACAGGAAAAATTTTTCCTGTTGTTCGTCCGTAAACCATTCAAATTTTCGAAAATTGAGAACTTTTTGGTCGAACTTCAGAAAAAGTTTTTCCTTCCGACAGAAAAAGTTTTTCCTTCCGACAGAAAAAGTTCTTCCATCCGACAGAAAAAGTTCTTCCATCCGACAGGACACAAACGAATGTCCGACGTTCCTCTTCCTGAATGTCTTCCAAAGCCAGAAGAACCGACAGCCCCAGCACCACAACAGACTAAGACTAAACTCTTTATTTTTCAAGCTTGACTTTTTACAATTTGAACTTTGTTTGCGTAGATATGAATTCTGAAAGAAGTATGAGGGTCTTGTATGACTTTGTACTTCTCCCATAGTTCATGTCTGTCAAACTTACCTGCCATGGACTCTTTCATAAGTTCCATGAAATCGTCTTCGGACAATCCAGGGAAAAGTATAATGTCAGTAAGTATTCTTTTAACATCTTTACTTAAACTCTTTGCTGTCTGTACACAAATGACAACTGAGATGTTAAAGTGTCTGAGCTTCTTAAGAATTCGACACATATCTTGTTCTCTATTCTTAAGCAAAGGATGAGAAGCAAAGTCATCTAAGATAAGAAGACATCTATGAGGGTAAGTCTTCCAATCGTAAGATTGCAATTTCTTCGAAATGTATTCTATCTCTTTCTGTTTGTTTCTGAAGTGTTTCTTCTCTAATATTCTCTGCATTTCCTCATTAGGGTCTTTAAACTTCGAATTTATATACTCATTTATAGCATTATACTTCAAAACTCTTCTTTGGTACTTCTTTATCCAATCTAACAACTCAGTATCCTTTATACATACTAACTTAGACTTCTTTATAATATCTTTGAACGAATTGACGGTTTGGTCAAATTGACCAGAAGTCGAACAAATAACAACTAACTCATAGAATGGGTTCTTCTCATCTAGTTCTTGTTGTTGTGCAGCCATTTTAAGATAAGTGAAAGTCTTACCCGACCCAGGTGGTGCGATTAGACCTGTTATACCATTCTGAGCAAATAAGAACTTTTCATGTATGGGTTTTATCTGAGCATTTTCTAACTTCCTCTTGTTCTTGTTTAAAACATTCTCAAATTTTTTGTCAATGTCAGCAAACTTTTTTTCTAACATATTTTTAGAAAAATTAAAATTTTTATCTTTTAGAAAATGTCTAGCGATTTCGCTATCTATATTCGAGACAAGCTTTTTGACAGCAAAACATCTGTCGACCATAAAATCTTACATAGTGTAAACAAGAAAGGTGAATTTGTTCTAAAGTTCTGTTTCTGGGAATATGACAAGAACCATAAAACATTAAGCAGAGCAGTCTTAAAATTTGTCAATGACAGACTTGTTGACAGAGATGACACCGATTGGAAAGATGAAGTCCAACAAAAGTTCTTAGAATGCAAAGAAGACACATGCGCTGTTCTTGAAGATGAAATAGAAAACAGAATAGAAGAGCTATTAAAGGACAAAGAACTTTTACATAAATATGGTTGCGCCAAATTTGACATAACTCCACCAGAGAAGAAGAAGAAGAAGAGAGAAAAGAAAGAAAAGAAAGTAGAAGAAGAGAAAAAAGAACCTGAACCAGTTCCAGAGAAAAAGAAATTTGACATGTAAAAATAAAATTTTATTTTTAGAACATTTCTGGGTCAATGTCAATGTTCTCTTCCTCTTTAGGAGCAAACACTGGCTTAGACTCTAAAATCTTTTTACCCAATTTACCTTGAACTTCAACTATCTTAGACTCATAATATTCATAGTCGTCTGCTTTCTTTGGTTCATAAGGTATAACAAGTTTGTATGCTTTGCCTTCTTTAAGGTTTGAAAACCTTCTGTCAAAATTTTCTTTGACTGTTAACAAACCTTCTATGTCTAAGTCTTCAAATTTCGCACCATTTTTAGTCACAATAGCAAACTTAACTGGTTCGATGTTCCAAACTTTGCTGAATAAAGACTTTTCAAAATGGTAGAAGTAAACATTCAAATAAGCGAATGGGTCTAGTTCTTCTTTGACTTCTGTCATGTACTTATTTACTGAGATGAATTTTGCCATCTTTTCTATCGGATAAAAAAAGATTTTTTTTAAAATTTACTCATAAAAATTTTTCTTTGTATATACGCCGTTCTGTATGTCTAAAAGACTTTTGACATTTGCCAAGAATGTTCGTTTAGACGCTGCCATATAACCATACTCTTGACAATACTGTTTATATGAATCGTACAATGACCTTTCATCTAAACACTCAAAGTTAGTCTCATCTATGAACAGTTCATATACACTCTTGTTTGCTTCTAACAATGTTTGTCTTTCTTCGGTATGTGGAATTTGTCTTGGATTGAACTTTGAAATATCTAATGTCATGAAATATGAGAACAAGTGGTTGTAAAAGTCAGATGTCAAAGTTTCTGCTAAGTCGTCAAAATATTCTGTATCTTGCATATGAGAATCTGACGTTCTGACAACTACATATCTTCTGTCAGAACTTTCTAACTTCATCGGAACAACATTGTTTGAAACCATAATGAAGTTTGCAACATTTTCACAAACTCTTTGGTCTTTATACTTTCTTTCAACAACTCCAACTTTGTCTGTTATAAGACTCTTCAAAGCATCTGAGTTCAAAACTTTTGTTGTATCTATACTTTGAAGTTCATTGCAAACTATAAGTTTCATATTCTCTATTGAGGAGTTAAACTTGCCACAGATGTTTTCTAAGTTTGTCATATTCGGATTCGAATAACCTTCTAACAGTTTGCATAAGATATCTGTAAAGAATGTGTTCTTACCAGTTCCTTGTTTTCCAATTATAATGAGAGCAGTTTCATTTTTAGCACTTGGATGTTGTAAGATGTTTGCAAACCAACATAAGATATACTCATAGACTCTTTCGTTTCCATTGCATATAATTTCTTTGACATGGTCTAACCAAGCTTCTATAATATTTTCTTTCCATTCTACTTGTTCGTATTTATATCCAGTGAAGATAGAATAGAAGTTTGGAGAAGGTGTATAGAACTTTATACCTCGAACTGAAAAATCTTCTAACTTTGACAATAAGATATCCCAAGCATCTAACATCTTCATTCCAACTTGTACAACTTTTATTTTCTTAAGTTTCTGTCTACATTCTTGTTCTGAAACTATTGTCGCTTTAGGTTTGTTAAAGACAACATCCCATTCTTTCATGACATAACATTCTGGGGCAGAGTCGACATAAATGACTAAACGTTTCAAATTCTCGACTGCTTTGTTATAGTCTCGAAATGGACACATATTTCTGAATGCTTGGAAGTCATAAAAATCTGAAACATCTATTCTGTACATTTTTATAAAAATAAAAAAAATATTTTTTTTATTCTTGACTTTGTTGTTGCATTTGTTGCATTTGTTGTTCTTGAGCTATTTGTTGTTGAAGTTGTTCTTGTAATACAATACTTTCACCGGTTGCATCTTCCAATTCGAAACTTTCTGCCGTCATTGACAAATACATAGGACATAAAAGTTTTACAGGAACAAAGTTTGCGTCAACTAATGTCAACGTTATACTTGCCAAAGTGTTTGAGTTCACTAAGGTTGAAAATTCTGCATTCGAATGAACAATAGGCAAACCAGCAGAGAAAGTATTGTTTATACGCATGAGTATCTTTTGGTCATAGTAGTTTCTGTCGACATTCGAATAACACTTTGAACCTAAGTTTGAAACAATATATAAAATAGGTGTACTTAAAGTCAATGGAATAGACATTCCTTGTATGACACCTTTTCCTGTTATAGGAAACTGTTGGTAGTAAAAACCAGATATAAGTTTTGTATTATAGCTCATATTGTTTATAGTAAACTCAGTCGGACATCCAAACATAATGAAACCTGCTCTAGTTGCAGCACATGTTACACTCGTACGTAAAGTATTAAATAAGTCAACAAAACCTGTTGGTGGTATATCTGAGTAAGTATCTTCAAAGAAGTATTTTTTACCATTCACAACAATAAAGTCTTCTGGTGTCAAAAGAGCAAAACAGGCTTTAGTCGTCATCGTGTTTAAGGTCAGTTTACAATATCGTCCTTGAGGACTTTGTAAGTTTGTTGTTATAGAATTATATGACTCAGGGTTTTTAGTCGTAATAGTATAAACCACTATGTCTTCTGCCATTTTTACTTAGCAAGTAAATTTTAATGAAATGTTGTGGTCGTCAAATATTTTTATGACGTCTGGGAAACTATATTTTAAGTTCAACGTTTCACCTCCTTTCATAACGTATATCTTGTCAATGACATTATATGAAACACCACAGCAACTAATGTCGGGTTCTATTTCTTTGATGTTTATATCATCTGCCTCTGTCAAAAGTTTCAATAGTTCTTTCAAAATTTCATGAGGTGCGATGACATATGAGTTCATTTTTACAGGGTTGTGTTCGACCAAGTTTAACATTATACTTAAAGCTTGACAAATCTTCTCCTGAGTTTGAAGTTTGTCTTTCAGTTGTTGGTAGTCATTTCGAATATCTGCAACAGAACTTAAGTCTCTGCTAACTTCAGGGTATGTTGGTTGTTCTTTTACAGGAACTATTGTTATACCATCTTCGTCTTCGTATGGTTTCCCCACTTCAACATCTCTTTCTTTGACATTGACAACAACACTTTGACTGTTTGTTTGAGTTGGTGAATTTAACTTCACATCTGCCACCGCCATTAAACCTTTTGAAACACTTACGCTTCTATTTTTCGGAAATGACATTTTACTTAGAATAAAAAGATGGACGTATTTGAGTATCTCTTCGAATTGAAGCAGAACAAAGTTTACACACACAAACAATACAAGTTCATTGACAGAGTAGTTCTTTATACAAACAATGGAAAATGTTATAGAATAGCAGTCTTTGCTGAACCAAAATATTTTCATAAAGCAAAGAAAGTTGGTATAACCGAGATGGTGAAAGTTCATGAAGCAGACAAAAATATAGCAACAAAACTGACCGATATTTCTAAAGGTAAGTTTTTAATACAATACTATGTTAAGACTGGCGTACTGTCAATATTTGACGGAGAGAAGTCAGTTCAAGAACAACTTACTGACCTGCTGCCAAAATCTGCTCGATGGAAGCTGTCGTTATACCAATCTGAGGAGCCCCAGCAGGTTTCATCGAACGAATCTTCAAAAGAGCATCTTCCGTGAAAAGTGCTATTGGTTTTGTAAACTTCTTTGCTTTCAATTCATCTGGACCGTCTCTGTCACCAGTATATTGTATTTGTACAGTACCAACAGTTGAAATACCACCCATAAAGTCTTCTGAGTCAGCAAATGGAATGCCAAGCCAAAAGTTTGAACGGTCTCCATTTGTATATTGAGTTTTTTGAGCTCCTGCATGAGTCCATACTTTCACATATGGCATAATAGAACTTTGCATTTCAGGGTTAATGGTTGTTGTGAAGTTGTTGTTAAAGTTCATAGCATCTAATGTCAAGTTGTATGACCTCATATCCTCAACTGTAGAATATTCTTCTCTTGGATAGTATTTGCCATCTATGTTTATATGATATTTAATACCGGGGTTGTAGAAACAAGAATAGTCATTTATAGTTCGTCTGAACAGTACAAACATAGTATCTGCATGTTTCATTGCAGTTGTTAAAGCAATATCTGTTCTTGCACCTGGGTCAGCACTTTGGTTTCCAACTTCACCTGCAAAGTCTTTGACAGATATTTGGTGTATAGGGAACATAAGTGGAACTGCAATATATTTGGCAGCTAAAGCATTTGAAATATCTGGGTCCAACATATAGACTGCAAGTCTGCTTTCTATTCTCTTGCATTCAAATTTTTCGCATGTGAACTTAACTGGGTCCCAAGCATCTCCAGCAGCATTGAAATAATAGTTTACTTCAGTGTTGAGGTTTGAGAAACCAAAGTCTAAGTCAACTTTGTTTTTGCAAAAGTCGGCGAATGACATTTTATTTGTTCCCACTACTTCTGTAAGAGTGAATGGGTCTTGTGTTGGTGCAATGACTAAGTTATTTTTGCTTGGAGTAAGTTCGATAGAAATTTTTCCTGCCCAGTTTGGCAAGTATCTTAAAAACCTGAAGATGAGGAAAGATGACAAAGGAACTCTAAGTTTCAATTTTACTTTGGTTACTGCTGCTGCAGTTTGTCCAGAAAGGTTAACATAAACTCCTGGAACGTTAGGGTCAAGTCTTCTTATTTTCTCAATAGTTGCATACTGGTCTGTTTGTTCTCTAGCTTGTGGTTGTACTGAGTTTCTCAAAGCGAACCATTCATAGTTTGCCCATGTTACTGTTTGAACTAAGTCAGAGTTAGAATATATCTTATATCCCATGAAAACTTCTGGAGCATATTGGTATCCGACATAGAAAATTCCATTGCAACCTTTCTTGTCAGACAACTTGGCAGAAGGTTTTATTTCAATGTCTTGTTCCACGTATAAGAAAGAGTTGTCAATAGAAATTATATGAAACCTGTCGCAAGCAATATCTACTGTTGTTGAAGAACCTTCTCCAAACTCACCTACGTTTCCATAAGAAACAGCAGTTGTATATTCGTAAGTTCCAGGAACTATTTCTGACCTTCTAATGGCATTGTCGCATTCGTTATACCATTCGGAAACATTTCCATTCATAGCATCCAAAACTGTTGGCGTTATATTCTGAGCGGCGTACATTTCATATGGGTAAAAATATAGAATAGTTGGGTTTATGTGTCATAATAGAACCCACGTGGACCAAGCTTTACTTTCTTCCTGACTGAGTTTTGTTGCATCTTTGCCTCATGTTCACCTAGTATGTTGTAAATTTTCCATGTCCTTTTTGCCTTTGGGCTCTGGTCGCCCATCTCAGGTAACCTATATCCTAGAAAGATTTTGTCATAGTTTGTATTTGAGTCTTCGCGTATTGTTTGCATGACTCTTTCCTGAGTTTCCGGTTCAAGCTCTTCAAATATAGCTTGTCCATATGGAATATGCTCGTTTCCAAATATATGTTTTTGTAGCCATTCTGGTTTTCTTTCCATGTTACCAACTATATCTTTTGTGAATGGGAAAGCTTTTACCCAATCTTTCAGTCTTGCGTCGTTTATTTCTGTAGTTGGTTTTATTTTGTCAAGGAACATGTTTTTCAATACTAACATTTCATTTGGTACTGTCCATTTGAGTTTACTTAAATATTCATCCCTTCTCGGTTCATTGTCTGCAAAGTAAGTTTTTATGACATTTTGTAAACTTTCGTTTGCAAGGTCATGTACAATAGGTTCTCTTCCTTCTCTCTCCCTAACTTTCTTTCTAAACTCTTCACCAAATATACCATCTCTATGGTTCTGTGTAGTTCTTTGAGATAAATGTTCTAGAACGTCAGGTGTTATATTTCCATCAGCCATGTTCATTTCATACTGGTCCAAAATATCTGCATCTTTCATATCTTTCAATGGCATTAAAGCCGCGCTGAAAATACCAGCTATATCTGGTTCACCATTGACTTCCATTGCGTCTACAACTTCTTGGAATTGTGGTTGTAAGTTTATGAACCACCTATCCGGATTAGCTTTATGACCCCATCTCATTGTAGTTCCATCGTCTGCAGAAACAAAAGTAGGTTTGTTTCCATCTTGGTTAGGTTCTGAATGAACTTTAAACAATGTTTCATTTCTATATGTTTTCTTGAAATTTAACCTTTTATTTTCACCGAGTTCATCCGAAGATTGAACGTTAAATGCTCGTAAGTAAAAAGGGTTGTTGTATTTGTGTACATTTTCTTTCAGTACTTTCATTCTATGCTGAATATTTTCATCTGGTGTTGGAGTCTTTTGTATGTCGGCAAACATTTTTCGATATTCTTCTACTATGTCAGCCGAATCTTTCTTAGACTCTTGGAAAGATTCCATATTCACCTCATGCTCTTGTTGAGGGTCAAGATTTTTCGGCTGTTCCAAATCTTCATCTAGTTCTGTGAAGTTAGTTTCCAAAGGAAGGACTTGTTCGTTTCCTTCAGGCTCTTCTAGCTGTTGTTGCTGAACTATTTCTTCCATGTCTGGTTGTATCTGAACTTCTTCCTGTGGAGTTTCTTGTACCTCATCTGCTGGCATTTCATATATTCCGAGACCGTTTTCAACAAGTTCCCTATTTAAGTCATTCGCATTCATAAGCCTCTGTTCTTTCGTTCCGTCTCTATTTTTTACGCGTTTCATGACGAAAGTTGAATTGTCATTTAGCTCTGACACCAAATATCTCGGAGTAAATTCGTTCATGTCATTTGGATGATATGCTATTAAATCATATCCCTTTGCGAGCTTGTATTTTCCAGGTTTGAAATTATATCCGATTTGGTGTTGAGCCATAAAGCTAAATAGGTTCGGGTCAGTATTTCCTTCATTGAACTTTCTAATAGCTTCTTTATATCTGTCACTAAAGTCAATAGTATCTGGGTAACCATAGTCTTCTTTAAGCATTTTTAAGAATTCTTGGTTTCCTTGTTCTCTACTTCTTTTATGTCCTTGCTCTGTTTGTGGTTGTTGTTGTGCAGGGTTTTGAACTGTTGGTTGCTGTGCTGGTTGTTGTGTTGGTTGTTGTGCTGGTTGTTGTGTTGGTTGTTGTGTTGGTTTTGGTGCATGCCTGTGTCTGTGTCCATGTGACGATGTAAATGTTCTAGGTAGTCCTGGTGCAGGTGCTTCTCTTGGAGGGTTTGGTGGTATATAAATTCCACCAGCTGGCACATATGTTCCATCTGCAGCGTAATGTCCTACCTGACTTTTCGTTCTTAAGAAAGCATTTACTAGGTCTGTTTTGGTCTGTTGTAACTCTTTTTCTTGACTTTTCACAACAGTTGCTCTAACGGCGTCATAGGCACTTTGAACTGCCTGTCTCGTTGCTGCATCTGTTATTTTCGTCATATTTTGTGCTACTTCTTTTAACTCTTTGTCGAAACCTTCAGACTTCAGTTTCTTTCCAGATGAGAAGTCGTTCACTAGTTTCACCTTACTATGAAGAGCTTCGAAGGCGTTCTTAAAGTCAGCATTTGTTAAAGCTTCATTTGAACTATCTTCATCCGCTTGTATTTTTGTCCTTATTGACCCTATAAGTTGGGCTGCTTTAGCGTTGGCTTGGGCATCTAACCAGTCATTATTAGCTTTTATATATTCTGCACTTTTCATTGCCTTTTGCATGGCTGCGTCGTTATTTTTACTTTCTTGTGCTAAGTTTTCATACTGTACGGTTTGGTTTTGCAACTGTAAAAGTTTTTCTGCCTTTACATTTGCTTCAACTTCTTTTTTATACTCATCGCTATCCATATATGTCTTCAGGGCTTTTTGTTTTATTTCTTCATCTTTCAGTACTTTATATTGAGTAGTATGGTTTTTCAAATTTATAACATCTTGTTCCATTTTTGCTACTTCTGCTGCTTTTTCTGACACTTTTTTCGCATATTCCTCTGTACTTAGTTCTTTCAGTTGTTCTTCTTTCTTCTTTTTCTCTACGTTTAACTCATTGAGTTTCTTTGTGTGTCTGTCATATTCTAGTTTCTTTTCGTTTTCACTTATTTGTTTGTTTCTGTATGTCTATGTTTGACTTTTTGACATCTGTTATTTGATTTTTGAGTGAACTCAAATTCATTTGACTTTGAGGGTTATAGGCTGTTCCGTCTGCAGCTCCACCATAGCCTGCCATTTTCGCTAAAAGTGCCGCTCTTAAACCTCCACTCTGTGCACCAACAACTCGGTTTAAAAGCATAGGATTGCTTGACATTTGTTGCAACATAGTGGGGTCATTCAGCATTTGTTGTTGCAACTGTTGTTGTGGTGTCAGTTTTACTATTGGATGTTTCAATGCTCTCTTCCTCTTACGTATATTCTTACGTAGCTTACGTGGCATTTTAAGTGAAGTTAAAAACATTTACGATGAAGAAGTCTTGACAAAACATTTACGATGAAATCATGAGTTTTCTACGATGTTAGAAAACATGTTAGAAAACGTGTTAGATCTAACATTCTAACATAAACATTATTTTTGGGTCATTTACGCTCATTACGAAGAAGTCTTGACAAAACATATACAATGAAATCATGACAAAACATTTACGAAGAAGTCTTGACAAAACATGAAAACATATATAATTTGTGAAAAGCTCCTGGAAGACCTCCGAATAAAAACTTCATTTATGTGGGCTAGAAGGCACGAAGTGCCTGGAAGGACACCCCAAGAAAAAAAAAACTTCATTATACCAATCATCCTCAGGGCTAGAAGGCACGAAGTGCCTGGAAGCCCCATTCCCTTTTTTTTTTTTTTTTTTTTTTTTTTTTTTGCAGATATATCGAAATAAAATTCAAGTAAATCAATACAATTATTTTTGTCGATTTTAATTTTATCAATGACATTCTTTTTGTATAAATCAATTAATTCATTAATTTCTAATTTTAATCCGATATGAAAGAGACAATTCAATACAGTTTCGTTGCATTCAATTTGTGATTTCCTATATTGCAGAATATCTTTTAATGCATTGAATATTTCTGTCGATTCTAATTCTGTAGTGATATTAACACTAGTAATACTATTATCTAATAGATAATTTGAATAGAACATTTGTGAAAATGCAATAGCGAAGTATTTATTAAGCATTATATCGACGTTATTAATTGTTAAAATAACCTTTTCGTGAGTTTGGCAATTATTAATCTTGTGGAGTATTTGATTATTTAGTTGAATCAATACCTTTTTTTTAAAAAAAATTGAGGCCAAACTTCTTCTATCGTCAATTTTTTTGAAGATTATGAGAATCAGAATGGTTCTCAAATAATATTTTGTTCCTATGGACCCCTTTGGCTCACCAGTAGACAAATCAAAATATATTATTATGAAAATATTTTCTCTTCAACATGATGTTTTCATATTCAGAGAAAACATTCATTTTGAAAATGTCCAAAGAATTTAAAAGGAAACTATCTATAACAATATGTACATACATAAACTTGTGTGTTTAGCTGATATACTTTCTTTGAATTAAAGCAATGTTGTGTCCTTGGAAAAAGGAATTTTAATTCCACAAAACATTTTTATTTTTGTTGCTTGTAAATATTAAATTGTGGATATAACTCTCTACTCAACATTGTATAATAAGTTCGATTCTTTATTTACTATTAATTTTCATATTAGAATATACTTGCAACTTTCTGGAGCCATATGCAGCAAGTGCATCTTTAAAAAACGCTTACTCTAAAAATGTTCAAACTGAATGATTCTTCAAAATAATAATGATAATAAGAAAAAGATTATTTTTAAATAATGTCCATATAAAAGATAAAGTTTACTGAGCTTTCTCAAGTGCCCACAATTTGATCAACTCGATTACGACTTCAGTACTTGCGACCATCCATGAGAGAACGGCCATTTCTGATCTAGAGTGGCAGTTAATTCCTCCAGTGAACATGTTTGGTGTTGGAACACCGAGGTGAGTGAGGTGGCTTCCATCTGTTCCTCCTCTGATCAAGGACTCCTTTGGCTCACCGAATGCGTTGCGGCAGGCTTTCTCGAGAATGGTGACTGGCTTTGCATCTGGTCCCATTCCGTCGAACATGTTTGCGTACTGGAATTTGATGTCGACATTGACCTTTCCGCCTGGGAAAATTGCTTCAACGGCAGCTGCGATTTGTTTAAGACGTTCGCAGCGTGATTTAGCAATGTTCATATCGAAATCACGGATGATAACATTGACATGAGCTGTTTCTGTCTGTCCTTCCATGTCAGTGACGTGGAAGAAGCCAAATCTTTCATCTGTAGCTTCTGGAGATTCGTTTCTTGGAAGCATTGTAACGAATTGAGCGGCCATATTAGCTGCATTGACCAATTTTCCACGAGCGTAGCCTGGATGGATGGAAGATCCTGTAAATGTGACTTTTGCCATGAAAGCGTTGAAGCATTGGTACTCGATAAGTGGCATTTCTGTTGAATCAACTGTATAAGCCTGTTTAGCCTTGATTTTATCCATTGGAACTTGGAACATGCCATTGCCTGTCTCTTCATCGGCGTTGAACATGATTTGGAGTGGTCCATGGTCCATCTTTGTCTTGAACATGTATTCGAGAGCTGTCATGATGTTAGCAATGCCTGCTTTGTCATCGGCACCGAGAAGAGTGTTGCCGTCTGTTGTAATAATTGTGTCGTGAACAGCATTCTTGAGAAGAGGATTGTCTTCAATTTTAATTGTGAAATTCTCATTGACAACGATATCTTTTCCATCGTAATCACGAAATACTTGTGGGTTAACATTCTTTCCACTGCATTGTGGGGATGTATCCATATGAGAACATAACAAAATTGTTGCACGATCTTCGAAGCCCTTTGTAGCTGGGATATTTGCAATAACGTATGCTTGCTCATCAACTGTGACATCTTCAATGCCAAAGTCCTTTAACTCCTTAACTAACATGTGAGCAAGATCCCATTGAGTTTTTGTTGATGGCTTGTGGTCTTCGACTGTTGGATCACTTGTTGTTTCAACCTTAACGTATCTGCAGAACTTATCCAAAATTGGTTCGGAAAGCTCTGTCCTGGCGAGGCGATTCTTGATTGCTTCTTCCTTAAACATTTTTGAAGTAAAAATTGTCACATCTCAATTTTAATTATCCTGCGATATAAAAGTTTCACCGATCAACTTAAAATGGAAAATCGATCACCATTTCAATTCAACTTAATACTTCCGAATTGAAGCGCTAGTAAGGATGTCAATTTGGAAGAAAAGTGAGAAAATTCCTAAAATGCTAAAAATGAATTTTCCAAACATATTTTTTTATCTCATTTTTTTGATTTTGAAAAAAATTTGGAAAGAAGAACTCTTCGTTTTTGAATTTTATCACGATGGTTTTAAAGTATATTAGACACATGTATTGGTATTACTATTTTTGTATATTTTGAGAGAAAATCCCTAAAAAGTGAGAAAATCTAAGACGGTTTGAGAAAATATATAAACTATTGAAAATTTGAATTAAACTTCTAATTTGGAAAAAAGAAATTTGGAAAGAAGAAAATTCAAAAATCGAGATTTAGACTCAGCATCAAATGGAGAACAAAATGTTTCTTCATATGAAGGAAAAAAATTTTCTTGTGAAGAAATAGAGTTTTGAAAATTTTATTGTATGTAATGAAATAAACAAATATTAAAATTATTTTTTGATAACAAGAAAATTCCCAATAGAAAATATTTGAGAGAAAGAAAAAAAGAAAATTGAAAAATATTACTCTCCTTTATATTTCATGAGATTTTAAATTTATTCTCATAAAATTGACAGTTTTATACGTTTAGATGAAAATAATTGATTTTGCTTGAAATAAAAATTATTGTTTGCTTACAGCTATCAAATAGATTTTTGCTATTTTGATTAAAATTTGTTAATCAAATTAATAAATTTTTTGTAAATATCTTAAATATCTGGATCACTCACTGATACAATGAATTGAACGATAAAAATAATACAAACTCAACTAAGTTTCCTGTCTTTCAACTAAAAAAAATTATGCAAATTAAATTAAATTGTTTATTCAAATATTAAACAAAGATGAAGTAATTACAGTTATCATAAACTTTATGAATAACTCTGTAATTGGTTCAGATTTTCGTAAAAATATTTTTATTAATATCGATAAGAATACGTTTACCTACTATCACAACATATCGATAAAAAAGAGTAGAGTGATTTTTATCATCGAAACTTTTTAAAAGCTGTAAGCTGGAAGGAAAAATCTTGTTTTTTCTGAGTTAGTTGTAGAACTATTGATGCACGAGTTATCATTGTGATGTAGAAGGATGTCAATGTACTGACTGAAGGATATGAAGTGAATTGAATTTCATTGCATTTCAATTTGATCAAAATTTGTTGAAATGATATGAATGTGTCAACATCTGTATCACTCTCTTTCACTCCTTCCCTATTCTTTCGAGAACGAAGCTAGCTCAGCTTTCGCTGAGCGAATTGACAATTTTGATGCCCTAAACGTACATGCTCTCAAATTTATCGAAAAAAATTATACCACCTAAACTAGTATATTCTTATTTTAAATATGATATTATCCTTAGAATCCACACTAGAATATATTTAAATCAACTTTTAAAAAAGTTCGAATCCTGCGCGTCTCACTTTTTAAATTTTCGAAAAGGAAAATTATATTCTCCTAAAATGAAAACAATTTTCCGAATTGACATCCTTAGCGCTAGATATGATCTTTGCATTTCGCATCCCAAATACTAACCTTTGTATAAATTTTTTGTAATCTTTTTTTGAGCAAACAAAATTCCGATTTGCAACTGTAGATATTCTAATCACACATTGTATTTTCACTTATTCGTAGCAGTTACTACATTTCTGGATGTAATGGGGACGAATATTCTTATTATCACACATGCAATTTCTAAACTATCATTATGTTCAACAGATATAACTATATTCATCCATGTTGGTGATAAGAAAAAAAATTCAATACATCGAAATTTTCAAATTTAATTTATCCTATTGAATCTATGAGAAGCTCGAGTTAAGGTCATTCTTCCAATATAGTTCAACACAATCGTTGAAATATGAGATAAAAATTTGCAATCATAATTGTTCCAATGGAAAGTATAAACAGTGATATAATAGAGACAATTTTCGCACAACAACATATTTGGTTATAAATATAGAGCATGAAGGAAAGAAGCAAAAATAAAGGAATGATTATTAGATTCAATTTAGGTTAGACATAAAAGCACTTTAACTTTTGGATACAAATATCTCAGGATCCATAAGGATATATGCTTGTAATGCAGATGAAATATAGGTATGATGATCTTATCAACCTATTGGACCTAAAAAAAAATAAAAAATCATTTTTCAATGGCCAAAGCTTTAACAAAAGAACAGCTTGAAGTACTCATTAAAATTCAATTACTCGATGAAAAGAATTACGAAATAAGACCTAAGATAGATATAGTAAAGGAATTTCCATTTAAATTAACAAAATCCGTTGGAATTACTTTAGGAACAAGTACACTGTTAACAGCCGCTGCATCAGGTTTTGCCATGAGAAATATTAAATCAGTTAAAGAAGATCTTGGCCTTGCTATCCCTGTTTTTGGCATGTTTTCAGGAATTGATTTTGCAGTCAATTATACATTAACAAAATCATTCGGATATAAGAATCCAACACAACCTATATGCATTGTATCAGGCGCTACTGCAGGAGCTGCTTGCGGATATTATTTTGGCAACAAAAAGCTAAAGCCAACATTATTTGGAGGAATTGCAGGTGGTATATACGGTGCTATTCGTAATACACCTATGAATTTACTTGGTTTCGAACCATTTTAATTAATTTGTGTTATTATATTATAATAAAAGTCTATAAGTTGTTTTCTAATGAAATATTTCTAGAATTTTCAAAAAACAAAAACAAACAAAGTATTTATTCAATACAAAAAATTAAATTTGGTCGGCATTTTTCAATCCTTTTGTTCTAATTCTGTTAACGACTTCACGCCAGTTATCTATTTCGTTCTTAAGGTGTTTCAAGCGATCAATACTTAAAGCTCTTGGTTTGCACCATATTACTACGACAATTTGATCAATTTCATCAATATAGCCCTTAATGATATCGTGGGCGAACGCTTTAAGGACTAGGTACTCAACTTTCTCGATTGGTATCTGACAAGCTTCACTAATTTCAGAAAATTGTATTTTTCTATTTTTAAATGGTTTCTTAAATACAAGAGTATAGAATATCGACATGACTATCTTATCTTCTATCATTTGTATGTAAGGAGCTAAAAATCGATTTGATAAAATTTTCTGTTTATATTCTTTTTCGAAAGTTTTTAAAATTGATGGCTCGCCTGTATCTATCAAGATGATTAAATTTCTGATCCATTCGTTATCTGTAGCTTTAAGAGAATTTAAAATCGGATGAGAAGCTAATTCTTGAAATGAAATCACGTCTGTTGCAAGGAGTGCTGCAATGCACATATCGTATGCAATTAATAGGCCTTCGGATTTTGATGATGTTGATAAATAATAAAAATAATCAATATAAAGTGAATTATAATCGCTTCTGGCTTTGTCTAGCTCACATCTAGTTCTGCAGTATTCTATTCTGACTGAAATAGGTGATGTTTCAGAAATATCATCACCTGCTTCTGCTAATAATTGAATGGCCTCTTCGAAGAGTCCATTTTGTGACATTAAATTTACCATTTGTAAATCAATTATAACTGAAAATTGTCTTTTGGTAATCAATTTTTTATTTTCTTTGAGAAATTCTAAACATTTTAGAGGCGAAGTTAAATCTCGGGCAGCAAGTATAATTGATTTGGTAAGATGTAATTGGTTAAGATGGGTAATGTAGTTTTTGACAAAATTATTGTAAATATTTAGTCTTTCGCCTACTATTGCGTCTGACGAAAATAAGTCAACAATACAACTTCCTAACTCAAACCAACGTTTAGAGTATGCATGGTCTAATATATCATTAACAAGTTTTTCAAAGAAATCTGGATTCAGGCTAATAATTTCTTGAAAAACTTGCATTTTTTTAGAGAGAAAAAGTGACAAAACTGAGTAAAGTAAAACGTTTTAAACTTAAATCGGCCAAGCTCATATACTTAAGTTATAAATAGCCATGGATTTGCTGACTTCATATGCTATAGTGGCAAGATCTGGTGTTACGTAAGTGCCCAGAATGCAAGCTTGAACAAATTTGAAATTTTTCTGCCTTGCAATCATATAATTAATGATTTTTCTGCATTGTAATTATACAAGATGATTAACTTATATTTATTGAATCATATCAATAAATTGCAATCATCTTCTCCAACTCTAAAATTCTTTTTTTTTACACTTTTGTTACGTTTTTATACAGGCGTGAAGCCTGTTAAAAATGTAATAAAAGTGTAATTATCATACTAATGAATCAAAAATAATTGTGTGTTTGATAATTTTTCGAATTACCTCAGACTTTTCAGAGGATTGAGTTGACACTCAATCCTCTGAAATAGTCTGTGGTAATTCTTAGTCTCTACACTATTTCAATATAAGCTCCATTTTTAAACTGCTTTTAAAAATCGAGCATTGAAAAAAGTGATGAGACTTTAAGGTTGAACTTACGCCCATCTGACTTTAATTCAAATTTTTGACAACCGGCACCCTTAAATTTTGTTCTGTTCTAAAAATACTATTAGAAAGAGGATATCATAAAGCAATGATAATAATCAAGAAAAGAAAGACAATATAATAAAACAATGATAAATATGAAAACAAAAATAATTTCATAACACAATTATTCTGATCCGTATTTAATTGTATAATCATGCGGAGTGTATAGATCCAAAAAGTGCTCGGAAATTTGACGCTGCTAGCGTCAATAAATGTTCGTTAAGATTAATAGAATAATGGATTCAAATTTGTTATAAAATAGCAGATAGCTTGTTTAATTAGAGAAAATATGGTTTAAAATGCTATTTATTTTGAAATTTTATATTGTTTCAAAGATATATACTAATTTTGGTGATAGAATTTGAACACAAAGTTATTTTTTAAACGTGCATTTTTAGAAAATGAAAAATTACGAGATTAAAGCGGAGGAATTTGCTAATGCTTATATCGAACTTGAGTCTCGTTGCATGACCCAAAGCTCATCATGGGTTCTTGAGTTCTTAATTGAGCTTGCACCTGAAATCAATTTTTCAATTCCACCTGATAATATCAAAGTATCATTCGCAAAGACACTTTTTAGAAATGGAGAATTCAAGCGTGTTCAGTTCTTATTGCAGAATGAAACAGATCAGAAGTCTCAAACAATTTATTTCTTATCAAAGTTACTTGACACACAAAGGCAGTTACAACAAAGCATTCCTGATGATTCAACATTCATCGGTGATCTTGCTGTCTCAACAAAAAACATGTTTGAAGCTTATGATCTAATAGTTAATGAAGCAAGACCATATGTTAGCAATTTCGACGCACTCAATTTATACATATTTGCTCTCATGCTCACAAAATCAGGAAAATTCGAAGAAGCTCTTAAATACTTAATTCAATCATTAAATCAATTTCCACTTAATCATAGTGGATGGAAACTTTTGATAAATATATTAATAAGATTCGATAATAATGTTATCGGAAATGCGCTTTCTCAGCTTCCAGCTCATATTACCTCGGAAATTTTCAAGATAGAATTAAAATCTCAGCTTCAAATGGAAGATGCATCAGCACTCTTTGCAAAACTCAATTTACCAAGAGTGGCTCCTGTTATTGCTCTTGAAGCTTCAATTCATTATTATGGAAGGAATTTCGAGCAATCAGCACTGTTATTTGCTGAACTTCGTAATAAATATCCTCTCAGACTCGAATCATTAGAATTATTCTCACATTTACTATTTGTCAAAGAAGATTTGGCTGCATTATCAGAATTAGCCCAAAAATTAGTTCAAATTGATAAGTTCAGGCCAGAAACACTTACAGTTCTTGGTAACTTCTTCGCTCTCAGCGGCCGCCATGAAGATGCCATTGAACAATTCGCAATGTGCTTGAGATTTGATTCTGACTTCAGTTTTGCATGGACATTGATCGGTCATGAATATATTGAGCTTCAGAACTCATCAGCAGCTACAGCTGCCTACATCAAGGCCTTCGAATCCAACCCACGTGACTTCAGAGCTCTATATGGTCTTGGCCGCGCGTTCGAATTATCACGTATGCCATTCCACGCGATTCTCTTCTATAGAAAGGCTTTGACAGTCAATCCATCAGACTCAAGGCTTTGGATGGCATTAGGAGAATGTTATGAAGAATTACTACAATACGAAAACGCCATTAAATGCTACCAAAGAGCTGTTTGCAACACAGATAGTGAAGGAACAGCAATTTACAAACTTGGTAAACTGTATAAGGAAACAAATGAAGATGATAAAGCCGCATTTTGTTTCGAGACATTCGTTGGAAAGAAGAATGTCATTGATGCAAGAGAGGATAGTGAAAGAGTTGATAACGAAAGAGAAGCAGTTTCATTCCTTGCAAACTATTATCTCGCGAAGAAGAAAATTGATAAAGCAAATATTTATGCAAACATGATGCTTCAAGATCCGAGTATGGCACAGGATGGAAAGACTCTTATGAAAGATATTAATGCTCTCAACAAAGCTTAATTATTCTATTTTGAAAATGTAAAAATATAATATGAATCATTAAAACATATTCTTTTTCCAAATTAACTACATCGAATATAATAAAATGATAGTACGTACAATGTTAGTGCATATTATATTTAAATGTTCCATGCAAAAGATATTTTCCAAATTTGATTTTGACTTTCGGACTGATAAAGGTTGCGCATTTGTGAATTCCTCTTCTTTCTTTTAATTACAATCATTACTATGGCTTCGTTGTGGCAGCGGAAATATTTATTTTGAATTATAAATGATCGTTATCGCATAAATTTAGTCTCAAAAATTTTTTTTAGAATGGATGCTCTTGTTGGAAACCTAGAAAAGATTGCTAAACAGAAGCGTTTAGTACCAGCAGAGCAGATCATTTGCAATCTCCTTTTAGATTTCGAAAAAAATTTCCCTGAGAAGTTATCCGATGAATTAGGACAAACCTTAGAGAAAGCACTACTTCCATTATTCAACATCAACAAAGGCGAGCTCTCTATGCAATGTGCTAACAGAATTGCCAAGTGTTTAATCAAAATTTACGATACTCAATCATCACCAAAATTATGGGATTTAATCACTATGGTAACTAAGAAACCAAATAGTGCAAATGTCATAGGTATCAGTCTAGTCATCGACAAGCTTGGACATACAATCAAATCTATGCTTCCTGGCTTAGTTCAAAAACTTATTCCACTTATTCCAAAGATTAATTACCCATGCCTTATGGCAATCGCAGCTTGCTACAGAGTAGATAAGAATGGTCTTAAAGCAAATGCTGAAGAAGCCTTTAATATTACGGCTAAGCACTTTGTCAACTCAAATGAGACATTCCAACTCTCCGCAATTCGTTTATTCATTGCATTATTAGCTACAGGCGCAGTATCAACTCAAAAATTCATTCACATTGCGTTTACAATCATAAAGAATGCCACATCTACATTTGTTACAGACGAGGCATGCTTCCTTGTTGCTCAAATCGCATACTTACCATTCTCTCTTAAAGGAAATGGTCCAGAACAAGCATCTGATTTCAGTATCTCAAAGAAAGGCGGACAGACAGGCGATAAGTCATTATTTGAAGAAGCTTTCAGTGTTCTTACAGCTTTCAAGTCGAATTTTCCAATGGTTTTACAGCATTTCCTCGATCTTTTACCTCCTCAGACCGTTCATAAGAATTTACCACTTCTTTTCAACTACGTTCGCAAGACAATGCCAAGCGAAGTTGTCCAGCTCATGTCACTTTTCGGAACTGATGTCAGAAAAGAATTATTTACATCTGTTGCCAAAGAACAGCCTCCTACAGCAGCCCAACTGCTTCTTTTAAGAGCTTTGCAGTGCGATTACACGAGTACAAGAGAAATAGCTGCACTTGCTCTTCAATTAACACAAGGAGGAAATTCAAGTGCGAGAAGAACAGCAGCTTCGTACTATGCCAACCTCTGCAACACACATCCAGAGCATGCCCGTCTTTATCTCGAGACAGCGACCCTTTATCTTGCAAAACCTCCGGATAATAATCCAAATGCCGACAACGACTTCCAAGGAATGGCCACCATTGCAACATACATACTCGGTGCATCCAAGCAACGTATGAAATGGGCTGATGAACTCGCAGCTCATATCGGAGATTTCCTAAATTGCGCTTTAGTTCTTACAGACATCTTCGATATCCAGTTCTGGGCTGCCTTTTCAGTAATGACCGTATTACCACGTTGTCTTGTCCCTCACGAGTTAGTTGCAAACGCATTAGACAACTTCATCTCCTATTTCGACCAACAGATTTCAATAGGAGACGCAAAGTCCAAGAGAATAAAGAATCTTGGTCTTGTGATGGCACTTTTCCTTGTTCAGCACTCAGATTATGAACAAGGACCACGTATTCTCCAATTATTGATGGACCAATACTGTTTACAATGCCAGACAAGTAGATTGGCCGTATTCTTGGCCGGACCAAAGATCATTCCAAAAACTCCTGAATTGACATCAATTGTTCTGATTCTTTTGGAGCCGATTCTTAAGAGTGTTCCTTCATCAGAATACTCCAGAGAACGTATCAAATGTCCAATGCCTTCATCAGTTGATCTCCTCCAGCCATTGACATTCAAACAATACAATTACGAGATCATTTTTGACAAAATTTCCGCTCCACCTTTCAATTACTACACAATTGAGAATTTCTCAAATCTCGTAGCAGCTCTTGAACCTAAAGCCGTTGATGTATTAGTCAACAGACTGCTCCATTCATACGACAATGCTTTGATGGGCCACAACCTTTTGTTAAGTATCGTTTTGGATCCGAAAACAAGAGATCTTTTGCCAAGTGGTTTACATGTCAGTTTGATCGATCAAATGAACGATAATGCTGATTTGATACAGCAACAGATAACAGCCGAAGTTATTGGTATATGGGTTAAAGACGACATTGATGCAATTAATCAAACAATTAACTATATAAAGAAGCAAAGAAATCGTTCGAAATGTTTGATTTATTCAGCGATAATTGCACATGCTTCTTTAGATGAAAATTTGATTTCTTCATTGATGCATGAACTCAATGACATTGCCAAGAATACAAATGCAACACCATACGCACTCCATGCATTATCTGTTTTGTATTCTTGCCATTCAGTTATTTTGTCTGCAATGAAAGTAACTGATATACAACTCCAAGCAATTATACAAATCCTTAACTCTGAGAATATTCTCAAACCATTTAATTTGTATTATTTGAGTTTATGTTTCCAGAACATTCTACCTATTATTTCTCCTGAAATACAAGAATCTAAAGCAGCTGTAATTCCTGTTTTGAGATTGATCATTCAGGCATTCAGACAAATTAAGATTCCTTTCTCTATGCAAATTATGTTTAGAATATTAAGACCTGTTTTCGCTTTCGCAAGAGATTTAATTGATCCTGAACCAATTGTTTTTCCTTCCCATCTTGGAGCATCAATTCCTTTACAATTGGCTGCTTGCGGTGCTTTCGCAGATATGTTGAAAGTTCCTTCTCCTAATGATCCTGATTTCTTCGATTTAGTTCCTAAATTTTTGATTTTGTTGCAGAGATCGAGTGATAAAAGAGCCGACCAATTCGTAAATGCTGTTGCGAATGTCTTCGCAGAAGGAGCACAAGGAAAAGAAGATGACGAACAAGTCAGAGCCAAATTGACAGCATGGATAAGACAAATTAAAACAATATTAAGTGCTTCGGCTATTCCGAACACAGGAGATGCAACAATCGAAGCTGATTATTTAGTGAAAAATTGCGCTTTGGCTGTTGCAAAAACCATTCTCCCTGTTTTATCAAAGAGCAGACCCTTGTTAACAGAAAACCTTGATGATTTGATGACTTCTGTTACTAGAGCTATTGAAACAGGAAAGAAAGAGTTAGTACAATTATCATTCCAGTTGATGCATTTGATAATTGTTCATTTCGAGTCAGTTATAACAGATGATGGCTCAAGATTGTTGGAATTATATGATTCACAATTTGCTATCGCTGTCAGATTTGGTTTCCAGTCTGATTTGAGTCTCTCTGGTCCGTTCTTGATCAAATTCCTCTCTTTCCACTACGAAAACTTGAAGAATAGACCTGAGGAATTCATGACGGTTTTAAACGGTTTTATCAACGGTTTGACAGTTTGCAAACAACGTACATTTGCTTATTACGATATTTCCAGCCATTTGTGTTCTATTGCAAGACAAAACGAAAATGTCTTCAAATTAGTTGTCAATTTTTCAGAAAAACTTGTTCCAGACTTTGGTGAAATTATTAAAAGATCAATGCAATTATGGCGTAATTCTCCTAAATGGAAAGAAATTTCTCAGTTCAGACTCGATTACGAGAATTTCTACAGAGAATTATCAACAACATTTGTTTGGTTGCAGCATTACTTCAATCTCGACATAATTAAAGTCAATGACTTAGTCGAGTTCTTCATCCAAGAGATTTCTAAATGCACTGAATCATGGAGAATCCTTTCAGCTTTCGAATCTTTGGCTGCAGCTTTCCTTTATTACTCAGATCAAATAAATGAAGAACAAGTAAATCAGGCAATCTCCGCTGTTCATCACGCGAACCAGTTGTCATCACAGCTGCTTTCTTTCGCATTGCCTTCTTTCCTTTTGTCTTGTTCTAGACTCATCAAACCAGGAAATGATGAAACATGGTCCCATTTGATCCAATTCGCTCTGAAAAGCACTTTTTCACTTGAATCCCTCGCTCATCTTGTCAAGAAAGGTCCTTTGGAAGCTGTTGACAGCCTGTCCGATGAAATCATTGATAGAGTGTTGAATGAATTAACTAATTCATCAATAGAAGATGATAAAGCAACAGCTTTCTTCGCTGTTTTCTTTGACAAATCACCTAAGAATTGTCAAAAGGTTTTAGATAAAGTTTATGAAAAAATTGACAAAACCGCTCATTTGAATTTTGTTCTTGATGTTTCCAAACGCGCAATTTTGACTAAGGATTCACAAGTAGAGACCACAAAGTGCTCTGAATTAGCATGGAAGCAGTTCAAGACAGGCGGAATGGTTTTCTTTGCCGACATCATTTTGAAGGACAAAGAAATCGGATCTAAAGTCGTAACAAACGACAAATTTAGTTCGCTGAAGGACTATTGTTTGAACGACATCACAAATGTTGTTGTCTTCCTTCAGTTCTTGAGATTATCGATCTCTTGTTTGACTGAAAACGACCACGAAAATCTTGTCGCAGCAACAAGTATTTGCATCGAAGTTATCTCTGCTTTTGGTACTGATGTTCAGCGTGGAAAGGACATTGTTTCTTGCGCAGTTAATGCTGTACAAGATGTTAGAAAGATTGATGAGTCCGCAATTAAAGAAGCATTCAAGGGCTCATCACAAAGAGCTAAACAAACATGTGTTCAGTCAACTGAGAAACAAGTTTCAAAGATAGAAACAAGGAAGAGAGCAAGAACTCTTAAGACATTCGGTTCAATAAAGAGGAAGGAAACTAATGATGATGGTTGGCAATCTCTTGATTAACTTTTATTTATTATTATTTTTCTTTTTTTATAAACAAAATCTATTATTCTTTTTTTGTCTTTATTTTGAGAAAAAAAATATTTTATAAAAATAATTGTTCTTCATTAAGCATAGGGCAATTGCCAAAGACTGGAATATTTTAGAAGAAGAATTGTTCTCGCATTTAACAGTTAAATTCAGAATTATAATTCATTTCAAGGAAGATATTCCAAAAATATTGCCTATCATGCAAAAGAAGTTTCCAATTCGAAATTCTTATCCTCATAATAGAAATTTAGAAGCAATAGTAATTTCTTGTGGAGGTATAAAGATAAATGACTCCAAATTTAGCACACGGCTTCTATACCAGCTTATGAGCAATGTTTATATGGACTCTCAAGAAAAATTAACAGCCAATTTGAATAGTAGTTATGTTGAAGGGTTGTGTGACTTTTTTTGTTACATCTATATATAGACGATGCATTAAAATATATTTATTTATAAATCATTAAAAAATTAACATTAATTTTAAAATAATTTATTTTTTTATCTTTTATAAAAGAAGCTATATATAGATGATGTCAGATATTCCGCGATTAATTAAACATCATTTAAATCCTGAATGGGTTAAACTTCAATTTAAAAATGAAGATTGTGAATTATTAAATGAATATGAAAGCCAAAATAAGCTAATGAGGTATAAATATAATGATAAAGAATATTTAATTTCATGGAATCAATGGAGTCATAATCAAAGACCTCATAAACGAGAAGAAGAAATTGAAAATAATGAAATGGAAATCATTGATGACATTAAAGAGGATGGAATTCCTAAATTTTGTAGAAAAACCTTTAGAACTAAGTTAGGAGCATATAAACGTAGAGTATTAAATCCTGAATACATAAAACATTTATTTAAAAAGGAAGACTGCGAATTATTAAACGCTAATGAATATGAAAATGCTAAATCAAAACTGAGATATAAATATATTGGAAGTGATGAAAGATGTAAAGATAAAGATAAAGTTTATTCGGTTTCATATAATAACTGGCACACGTTAGGGATAAGAAAACATTTAGGAGATTATGGTAAAAGTTCCGAATTCTTTAAATCTAGTATGTACGAGAGAGTAAAAGAAATTAGAAATAATTATTTTCATGAATAAAAAATAAACTTTAAAAATTCATGTCTTACGTTTTTGAATAAATCAAGATTTAAAAAATTAACTTCTTACGTAAAATTAAAACTAAGTTAAATTTATTTTTTTTATTTTTTATTTTATAATAAATGAGTATAACAACTAATTCATTGAAATCTTTAAAGTTCACTAATTCAGAATTAGAAAATATTTTAGAAAATTTTGGAGACGGTTCTTATCCAACATATATGCAGAATGTGAAAGAGTTTTCCAGATTGTTGAATGAATTTAAATATAACGGGCCAATTACTAAAAAGGCTATAATGAGATATTTATATCCCAAAAAAGTTGAAAAACAGAAGAATATTCCTCTTTATGGTCCAGAGGACCTGGGCTCAGAGAGCCTTGAAACACCTCCTGAATATTTTGAAGAAAAAATTAAACAAGATGAATATTATAACGATGAGATTGAGAAATTGGAACAATTAAGAAATGAAATAGATGAAAAAATTAAGGAATTGAGAAATGCTGAGAATGAAGTAGAGGGTTTAATGAATATCCCAGCTTCAGAATCAGAAGTTCAAAAATCACATGAGGAAAGATATAAAAATTACTTTTTGGAATCTACTAAAAATTTATTAGATGGTGATATTGACGAAACACTTTCAGAAGAAGGCACAAAATTTATTCATAAACATAAGCTTCAGTTTATTGACGATGGAGATTATCCATGTATATTACTTTCACCTCCTCTTGATTCTGAAAAATTCAAAAAAGCTCTTAAAAACGTGACATATGCAACTAATACGATTAAGAAAGAAGATCATGATATTTACACAAATTATTATTTAAATAAATGCACAGGTGTTGATAAAGTTTTTGATTTATTAGATAAAATATCAAAAGAAACCATTGGTACATATAAAATTTTATGCGATTGTGGTTTCATTATTGAAGATACCAATAATGTTTCATATGAAAGAACAGCACCGAAGGAAGATGAAGTGGAAAGGTCTATACCATTCGTTATTAAGAACATAAAAGATATGAAAACGTATAAGCATTATATTTATTCATTTATTTCAGAAAAAATGGAAGCAACCCATAAAACATCATCTCATCATTTTATAGCTATTCATACATTCCTTTTCAAAGTTGTGAAATTAAATAAGACAGGAATTAGATTTAATGTATCAGGGTACGCATTCTTGAGTAAATTAAAATGTATTCGTCACGTCGCAGATGATAAAAATTTATGTGTTCTTAATTCATTTTATGGACTTTAGCCCTGGACTCTCTGAGTCTCGGACTTTAAAAAAATAAACTTTATTTTTATTTATTTTTTAATTTTTATTCTTACATAAATGAATAAAAATGGAACAGCTAAAATGAATGATAATCAAATAAGAGCCGAAGGTAGAAGGTTATTTAAACGCTTCTATAACATTCCTGATGGTGTTAATCCTAAAACTCGTAGAAGTTATTTAAGGATGGGCACTCATTAGGGTGATGAAAAAAATCAAGTCTAGCAAAGTCAATATATTAAAAACAGTGAAGACTATTATATAGCATTATAGTGCACAAGCTCAAATATTTAGTGATGCATTTCTCGAACTTATTTTATTTATAAGTTAACCTTGAAACATGAATTTTAGTATATCATGAGCATATTTTTTCTAATTTTGCAATACTTATAATATCATACCAGGATTTATGTGGAAGTCTAATATTTGGTATATAATATTCTTACAATAAATGTATTAATTCAATTATATTCAAAATGATGGGTCGCAATTTTTACTGAAATTGCAAATTTAATTTCAACAATGAAATTATTGTTTAAAAAAAATAGCACAACAGCAAGATGGACAATCATATATAGAATTATAATGCTCCATATAATGCTTTGATTTGATGCGTATATAATGTTATTTTTCGAACATCTTTGTAAAAAATTGATTTTTGTAATTTTTGAAAAAATTCGATTTTATTTCGAGATTTCCTCTATAGGTGAAGTATATTGAACAATATTCCTATGGGAGAAAATAATTGTAAGTATGAGTACTTTCATTAATACTATGGGTGCCATGGTTATCGCTCAAACGATCAAGTTATATCTCGATTGCGTAAATTGAAATTTTGCTATTTTCTAAATTCACGGCAACAACATTCTTTTATCCTGATCGTACATCACAATATTTGAATGTGCGACCATTTGTTCAAGAAACCGTCAAGTTATTCTTCATTTTTCATGCCGCGGCGAACAAAAGCAGTTGCAAAGCGTATAAAGAACTTAGTTCAAAGCGCGAAAAATAGGGTAGAGCCATATGTCGTCAACACTGTTGAATTTGTGCTATCTGTATTATTGAGCGGCGCTACATTTTGCCAATCAGAATTTCAATTCATGCTGAATAACATCAAAGTTCCGTCAGAAGCTACATTTCATCGAGTCCAAGAAAAGGTTGGTCGTGTTATCATAGAAGTTGCCAGAGAATCTGTTAATTATTGGAAATCTCGAATGAGAAAATGTTCGGGACTTTTGTTTGACGGTTCTTGGAGTCAGAGAAGAAATGCAATGTTTTGCTATGTACAATTTGTAGAAGAGAAACTCAAAAAAATTGTAGATTGGGAAGTGATATCTAAATCTTTTAAAAATTTCAAAGGTAATTTCAACGGAAAATCAAATGAAATGGAATTTGAAGGCTTAAAAAGAATGCTGAAGCGTTGGAATAATGAAAAACGTGTAAATTTTTTTGTGCATGATGGCGATGTCAAAATTGTTTCTACAATCAAAAATACGTTCAAAGGTATCAGAGAATACAGAGATCCTGGACATTTTCTTAACAATATACAGAAAAAGCTCAAACTGCCAGAATTCAGAATCTTATCTAGCATTTCAAAGAATTTATTGCGTTGGCTTAGGCAACTTCTCAATGACACACATATGTCAATTAAAACAAAGAAGTTTTTATGGTTGAATTCCGCTAAACATTATGCCGGAAATCATAAATTTTGTCCAGATCCTGAAAAATGCAAGATGATTAAACCATGGAAATATGCAAAAAATAAAACTGCTATAAAAACACTTAAAAAATTCCTCGAAGATACCGTAAAAATCTTTGATATGGTAAAAAAGATTCATTCAACTCAAGTAGTTGAATCGATAAACCATATCAAAGCAATGCTTGCTAATAAAAATATTAATTGGCATGCTTCTTGGCCAATTAGGATGGCAGTCACAATATTGCATTTCAATGAAAGTATGTTTGAAACGATTGTAGCAATAAGATACAGGTTAAATTTACCAACAATGCCAGAAATGATGAACAGATATTTCAGAATGTATGATACAACAAAAGATTTAATCAAAGCATTCAAAAATTCAAAGCAAGTTCAAAAAAAGTTTGCGGCATTAAGAGCTATAAAGAGAGGTCTTCAAGCTACCGATGATCGTATTACTCTTAAATCACATAAATAATTATTAAATTTATTTCACCCTCAAAACATCATAATCTTGCACCTTCTTTGAATAAACACTTTCACCTTCTATTTTTAATTAATGTTTTTTAATTGTCCAAAATTTTTAGATTATATAAGATATAATTTTTTATAAAAGTATTATTTTCTAAAAGATAAGTATATATTCTTAATCACAAAACCTAGCATTTTATCATATCTATATATCAGCTTCCTAAATCTAATACTCATATAGTTAGTATGATTTTAATGTTTTTGAACATGAAACGAAAATATGATTACAATCATATAACATAATGGAGTTATTGATATAACTTATATGCATGATACATTAAGAAGTCTTCCAACAATATAGATATAGTTGTAGATTCCTATGATTCCTTTTATATTGTGAGATAATAACATTTTTATGCTGTCAGGAGCCTATGAGTGCCCATCCTTAAATGAAGCCATAGATGCATATGAAGGATTTGACATTTCATCAGAAAGTGAGAGGTTAGCAAGAATGTTAAACGTTAATATTGATTTTTATTATTGTGACCCTCAACCAGAAGACGTAGACATTAACAAGGTAGACTTTCCATTAGTGGAATCAATAATGATAGATCCAGAATTTGAAACAGTAAATATTTTATTAACACAGAGTCCATGTGGAAAACTTCACGCTGACAGAATTACAGACGTTGAAGCACTCACAGGATATAAAATTTGCCCCGTTTGCAAAGAAGAAGCATATTCTATCCGTGATGATCCAGAAAGGAAAAACCAAAGAAGATTTTTAAAACATTGTGAGAAATGTAAAGAAAATAATGGAAGATTAATTCAAGACGTTCAATTGCAAAACACACAACAACCATATGCACCACATATCACGAAACAGAAGATATATCAATGGCTATTAGCACATAATTTGCAGGAATATTATAAACCAACAAGATATTATATTACTTTTGACTTCGAAACATTAGAGACTAAAGAAGAACTTCAACTTTCTGAATGTGCAACTTTGAACGCTTACTTAAAACCATTTATGGTATCATCAACTGTCAAAATAAAGCCGCAAAGCGGCGAGGTCGTAGACCGTGATAAAACATTTACGAGGAATTTTTGCTTAACATCAAGTGATTCGTTCATCTCTGATTGGATTGAATTTTTATTTTCAACCTGTTCATTAGTTGCTAAATCAAATATTGAACAATATGAAGAATTAATGAATACATTAAATGAGAAACAAAAGGAAGCAATGAAAGAGCTTTTAGATGAAGAATTTAATAAAGTGAATATCATTGGTTTTAATTCAGGAAAGTTTGATTTAAATTTAATTCTTCGTGATTTAAATACTGCAAAATGGAAGATAAAATCAATGCTGGGTTCTTCTTCTCAATTTAAGCAAGTCATAGTAAAGAAAACAAACTGTCCATATGAATTAAGATTTATTGACATCAGAAATTATATAGCGGGTGGAACATTAGACCAATTCACTCAAGATTTCGGAAACAATAAATCACGTGTTAAATCCTTTTTCCCTTATCAATTCATCACATGGGAGAATTACGAAGATGAATTATATAAAAAGGAACCATTCACTCAAGATTCATTTTATTCAGCATTAACACAAGAAACAATATCCGATTCAGATTATCAAGTATATCTCAATGATGCTAAAAATTTTGAGAATAGATTAGAATACTTTATTCATTATTGCAATAAAGACGTTGAAATTATGATTGACCCAATTGATAAAATTATCGAAGAAACATTTGTTTATAAAATTGACATGCTTCATAATCTTTCTTTATCATCGAATGCATCAATGATTCGTTACGCGTTAGCATATAAGAACTTCAATCCTAACGAAACATATCCAGAAGAAGAAAATGTGGAATCAAGTTTTGAATTAACAAAAAAGTATTGGAAATATAAAATTGATTCATATAAGAAACAAGATGAAAAGGCGAAAAGAGATACCAAAAACAATGTTTCAATGGATGACTATCAATACTATCACGATTTAATCCTTTCATCTAAATGCAAAATGTGTGGTAAAGCGTTTACATATGTAAATAAACCAACATTGGATAGAATAGATAATGAAAAACCACATACCAAAGAAAATTGTCAGTTAATGGGTTGTTATTGCAATGTCGTAAAATCAAATAAAGATGAAGATGTTCAACGTTTAAGAATCAATTTAAGAAATTATGCATTAAAAAATAATTTACCAATGACTTTAGATTCAGTTGAAGCTTATCACATTCTCCGTAATGGAATTACTGGTGGTCTATCAAATGTTCAACATCGTGTTAATCTTAAAGGAATCACGCACATTAATAAACTTTCATATAATCCAGAAACTAAAACTGTATCAAATGAGGACACCACCAACATTATGACTCATTTCGTTGGTGTTGACTTTAATTCATTATATCCTTCATCATTTTCATCTAATCCTCATGATTTCATTCAATATACTGACCATAAAATGTATATGCCGGGAAGATTGAATGGTGTTATCATTTGTGATACAGCAACAAAGAAAGCAAAAGCACTGGGAATAATTAAGAAGAAAAATACTTTATTCGTGGCTGAAGTAAAGGGTCACATTGATGAAAAATACATTAATGATTACATAAACTTTTTACCGATAATAAGAAACTTAGATATTATCACAGATGAAAAAACAATTGGCAGTTTTATGTATAATTACATGAAATCAAACAATTTACCAGTTGACCAGAAACAGAGAAAATTAACTCAGTTAGCATCAACACACAACCAATATCAACCATTTTCTTCTTATTATCTTTGGTATCTAATAGACAGGTTTAATTTTATCATTGATGACATTCAATCAATTTTAACATTTACTAAAAACACTTGTTTTAATGAATTTGCGAAAGAATTTATGAACGAAAGACAAAAGGCTGAATTAGAAGGAAATAAAGGAAAAAGTTTATTTTGCAAGATTTCGCTTAATGGATCATATGGTTACGATGCAATGAATACACAAAATTACGCAAAGACTAAAATAATGAATGCACAGAAGTCACGCGTTGCATGTATGTCAAATAAGTTTAAAAACATAAGAGAAATAGGTGAAGATACATATCAAGTGATGCTTAAAGATAGATTTTATAGCTGTGATACATGTTTACAAGAGGCATTCTTCACTTTAGATAACGCAAAATACTGGTATTTGGTTTTCATTTATGATTTTATGTATAAATGCTTGAATGTTAATCGTTTTCATTTCATTGAAGGTGATACTGATTCATCTTATTGGGCAATCGCTGGCGACCCAAATCTTCCTAACACTCAAGCATTTCAAGCAATTGTTACCGATAAACAATTTTATGATAAAAACATTTTCAAATTCGCACCTTTTGATTTCTTCTGTTTTGATGAGAAATTTAAACCTAAATTAAAGAATAAAGCTGAAGAAAAAGCACATGAGAAAAAATTATTGGGTTTAGCAATTGAGAAACAAGGTGATAACATGGTTGCTTTATGTCCTAAATGTTATACATCATTCAACGGTTCAATTGATGGAAGTGATTTTAAAAAGATTGCACAAAAAATGAAAGGTGTTAGTTTACGACAAAATAAACAATTAACACCTAAAAATTATTTGGATATAATAAATGATAAAGTGATATTTGATGGTCAGAATATTAATTTACAACTTAAAAATGGGTCAATGACTCGCTTAACAATCGGTAAGACTGCATTAACAGGAGCACACGCTAAGGCTGTATGTTGTGAAAATGGATGTTGTATGCCATTTATTTAAAATTTTATTCTTAATGAAATGCCACAGAAGAGACAAAAGGAACCGTTAATGATGGTTTTGATACTATGATTCAAAGAGGTGGGCACCCTTAAAACATTGATTTTATTTTTATATAAATGGATAACACAGATTTAAAAAATTTAATTGATGATTTAGTATTTAATCAAAATTTTCTTAATTATTATGATTTAAAAGCATATCTCCAAAAACATAATAATAATATAACGGGTGATGATATGGAATATTATTATCCATATTATAAAAATGAAATTTTGAAATATCATGATAAAATAATTTCTAAAATTAAAGACAAAATTAAAAATAATGAATATTCAAAGGGAAAAACTAAATCACAACTTAAACAATTGAAAGATTTCAAAAATAAAGTATTAACAGAAGAAGATATTGATGAATTATATAATTTATATAATCCTGAGCCGCAAAAAACAAAGGAACAACAGCTAAAGGAACAAAACACCCAGGTCCTTCAGACCATAAATGATGCACAAGCTTTAATTTATGATTCATTAGTTAAACCATATTCAGCCCGACTTTTAAATGAAGATCAACTTTTGGAATTCATCCTTCAACATAAACTCGAAGCGGGAAAGTATATCAAACCTTTATATACAGCATATTTAAAACAAATGAATAGAATACATCCAGAATTAATGAAGGGGGGAATGAAAGCCAAAATCAAAGCAGATAAAATTAAACCACTTGCAACACCAAAACCTCCAACGACAGTACCACCTCCTCCTTCAGTTAATCCTTCATCATTCACTTTATTATATCCATTTCAAACATTAAAGAAGCAAAAAGATTTTAAAAAGGATTTCAAGATATTAAATAAACCAATTGACCCGAAAATTCAACCGTTAAAGGAAAAATTTAGTCGCCCTTCATTTGCTCCATATCCATATTCATACGAAATCGATCATCTGGAATATTCAAAAGGAAACGTTACTTATTTATTTGCCATTAACATTAACACTAGATATTTATATTGCATTCCAGTGAAAGGGAAAACAGAACAGGAAACAAGAAGAGCTATACAATACTTACTAGATCATGAAAGAGTAGATAATATCAGGGGTGATGGTGATAAAGGATTTCAGGCAGCTATGACTCATTATTTCCCACAAATTAATTTTTACTTCTCATCCTCTCCATATACGTTTCATAATAAAATAGTTGATGCAGTAATGAGAACTCTTAGAGATGCGTTAGGGGTTAACGGTCAGATATACTGGGATGGAAATCATGACTCCATCATACAACAGTTAGTATATTATTACAATAATACATGGCATAGAACTATAAACATGAAACCAGTGAAAATGAAAAATGATATTTCAAAAGAATGGGAATATATTAGAAAGCAAATGGAAAGGTTGAATGATGTTAAACGTGAACAAATTAATTCGGGGCTCATGAATTTTAAACAAGGGGATAAAGTTTTGATTCATCTCGATTATGGAAAAACTGATAAATCAATGACAAAAAGAAGACGAAGATTTGACACAATAGCTGAATTTGTTAGATATATTAACGGCAATGCATTAGTTGAAGTTGACAATAAATTAATAGAAATTCCGATTTATTTTATTACTCCATTATATTTAAATAATATTTAATTTTTTTTATTTCGTAAGAAATGAGTGACAACAAAGCAGCCAAGAGTCCAGACAATGAATATAAAAAGAAACTAAACAGAATTAAATCAAAAATATGCTATTATAAAAAGAAGCCACAATGTGGTGGGGTTGAAAACGATAAAGAGAAGAAGGAAATAATCGAAAAATTAGAAACTTACCGTTCAATCCTTAAACTGAGTGAAGCAAAAATAAAAGAATTTAATAGAATAAATAAATTGATTGGAAGAGATGAATTTAATAAAGATGAATTTTTAAACTCAATCCAAATTTAATTTTTATTCCTCTTTGACAACATCATGGGTTATTCGATAATTAATTATTTTTGAAGAACTGAAGGGGTCACCAGGTCACCAGGTCACCAGGTCATTTCACTTCTCTGAAAAAATGTGACAACATGACATTTTGACAACATCATGGGTTATTCGATAATTAATTATTTTTGAAGAACTGAAGGGGTCACCAGGTCACCAGGTCACCAGGTCATTTCACTTCTCTGAAAAAATGTGACAACATGACATTTTGACAACATCATGGGTTATTCGATAATTAATTATTTTTGAAGAACTGAAGGGGTCACCAGGTCACCAGGTCACCAGGTCATTTCACTTCTCTGAAAAAATGTGACAACATGACATTTTGACAACATCATGGGTTATTCGATAATTAATTATTTTTGAAGAACTGAAGGGGTCACCAGGTCACCAGGTCATTTCACTTCTCTGAAAAAATGTGACAACATGACATTTTGACAACATCATGGGTTATTCGATAATTAATTATTTTTGAAGAACTGAAGGGGTCACCAGGTCACCAGGTCACCAGGTCATTTCACTTCTCTGAAAAAATGTGACAACATGACATTTTGACAACATCATGGGTTATTCGATAATTAATTATTTTTGAAGAACTGAAGGGGTCACCAGGTCACCAGGTCACCAGGTCATTTCACTTCTCTGAAAAAATGTGACAACATGACATTTTGACAACATCATGGGTTATTCGATAATTAATTATTTTTGAAGAACTGAAGGGGTCACCAGGTCACCAGGTCACCAGGTCATTTCACTTCTCTGAAAAAATGTGACAACATGACATTTTGACAACATCATGGGTTATTCGATAATTAATTATTTTTGAAGAACTGAAGGGGTCACCAGGTCACCAGGTCACCAGGTCATTTCACTTCTCTGAAAAAATGTGACAACATGACATTTTGACAACATCATGGGTTATTCGATAATTAATTATTTTTGAAGAACTGAAGGGGTCACCAGGTCACCAGGTCATTTCACTTCTCTGAAAAAATGTGACAACATGACATTTTGACAACATCATGGGTTATTCGATAATTAATTATTTTTGAAGAACTGAAGGGGTCACCAGGTCACCAGGTCACCAGGTCATTTCACTTCTCTGAAAAAATGTGACAACATGACATTTTGACAACATCATGGGTTATTCGATAATTAATTATTTTTGAAGAACTGAAGGGGTCACCAGGTCACCAGGTCATTTCACTTCTCTGAAAAAATGTGACAACATGACATTTTGACAACATCATGGGTTATTCGATAATTAATTATTTTTGAAGAACTGAAGGGGTCACCAGGTCACCAGGTCACCAGGTCATTTCACTTCTCTGAAAAAATGTGACAACATGACATTTTGACAACATCATGGGTTATTCGATAATTAATTATTTTTGAAGAACTGAAGGGGTCACCAGGTCACCAGGTCACCAGGTCATTTCACTTCTCTGAAAAAATGTGACAACATGACATTTTGACAACATCATGGGTTATTCGATAATTAATTATTTTTGAAGAACTGAAGGGGTCACCAGGTCACCAGGTCACCAGGTCATTTCACTTCTCTGAAAAAATGTGACAACATGACATTTTGACAACATCATGGGTTATTCGATAATTAATTATTTTTGAAGAACTGAAGGGGTCACCAGGTCACCAGGTCACCAGGTCATTTCACTTCTCTGAAAAAATGTGACAACATGACATTTTGACAACATCATGGGTTATTCGATAATTAATTATTTTTGAAGAACTGAAGGGGTCACCAGGTCACCAGGTCACCAGGTCATTTCACTTCTCTGAAAAAATGTGACAACATGACATTTTGACAACATCATGGGTTATTCGATAATTAATTATTTTTGAAGAACTGAAGGGGTCACCAGGTCACCAGGTCACCAGGTCATTTCACTTCTCTGAAAAAATGTGACAACATGACATTTTGACAACATCATGGGTTATTCGATAATTAATTATTTTTGAAGAACTGAAGGGGTCACCAGGTCACCAGGTCATTTCACTTCTCTGAAAAAATGTGACAACATGACATTTTGACAACATCATGGGTTATTCGATAATTAATTATTTTTGAAGAACTGAAGGGGTCACCAGGTCACCAGGTCACCAGGTCATTTCACTTCTCTGAAAAAATGTGACAACATGACATTTTGACAACATCACAGAAAATTTGATGCAGTCCAAAAATAAAGTTAGTTTTAAAATTATTTTTATTTTTTTATTCCTATCTAAATGACAGCAACAAACAACAACATCAACTATATCGTTTCTGATGAAAAAGTTATTGATTCATTAGCTGAGGAATTAGTTGTGGCAGAAACTAAAACCCTCAACGAAAGAATTGGTGAAAACAAGATTGATTTACATAACTACCTCAAACATGATGGAGGAAGAGGAAGGAAAACTGGTACAGCTTTATTAGTAAATAAAATTTCAAATTTAACGATTATAGATGTTGATATCAATAAATCATACAATGATGAACTTAAAGAAACAGTTAGAAAAGACATTTTATCAAAACTTTCGGATAAAGATGTTATCGTTAAAACCGCTTCAGGAGGTCTTCACATTTATTGCAACACTAATTTCTTTATGCAGTTTCGAACAGAATGATTAAATGTTATTCCTGCAATGATTATGATATTGACATAATGACTTCTATGGATGATTCAAAACGTTCTTTAGTGGTTATGGCTGATTCAAGAGTTCGAAAGAATGCAACAGAACCAATCAATACATACTCATTCATTCGTGGAAGTTATGATTCAACATTAACTAGAACAGTGAATGATATATTAAATGATTTGAATATTAAGGTAAGAGTTGAACAGAAGAACGAAGAAATAAAGAGTATAATGAATGAAAACAAAGATGTAAACATTGACGATAAACTAGCTCAGAGCATAGTTGATGGCATCTGTGATTTTGAAGTACATAATGATGGTGGAAACATGAATTTAGAAAAAGAAATAACATTATTCACACTGTTTCAAGCAATTAATTCGTTACCTAATCATTTAATTAATGAAGCATACGATAACGTTTATAACTTCTGCAGTTTAACAGAAAATGCAAAAAGTAATTTTGAAAAAGCACGTAGTAGATATGCACATTTAATGACTTCTCCATTTGTTTTGGTGAAGATTCTAAAACTATATCAAAAGGAATATTATGATGAATATGTTTTGCCTTTATTACGTAAGCCAAAAATAACATTTGATATCAAACTTGATGACTCGTTTTTGATAACAGATATTAGACGCAAGGCTGAAAATCATCAGTATAAAAACAGTTCTGAAGTAATTGAGGATTTATCACGTGTAATCCGTTTTGTAGATTGTGGAAATAAATATTTCATTCAAAAGGATTACAACATACACGACAAAATGAATCAAATATCATTCGTTCTTCAGTCAAACATGAAAGAGTCACTCAAAATGATTAAATTATTTAAAGAAGAAGGTAAAACCATAACAGCATGGGATGTACTATTAAATCAATTGTCTTCATTAACCGTTAAGGGTGTTTGCTTTAAATCTGATTCCCCAGATGTTTTCTCAACGTTTCAAGGTTATAAATACAACATTCTCGAAAAACCAGATTACTCAAAAATTGAGATGTTTATGAATTTCATTAAAGAAGCCATTTGTGATAATAACGATGAAGTGTATAAATACCTTCTCGGTTGGATTGCATCAATGATTCAACATCCTGGAATCAAGAATGAAACAGCAATTATTTTGAAAGGACTTCAGGGAACGGGTAAAAACAGATTTACAGACATTATTTCTGAACTTCTCGCTGGTTATTCATGCAAAAACATTACTGAAATAAGTGAGCTAACGGGTAATTTCAACTCAGTAGTTGAGAATAAAATGTTTCTTGTACTTAATGAACTCAAGAATGTTGGTGAAGACAGACTCGCAAACTTCAACGCTTTGAAATCAATTATTACGGATAATGAGATTAGAATTAATGAAAAGAATCAACCCAGAAGAACTGCTCAGAATGTTGCAAACTTCATTTTCGTAACTAATAACGTTTACCCTGTCAAAATTGAAGTTGGAGACAGAAGATACGTAGTTTTAAGAGTTAATGGTAAATTCAAGGGTCAATTTGATTACTTCAAGAATTTAATGGATTCATGCACAAAGGAATTTTATGATAACCTTTTAACATATTTTATGCAATATGACCTTTCATCATTTAATGTACGAATCATTCCGATGACTGAAGCCAAACAAGATTTAATTGAATTATCAACAAATCCTTTAGATGAATGGATAAATACACATTATGATGAATTATGTGCAGGTATGACGTGTAAAAATGCTCTATTCTGCAAACCATCAGACATGAAAGACAAAAACTTTCAAATGAGCATTAAGGATAAATGTGAAAGGAAACAAAGAAAAATAGATGGTAAACAAACATGGTATTATGTTTTGAAAGAAGAAATGAAAGGATTATATAAACAAATTGAACCAAACGATAATGAGGAATCATTTACTGACGATGAAATACCTGTGAATGAAGCTTTATAAAGTATGATTTGAATTTATTTTTGCATTAATCCTGTGATGTTGTCAAAATGTCATGTTGTCACATTTTTTCAGAGAAGTGAAATGACCTGGTGACCTGGTGACCTGGTGACCCCTTCAGTTCTTCAAAAATAATTAATTATCGAATAACCCATGATGTTGTCAAAATGTCATGTTGTCACATTTTTTCAGAGAAGTGAAATGACCTGGTGACCTGGTGACCCCTTCAGTTCTTCAAAAATAATTAATTATCGAATAACCCATGATGTTGTCAAAATGTCATGTTGTCACATTTTTTCAGAGAAGTGAAATGACCTGGTGACCTGGTGACCTGGTGACCCCTTCAGTTCTTCAAAAATAATTAATTATCGAATAACCCATGATGTTGTCAAAATGTCATGTTGTCACATTTTTTCAGAGAAGTGAAATGACCTGGTGACCTGGTGACCTGGTGACCCTTCAGTTCTTCAAAAATAATTAATTATCGAATAACCCATGATGTTGTCAAAATGTCATGTTGTCACATTTTTTCAGAGAAGTGAAATGACCTGGTGACCTGGTGACCTGGTGACCTTCAGTTCTTCAAAAATAATTAATTATCGAATAACCCATGATGTTGTCAAAGAGGAATAAAAATTAAATTTGGATTGAGTTTAAAAATTCATCTTTATTAAATTCATCTCTTCCAATCAATTTATTTATTCTATTAAATTCTTTTATTTTTGCTTCACTCAGTTTAAGGATTGAACGGTAAGTTTCTAATTTTTCGATTATTTCCTTCTTCTCTTTATCGTTTTCAACCCCACCACATTGTGGCTTCTTTTTATAATAGCATATTTTTGATTTAATTCTGTTTAGTTTCTTTTTATATTCATTGTCTGGACTCTTGGCTGCTTTGTTGTCACTCATTTCTTACGAAATAAAAAAATTAAATATTATTTAAATATAATGGAGTAATAAAATAAATCGGAATTTCTATTAATTTATTGTCAACTTCAACTAATGCATTGCCGTTAATATATCTAACAAATTCAGCTATTGTGTCAAATCTTCGTCTTCTTTTTGTCATTGATTTATCAGTTTTTCCATAATCGAGATGAATCAAAACTTTATCCCCTTGTTTAAAATTCATGAGCCCCGAATTAATTTGTTCACGTTTAACATCATTCAACTTTCCATTTGCTTTCTAATATATTCCCATTCTTTTGAAATATCATTTTTCATTTTCACTGGTTTCATGTTTATAGTTCTATGCCATGTATTATTGTAATAATATACTAACTGTTGTATGATGGAGTCATGATTTCCATCCAGTATATCTGACGTTAACCCTAACGCATCTCTAAGAGTTCTCATTACTGCATCAACTATTTTATTATGAAACGTATATGGAGAGGATGAGAAGTAAAAATTAATTTGTGGGAAATAATGAGTCATAGCTGCCTGAAATCCTTTATCACCATCAACCCCTGATATTATCTACTCTTTCATGATCTAGTAAGTATTGTATAGCTCTTCTTGTTTCCTGTTTGTTTTCCCTTTCACTGGAATGCAATATAAATATCTAGTGTTAATGTTAATGGCAAATAAATAAGTAACGTTTCCTTTTGAATATTCCAGATGATCGATTTCGTATGAATATGGATATGGAGCAAATGAAGGGCGACTAAATTTTTCCTTTAACGGTTGAATTTTCGGGTCAATTGGTTTATTTAATATCTTGAAATCCTTTTTAAAATCTTTTTGCTTCTTTAATGTTTGAAATGGATATAATAAAGTGAATGATGAAGGATTAACTGAAGGAGGAGGTGGTACTGTCGTTGGAGGTTTTGGTGTTGCAAGTGGTTTAATTTTATCTGCTTTGATTTTGGCTTTCATTCCCCCCTTCATTAATTCTGGATGTATTCTATTCATTTGTTTTAAATATGCTGTATATAAAGGTTTGATATACTTTCCCGCTTCGAGTTTATGTTGAAGGATGAATTCCAAAAGTTGATCTTCATTTAAAAGTCGGGCTGAATATGGTTTAACTAATGAATCATAAATTAAAGCTTGTGCATCATTTATGGTCTGAAGGACCTGGGTGTTTTGTTCCTTTAGCTGTTGTTCCTTTGTTTTTTGCGGCTCAGGATTATATAAATTATATAATTCATCAATATCTTCTTCTGTTAATACTTTATTTTTGAAATCTTTCAATTGTTTAAGTTGTGATTTAGTTTTTCCCTTTGAATATTCATTATTTTTAATTTTGTCTTTAATTTTAGAAATTATTTTATCATGATATTTCAAAATTTCATTTTTAATATATGGATAATAATATTCCATATCATCACCCGTTATATTATTATTATGTTTTTGGAGATATGCTTTTAAATCATAATAATTAAGAAAATTTTGATTAAATACTAAATCATCAATTAAATTTTTTAAATCTGTGTTATCCATTTATATAAAAATAAAATCAATGTTTTAAGGGTGCCCACCTCTTTGAATCATAGTATCAAAACCATCATTAACGGTTCCTTTTGTCTCTTCTGTGGCATTTCATTAAGAATAAAATTTTAAATAAATGGCATACAACATCCATTTTCACAACATACAGCCTTAGCGTGTGCTCCTGTTAATGCAGTCTTCCTTTTTAAATAAATGTTTTATGTATTCAGGATTTAATACTCTACGTTTATATGCTCCTAACTTAGTTCTAAAGGTTTTTCTACAAAATTTAGGAATTCCATCCTCTTTAATGTCATCAATGATTTCCATTTCATTATTTTCAATTTCTTCTTCTCGTTTATGAGGTCTTTGATTATGACTCCATTGATTCCATGAAATTAAATATTCTTTATCATTATATTTATACCTCATTAGCTTATTTTGGCTTTCATATTCATTTAATAATTCACAATCTTCATTTTTAAATTGAAGTTTAACCCATTCAGGATTTAAATGATGTTTAATTAATCGCGGAATATCTGACATCATCTATATATAGCTTCTTTTATAAAAGATAAAAAAATAAATTATTTTAAAATTAATGTTAATTTTTTAATGATTTATAAATAAATATATTTTAATGCATCGTCTATATATAGATGTAACAAAAAAAGTCACACAACCCTTCAACATAACTACTTTGAATACCAAACAAACCTAATCAAATAGTATGAGCTAATTAAAGAAGGACTCTAAGGAGATATGTTTCGTTGTGAATTCTTTTAATAGAATACAGTATTTAAGAATATCAACTAAAATTTAGTCAAAATAATAAAACAAACAAAATCAAGTGTATGAGTTAATTAAAGAAGGATTCTAAGGAAATAGGGTTTGTTGTAAACTCTTTTAATAAAATGCCGTATTCATTTTGGAGATTTTCGTTTTCCGTTGGAACAAAATCACCTGATAACGCGTCAGAAATAGTTTCTAAAATGTTGACTATTTCAGGAGAATTTCCATAATGAATAGTAAATGATGAATTGCTGTGGTGAAGTAGCGGTGATTTATATGAATTGGAATTAGAACTTGTTGCACTGTTATTTGCACTGCTGAATTTGTGGCTGTCAGGCTGTTGATAGGAAACTAATGACTTCGAGAGTTGTTTACTTTCGAAAACATTGATTTGAAGCTCAATTTCTTTCTTCTGACGAAGTAATTGAACAAGCTGGCGCTTGATTACTTGATGACTTCCTTTATTATTCTTGAGTTTTAGTTCAGATTTCAAATTTTCGATTTTTTGGTTGATATCTTTGAGGTCTTTAACAAGAATTTCGTTATTAAAGCTCGCATCGTCGAAAGGTTTGCTATTCAAGCTATCCATGCTTTGTTCTGAAAATAATTTACTCATTTTTGATTTTTTTAAAAAAGGTGACAGTTCTATTCTTGGAAAAAATTTCCTGCTCATCTTCATATATCATAAGCAACCTAAAAATTCGAGATAAGACGATGTATTTTTTATTTTCAGCTATCATACATAGTTTTTCGATTTTATATAACATAAATCTTGATCTAAATTTAAAATCATTCATAGTCAAAATATGTAATTAAACATAGAGACTTACTTAATTTGTAATCTTGAATGATATCCGAAGTATCATATTATATTATCAATAATGAGATTTGTGTTGGAAACGGGAAAGATCCGGCAATTGATCCTAACTTCAGTGGTAATCTCATTATTGACAGGCACGATGATCAACCTGTTGTTCGTATATCTTCGTATGCATTCTATCGGTGCAACATCACCAATATCACTCTTCCAGACACCATCATTTCTATTGGTGACTATTCATTTTCATCCTCAAAGATCGAATCAATTACCCTAGGATCAGAACTTATTAGTTTAGGCAAATGCGCTTATATTCAAATATAAAATTTGCAAATTTGTCCAATACAAAACTAACGAATTCTATTGGTGATTCTGTTTTCATTTCATCTTTATTAGAAGAAGTATTACTTCCCGATTCCTTAGAGGTCTTTGGTTATGAATTTTTATCATTCACCCCTTTAAGAAAAATCATTATTCCAAGATCTTTGAAGGAATTTAAACCCTATTGTTTCATAGGTCTGAAAAATTTAACTGTTATTGAGAGTAATTCCCCAAACTTCGTAGTTTATGATGGTGTTTTGTATAGCAGTGATTTTCAAAAAGTTTACAGAGTTCCATCGAATTTCACTGGTCAGCTTTCTCCAACAACCAAGCAAGGTGAGTATTACAGCTCTGCTTTTTCAGGATGTTTGTTTTCATATTATAAAGTCGAAGCTCGTTTAGAAACGCTCGGGAATTCAATGTTTTGATATTGCCTAAATTTGAAGGAAATTGACTTATCAAATACAATTGTGACAAATCTTCCACCTGAAATATTCAATGAATGCAATATTGATAAATTGACTTTGCCGGATACATTACAATCTATTTCGAATTCTCTCTGTGCCCATGGCTCAATTAAAAAATTAATTATCCCTGCCTCTGTTAGATCTGTTGGAAATTCTATTTTCATATCGGCTCGTATTGATTATATCGAATATTGTGGTGATCATGAACTTGATTGTCAAGCTGTTGGGATGCCTACTCTGTTTGTTTCAAGTCTATATAATTATGGCACATTTCTCGGCTTTAATGCATTCTCTAGAACATTGAGTGGATGCCTTCCAGCTCGAACACCAATCATGACACCATCACGAACACCAATTTGCTTTGAAAGTTTTTCATGTTTCAAAATTCAAAACTTTCTTTCATATTCAATTTACTTTTTCTTTCTAATAATATAATAACATATTTCCTTTGTACATCGAATATTTCTGTGCAATATAATTGCACCATTTCCTTAAACATTACATATCATTTGAGATTGAATTCATATAGCTATATTTATGATGCGTGGCCACTTGATTTTTTTTTCAAAATAAATTTATGAATTTCTAAAATTGGCTTCCTAAAATTTAAAAATTTTCCGGAACTTCATCTCAGAATAATTTTAATTCTTCGGTTTCGTTGGTTTAAGGTTTTAATTTCTGTGTCTCTGCACACCCGTATTCCTAAATTTGACACTGTGTTTGAATTGCGAGTCCACTCAGCAAATTTTTTTATCCCTAAACCTGTCTCTCACCAAAGGTACATTCACTAGGCGATAACAGTAAAATGGGATGAAGCTTATTCGGATTGTATTTCATAAATATTATCCTAGATTCGCCCGATTTTATAACTTGGGCCAACCCTACACTCATAAGATTGCCTATTTAGCAGGCTGAAATTCTATATTATCTTTTATTTTTAAAAAGTCTCTTTTTTAACTCAGTTTTTTTTACAAATCCTATGAAAAAATTGGATGTATTATTGTCGTCTGGACAAGATAAAGTATAGGGGAAACATTATGGAAGAAATGGGAAATATTTGATATAATTAATTATATCAAACTCAAATTTCTAACGTATTCTCAAACACTTAAGATGTAAAAAAAATTATGAAGATTTAGAAATGTTTACTAAAGTTTGTAAAAAAAGAGAAACTTCATTAACTTCCGAAATACTTTTATTGATAATTGCAAAATCTGCTTGGCAATTACCAGTTGAAAAATGAATCAATTTGTTAGTAAATAGTTCTCTTGGATTAGTAGGTTTTACATTTTGAAAAAATGTATTTGAATTCAAATTGTCAATGTAACATCTATCAACTGTTAAATGATCGCCAACATTATATATCAAAAATGCACCTTTTTGAGCAATGTTGTTAATAAAAGAACAACTTTTTACAGTAAAAGAAAAATATGAATGGGTGATAACTCCAAGTATTGATTGTGTATTAGTATTATTTATGATATTACATGAATCAATCGAAGCGTTATAGAAAATATGTATCACTCCACCAAACATATTTGTTGCTAAATTATTAACAACAGTTGAATAATTAAATGTTGTTGTGTATTTAAGTGATTCACATATAAAATCTCCAGCGCCGTATTCAGCTTTATTTGATGAGAAATTTGTTGATGAAACTACGACAGTACCATTCTCTGTTTGACAAACAGATTCTCCATCAACATTTCCTAAATCGAAAAGGGAACTTTCAATAATAAAGTTTAAGTTATCTGCGCCAACTTTTGTATATGAAAATTGACCACCTTCTCTGCCTTTGCATTTCGTACAACAGAATTTTCGCTGAATAATTGAACTATTACTGCCAATTTTGTAGTAAATGCAACTTCCTTCTGATCTTGAAGTGCAATTACTAAAAGAACACCGATTATGTAGGAACAATGAGTTGGTGATAGGACTAAAGCTGATAACTCGGTTATTGTCATCAAAAAAAACGCACTCATCTAAGTAGTATTGACCTTTTCCTGGTGAAAGATTACAGTTTATACAGTTTTTAGTTTCATTGCCTGTAAATCGAGTATTGAAGTAGGTATTCCAAATATTGTCATCCTGAGCGAGTGACTTTTTTGGAATCCATTTACATTGTCAAAAAAAAACGTAAACTGCGAGACAAAAGGCGTAAGTATTCAATTTTGAATAGTTTACATCATTTTTTTAATGCCTTATTGGCAACAATATGCTCGGCTTTGCAATTCTTGCCGCCCATATAGTTCCGCAAGTATAGTAAACCTCTGCATGATCCATGTTTAAATTTCATGCAATTAAGATAAAATCTAATTTCAAATTTACACTCCATCGGCTATTATCCATGTTACACGAGCTTTGTTACCATCAAATTAAAAGAAATATCATAAACTGAAATAATTTTTAGCGAAAATTCATTTAATAACTTTTAAATTTTCAGAAATACTCAAAATATCCACACAAGCAAATTGTAACTATAAAATTACAGACTCACCATACTATAAAGTGCTGGTCTTTCAACGAAATATACTTGATACTTTTCATAAAAAAATCTTCCTTTCGGGTTACTCGTTTCTATCTAATACCTCAAATGGCTACATAAATTATGAGCCATTACCAGTACAAAGATGCGATCACTAACGTAGTTAAATTTTCAGAATGAATTTGAAATTCATTATTGTTGATTCTATTTTGTTTTGTAACTATGGGGATACTGTGATACTATTTCCATAGGTAAAGCGTCTGTTTACTTGATTATCAAATATCAGATAATCTAATCCTGAACAGAGGATTTAAATTTTCTGATAATATCTATCTACTTACTAATCTTATGTTATATATTAAATAAAATTGAATTTTTATACCTGGGACAAAAGGCGTAAGTACCATGTGATATGAAATTGTGAGAATCTCATAGAATATTTTGAATACTTCTTCTCAATTTAAAAGTGAACTTACGCCTTTTGTCTCGCAGTTTAAATTTTCATTGAATAATAAAATAGGTTTGATACTTTTTACGGGCTTATAAAATAAGCCCGAAAAAAGTATCAGAACCTATTAAAATATGTATTCATACTTTTTATCGGCTTGCAGCTTCTCAGAAAAAGTGTGAAACATATTTTGAATTATCTTTTTTAAAAAAATTAGCAAAGTTTATTTTACAAAAGAGGACCAGGAGTTTGGTCTCTTACAAACATTTATCATACACTATTTTTTGTCTGTTTGTAGATATATATTTACTGCATTCCTAAGTCGATAGGAAAAACAGACTTTTTTTTCGTACCCCCTCTCAATTTTTTTCCAGTTTTCGTACTTTTTTACAGAGCATAGTATTTGATGTCCAATGTTTGCCTATGATCAGAACTTGTCTTTCTCCTGTTCATATTTCATTCTCTGGTCTAGACATATATCACATCAAATATCATATTTGATTATTTACAACTTTGGCTGTTTGTTCGGCAAACTTATTTCAACGAATTATGATTTGCAATCAGATGTAACATAATGATATCAGATTGATTTTGACTTTTGATAATTTGAAAAGTTATTTTCTTCGCTATTTGATTGGCGCTTTGCGCCAATCAAATAGCTCATATTAATAATATGATATTATTTTAAATATGATGAAAATTTTTGAGTGAAAACTTTAGATCAAAAATCATATTTGATCAAATAACGTTTTTACCCCAAATTTTCGGGTTCAAAAATTGCTGACGGGTTCAGATGCCGATCTAATGATAAATTTTAAAATGCACACCGAAACAATAAAATTCCTTTGAGCCACTTTATTTTTGACACTATGGCAAAAATATTTTGAAGTAAAAAACGTCCAATTCTCACAAATGAGTATGATCGAATTTACAAATCCCCTCAAAACCCATTTTGAACCCGTCAGATAATTTGAGCCCTCCCAATTCGGAAACGTTATAATTTGGGCCTCAGGTGGCATCGCTTGCCCTTCCGGCCAAATATATATATAATAATACCCATCAATTCAAAATTTTTTGGGTCCCTTTTCCAATGAAATCATAATGCCCAAAACAATTTGAAGTGATTGGTATTCCAATATACTCCAAACAATTTTTCTGAGCAAAGCTCAGAAAAAGTTTGGAGTATATTTCTAATATATATAAATTGATATGATATGACGATCTCATATGAGTTTTTCGAAAATTTTATCGTCATTTGTTCGAAAAAGAATATGTGATGTATTATAATAACCAGACAATACGTTTTCTGTGAGTTTTGATGATAATTAAAAATAACGTTACTGAAAATAAGAGGACGAAATTTAGGGGAGTTTACGTGTCATTGTCAGTCTCTTTTTAAAGCCTAACTCAAGAAATATTAGCAATATAATCGTGCTATTTTAATATGGAATAAGTGCATATTAAAATAGATATAAAATTCCGTGTCATGAAAAAAAAGTGACTTTAATCAATTTCTCTTGCAGGTCTGAGAAGAATTCTCTCAAGCAACCGGAGTAAGAATTGAAATTGAAAACTCCTTTTTCTGAGCAATAATATTCTTTTGCACCATAAAAAATAAGAAGTTCAGCTGTTTCTATTTTGACATACTGCAAAACAAAGGGCGGTTTGTCCAAATTTATCCTTTTGATTGATATTTGCACTTGTGAAATAAGAAGTTCGGTTATTTCTATACTATTACTATATGCTGCATTATGAAGAACGGTTTTTCCTTTTTTATCTTTTTCATTAACATTTGATCCATGTAAAATAAGAAGTTAGGCAGTTTATTCCCGATTTTTGTTTGTTGCAAAATGAAGAGTGTTTTGCCCAGATATATCTTTTTCATTAACATTTACATCATTTGAAAGGAAATATTCGCAATGGGAAACAAGCAATTCTGCAATGGTTTTACAATTATTGGATGCTGTATAATGAAGCAGAGCCAATTTTTTTGCATTGATATTATTGACACTTGAAATAAGGAATTTAGCAGTGTCCTTCCTAAGTGAAATAATAATCTCCAAAAAATCTTTATGATCATATTCTACAAATTTTCACACACTCAGAATTGTCCATTTGATACCAAACTTCCATTGTATAAATTATATCGAGCAAATATGCTATCAAAATATATTTATACTAAACAATGCTAGATTATAATATACACAATAGAGAATATCAGCATATAAATCGCTGACGAAAAGAATGATTCTATAAAAATTTTTACGATTGGGCAAAATCCTTTTTAGACACCCTATATTATCAATAATGAGATTTGTGTTGGAAACGGGAAAGATCCAGCTATAGATCCGTATTTTTCCCAAGTGAGCGGGGTATCTCTAATCCCAGCCCTATCGTCCTCCCAGTGTCAGTTTTTAATATAAAATCCAAAATTTTTTTAAAAATAAAAATTTCGAGAAATTTTTCTAGCTTTTTTTCTTTGATTTCAATAATTCAAAATAAATTTTGGAGTAAAAAGACACTATTTAATGAAATTCATATGAGTGAATGTGGATAAATACTCTCAAAACATACAATTTATATATTTTTTCTTTATATTATCAACTAATTAGTGATAATTTTTTTTGAATCAGATTTTTTTTCATTAAAAATATAATATATAACGCAATAATGATGGACACATACGCATCTACACATCACCTTGTATCTATAAATCCAGCAATTGATCCTAACTTCAGTGGTAATCTCATTATTGACAAGCATGATGATCAACCTATTGTTCGTATATCTTTGTATGCATTCTATCGGTGCAACATCACCAATATCACTCTTCCAGATTCCATCATTTTTATTGGTGACTATTCATTTTCATCCTCAAAGATCGAATCAATCACCCTTGGGTCACAATTATTTCAAATTGGTAATGCTGCATATTCAGGCTCTCAAATTAAATTTGCAAATTTTTCGATAGCAAAATTAACACGTTCTCTTGGAAAATCTATTTTTTATGGAACAATGATAGAAGAAGTTTTGTTCCCTGACTCCATGGAAGTTTTCGCTTTCACTTCTATATTATACCGATTTTTTGGAGAATTTGGGTTTATATGTGATATAGATTTTGAATATAAGTTAAATAGATATGATAGAACTTTAACTATGGCAATAAGTACATCTTTAATATATTTCTATGCTTCATCATTTAAATCTTAATCATAAAGTATCAGTTAAAAAAAAAAAAAATAACGAATGAATGAGATAAATAAAAACAAAAGGATTTAGAACATATCAGAATCTTTATCTGGCTCAGAACTATCATAGCCTTTCTTGCCTTTCGGCTCTTCTGATTCTATTGAAGATTCATTCATTATTATCTGTTGAATATTCTGAACTTTTTCTTCAGAAACGACTGGTTTTTGAGGAACAGGAGCTCCGGCTCTCTTCAGCCTATCTCTGTAAGCTGCTTCTTGCATCTCTTTGTTTGCTAATATCTTCTGTAATTTCACGCATTCTGCATACAAGTTCCTGTATTTGTCTTTCTTCGACAAAGCGTCGTTCTTTATTGTTGCATGTTTCGAGTTCAAGTCTCCTAAAACAAACTTCTGAGATAAGTCGAAAACAGCTCTGAGTTCGCTTGGATCATCAATGTGTGCTTTAGCTAATTGGTTCAATTGATCATGCATCTTTGTACGTCTTGCTTGTATAAGTCTGTATTCTTCAGCCATCTTTTGTTTCTCGTCATTCAATCTTCTGAATTCTTCGACAATTGTTGCATATTGTTCTCTCAACCTTTGATCGACTTCTTCGAGTTGTATTCTTTCTTGGTCGTAGCCTGCTCTGTCTTCTGATAATTGCGCTTTCTTCGCCATCATGTCTGCATGCAATTTGGAGGCTTCGTCGCTTCCTTCTTTGAATAATTTGTCTTTTTCGTCCAAAAGTGCGTCTCTTTCCTTCTTGAGGCGCTCAATCTCCTCTTGAAGGCCAGGAATCTTGCCAATCATCTGTTCTAATTGTGCTATTCTATCTTTGAGAGCTTGAATGTCGTCATCGTTGTCAACAACGTGATCCAGCATTTTATCTTTAAGAGAAAGGAATGCATTACGAAGAGCTTCTTGTCTGGCATCCAAATGTTTGTATTGTTCCTTCAAAATGGCTACATGTGCATTCCTGTCGTTTAATATATCTTGTAATTCTTTTAGAGTGTCCTGATCGAGATTTGGGTCGTATAATTGTGAGAATAACTCTAAGGCGGTTCTATCATCTGGTTTAAGTAAATAGTAGCAGCATCTATAGCAATCTCTACGATATGGATCTTTTTCGTTTGCAATTAACTGCTGAAGAAGCTTGCGACATTTGGCAAATGTGGCTTGTCTCTTTGTTTTTGTAGATTTTGGTATTGGTCCTTTATGTTTGAATGGTTCATTTTCTTTATAACGAAGATTTTCTAAAATTGCTTTTAATTTATTTCTTTTTTCGATTAAATGTTGTGTTTCTTCTTGGGTATCGATGATTTGTTGTTGCAATTCTCCAATTTTTTGCTTGAGTGAAACAATTCTTTTATTTCCTCCAATATAAGCATTATATGATCCAGCAATAGGATTTGGGTCCTTCCTTTCGACACCTTCTGGTGCTTTTGAAGCAATAAATTCCATGGCTTCTTTTCCTGCGTAATTAAATCCATAATTTGAGTGGAGTGGAAGTGGATCATTGATATAATCGAGAACAACATTCTTTGCTCTTTCTTCTGATTTCTTTGTTTTTGCTGAAGCTTCTTTAAGATTTTGTTTTAATAAAGTAATTCGTTGTGTTCTTTTTGTAAGTTCATCATCTAGTTCTAAAACAAGAACTTCAAGTTCTTCGCGAGGTAATTCTCTAATATCCCGCCCGTTCGGTGCAAGTCGCTGTATGGAACGGGGTTTCATAATTTTTTTATTTTCGTTGAAATTTTTATACATGCAAATTCAGCATTATATTTCTTATACAAAAATATAGTAAAATTTGAAATTCAATTTTAGCTGTACGTTTGAAAAAAATTGACAAGAAGGAAGAAAAGAACTATAGGGATTAAGATGCTATTTTTATACGCTTTTATGCATTTTCAAGCTTTCATGAGCTTTATGCAAGAAATGCTTGAAATATGAATTGAAACAATGTGAAAGAGAATGATGTACCTTTCATCACTTTGATATTCTCTATATTTTCTCATGCGAACCTATTCCTAATATAAATGATTACAAAATGATAAAGATGAATCAAAATTATTAAAAAAATTAAAAATCTCTCATAGAACCATAGCATTTCGAATAAATATTCTAGATTAATATATAAAGTTCACCATAGATATCATGTTTATTTATCCGGCGATTTTCCGGAAATTAATAACGTGCACAAAATGACTTCTTTGCATCCAGATTATACAATCACAGATCTTTCAGACAGAGTTGTGATTAAAATAGTTTTTAAAGGTCACTCAGCATCAAAGTGTGATATTGTCGTTGCAGATTTATACGCAAAATTCAATTTAAGTCCATATTTTTTAATTGTCAATTTTCCTGAATTTGTTTCAGTGACAAATGTAATTGCATCAGCAAAAGGTCAAGAATTAGTTGTTCATATTGGAAAAGTTGAACCTGAAAAATGGAAAAAATATCCTTGGGAACTTCCTGGACCGGAAGAACTCAAAAAGAGACAAGAAGAATCTTTAGAAAGACTTTTAGAATACGAACGTAAGAAAGCAGCGCAAAAGAAACAAGAAGAAGAGGAAGAAAAGAAGAAATCTTTACAAAAATCATGGGATATCGAAAAAGAGCAACGTAAAACTCTCGAAGAACGTATTGAAGAAGAGAAAAAGTACGCTCAAGACTTACTTGCAGGCAAATATCTTCCTGAAGATGATATTAAAGAACCAAACATCAATGAACAGCCACTTGCACCAACACGAAGTAAACAAGTTTGCGTTACAACACATACACCTACATTTAAGAACCTTGCAGCTCGCTACGATGGTCCTTTGAGAAAATTTATTTCTCCACAAAAAGGAGATATGTCTCCCCAATGGATGAAAGACTCCGGAGATACCTTCTTCAAGGATGGCGCTTACACATCTGCCGTCAATGCTTATACAAAAGCAATTGAAGGTAGCGATCGTCAGTTTTGCGCTGCATTTTCAAACAGAGCTCTTGCAAGAATGAAACTTGGATATTACGAATTCGCTTTACAAGATTGCAATGAAGGATTGGCTTTAATTCACGATCCAATTGTCAGTCAAGAGATTTGTATCCTTAAAGTTAGGTTACTTTCTAGAAAGGTTTTCTGTCTTTTTAAACTTGGCAAATTCTTAGATGCTTTCCAGGCAAATACAGAAATATTAAAGTATATTAAGAAAGATGAGAAAGTTAAGAAGGATCTAGAGCAGATTGCACTTCTTGCTGGTGATAAAATCAAGGGTTTGAAGCCTGATCTTCCTCATGGAAACATCGAGGAAATGTCCAGGCTCAAAACAATCATAGAAGATGGAAAGGAAGAGCCTATCGATTTACCAGAAGTAAAGAAGCCTGAAGAAAAGCCTGCTGAAGAGAAACAGGTTGAATCAAATTAATTTTACATTTATGTGTTATATAAATAAACTAAATCATATTAACTAATTAAATCTTCTTTCTATTATTAATACAAAATTCCTTTGTGATTTCTTTGCCGGATCATAAGCATGCAATTTTGATAAAGGCTTATCAGTTGTGCGTCCTCTGAGTTTCTAACAATAATCAATGCTAATTCTTCTTCTTCATCATCATTGATCTCAAATGATGAAACATCAAGAGGATAAAGCATGAAGTCATGTTCCTTCACACCAGAAATTGTCCAATGTACGTTACTCAGCAAATATTAACTGTTAGAACGCTTTTTGGTGTTCTTTCGTATTCAGAACGCATCATCGGTTTGTTTTCAAACGCTAAGCATTTCGAACCTAATTTGTTGACCAGAGCAATTCGAGAATCGCCGATATGGACTGTGCAACATGTGTTCTTCTTGATGAATATGGCTATGCAATATTTTCTATGGATTTCAAAACTTCATAATTTTTTATCATCAAGCACTATTTCACTAGTTCTTCACATACTATCGTAATAAAATCTTTACATAAAAATTTTTGAATTTGAATCAACCAAGCTCGCTTTTTTCCCAAAGTCTTTTGGGGAAGATTTAGAGATTCTAACATTACCACATCCCAGGAATTCCAAACCTAATGACTTTATTCTATCAGAAAACAAACTCTACGAAATTCAATTAGTCGATCGATATTATTGCTCCTTTTTCTTTAATAATTTTGCTATTGCAGATGGGTCTGCCTTATTTGCAAATGAAATACATCCGCTTTTTGTTTTTCTTCCTAAATTATTTGAAAAAAGAGATAGTTATAACAGTACAGCATCTTTTTTCCACCAAAATGAATACAAGAAGCTACAAAATTTAGTAATTCCTTATCTTCCCAAAGTCTGTGCCCAATTAGAAAAAAATGATGAAATTTTAATTCGTTTCAGCGAACAAAAGACTAAAAACTGGCTTTTAAATAGATGCCATAGTATCATCTCAATATTAATGAAGAAATACTCACTACCAGATGAACAAATTATTAAACTAGCTTGGGGAATCTTAAGACACTATATTCCAGTAGAAATACAAAAGATGCTAATTGACGAAATCAAGAAAATCCAAATTGAACACAAGCCAAAACAAGAACCAACTCCAGAGAAAAAGCAAGTATCGTTTTCTGATATACGAAAGCCTAAAGCAAACCAAATCCCACGTCCCAAATGTTGTGCTGATATTGCATCATTTTTTGGTAAAAAATAGTAAAATTATTTCATAAAAAATCTGTTGTTATTTGTGTTTATAGATTATATTCTTTAAGTATTGCTAATTTTACAAATTGAAATGCAAAAATTGTTTATTCAATGGAATTATTAAGGTTCCAATACGGTTTTGCATTTAGTATTAGACTAGTTTATTATTTATCTTGTCATTTACATGAGCATGAGCCAAAAAGTTAACAAATCTTTCATTGATTTTTTCAGATGTTTACTTCTGTCCAATCACTATCACATTTTTATTAACTTTTGCATCCGAAGCTCAAATATTTAAAATAATTGAGCTAAAATTTCATGAACGTTTTTTTCATCATTGTCTAAAATTTTCGAAAAATTCGAATGCAAAAAGGGGCCTCAACTAAAACGGGCCTAGCACGCCTGCGACCCCTCATTGCAAGCAAGGATGTTCAGGAAATGCCAAAAGACAAATTACCGTCAGGATGGTATTATAACGAAAATAAAGAAGAAGACATCTGGAAGGATTTAGAGAAGAGTAAAAATGTTTCAACTGAAATCACATTGGATGAAGAAAATAAACGAGCACAAAACAAATCTCAAATGTCTGAAGCATCTTCAAAAATTACAAATTTAATCGATAAATTTGAAGAATTAGATCGCGAAGCTGTATTCCAAATACAAAAAATATCAGATGAGAACGTTTCTGCCGATGAATTAACACTCGAAGACTTACCAAATCTTTTTAGCAACCAAAAAACGTCTGTTGTTCAATTCCTTAATGAATTAAATCAAGTAGGAGATACACAGACTCAACTTCTTGAGTCTTTAAAGAACGCTTTTTATCAATTACGCGGAAATACATCTTTCTTATCCGATGAAGCAAAAAGTCATGAAGGAGCGCCTGATCCTCATGTATTTTTAGAAAGTTTAGAAAAGATATTTGCCGAAAATATCGAAAGAGCTGAAAAAGCTTCGACATTACATCATGATGTAACTGGATTCTGGATGAGGCATGTTACTGACTTCAAACGAATCATTGTAAAGAGAGATATGGATATTGCTAAGCTGAAAGAAACAAACGAAGAACTTCAAAAGGAAATTACAGCGAAAAATAACAAAAAGAAGCAAGAAAAGGCAGATATTGATGAAATGAAGCAAAATATGAAGATTCTAGAAAATACTGTTAAACAACTTGAACAAGCTCGCTCTCAAATTACTCAATTAAAAGCTCAATTACAAGAATCAGAGCAACAAAGGGCTGCTCAAGCATTACATAGAGTTCCTTCGATAAGCTCATATGAGAAATCACAGAATCTCGAACGAGAAGCTGATGCTTTGAACAAACAACTCGAAATTGAAGCGAAATGCAAGAATCTGGAAGAAAGGTTGAACCAATTGGACAAAGATCTCAGGAAATCACGTAATGAGACCGAAGAAGAGAAAGGCAACTCCGCTTTATTGCAAAAACAAATTGATGAGTTAAATCAGCAACTTTTGCAATCCCAAGCCGATACAAAGAAATATATCAACCTTTTAGAAGTCGAACAAGCGAAATCCAAATCTCCAAGACCATCTTCACCATCAAAAGACTCAGGATTGGCAGAATCTGAAAGAGAAAATTATTTGACCCAAATTATGAAATTAAAAGATGATTTAAGGGACCAATTAATCAAAGCAAGGCAAGCATTAGATGACCAAGCAGTTATGCTACGTCAAAAGTACGCAAACGAGAGATCAAAATTAATTGAACAATTATCTGAGAAAGACAAAGCCATAGATAACTCAAACTTTCTTAAATCCATCATAGATGAATACGAGAAGAAGCTTGCTGAGCAAAAGAAGAAGTATGATGAGAATATGGAAACAATGATTCGATCATGGAGTGGAAAACTGTCATTAGAACAAAGACAGTTCCAAAACAGGATCAGAATCATCAATCAAAATCATGAAACAGAGATTCTTAATACCCAGCAATCTTTGGATTACGAAATTTCCAAAATGAGGATTGAATTAGATGATGGATATCAAAAGAAACTATTAGAAGAGACCAAGAAGTACTCAGATGACATGAAGATCCTTGAATCAGAGAACTCCAAGCTCCAAACTAAAGTAAAAGAACAAGAATTAGAACTTGGAAACATCAGAGCAAGGTATGGATTAGAAACTCCACAAGAAGACAAGCAAAAAAGCATGTTTACAGCAATTATCCCTCGTGCTGATCCAGCTGAACTCAAGAGGATCATGGAGAGCTACAACCAGAAAGTCAAAACACTACAGGATGATTTGGAATCTCAAAACAAATGGGCACTTGAAAAACAAAAGAATTTCTATGAAAATAAAATTGACTCAATGACGATTAAAAACCAAATTGACATCAGAAGAATGCTGCTAAAATTACAAGAAACAATAGCAAAAATAGTTGCTGATGGCGAAGAAACACTTACATTGGCACAAGCATTGGATCAAATCTCTAACACAGTTCAAACAATGAATGATCAATTGGAAGAAAATGATAAAACATCTGAAGAAGTTGTTTCTCTTAACGAAGCGAATGAAAGAATGAGAATTTTGACAGAAAACATCACAAAACTTAAAAACGAAAGAGATGATTTACTCCAGAAAATAGGCATGGATTCAACAGGTGCTGAAGAACTTGAAGCTCTTAAAACTCGTCTGAAATACTACGAGTCAATGCAGAAAGGAGATCAGCAAGCACAAGCAAAAGCAATGAAAGACTTGGAAGATAATCTCAAACAAGAAATCATGGTTAAAGACGCGTTGATTGAACATTATAAACAAGAAATGGAAATGAGAACTGCATTTTTAGGTAAGAAAGATTCTTGTGTAATATTCACTTTACCTCCGAAGATGAAGAAACAAAGGAAACCTGCAATTCTTAACCAAAAACCTTCTCTTCCTGAAATCCCAATTCAACAAAAAGAAGAAGTCAAAAAAGATGAAGAAAAAGTGACAGAAAATGAAACAGAAAAAGTGACAGAAAATGAAACAGAAAAACCGAAATTAGAACTCAAAATCGAAGAACCTAATAAAGAAGAGGAAGAAAAGCCTAAACTTGAGACAGTTATTCAAGAACCTGTTTCAATTGTTTTACCTCAAAATGAAGAAGAAAAAGTTGAAGAAGAGGAAGAAGAAGATAAATTCGAATTCGAAGAACCACCATTGAGTGAAGAGCCAATAACATTGAAACCACATAATTTCAGTTTAATGAGGTCAACTCCTCAATTCATTTTCTCTGGAGCTTCTCTTCAAAACCAGCCGAAATCAATTGAACCTTCTCAAACATTTGAAATGTTCAATTTGAGTCAAAACGAAGATGACGAAGTAATCAGCAATCAAAACATATTGAAGCCAATTACTTTATATCTCGAAGAAGTCCAGAATGTCCATCAATCCCTCAACAGCTCCCAAAATAACAGTCTTTCATTAATAAAGACTGGAGATGGAATTGCTCCTGTTAGATCTACTCCTGTTTTGCCACAATTAAATGGAGGACACACTGTTCAAATCAAGGCTAGACCAACCCTCAAAATGCCTTATATAAAGAGTGATGTACAAAAATCAGGTGAAAATTCATCTGCAACATCACCGAAGAACAGTGGAAGAACTCTTACGATTAAAACAGTTGCAAGAGCAAGTGACATCAAAGAAGCCACAAAATTAAATGGTCGGGCAACTATTTCTATTCCTCCTTCGATTTCTTTGGAAAGATCGATCTTCAAACAGATTGATAAAGTTCCAAGATATACAATGCAGATCATTCCTGTCTTTGACGAAGCTCCTGATCTAACAGATAAATGGCAGAAACCAGAATTGATGTATATAAATAATCCTGTTTTCTTACAAAAATCCGCCAGATCTGCCAAATCAGTTCACGTTGAAGAAGAAAGCGAAGAATCAGAGAAATATATTTCTGTTCGTTCCACAAGAAGTAGGAAGAGTGTTAAGATCGAAAGACCTCAATTATATATCTCTGATTCAGTCCATTACGGTGTTATGCAGAGAATTGTTTCCATGACACAACAAGCAGCAGCAAGAATCATCAGATATAATGGTGATAGAGATATTGCATCATTTGATTCGATCTACATTCCAGGAATTTCTGTTTCTCTCAGTTTAGTTCCTAACTATATTTTGAATGATGCTTTCGAGAGACAAATGGACATCAATTCTAAAATTGTCTGGATAGATCCTGAACTTGTTGCTGAACGCGAAAGAAACGCAAAAGAAATTGCATCAAGAGACATACAATTGGCTGCAAACAAACAAGAAATAGAGTCATTGACAAGCCAATTAAAAAAACTTGAAGCTGCTTATAGAATCGTCTCTCAGAATGAAAACAGGTTGAGAGAAAGAGAAGCTTCACAATCATCTCTTTTGCCATCTCAAAGAGCCTCAACAGAAACGAATTTCCAGTTACAACAACAAACTCCTCAAAAAGTTCAACAATCTCCACAAAAAGTGACACTAAAACCAGAAGAGAAACCTAAACAAGAGAAGAAAGCAAGGGATCCTAACCAAAGAGCGAATATTACAAAGATCAAAGTTGATCTTTCCAATGAAATGTCCGATGTCGATGATCCATTTACGAAATCAATCCAATTAATGGCCGCAAACATGAGATTCATAAATGAATACAGAAAGAACGAAGAAGAAATTGGAGAAACATTGAGAAGTGATTGCTCAGCTTATGAGTCATTTATGATGGCCACAGGAACAATAAATGATGCACAAACATCTTTCATTTCTCAAATGAAAGAATCCTACAAAAACATTCAAAAGAACACAGATCAACTTGATGAATTTAACTTATTGCAACATCAGTTGTTAACTGTTCTTAGACAATCGAAGAAGAAAGCTCAGTCATTATCAAATGACTCGATGAATGCTGCAAAAGCAATTTTGCAACAAGAAATTGATAAGTCACAAAAAGAATTACAATCTTTGTATCAAAGTGGTCAAGAAAAATCCGACCAATTCACGGTAATTGAGAAGATCAGGACTGCTCTTGAAATGGTAAATACTTTAGAAGTTAATCTAAGTGAAAATGATGAACTGTTATATCATAGATTAACAAAACAACTCGATATGACTGAAGAAAAGATTAAAAATGATGAAAAAGTTCAGCAAGAAACAATTGACGGAATTAGAATTTCTGTTCAGAATCTGATTGCAGGATTGAAACCAGTTGTTTCTCCACAGATGTCTCCAACTGTTTCTGAGAATACTTCTGTTTCTCCTGAGTTGAAAGACAAACTCGGAAAAATGACAAAAGATTTGGAAGAAATGAAACAAAACTTAGAAAACGAACAGCAAAAGAACATGACATTAACTCAGAATTACGCCAAACTCAAGACAAGACTTGATGAAGAGAGAGAAACTAATTCAAGCACAATATCAATGTACCAAACACAAATTGCAACATTAAAAGAACTTTTGCATCATGTTGATAACCCTGCATCACCTGTAGACACTGTTACAGCAATCAGAAGTGAAATTATCACATTGCAATCTATGGTTGACACAATGAGAGCTGACAGAGACATGCAGAAGAACAAAGTTATTGAGTTGGAAGACCAGATTTCCGCAAAAGAAGAAGCAATGAGACAAGATACAGAAAGATATGAAAATTTGCTTCAAGAGAAAGAAGCACTTGAAAAACAAGTCAGAAAACAAGATGAACAAGCTCTTTTCCACGAAAGCGACTTGGAAACAATGAAAGCTGAGAAACTGGCCAATGAACAATTAGGAATGAAGAACAGATTACAACTTGAAGAAGCAATAGGAAACAATGAGAAACTTTTAACGAAAATCAAAGAATTAGAAGACACAATTAGAAACCAGAAGAAAGAAATAGGTCAAGTAAAGAACGAACTTGAAGATCTACAGATCAAGTACTCTTTCGGACACTATTTCAGATCGAAGGTTCCTCACACAATGGTTGGAACGCAAACAACATTTAAACTCGTGAGAAAGAAACCACAACCAGATGTCAATGAACCACAACAACAAAAAGAAGTTCCAAAGGAAGTTCCTCCTCTTGAAATCCCTCAAGAGCCAAAGAAGGAAGAAATTAAAGAAGAACCAAAACAAGAAACTCCTCCAAAAGTTGAAGAAAAACCAGAAGAAAAGCCACAACAAAAAGAAGAACAGTTAATTGAAACTCCTTCAACAACAAACAACAATACTCCTAAGACAGAAGAGAACTCTGAAAATATAAGCCTCGCTGATGAATCTGATGATTATTCCCTTTATAATTCCAATGAACAATGGGTTGATATGTCAAATGAAGAAGATAAAGATGAGTTTAGCGCAGAAATCGCTGAATCAACAAGAGAATCAGATCTTGTAAACATCAAAGATTTCGGAAACCAAGCTGTAGGAAAAGTTCATGACCCGATTTGGTCGAGAAAATCAAAGACAAAACTTCCTCAAGTTATCGAGCCAAAGAAACCACAACAGAAGAACAAACCAAGACCTATGACTTCTATCCAACGCCATGCAATAACAACAGACAACTCAAAGCTCGCAATCGGAGATGCTCCAACAAATGGAAACCACATGAAACAAGGAAATCAACCACAAAGATATCGTCCTGCAGTTAAGAATTTCACGAAATCTCCGTTTGTTAATGCAAAACCTCTTGTTTTGGAGCCAATAATTGATAATTACAAGCTTGGAAACCAAGTTCCTCAGACGATGCCTACATCTCCTAAAGGACAATCTCCTCCTCCAACTGTAAATAATTACAGGAGAGTTCCTGTCCCTCTTTTCCAGACAATTACGACAACTCCGCCTCGTCCTGGCCACGAATTTGATGATGATGTTGACGCGGTAAAGATCACGCGTATACAGTACGAACTGCCAAAGACAACAATGAACAGTCCTCGACTTCCAATCATCATCCCTGTTCAAAGAGAAACATGGGCTGAAAGAAAGAAAGCGGAACCGGAATCAAATGAAAAAGGAGATTTAAGCGAAATCCAAATCATCATTTCAAAACTCAGAGAAAAGAATGCAAGACAACAAAACGAACTCGATGAGAAAGATAAGACAATTGACGAACTCAATGCGAAGTTGTCAGATCTCCAGAAAGAACTTCAAAGAGTTAAATTGGATATGTTGAGATCCGATGAAACAACACGTAAAACAAGTATCAAATATGATAGTTTGAGACAGAGATTTGATATTGCTTTGCAAGAACTCGACCAAAGAAATGACGAAGCAAATTCGATGAGGAAAGAAATAGACAGACTCAAGAGAGCTGCAAAGCCAGCAACAACAACTCTCGGACGTATAAAGAATGCTCAAAACGAGATGCAAAGAATTGTTACAGAGCAAAAGAGAAAGAGACAAATGCTTGATAAAGCTAAAGTTGCACTTGAGAAATCTACAGATGATAAACTCACGAAACATTTGTCGAATCTCCTTCAAAACACTCAGAAATCAATATCCAGATTGGAAGCAAATAAGAGAATGTGGAAAGAAATCGAATCCAAACAATTGATGTCTGTTTTGGGAGCTCTTTCTCTTGTTGATGAAAATCCATCAGATATCCTCAAAACTCTGAGATTGCCTGTTGTAAGACCAAGACTGAGACCAAGAATACACAATACAAGTGAAGCAAGTTTTGATGTTTCAGGAAAAGATGAAGAGAAACCATTTAACTACCCATTCACATATGAAAAGACTTTGGAAGTCCTTAACAATGAAGGAATAACTGACGAAGAAAAGAAATTAGCTATTAGAGGTGTACTGAGTCCAAATGTCGCTGACAAGATCAAAGCAGCAAATGAAAGACAAAAATTGGTAAATGCTGTTGTAACTCCTTCAAACACTGAAAATACTGAAAAAATGCATTAATAATATTAGTTGTTTATTTGTATAGAAAATAAATAAAAATATTTGTTTGTTAGTATATAAAACTATCAAGATAGTATTTTCAAAGATCAAAAGTACATAATTTACTAGATTTTATTGATCTTAATGATTTTTACAGATATTTTCTCAATTGGAATCTTGAATACTCATAGCTGGAAATTTGAAACATCCGAAACCAGGTCTCAAATAAAAATACAATTTATAAATATAACTTTTCATTTTACATTACAATCATTACAGTATATAACAAAATACTTGGATAAAAATGACTATAGATACAACTATTCATTGATGGGCAATCCATAAATGATTGATCGATCAAATTAAGACATAGATAATCTGGACATGTAAATGTTCTATCAACAATCGGACAACCTAAAAATTTAGTTGCTGATTTGGAGAAATATTCTGAAACATGGATTTTTACATCTGTTCTAGCCAAAGAAGTAGAACCAAAAGTATTCGTTCCACAATAATATATATCAGTTATTTGAGTTTCTTGAAAAGCATTCGGCACTATATAAGAAACACCAGGAGGAATGATGAGCTCAATGATATTTGTACGGCAGAAACAATATATATCAATACTTCTTAGCAGCGGAGGTAATATCACTGTTTTTAATTTTCTTGATTCATAAAATATTGCATTATAAATTGCAGTAACTTTTGTACAACTCAGATCAATGTATTCAAGATTAGGGCAACATCTAAATGCATAACTTAAAATCGTCTTAAGAGGGAAATTTATAGTGATATTGACAAAAGAAGTACCAGAAAAACCTTTGGTTTCTGAAATACCTATGACAGTTGGAAGTAACTCTATGTTACAATTGCATGGATAACCAAGCAAAAATTTATAATCTTTGCTGTAAAGAACTTTATTATTGACAATGAATTCAGGACTTTCTGAAAAAAATTCTTCTAAATACACACAACATATAAATGCTCCGTTATAAATTGCTTTACATGATCTCGGAATTGTTATGTTTCTAATATTTGACCAGAAAAACATATGATCTGCAATAGCTTCTAAACTATCTGGGAGAAGAATATTTTCGATTTTACAACCAGCAAAGTGTTGATCATTAGTGAATTTTTTGAGTTTAGTTTGACTAAAATCAACAAATAAACATAATGAATCACTAAATGCATATTGTCTGACTTCAATGACATTTTTTGGACAAATAAATTCAGTTAGTTTATATTTTTGAAATGCATAGGCACCAATATATAAAATCGTATCAGGTAGTTTGATACTAGTAATTTTGCATTGATAAAATGCATAGTCACCAATTGAAACAACATCTTTGGAATCAACTTGTGCTGGAACTTCAAAAGCCCCTTCTATACCCGATATGCAGGAATTTTGTCCATCTCCAATTTGTATATAGTTCGGTTCATAGTTGATATATGTAAATTTTTGACTCAGAGATAAAGTTTTGACTTTTAACCCTAAACTCACAAATTTCTGACACTAATGCAAATAGTGGATAGCAATTGATAAAATACAATGAAATGGAAGCCTGTCTAGACTTTTCAATCATCGATTTTAAGGTTCCGTTAAAATCGAGCTAATCATTGAGCTTGAGTTCAATTCTCTGAAATAGTCCGAAGAAATATGAAAAATCTTAAATATTTAAATTCGTTTCCCAAATAAATGTATTCTCCATGTTATTTTTTGTTTGATAAAACAAGGAATTTGAAAATGATCTGGTTCTTTTGATTTCAAAATTGGAACAATACTAATGTTATATATTTAAAATCTTTAATTCAATACATTTATCATGGCATGAATGGAAAGAAGTCTACAAATGAGAATACAAAATATTGAAGACAAAACCGGCGACTTTTATGAATACAAAATCTACTTTCGCAACTTTTGTAATAAAGGAATTATAATTCTATCTGTTTTAGATCTTAATTCAATTATTTAGAAATGGTGAAGTGAAATCTATTTATATCAGTCAAAGCCAAAGATCTATTCGAAAAATTTGCAATTTCTGATCTAAATCTCCAGAACTAGGAACGTTTGGCAATATGATGAGCGGTATCTCCATCTTCATTCATTTCGTTTATATTGCATCTTGAGAAAGAAGAAATCTTATTATTTCGCATCGATTAATATTCGATGAATTACGAAGTTCGTTTTGCCCATATTTATCTTTTATATTGATATCCGCATTATTTGCAAGAAGAAGCTTGCTGCTTCTTTGTTATTATCAAAGGCTGATCGATGAAGATCTGTTGATCCATTTTTATCTTTTTATTTGACATTTGCACTGTTGGCTAGAAGAAGCTCAGTCATCAATAATATTTTTATACGCTGATGTATGAATTGATGTTCTTCCATAAAAATTTTTAGAATTGATATTTGAACCGTGTGAAAGAAAATTCTCTGAAAGTGAAGGAATTTCAAACATAATTGAATAAATAAAATATTTGCTAACATTATAAGTTTGATCAATGTAAACAAAAAATGATTCAAGATTGTAATACTCAATGCAATAGTTTAAATTGATCTATATATTATACTCATTCGTCAAGAATGTAATGAAGTCAATGTTATGTGAAATATAATTGCATATCTCATACTTTCTTTATTTGGTTTTTGTTATTTCAAGCATTAGCTCATAATCTCTTGATTTCTACCTAAAAATGATAAATGAAGGCATGCTAAGGTTATTTCGGAGTTAAATATAATTTTTCGTTTTACATTACAATCATTACAGTATATAACAAAATACTTGGATAAAAATGACTATAGATACAACTATTCATTGATGGGCAATCCATAAATGATTGATCGATCAAATTAAGACATAGATAATCTGGACATGTAAATGTTCTATCAACAATCGGACAACCTAAAAATTTAGTTGCTGATTTGGAGAAATATTCTGAAACATGGATTTTTACATCTGTTCTAGCCAAAGAAGTAGAACCAAAAGTATTCGTTCCACAATAATATATATCAGTTATTTGAGTTTCTTGAAAAGCATTCGGCACTATATAAGAAACACCAGGAGGAATGATGAGCTCAATGATATTTGTACGGCAGAAACAATATATATCAATACTTCTTAGCAGCGGAGGTAATATCACTGTTTTTAATTTTCTTGATTCATAAAATATTGCATTATAAATTGCAGTAACTTTTGTACAACTCAGATCAATGTATTCAAGATTAGGGCAACATCTAAATGCATAACTTAAAATCGTCTTAAGAGGGAAATTTATAGTGATATTGACAAAAGAAGTACCAGAAAAACCTTTGGTTTCTGAAATACCTATGACAGTTGGAAGTAACTCTATGTTACAATTGCATGGATAACCAAGCAAAAATTTATAATCTTTGCTGTAAAGAACTTTATTATTGACAATGAATTCAGGACTTTCTGAAAAAAATTCTTCTAAATACACACAACATATAAATGCTCCGTTATAAATTGCTTTACATGATCTCGGAATTGTTATGTTTCTAATATTTGACCAGAAAAACATATGATCTGCAATAGCTTCTAAACTATCTGGGAGAAGAATATTTTCAATGGCACTACTATGAAAATGCTGAACATCAGTGAATTGTTTGAGTTTTGTTTGACTAAAATCAGCAAATAAGCATGAACAGTCTTTAAATGCATATTGTTTGACTTCAATGACATTTTTGGGACAAATAAATTCAGTTAGTTTACACTCTTGAAATGAACGTACACCAATAAAAAGGATGGTATCAGGTAGTTTGATGGTAGTAATTTTGCATTGAAAAAATGCATAGTCACCAATTGAAACTACATCTTTGGAATCAACTTGTGATGGAACTTCAAAAGCCCCTTCTATATCTGATATACAGGGATTCTGTCCATCTCCAATTTGTATATAGTTTGATCCATAGTTGATATAAGTAAATTTTTGACTCAGAGATAAAGTTTTATCATTAACCTTAACCCCTCAATTATCTGTCACAAAATTAACATCATTCTTCCAAAAATTGAGCGGAGCTCAATTTTTGGAAGAATGATTAGAATTATATATCCCTTCAATAATGTTCCACCACAGTTGTCTGAAAAAAAAATCAAAATTTTTTTCTGTAAACTTCATAAAAAAGTGAAAAAAAATAGAATGTCTTAAAAAGTTAAAAACTTGATAATAATAAGAAAATGTTTTTATTGGGCGACTATATTTCCTTGAAAAAATTCGGTTTTTCTCAATTCTCATTTTTTGCATAGACTTATTCTCCCTTAAAGATTTACCGTAGCGTCGCACCATCTGATGGAGTCCTACATTGAGACGCGCTAACTTCCCAGAAAACACAGATCTTGAAAAACTCATTCAAGATATTAACACATAATGGGCAATACCTGTTGCACCCAAGTATGTCTCCATCTGGTATCTCTTACTACACTATTAATATTATTATTTTGTTTGAGTAAAGACTTCTTTTTTTTTACTTATTTTCTGAAGTTTACAAGAAAAATTGAGATGGTTTGGAAGAAAACTGTGGTAATATTATTGAATGAAATAGAATTGAAAAAGTGGATAGTAATTGATAAAATTCAATGAAATGGAAGCCTGTCTAGACTTTTCAATGCTCAATTTTAAGGTTCCGTTAAAATTGAGCTAATCATTGAAAGTTATGACAGGCGTTCATATTTCTTCGGAATGTTTCAGAGAATTGAGCTTGAGTTCAATTCTCTGAAATAGTCCGAAGAAATATGAAAAATCTTAAATATTTAAATTCGTTTCCCAAATAAATGTATTCTCCATGTTATTTTTTGTTTGATAAAACAAGGAATTTGAAAATGATCTGGTTCTTTTGATTTCAAAATTGGAACAATACTAATGTTATATATTTAAAATCTTTAATTCAATACATTTATCATGGCATGAATGGAAAGAAGTCTACAAATGGGAATACACATTCCATTTTTTTTTCTCAATATTGAAGACAAAACCGGCGACTTTTATGAATACAAAATCTACTTTCGCAACTTTTGTAATAAAGGAATTATAATTCTATCTGTTTTAGATCTTAATTCAATTATTTAGAAATGGTGAAGTGAAATCTATTTATATCAGTCAAAGCCAAAGATCTATTCGAAAAATTTGCAATTTCTGATCTAAATCTCCAGAACTAGGAACGTTTGGCAATATGATGAGCGGTATCTCCATCTTCATTCATTTCGTTTATATTGCATCTTGAGAAAGAAGAAATCTTATTATTTCGCATCGATTAATATTCGATGAATTACGAAGTTCGTTTTGCCCATATTTATCAAGATTGTAATACTCAATGCAATAGTTTAAATTGATTTATATATTATACTCATTCGTCAAGAAAGTAAAAAAGTCAAAATCATGTGAAATATAATTGCATATCTGTTATTTCAAGCATTAGCTCATAATCTCTTGATTTCCACCTAAAAATGATAATTGAAGGCATGCTGCGGTTATTTCGGAGTTAAATTTGGTTCTTAATAACTTAACGCAATCAACAGCGCCATTATAACAACATAATTCAAGTAACGAATATTCTATGTGCTCATATGGATATAAATTGATTTTAAGTTTTTACATCCATCGCTTTCAGTGAAGAAGATGAATCTTTCTATGTTATTACACATATTGGCTATGTAAATTGTATTTTCTGAATGAATTAATTAAAATCATTCGACTTGGGCAAAATAAATAATTAGAAATAAATGGAATATTTTCTACCTCTTTTATATGATATTTATCAGATTTTCATAAGATTTAAATTTCATTATGCAAAACTTATTAAAATCCCCATGATTTTGAAATCTTCAAATTTAATCGAAAAAAATTTCAAATATTGAATTAGAAGTGGTAATTTTAAATTTTCTTTATTTTACATTTGTAGGGTTGGATATGTTATAGGGAATTTATGAGCAAAAAAGACTGAAATTATTGTTAAAAAAATTCAGGTAAAAGTCGTAAATTTTAAATTTGATGGAACCAGACTGGAAAGAGCTTGCTAGAAATATATCTGATTATGTTGATAATGATACATTCCTATCGACAAGAAGTCCTCAACAGATAGCTAAAATTCTTAATTATGCAAAATTAAGTTCATCCGAATTTGCAACATTATTCACAAATCTTTCAAATTATCATGGGAAAGCAGACATATTGATAATGCTTAGTCGTGCGCATTTAAAAGATTTCAATAGTCAAGAAGAAGCAATTGAAATTTCTACAACAATTACATCAATCCTCGGAATTCAAATTCTTGATTCACTATTTTCTTTCTACCAAAGCAAGCTTCAACGAGAAATTCCGCAAATCAAAAATGACAAATCTCAATCTTCTGTTCCTGAATATATCCGTATTTATGTGGATACACCAAATGGGAATCGGTTGTTCGAAAACATTGATTTAAATATTAGAGTTGAAGTTTTTAGATCATTAGTTCTGAAGAAAATTGATAAGTCCATTAAATATATAGATATTTACTATCTTTGTCAGCGTTTAATTGATGGTCATACATTAAAAGAATATAATGTTCAGAATAATTCAAATTTTCTTGCTATTAAAAGATATTATCCTTTCACAGAAAAAATAATTGAAATAATGGATCTTGATGGAATACGCACGAAACTTGAAAATATTGATCTCAATTATAGAGTCGAAGAATTGAAAGCTTTGATACAAGACAAAATGGATCTCTCTCCAGATCAACAAAAACTATGTTTTTTGGGAAAGGCCATGGAAAATGGTAAAACATTAAAGGATTATAATGTTCTTTATGGTGATGGACTCACCCTTACTTGGACCAAATCAGAAAATGCTTCTCCTCCGAGCTCAGCTAATTCAATTACAATTAAGACTAAGGCTGGAAGAGAATTTATATTTGAAAACATTGATCTCAATTGAAGGATTGAAGATTTGAAAGATATGATTCAAGAAAAAGAAAAAGGTTTCCCTCCAGATCGGCAAAGACTAATTTTTGCTGTAAGACAAATAGAAGAAGGAAATACATTAAATGATTATAATGTTAAATATGGAGACATACTTTATCTTCTTTATAGATTACGCGGTGGAAAACCAGTGATCCATTTGTATCCAAAGGAAGAAATCGATACAAAGGTAAGTATCAAAATCAATGATGGTGATTTTTCTTTTGTATATCCTTCATTCGACGAAGATAACACGTGGAATGTGAAAGCACTCCCATCAGGCGAGATCGTCCACAAAGGGAAGAAGATGAGATATCTCTTCTGGGAAACACTCTTCTATCCTATTCTCAACATGGACAAAGGATTCATCATCAAAGGCGAAGATAGTGTCTCTTTCTTCGAGGATAAGCTGAAGTCCATGAACCTCAACGACTCAGAGATATGTGATTTTGTCACATACTGGTGTCCGAAGCTTTGTGGATACAAATATGTCAAAGTATGCTTCCAGTTCGAAAACTTCGACAACATGTGTCCAATGAATGTCGAACCGAAACCAGACAACATCAACAGAGTCTTCTTCGCAGCTCTCCCTCTAGACTACTCATGTGAAATTGAACCACAAAAACTTCCAACATTCAATCGTGATGGTTTCACAGTCATTGAATGGGGTGGAACTATTGTTACATCTGAAGAACTCTAATCATTTATTTTTTTCTTACATTCAATGAATAAAATATATTTAACATCAACAAATTCTTAAAGTATACATAATCTTTATGATTTTTACTGATATTTTCTCAAATACGTAGTTAAAGCATGTGCCAATTAAATTTTTTTGACCATAATGATTCTACCAGATAACTGAATAAAAACATTGGAATCTTAAATACTCATAACTGGAAATTTGAAACATCCGAAATCAGGTCTCAACTAAAAATACAAATAAATATAGCTTTTCATTTTACATTACAATCATTACAGTATATAACAAAATACTTGGATAAAAATGACTATAGATACAACTATTCATTGATGGGCAATCCATAAATGATTGATCGATCAAATTAAGACATAGATAATCTGGACATGTAAATGTTCTATCAACAATCGGACAACCTAAAAATTTAGTTGCTGATTTGGAGAAATATTCTGAGACATGTATGTTTATATCAGTTCTATCCAAAAAAGTTGAACCAAAAGTGCTCGTTCCACAATAATATATATCAGTTATTTTAGTATTTTCAAAAGCATTCGGCACTATATAAGAAACACCAGGAGGAATGATGAGCTCAATGATATTTGTACGGCAGAAACAATATATATCAATTCTTCTTAGAAGAGGAGGTAAGATCACTGTTTTTAATTTTTTTGATTCATAAAATATTGCATTGTAAATTGCAGTTACTTTTGTACAACTCAAATCAGCATATTCAAGATTAGGGCAACATCTAAATGCATGACTTAAAATCGTCTTAAGAGGGAGTTTTATAGTAATATTGACAAAAGAAGTACCAGAAAAACCTTTGGCTTCTGAAATACCTATGACAGTTGGAAGTAACTCTATGTTACAATTGCATGGATAACCAAGCAAAAATTTATAATCTTTGCTGTAAAGAACTTTATTATTGACAATGAATTCAGGACTTTCTGAAAAAAATTCTTCTAAATACACACAACATATAAATGCTCCGTTATAAATTGCTTTACATGATCTCGGAATCGTAACGTTTCTAAGGTTTGCCCAGTAAAACATATGGACTGCAATATTTTCTAAACTATCTGGAAGAAGAATATTTTCGATTTTACAACCAGCAAAATGCTGAACATCTCTGAATTGTTTGAGTTTTGTTTGGCTAAAATCAGCAAATAAGCATAATGAGTTTTTAAATGCATATTGTCTAACTTCAATGACATTTTTTGGACAAATAAATTCTGTTAGTTTACACTCTTGAAATGAACAGGTGCCAATATATAGAATTGTATCAGGTAGTTTGATACTAGTAATTTTGCATTGAAAAAATGCATAGTCACCAATTGAAACAACATCTTTGGAATCAACTTGTGCTGGAACTTCAAAAGGTCCTTCTATACCCGATATGCAGGGATTCTGTCCATCTCCAATTTGTATATAGTTTGATCCATAGTTGATATATGTAAATTTTTGACTCAGAGATAAAGTTTTGACTTTTAACCTTAATCGATCAATCTTCTCCCACAAAATTCAAAAAGCGGATAGAAACTGATCAAATACTATGAAATGGAAATCTTGTTAGAGGTATGCTAAGTCCAAATGTCACTAACAAGATTAAAGCAGCAAATGAAAGACAAAAATTAGTAAATCCTGTTGTAACATCATTAATTTGTGATGAAATTAAATAAAAATATCTGTTTGTTAGTGTGTAAATCTAAAAACGTTTTTTCTATGTATCAAATATGCCAATCGAAAAAATTCCTACTCAACATATTTGCTGTGCATGTCAATGGAACGTTCATTATTAACATTGGCGAGTGGAAAATGAAGTACAATCAAAAAGAAGATTTCATTTTTCATAAATTCGTCCTTTCAAACAATACATTTTATTAAATCAAAAATTTGTGCGAAAATAAATTGTATTCAATTCAATAAATCTCATACATATCGAAATTGCTCCATTTTTCAAGTCTTGAATTGAAAGATGTCTACAAATCGGAATATACTAACCAAATTTATTCTCAAAACCAAAAATACATAGATAAAACCTGTGACTTTTATGTATGTAAAGTCTACTTTTGCAACCTTGGCAGTGAAGGAGTTATTATTCTCTCTGCTTCTGATCTTAAGTCACTTATTTCGACAAATACCTTCGAAAACTCATCCCGAAATATCGAAGGTGGATCTATTTACATCAGTCAGGGCCAAAGTTCTATTCGAAAAGTTTGCAGTTTCGGATCTAAATCTCCAGAACAGGGAACATTTTGCTACATTTTTTTACAAAATAAACCAGCAAACCTCAATGAAGTTCATGATTCATCGATAACTTATAGCAATCGAGAGGATCGAAGTGGATCTGATACATTTTACATAAAATATGGTAATATTTCATTATCTCAAAACAATATTACAAGAAATCATTGCCAGTATAATACAGCATTTGAAGTAGGACAAGGAGATACTTCAATAAAATATTCAATTATTGATGAAAATTATGCAGACTCAAGAATTTGTTTGGCGACGAACAATCCAACAATATATGACAGCATTGTTTTCATAAACAATACTGTTTCTAATCCTGATAATATTATTGGAATGATTTTTTGCTATGATTGTTCTCTTATTTTAGAAAACAGTTTCATTGCAAATAACAAACAAAACGATCAATATTTGTTTGGAGTTTATAGCGCTTCGATGAGAGTATCTAACTCATATATTGATACTACAGAACTATTATACAATCCAGATCAAGATATTATAATTGGGCCTAACAATGAAGTTTCGCTTGAACTTGATCTTCTTTCAACAGAACTCTGTCCACTAGGAAACTATTTCGTTCATCTTGACAAAGGGAATAAAATTATGTTCACGGAGTTTATTCGTCTTCAAAGTTTTGAAGAAAGTGTCGCATCTCTGACTTCTTAATTTTTTTAATGGTGCACTTACCACTCTCTGACTTTCTCTATCTCTCGTTTGATTTGTCATAGAAAGATGTTAACCCCTAGTGAATAACAATATTAGATATGTAAAGCAAAATGTTGAAATGCTATCATATTAAACAACGTTTTATAAAGGTATTTATTATTGAATAAAAAGGGTGCCAAAAAGTGATTTAGCATGGTAGCTTCTTCATCAATAATGAGATATTAAGATTAAGTGTATTCTTAGTGTTTTGGTTTTGAAAAAGTTTTTTAAAGATCACAATATCGTTTCTAATACAGTTGTTATACTATTTTGCTATTAAAATAAAGATAGAGTGCCCGAAATAAGTTGTATATAAAGAAAAGAGTAGAAATCTTCATGCAGACAGTTTATATAAGGAATTCTTCAGTCTTCAACTTATTTCTGAGAGTCTGCACTGATATTATGAGAGCATACCAGAATGTACTAAATGAACTCTTAAAAAAAAGCTAAATGAAGGTAGATCTACAATTTTTACAAAAATAAATAAATAATAAACAATTAAACATAATTGATTTTTTCCATGATTCTTGAAACATTCAAGAACTGTGACACATTCTTCTCTGCGACACCTAAAATGTACTCAAATGCATCAGTAGAAGTTGCACCTCTTCTTGCTGGTTCGTAATCCCTTGGTTGTTTCTTGTATTGGCTCAAAATCTTTTCGTACTTCTTCAAATTGTCAAGAGCAATGGCCGTTTGTTGGAATTCCAGCAAATACTTCAATTCTTCAATACTAAATACAGGATTCTTCTCAAGAGCAAGAGGATGTATCGAAGCATTGAACAAAGCAATGCTAACCATCTTTAGAGGGAATTGTGAATCTGGATATTTGAGACTTGTCTCGTAATAAATAATATGGAGTATCATGAGTGTCCTTGCATTGAATGTAACTTGTTCTAGGCCTCTGAGGAACGTGTTGCAAAGATCTATCGTTGTTCCTGATAAAAATGTGACAAATTGCATGAAATACTCGTCCATTGATAAAATCTGTTTGGTCACTAAGAAGGGGAAGAGGCGTGTTGGGTTCTTTATCCTTGTAATATCTTTATCATTAATAAATATATGGTAAAGCTGTGCCATTAGCGAGTCAATCATCGGCATAGATGCTTTAACCCAGTTTTCAATTACTTCTGGAGTGCTATTCAGCTCAGCAGGAAGGAAATAAAATGAAAGTAAGAAATTATCATTGTAAAGTGTATTGTAAACGAATGTTTCGGCCATTGTGTTAACAGACAATCTTCTGTCGCATCCCAAAATCGATAATAAAAATGGTACCGATGCGGAATTAAAATCTGTTTGAATTATATTCTTAAAAATGTCAAGTTTCGATTTGATAGAGAATCTTCTTTCGGAAAATGATGTTGTAACTGTGATATAGCGATCTTCAAAAGTAAATTCGGTATTTGATGGTAAAACTTCAAGTTCTGGGATTGATTCATCCATTAAAGCACAATATGGTGGTGCATAGAATAGTAAATTGCGTGAACCTTTGGGACTTCCTTCGAGTTTTACGCTGATAAAGAAACATTTGCATTTTGAAGAGATGACATATTTATCTTTAATCTTTTTAACATCATCTTTCGATGCAGATGATGTTCTAGGAGCAGGAGTAGTTGTATTTTGTGTCTGAGGTGATGAATTTTGTTCTTGTGTTTCTGGTGGCATAGATTGATTAATTTGTCTTGTAATTGTATATTTTTTGATTGGTATTTCTACATCCCCTTTGAAAAATGTATTGAATTGTGCAAGTTCAGAGAGAATTTGCTCAAATTCCATTTTAGATGCGTTAACAAACGGGAACCTTAATGTCACTTTTAGAAATTTCATGATATTTGAGATTGATATTTTTGATTTTAATGATAAACATTAATATTACCATATAATGTAGATAATAAAAATCTTGTTAAAATTGGAAAATTTTGATTTTGAAAATATCTTGATTAAAAAAACTTCTTTGATTATCAATTTTGTATTTCTAGTGATATCACAAGTAGCTGGATATCATGGAATTGCATTCAGGGCGGACACAAAAATTGACTGACCTCGGCCCTAAAATTTTCTAAAGATGAGCGAGAGAGGTGGTTTTCGCGGCCGCGGAGGAAATGACAGACGCGGTGGCGGTGGCGATAGACGTGGAGGTGATTTCCACGACAGAAGAGGCGGTAATGATAGAGGAAACCGCGGTGGCAATGATAAAGGTGGAAGATTTGGCGATAAAGGCGGCCGTGGTGGTGGCCGTGGTGCTCCACGTGGTCGTGGCGGCATGGGAGGCCGCGGTGGTGGACGTGCAGCCATTCAACCACACAAATATCCAGGCGTTTTTATCGGACACCAGCGTGGTGATATGCTTCTTACATTAAATATGGTCCCAGGCAAATCAGTTTACAACGAAAAACTTATTACAGTCGATGGTCCAAATGGCCAAATTGAATATCGTGAATGGAACCCATATCGTTCAAAGATTGGCTCTTGCCTTCTTGTCGGTATCGATAAATTCGGTATTAAGCCAGGTGCTTCAGTTCTTTATCTCGGTGCTGCATCAGGTACAACAGTATCTCATGTTTCCGATATTGTTGGTCCAACAGGCCGTGTATACGCTGTAGAATTCTCACACCGTGTCGGTCGTGAACTCTGCAACCTTGCAAAATCTCGTCCAAACATAGTTCCAATTATCGAGGATGCCCGCCATCCACAGAAATACAGAATGCTTGTTCCAATGGTTGACTACATGTTCGCTGACGTTGCTCAGCCAGATCAAGCCCGTATTTTCGTCCTTAACGGACAATTCTTCTTAAAGAACAATGGAGGTTACATGCTTTGCGTAAAAGCTTCCTGCGTTGATTCTACACTTGACCCACATAAAGTTTACGCTATGGCTCAGCAAGAACTTAAGGATGCTGGCTTCCAAAATGAAGAAATGGCAGATATCGAAGATCACCACAGAGGACATGCTTGCATTATTGGTACATATCGTCCAACACCAACAAACTAAAATATATATAAAGAGACTTTTTTATGATTGAATTAAATATTTCAAATTTTTAAATTTTTCCTAAAGATCCAACAATATTAGCACTGGTCTTTAATTTTTGAATGAGTTTGAAACCAGAAGCACAAGAACTATTTCAAATTCAATATTTATAAAACGAAAAACATTAAATAAACTGGAAAATGCATTTATTTAGTGAGAAGATTTCCATATTTAAGGTTTCCTTTTCATTGTATTTTATTAATTGCTATCCGCTTTTTCAATTTTGTGTCAGAAAATTGAGAGTTTAAGGTTAAAGGTCAAAACTTTAACTCTGAGTCACAAATTTACATATATCAACTATGAACCGAACTATATACAAATTGGAGATGGACAAAATCCCTGTATATCGGGTATAGAAGGACCTTTTGAAGTTCCAGCACAAGTTGATTCCAAAGATGTTGTTTCAATTGGTGACTATGCATTTTATCAATGTGAAATTACTAGTATCAAACTACCTGATACAATTCTATATATTGGTGCCTGTGCTTTTCAAGAATGTAAACTAATAGAATTTATTTGTCCAAAAAATGTCATTGAAGTCAGACAATGGACATTTAGAGATTCATTATGCTTATTTGCTGATTTTAGCCAAACAAAACTCAAACAATTCACTGATGTTCAGCATTTTGCTGGTTGTAAAATCGAAAATATTCTTCTCCCAGATAGTTTAGAAGCTATTGCAGTCCATATGTTTTTCTGGTCAAATATTAGAAATATAACGATTCCAAGGTCATGCAAAAAGATTTATGACGGAGCATTTATAAGTTGCTTTTATTTAGAAGAATTTTTTTCAGAAAGTCCTGAATTCATTGTCAATAATAAAGTTCTTTACAGCAAAGATTACAAATTTTTGCTTGGTTATCCATGCAATTGTAATGTAGAATTACTTCCAACTGTCATAGGTATTTCAGAAACCAAATGTTTTTCTGGTACTTCTTTTGTCAATATTACTATAAAACTCCCTCTTAAGACGATTTTAAGTCATGCATTTAGAAGTTGCCTTAATCTTGAATATGTTGATTTGAGTTGTACCAAAGTAACTGCAATTTATAATGCAATTTTTTATGGTTCCGAAAAATTAAAAACAGTGATTTTGCCACCACTGCTAAGAAGTATTGATATATATTGTTTTAAAGATTCAAATATCACTAAACTCATCATTCCTCCCGGTGTTGAAAGTATAGAACAGAACGCTTTTGAAGATACTAAAATAACTGATATATATTATTGTGGGAAGAACACTCTTAGCTCTACTTCTTTGGCTAGAACGGATGTAAAAATGCATGTTTCAGCATATTTCCCACATCAGCAACTAAATTTTTAGGTTGTCCGATTGTTGATAGAACATTTACATGTCCAGATTATCTATGTCTTAATTTGATCGATCAATCATTTATGGATTGCCCATCATTGAATAATTGTATCTATAGTCATTTTTATCCAAGTATTTTGTTATATACTGTAATGATTGTAATGTAAATCGAAAATTTAAATTTCGAAATTAATTTTTTAGTACTGGCTTGCTTTAGCTCACGTCTAATTTCTTGCTAGGTTTATTCAAGATTCCAATGTTTTTATTCAGATATCTGTTAAAATCATTATTAGCAATAGAATCTAGTGAAATTCGTATGAGTTTTGTGAGGAAAATAACATCTTTGAACTATAGAAATACTATCTTGATAGTTTAAATACTCTTCAATATTTTAGTGTCTAAAATTTGACAAAAAATATCAAAAAAAATTGATGGAAGGCACTAAAGTTATTGGTCATACAAACAGTTTTTATAAAGCAACTGCTGGAGATATCGTTATTGGCATTGTTGACAGGAAAAATGGCGATGACTGGCTTGTTGATATTGGATCTAGTCATAATGCTTATCTTCCTGGCATGGCATTTGCCGGAGTTACAAAGCAAACTGCACCAAAATTCGATAAAGGTGATCTTGTTGTTGCCTGGGTAGAACAAGTCCCAGAAGCAGGAGAAGTTCTATTGAGTTGCCTTCCTAGAACGCAAAATGAAAAACTAGGCAGACTTACAGGTGGAACAGTCCTTAGACTTAGACAAAACGATATGAAATTGCTAGATGAAATAGAATTTGACAAATTAGTTGCAGCCAAGTCAAAATTAAATGTCGCACCTGGAATGAACGGGAGATATTGGTTCGAAACAGAAAATTCTATTGCTGACGTTCAATTACTAAGTTTACTTAAATCTTCTCTTTCTCAGCCAAATCCAAAGACTGCATTTGAAGATGGACTTCAAAACATTCGCTTCAACTAATTCTATAGACTGTTATTTACTCATATAATAAAAATACAATTTTAAAATCTCTTTGTTTTTTAATTTAACTCTTGACAAGCAATATTTACTGTTATTTACTCTTAATAGCTTTGCAATTGTTAAAATTTTTTCAAAAAATATCAGTTTCATTAGCTTGACATTCTATAATGGAAAGTCTATCTATGTTGTTCATTGTCCGAATTCATGCTTTTAATGGCGTTATAGGATATTTGAATGATAAGTAGTAGGATAGGGCGGGGTGTGTGACTTTTTTTGTAAACGTAAGAATTCATACAATATCGAGCGATTTTGTATCATTTTTTTAACATATTATTTTTAAAAATAATTTATTTTTTTATTCTTACATAAATGACCCAACAAGTAAAACCAGATAAAATAGATTATCGAATTTTAGAGGATGGTGTTCCTGTTTATATTCAAAGATTTAAAGGGAAGCAATATTATAGAATTGTTAATCCTGAATATCTTAAACATATATTTAAAAAGGAAGACTGTGAATTATTAAACGCTAATGAATATGAAAATGCTAAATCAAAACTGAGATATAAATATATTGGAAGTGATGAAAGGTGTAAAGATAAAGATAAAGTTTATTCAGTTTCATATAATGAATGGAAAACCAATAAGATAAGAAAACATTTAGGAGATTATGGGAAATGTTCTGAATTCTTTAAATCTAGTATATACGAGAGAGTAAAAGAAATTAGAAATAATTATTTTCATGAATAAAAAATAAAAAAATAAAAAAATAAACTTTAAAAATTCATGTCTTACATTTTTGAATAATTTATTTTTATTTTGTATGAAATGAGCGTCAAAACTAACAACGTTAAAAAATTAGGATTCACAAACGAGGAAATAAAGGATATATTAGATGAGATGTGTTATGAAGTTAGTAAATATTATTTAAGAAATTGTCAAAAATTTGCCGAGTTATTAAATGATTTAGATTATGATGGAAAAATGAATAAAGATGATGTTATAAATTTCTTATATCCCACATCTGAAGAAGAAAAACCTAAAGAACCCGATGTTTTCCCTGAATATTATGAAGAACGGATTAAAGATGATGATGAATACAATGAAATTGAAAAACTGGAAAAAATAAGAGATGAAATAGATGAAAAAATTAAGGAATTAAGAGAAGTTGAAAAATATAATGAAAATGAAGTAGAGGGTTTAATGAATATCCCAGCTTCAGAATCAGCAGTTCAGAAATCTCATGAAGAAAGATATAAAAATTATGTCTCAGAATCAACACAAAATTTATTAGATGGCGAAATAGATGAAACACTTTCAGAAGAAGGTACTAAATTTATTCGTAAACATAAGTTACAATTTATTGATAATGAAAAATACCCTTGTATCTTACTTTCACCCCCTCTCGATTCTGAGAAATTCAAAAAAGCTCTTAAAAATGTGACATATGCAACTAATACGATTAAGAAAGAAGATCATGATATTTACACAAATTATTATTTAAATAAATGCACAGGTGTTGATAAAGTTTTTGATTTATTAGATAAATATCAAAAGAAACCATTGGAACATATAAAATTTTGTGTGATTGTGGTTTCATTATTGAAGATACTAATAATGTTTCATATGAAAGAACAGCACCGAAGGAAGACGAAGTTGAAAGGTCTATACCATTCGTTATTAAGAATATAAAAGATATGAAAACTTATAAACATTATATTTATTCATTTATTTCAGAAAAAATGGAAGCAACCCATAAAACATCTTTCTCATCATTTTATAGCTATTCATACATTCCTTTTCAAAGTTGTGAAATTAAATAAGACAGGAATTAGATTAATGTATCAGGGTACGCATTCTTGAGTAAATTAAATGTATTCGTCACGTCGCAGATGATAAAAATTTATGTGTTCTTAATTCATTTTATGGGCTTTAAAAAATAAACTTTATTTTTATTTATTTTTTTAATTTTTTATTCTTACATAAATGAACAAAAACGGAACCGCTAAAATGAATGATAATCAAATTAGAGCAGAAGGTAGAAGGTTATTTAAACGCTTCTATAACATTCCTGATGGTGTTAATCCTAAAACTCGTAGAAGTTATTTAAATGAAGCAATAGATTCATATGAAGGGTTTGACATTTCATCAGAAAGTGAGAGATTAGCGAGAATGTTAAATGTTAATATTGATTTCTATTATTGTGATCCTCAACCAGAAGACGTGGACATAAATAAGGTAGACTTTCCATTAGTGGATTCAATAATGATAGATCCAGAATTTGAAACAGTAAATATTTTATTAACACAGAGTCCATGTGGAAAACTTCACGCTGACAGAATAACAGACGTTGAAGCACTCACCGGCTATAGAGTTTGTCCATATTGTAAAGAAGAAGTTTATTCTATCCGTGATGATCCAGAAAGGAAAAACCAAAGAAGATTTTTAAAGCATTGTGAGAAATGTAAAGAAAATAATGGAAGATTAATTCAAGACGTTCAATTGCAAAAGACACAGCAACCATATGCACCACATATTACGAAACAGAAGATATATCAGTGGTTATTAGCTCACAATTTGCAGAAATATTATAAACCGACAAGATATTATATTACTTTTGACTTTGAAACATTAGAGACTAAAGAAGAATTACAACTTTCTGAGTGTGCAACTTTGAATGCTTACTTAAAACCATTCATGGTATCATCAACGGTTAAATTAAATGATAAAACGTATACGAGGAATTTTTGCTTAACTTCGAGTGATTCTTTTATTTCTGACTGGATTGAATTTTTATTTTCAACCTGTTCATTAGTTGCTAAATCAAATATTGAACAATATGAAGAATTATTGAAGCCGCAAACGGCGGGGACTTTGTCTCATACATTAAATGAAAAACAGAAGGAAGCATTTAAAGAACTTCTAGATGAGGAATTCAATAAAGTGAATATCATAGGTTTTAATTCGGGAAAGTTTGATTTAAATTTATATCTTCGTGATTTAAACACTGCAAAATGGAAAATAAAATCAATGCTGGGTTCATCTTCACAATTTAAGCAAATCATTGTAAAGAAAACAAACGTTCCATATGAATTGAGATTTATTGACATCAGAAATTATATAGCGGGTGGAACATTAGACCAATTCACTCAAGATTTCGGAAATAATAAAACACGTGTTAAATCCTTTTTCCCTTATCAATTCATCACGTGGGAAAATTACGAAGAAGAATTATATAAAGTGGAACCATTCACTCAAGATTCATTTTATTCAGCATTAACTCAAGAAACTATATCAGATAGTGATTATCAAATATATCTCAATGATGCTAAAAATTTTAAGAATAGATTAGAATATTTTATTCATTATTGCAATAAAGATGTTGAAATTATGATAGAACCAATTGATAAAATTATCGAAGAAACATTTGTTTATAAAATTGACATGCTTCATAATCTTTCTTTATCATCGAATGCTTCAATGATTCGTTACGCTTTAGCATATAAAGACTTTAATCCTAATGAAAAATATCCTGAGGAAGAGATAGAATCAAGTTTTGAATTAACGAAAAAGTATTGGAAATATAAAATTGAATCATATAAGAAACAAGATGAAAAAGCAGAAAGGGATACTAAAAATAATGTTTCAATGGATGATTTTCAATACTATCACGATTTAATCCTTTCATCTAAATGCAAAATGTGTGGTAAAGCGTTTACATATGCAAATAAACCAACATTGGATAGAATCGATAATGAAAAACCACATACCAAAGAAAATTGTCAGTTAATGTGTTGTTATTGCAATGTCGTAAAATCAAATAAAGATGAAGATGTTCAACGTTTAAGAATCAATTTAAGAAATTATGCATTAAAAAATAATTTACCAATGACTTTAGATTCAGTTGAAGCTTATCACATTCTCCGTAATGGAATTACTGGTGGTTTATCAAATGTTCAACATAGAGTAAATCTTAAAGGAATCACGCACATTAATAAACTTTCATATAATCCAGAAACTAAAACTGTATCAAATGAGGACACCACCAACATTATGACTCATTTCGTTGGTGTTGATTTTAATTCATTATATCCTTCATCATTTTCATCTAATCCTCATGATTTCATTCAATATACTGACCATAAAATGTATATGCCGGGAAGATTGAATGGTGTTATCATTTGTGATACAGCAACAAAGAAAGCAAAAGCACTGGGAATAATTAAGAAGAAAAATACTTTATTCGTTGCTGAAGTAAAGGGTCACATTGATGAAAAATACATTAATGATTACATAAACTTTTTACCGATAATAAGAAACTTAGATATTATCACAGATGGAAAAACAATTGGCAGTTTTATGTATAATTACATGAAATCAAACAATCTACCAGTTGACCAGAAACAGAGGAAATTAACTCAGTTAGCATCAACACACAACCAATATCAACCATTTTCTTCTTATTATCTATGGTATCTAATCGACATGTTTAATTTTATCATTGATGATATTCAATCAATTTTAACATTTACGAAAAACACTTGTTTTAATGAATTTGCGAACGAATTTATGAACGAAAGACAAAAGGCTGAATTAGAAGGAAATAAAGGAAAAAGTTTATTTTGTAAGATTTCGCTTAATGGATCATATGGTTACGATGCAATGAATACACAAAATTACGCAAAGACTAAAATAATGAATGCACAGAAGGCACGCGTTGCATGTATGTCAAATAAGTTTAAAAACATAAGAGAAATAGGTGAAGATACATATCAAGTGATGCTCAAAGATAGATTTTATAGATGTGATACATGTTTACAAGAGGCATTTTTTACTTTAGATAATGCTAAATACTGGTATTTAGTTTTCATTTATGATTTTATGTATAAATGCATGAATCTTAATCGTTTTCATTTCATTGAAGGTGATACTGATTCATCTTATTGGGCTATTGCTGGCGATCCAAGTCTTCCTAACACTCAAGCATTTCAGGCGATTGTAACCGATAAAAAATTTTATGATAAAAACATTTTCAAATTCGCACCATTTGATTTCTTCTGTTTTGATGAGAAATTTAAACCTAAATTAAAGAATAAAGCTGAAGAAAAAGCACATGAGAAAAAATTATTGGGTTTAGCAATTGAGAAACAAGGTGATAACATGGTTGCTTTATGCCCTAAGTGTTATACTTCATTTAATGGAATGATAGGTGAAGACTCCTTCAAAAAGATTGCACAAAAAATGAAAGGTGTTAGTTTACGACAAAATAAACAATTAACACCTAAAAATTATTTGGATATAATAAATGATAAATTGATATTTGATGGTCAGAATATTAATTTACAACTTAAAAATGGGTCAATGACTCGCTTAACAATCGGTAAGACTGCATTAACAGGAGCACACACTAAGGCTGTATGTTGTGAAAATGGATGTTGTATGCCATTTATTTAATACAATTTAAAATTTTATTTTTAATAAAATGCCACAGAAGAGACAAAAGGAACCGTAAATAATGGTTTTGATACTATGATTCAAAGAGGCGGGCACCCTTAAAACACTTATTTTATTTTTATATAAATGAATAGCGTAGATTTAAAAAATTTAATTGATGATTTAGTACTTAATCAAAATTTTCTTAATTATTATGAATTAAAATCATATCTCCAAAAACATGATAACAATATAACGGGTGATGATATGGATTATTATTATCCGTATTATAAAAATGAAGTTTTGAAATATCATGATAAAATAATTTCTAAAATTAAAGACAAAATTAAAAATAATGAATATTCAAAGGGAAAAACTAAATCACAACTTAAACAATTGAAAGATTTCAAAAATAAAGTATTAACAGAAGAAGATATTGATGAATTATATAAATTATATAAATTATATAATCCTGAGCCGCAAAAACCAAAGGAACAAAAACAAAAGGTGCAAAACGCCCAGGTCCTTCAGACCATAAATGAAGCACAAGCTTTAATTTATGATTCATTAGTTAAACCATATTCAGCCCGACTTTTAAATGAAGATCAACTTTTGGAATTCATCCTTCAACATAAACTCGAAGCGGGAAAGTATATCAAACCTTTATATACAGCATATTTAAAACAAATGAATAGAATACATCCAGAATTAATGAAGGGGGGAATGAAATCCAAAATCAAAGCAGATAAAATTAAACCACCTGCAACACCAAACCCTCCAACGACAGTACCTCCTCCTCCTTCAGTTAATCCTTCATCATTCACTTTATTATATCCATTTCAAACATTAAAGAAGCAAAAAGATTTTAAAAAAGATTTCAAAATATTAAATAAACCAACTGACCCAAAAATTCAACCGTTAAAGGAAAAATTTAGTCGCCCTTCATTTGCTCCATATCCATATTCATACGAAATCGATCATCTGGAATATTCAAAAGGAAACGTTACTTATTTATTTGCCATTAACATTAACACTAGATATTTATATTGCATTCCGGTGAAAGGGAAAACAGAACAGGAAACAAGAAGAGCTATACAATACTTACTAGATCATGAAAGAGTAGATAATATCAGGGGTGATGGTGATAAAGGATTTCAGGCAGCTATGGCTCATTATTTCCCACAAATTAATTTTTACTTCTCATCCTCTCCATATACGTTTCATAATAAAATAGTTGATGCGGTAATGAGAACTCTTAGAGATGCGTTAGGGGTTAACGGTCAGATATACTGGGATGGAAATCATGACTCCATCATACAACAGTTAGTATATTATTACAATAATACATGGCATAGAACAATAAACATGAAACCAGTGGAAATGAAAAATGATATTTCAAAAGAATGGGAATATATTAGAAAGCAAATGGAAAGGTTGAATGATGTTAAACGTGAACAAATTAATTCGGGGCTCATGAATTTTAAACAAGGGGATAAAGTTTTGATTCATCTCGATTATGGAAAAACTGATAAATCAATGACAAAAAGAAGACGAAGATTTGACACAATAGCTGAATTTGTTAGATATATTAACGGCAATGCATTAGTTGAAGTTGACAATAAATTAATAGAAATTCCAATTTATTTTATTACTCCATTATATTTAAATAATATTTAATTTTTTTATTTCGTAAGAAATGAGTGACAACAAAGCAGCCAAGAGTCCTGATTTAATTAAGATTCAGAGTCCAGAAGATGAATATAAAAAGAAACTAAACAGAATTAAATCAAAAATATGCTATTACAAAAAGAAGCCGCAATGCGGTGGGGCTGATGCCCATAAAACTAATGGAACTGAAAACGATAAAGAGAAGAAGGAAATAATCGAAAAATTAGAAACTTATCGTTCAATCCTTAAACTGAGTGAAGCAAAAATAAAAGAATTTAATAGAATAAATAAATTGATTGGAAGAGATGAATTTAATAAAGATGAATTTTTAAACTCTATCCAAATTTAATTTTTATTTTTCTTTGACAACATCTCTCTTTCCATCATTACTGCATAACCACATTTTCTCAGTTTTAGTGGTTTGTTATTTTTAGCAAGTTCTCGCATCATTTTTATCGTTTCCTCCCTTGTTATGATTCGTGGTAAATTTTGAGCTTGTGGGGTATCCATTTATATAAAAATAAAAATTTGTTATCAGTTATTTTATCGTAAATGTTTTTAGGTTATTCAATAATTAATTATTTTTGAAGAACTGAAGGTGCTACCATGTTACCATGTGCTACCAGGTTAATTAACTTCTCTGAAAAAGTGTGACAACATGACATTTTGACAACAACACAGGAGGAAGGCACTTATGAATTATTTTTGAAGAACTGAAGGTGCTACCATGTTACCATGTGCTACCAGGTTAATTAACTTCTCTGAAAAAATGAGACAACATGACATTTTGACAACAACACAGGAGGAAGGTATTTATGAATTATTTTTGAAGAACTGAAGGTGCTACCATGTTACCATGTGCTACCAGGTTAATTAACTTCTCTGAAAAAATGAGACAACATGACATTTTGACAACAACACAGGAGGAAGGTATTTATGAATTATTTTTGAAGAACTGAAGGTGCTACCATGTTACCATGTGCTACCAGGTTAATTAACTTCTCTGAAAAAGTGTGACAACATGACATTTTGACAACACAGCAGGAGGAAGGCATTTATGAATTATTTTTGAAGAACTGAAGGTGCTACCATGTTACCATGTGCTACCAGGTTAATTAACTTCTCTGAAAAAGTGTGACAACATGACATTTTGACAACAGTCCTGGAAATTTGATGCAGTCCAAAAATAAAGTTAGTTTTAAAATTATTTTTATTTTTTTATTCCTATATAAATGACAGCAACAAACAACAACAGCAACTATATCGTTTCTGATGAAAAAGTTATTGATTCATTAGCTGAGGAATTAGTTGTGGCAGAAACTAAAACCCTCAACGAAAGAATTGGTGAAAACAAGATTGATTTACATAACTACCTCAAACACGATGGAGGAAGAGGAAGGAAAACTGGTATGGCTTTATTAGTAAATAAAATTTCAAATTTAACGATTATAGATGTTGATATCAATAAATCATACAATGATGAACTTAAAGAAACAGTTAGAAAAGATATTTTATCAAAACTTTCGGATAAAGATGTTATCGTTAAAACCGCTTCAGGAGGTCTTCACATTTATTGCAACACTAATTTCTTCTATTCAACCTCGAACAGAATGATTAAATGTTATTCCTGCAATGATTATGATATTGATATAATGACTTCTATGGATGATTCAAAGCGTTCATTAGTAGTCATGGCTGATTCAAGAGTTCGCAAGAATGCAACACAACCAATCAATACATACTCATTCATTCGTGGAAGTTACGATTCAACATTAACCAGAACAGTGAATGATATATTAAATGATTTGAATATTAAGGTAAGAGTTGAACAGAAGAACGAAGAAATAAAGACTATTATGAATGAAAACAAAGATGTAAACATTGACGATAAACTTGCCCAGAGCATAGTTGATGGCATCTGTGATTTTGAAGTACATAATGACGGTGGAAACATGAATTTAGAAAAAGAAGTTACATTATTCACACTGTTTCAAGCTATTAATTCGTTACCTAATCATTTGATTAATGAAGCATACGATAACGTTTATAACTTCTGCAGTTTAACTGAAAATGCAAAAAAATAATTTTGAAAAAGCACGTGGTAGATATGCACATTTAATGACTTCTCCATTTGTTTTGGTAAAGATTCTAAAACTATATCAAAAGGAATATTATGATGAATATGTTTTGCCTTTATTACGTAAGCCAAAAATAACATTTGATATCAAACTTGATGACTCGTTTTTGATAACAGATATTAGACGCAAGGCTGAAAATCATCAGTATAAAAACAGTTCTGAAGTAATTGAGGATTTATCACGTGTAATCCGTTTTGTAGATTGTGGAAACAAATACTTCATTCAGAAAGATTATAATATCCACGACAAAATGAATCAAATATCATTCGTTCTTCAATCAAACATGAAAGAGTCACTTAAAATGATTAAATTATTTAAAGAAGAAGGTAAAACAATAACAGCATGGGACGTACTACTAAATCAATTGTCTTCATTAACTGTTAAGGGTGTTTGCTTTAAATCTGATTCTCCAGATGTTTTCTCAACGTTTCAGGGTTATAAATACAACATTCTCGAAAAGCTTGATTACTCAAAAATTGAGATGTTTATGAATTTCATTAAAGAAGCCATTTGTGATAATAACGATGAAGTGTATAAATACCTTCTCAGCTGGATTGCATCAATGATTCAACATCCTGGAATCAAGAATGAAACAGCAATTATTTTGAAAGGACTTCAGGGAACAGGTAAAAACAGATTTACAGACATTATTTCTGAACTTCTCGCCGGTTATTCATGTAAAAACATTACTGAAATAAGTGAGCTAACGGGTAATTTCAATTCAGTTGTTGAAAATAAAATGTTTCTTGTACTTAATGAACTCAAGAATGTAGGTGAAGACAGACTTGCAAACTTCAACGCTTTGAAATCAATTATAACGGATAATGAGATTAGAATTAATGAAAAGAATCAACCCAGAAGAACTGCTCAGAATGTTGCAAACTTCATTTTGGTAACTAATAACGTCTACCCTGTCAAAATTGAAGTTGGAGACAGAAGATACGTAGTTTTAAGGGTTAATGGTAAATTCAAGGGTCAATTTGATTACTTCAAGAATTTGATGAATTCATGCACAAAGGAATTTTATGATAACCTTTTAACATATTTTATCAATTACGACCTTTCATCATTTAATGTACGAATCATACCGATGACTGAAGCCAAACAAGATTTAATTGAATTATCAACAAATCCTTTAGATGTATGGATAAATACACATTATGATGAATTGTGTGCAGGTATGACGTGTAAAAATGCTCTATTCTGCAAACCATCAGACATGAAAGACAAGAATTTTCAAATGAGCATTAAGGATAAATGTGATAGGAAACATAGAAGAATAGACGATAAACAAACATGGTGTTATGTTTTGAAAGAAGAAATGAAAGGATTATATAAACAGGTTGAACCAAACGATAATGAGGATTCATTTACTGACGATGAAATACCTGTAAATGAAGCTTTATAAAGTATGATTTGAATTTATTTTTGCATTAATCCTCCTGTGTTGTTGTCAAAATGTCATGTTGTCTCATTTTTTCAGAGAAGTTAATTAACCTGGTAGCACATGGTAACATGGTAGCACCTTCAGTTCTTCAAAAATAATTCATAAATACCTTCCTCCTGTGTTGTTGTCAAAATGTCATGTTGTCTCATTTTTTCAGAGAAGTTAATTAACCTGGTAGCACATGGTAAATGGTAGCACCTTCAGTTCTTCAAAAATAATTCATAAATACCTTCCTCCTGTGTTGTTGTCAAAATGTCATGTTGTCTCATTTTTTCAGAGAAGTTAATTAACCTGGTAGCACATGGTAACATGGTAGCACCTTCAGTTCTTCAAAAATAATTCATAAGTGCCTTCCTCCTGTGTTGTTGTCAAAATGTCATGTTGTCACACTTTTTCAGAGAAGTTAATTAACCTGGTAGCACATGGTAACATGGTAGCACCTTCAGTTCTTCAAAAATAATTCATAAATACCTTCCTCCTGTGTTGTTGTCAAAATGTCATGTTGTCTCATTTTTTCAGAGAAGTTAATTAACCTGGTAGCACATGGTAACATGGTAGCACCTTCAGTTCTTCAAAAATAATTCATAAATACCTTCCTCCTGTGTTGTTGTCAAAATGTCATGTTGTCTCATTTTTTCAGAGAAGTTAATTAACCTGGTAGCACATGGTAACATGGTAGCACCTTCAGTTCTTCAAAAATAATTAATTATTGAATAACCTGAAAACCATTAACGTAAACATGAGACTTTGTCACCGGACTCTTTGAGTCACTTAACGTAAACATTTATTTCTGCAGTTCATCCATTACTTCATTACCTAATTAATTACAGACATAAAATATATTTAGTTCATTCGGTAAGCCTTGACCCAAAAGTCTGGGCTCAAGCACATTCAATGAACGCGGTACCATGCGAATACAGTCACAAATGGTGGCATGTAATCTTTACCCGAGCCTGTTGGATTTGTTGTGAAAGTGTGTGAATGATTTCCTGAGGTTCCACAGAAAATACCTGTGCTTGAATCTACTGGGTCAGTTGTGATATCATATCTATTCATTCCCCATCTATCCGAACCCGCTGCAAGATTTATATAACCTCCTTTTGTTATTGAATGTGAATGATTTCCTGTTGTGTTTGTCGTTCCTGTATGAGTGTGCGGTGGAAGGTTTGCTTCTTTAATTTTCTTCGAACCTCCTGTTTGCTTTGAATATCTAGCACAGTATAAGAATTTATCTACAATCTGCTTCCACATACCAAAACCTAAAACTGTTGATGGATTTGTTGCGTTCATTGATGTATAAATAGAACCAACAGGATATAATGTTTGAAGTATTTCATTTTTCATGCTTGTAATCACATCATTTACTTCCGACTTCTTTGCATAATTTTCATCAACATATGTTTTATCTGCTTTAAGGTCTAAACATCCTGAAACCCATTCTGTATCAGCTTTAACTTTAAAAGTCTCAAATGTCCATTCATGATACCATTCAACCTTTTCTTTAATTTCATTATCTTTTCATCAACATAAACCAAATTTGCCTTCTTATTTAACTCACTATCCACATATTCCTTATCCACCTTCTTCATTATGTCATTTAGGAAACCTTCTATGAATTCCTCATTTAAATTAAATCTTCCAATCTTCAAACTTTAGGAAATGCATTTAATGCGTAATATCTCTGTTCTTCTGGTGGAATTGATGTTATATCATCCGTTATTCCTTTTATTTTTGAATTCATAAATAAAATTTCTTTTATATTTGATATCACTGCACCACCTTTGCAAACGAATTCGAAACGGTCATTTTTCAATACTATCTCCAAATCTCCATATTTCAACCTTTGCGTTTGTTCTGCCGTCTTTGAATTATATGCATATATGGCGTATGTAATGGTCTGAAGGACCTGGGTGCTTTGCGCCTTAAGTTGCTGTTGTTTAATCATTTATTACGATTTAAAAATAAATATTTAATCTGTTATCTCATCAGCTATTTTCTCTATTTGAAATTGCCATAATATTTCATTCATGAATTCTAAATCACAATCAAATAGGTCAGTTATTCTAAATTTAATATTTGATAAATCTTTTGAATGAAGAATAAATGAATTCCCGGATAATTGAAACGGATATGATAAAGAAAATGTGTTTAAGTTGATGGATAAAATGTTTTGTATTGATGGGTAAGAGTTAGGGTCTAATGTTTGATGTGAAAATCTCATTGGGGTATTAACTTTATCACATTTGATTAAAATGAAATTGGAACCAGTGTCAGAATACAAAACATCCCCAACATCTTTTTCAAAATTTAATATTCCCAACAATGAACGAAGATGAGGAGTACAAAATTTAATTTTCAGCGGGAATTTAATAAGGTTATTTATTTCATCAAGTTCAAAAAGTTTATCAGGTTTTGATTTAAAATTTTCTTCATACCATACGATAAATGATTCATTTAAATAACTTAAAATCATGTTAATATCCCATTTCGCTATCACATTATTTATATACATATCATACGTTTTTTCATGGTCATCTTTAATAAATGATATATAATCTGAAGGGTCTAAAAGAATGGGATTAAATTTACCACTCACAGAAACGAGAGTAACATTATAAATTCCGCTAACTGTTAAATTTAATTCACAGCTATTATTCGAAATAATATTGATAATTGACATTTTTATTACGATTAAAAATATGGTAAAGCGTTATTTTCCAGTGATAAATAAAACTAGAATAAGATTACCTCAAGAATTCATAAATTCAACGAATAAGAAATTCATTCATGTTATAAATTTTAGTGTTTTCAGAAAATATGAGTCAATGTCATATTCATCAACAGGTTATATTTCACTTCATTCAAATTTAGTTCAATCAAACCCATATAATGACCATTTCATAAGATTTTCAGATGGTATTAAAAATGTAATTGATAGATTAAAATATGAACAGATTGACAATATCGAATTTTTGGAATTTTGGTTTAAATATCCCGATGGAAAAAAGATTGAAGTTAAAGATAAAGCTGATACTATAACAAAAACAATTACAATGACCGATCCAGATAGTGGGGAACAAAAAGAAATAAAACAAACGATAGAAACTGGTGAAAGGTCAATTATTATTGATTATGATTCAAAGGATTATTATTCGATAATGTTAATGCTTGAATATTAAATAGCCTTAACAAAGAATTTTTCAAGTGATATTTTATATTCATCAACTATTTTATTATAAATATCATTATGTTAAATGAAGTTCAGTTGTTGTTCCGTTCTTTGATATCTTAATTGTGCTAATATCCTTTATAGGATTTATTTTTGCAACTGTTCCGCAGCATGAAACCTCATCATCTATGAAAAATTGAATCTTAACGTCTGAATCTTGAACATCACAAAGAATGGCGATAATGTGAATTAATGATTCATAAGGTAAAATAATTAAACCGGATTGATCAATTAAATTTATTATTGAATCATAATTATTAATTATTATATCACGGTAAATTTTCATTAATTCAGAATTAATGTCTATTTTATATGGGTTCTCGATGTTTGATGAAAGAGGTGGGGGTATGTTGGATAAGTGGGAATTTCAACAGGTTCTTTACCGGGTTCAGATAAAATGATTGGGTCTCCATTCTCATGGTTTTCTTCATTCTTCATTCTTCGGTAAGTCACGAGTTAATAAATTTGGTTGAGTTGCTGACCTTGTTAATTCAGGGCTAACATTAACTTTAACATTTTGAATAATTCGTGATTTATCATCATTTACGTTATAACCAACCGTAATCTCTGCTTTTGCGTTAGTGTTCTTTTGACTAGTGAAACGTCTTCTCATTTATATTCGAAAAAAAAATATATTTAAACTTTTATTTTGCTGGAACTTTTGAATCTATTATTCCCTGTATTTGTTCATGAAGTGATGATTTTTAGCTGTTTCATCGAAATTAATAGACCGAATATATTCATTAATTGCATTCTTATAATCATCTGATTTCTCAAATTTTCTTTTATCTGATTCCTTAACTAAATCATAAGTTAAACCACGTTGCTGATATAATGGTTTCTTAATTAAATCTTTGAATGCTTGAGATAAAGCACCTGATGCAATTCTTGCTACTATAATTGGTTGGAATTGCTGTTTAAGTTCATCTTTAACATTTGCGAAAACTGGATCGAATAAAGCAACTTTAAAGAATTTCTTAGCTGAAATTTCAGGTCTAATATTTGCATATTGACCATCAAACTGGTTAGAATATCGTGGTAATCCATCCGGTCCCTCTTCAATAGCATTTAATTCTTCATTGAAATAAGAATATGGATTATGACGGTATGAATTAATTGGACCATTTTCACCTTCTCCAATGTATTGTTTAACAGCTTTTCCATTTTCATCAAATTGCATAGGATAACGTTCATTATATGCTTTACGTTTAGGATAATCAGATATAGTTAATTTATAACCATTTATGACTTTAATATTACCTTGACCATCAGTAACGAAAACTTCATTTATACCATCAGGTTTTCCATTTGGACCCGTAATGTCTGCTTCGTGTGCTTCCCAATTTGGACCTTGACGTTTGGCATATGCTTGAGCTTCTGGTAATGTTAAAACGTTTCTCATTTGTTTAACATCTTTTTGAAGACCAGCAACAATATGAACTAATTCTTTCATTCCATCAGGAACTTTCATAGTTCTATTATATGCACCCTTTTTGTTTGTCCCTTGTTTTAATGGAACCTGTAGAAGATTTACCATTTCAGTCATGTTTAATTATAAATAAAAAATAAAAATTAATTATAAAAAGTTAATCAAATTTAACACTTCCTTTATTTAAATCAACTATTATTTTTCCATGTTCACCTAATTGCTGATATTGTGTGTAAAGTTCATTAATGCTCATTGGTAAATTCACTTGATAAAGCATAACGTTCAACTGTTGACGACTAAACCCACTGAAAAGGGTTGATAGATTTGATTTAATGTTTGTGCTTAATGCTTTGAAGTATTGAACAGCCATAAAGAATGAACACTGAATGTGTCGACATTGAGTTAATAACTGATTAAAATATGATTTCTCATTTGTTATTAGTTTTGATTTCACTGCATCATCTAGAAAAATGAGTGAATGCAAAAATTCTCTATCAAAATTTGAAATAGAAAGTGTTTCAAATAATTCATCCCGTTGTTTATCAATAATTTTATCCTCTAATCCTTGCTTCTTGATTGTATTATATAATTCTTTATACATTAAAAAGTTTTTTAAATAATCTTCTGCTTCTTCTTGTGATAAATAAATAATTGGAATTTTGATTAAATGCTTTAAAGATTCAAATGTATCATCTGAAGGTGAACCTGAACGGTTGATATAAATTAACACATGTGAATGGGGGGAAGTGTTAGCAATAATGATAATTTGTTTTAATATCGTTAATGTTTTACCTTTATTTTGTTTACCAATTGCTGCAGTGATTGAATTTAAGTAACATTCAGAATATGGAATTTTCATTAATTTTTCCTTAGATAGAGCATTTCTATTATCACTCAATGCTTCATTAATCATATCATCTACGTATGTATTATATACTCCTGCTAATTCTTCATAAGGGTGGATGAATTTAAATCCATTTAATCAAAAATAAATTTATAATTTTAAACATTTCTATTCATCAATATTTCATCATATGAACTTCTATACTGTGGTGGTGTACCTGTTGGATGATATTTCAAACCTTCGTCCGGTGTCCATGTCCAATACGTAGTCCTAGTAAACCAACCTGAGGAGGATTTTGTCACCTTTGAACAGTAAGTGTCATTTTCACCCTGAATGATTGGATAAGCTTTCACTTGTACTGTAACTTGTGATTGAAAGTTTCTAATCCATCAAGAATATACCCGCTCCATCACGTTGAACTGGAATAGTGCATAAGAATGAAGTTTGGTCTTTCCATGTTCTAGCTAATGGCGTGCCATTATCATCATTCAGTGGTCTAGTTAATGAGTCCTCATATTCTTCTGTGCATTCATTCACTCCATCTAATCAGAAGCTTGAAGCATACGTGTAAAGAATATGTCACCCACTGTGGTCATCGCTTGATCGGGGAAGTTTCTGGAATCTATAGTGACCTGAAGACCTCGAAGCATTGGATTTTCTAAAACTGTTCTTTGCATTGCATTCTTCGGAAATGTTAACACAACATCTGTAACATTATGAAGAGCGTATGAGAAATCTGAGCTAATACCTTCAGGAGTGATGCAACCTCCATTTAGTGAACGAACGTCAATATGTTGAGCTGGAATCATGATGGATCTTCCTTACTGAATAAACGTGGTATTGCTTTAACTGATTCTTCAATTAAACCGTATCCTGGTGTAATGCATTTATCCTCTAAACTTCCATCTTTGTGCAGAAATAATAACGTCATCAACTGTTGCGTTAGCAGATGTAGCGGCTAAGCTTGTAATTAATTTGGCAGGAAGTCCGATTTGTTGGAATTTGCGATCATATTTATAAACATGATTCATAATCTTTTCATAATTTTCATCAGTTATCTTTTCATAAACGTAATTTTGTAAATCAGCAACTCTTAACGGGTCAACCTGACAAAATACTAAAGTATCCCTGAAAACATAATATTTAAGAATGATTTCACCAAATGATTTAGGATAATCATCGAACGCCTGAAATGCTAACAAATCATTTACCGGAATAATCATATCAAAAGTGACATCAACTTCTTCATTTGCATTCTTGAAAACTTCTGAAGGGTCAATATATTTACCACATACTGAGTTATCATATTTTTGAACATTATTATATAACGAATGAACAAACTTTTTAACTTTCCTTTCTGATTTTGGTTTATATGTTGCAAATGCGAAAGATTCACGGGCACAATCCATCTGAAGATAACCAGCATCACCTCTTTCGGTTTCTACTTCTAATTGTTTAAAGCTTTGATTTGATGATTTGTAACCAACGAATAAACGCATGCATTTAAAAGCGGCATCACATGTGAAAGCTTTATTTGAAACTAGAGTTGCTTTAACTTTGCGTTTAATATATGTGTCACCTAATTGGTTCACATCATGAGCCGGATTTGTAATTCTTAAATGAGTTTGTTTATCATCAAAATATGGAGCATCAGAGTCATAGCATGAACTTTCAAGTTCTCTATAATATCTTCTACCGTCATTCTTTGCGAATATTTCATTTATCTTTTCGAATGAATGAAACACATTTCCATTAATCGGTTTAGTGTTTGGCACCAAATAGTTAGTCGTCATTTATTATTAAATAAAAAATCAAAATTAAAAGATGAAAATGAATTTTTAATTTTAATGAAATAATCAACTATGGCTGCAGGTATATTTAAGAAACTGTGGGATAAAGTAAAAAGAGGAGCGCATAAAGTTTGGGAAACAATGAAGAAAGGAGCAAATTGGATATTTAAGAATAAAGAAGCAATTAGTGACGTTGCTGAATCAATAACGCCAAAAGCCGCCCAATAAGAGAAATATTAAATAAAGGAGAAAAAGTTTATCAAAGACTACAACCGATACTAAGATAAAAATAATTTTAAAATAATATTTATTTTTCCACTATCTACCCCCTATTTTATTAAGTATTCCTTCAGCAATTCCACCAACTGCGTTACCTGCTTGTGCTCCCATCGCCGGATTACCTGCTTTAGTACCTAATACTCCACCTATGATAGTTCCTGCCGTTTTCGCTACTGGTGCCAAAAAGTTTGCAACGGGTTTAATAATATTTTTATGAACCCAACCTGCAGCTTTCTTAATTCCATCCCATAATTTTTTAAAGAATCCTGCCGCCATTTCTGATTTAATATTAATTAAAAAATATATTTCATCACTTATATTCTAATTTTTATTTAATGATAAATGAAACCGATTTTAAAAATAAATGAAACAGAGGAGGAAGAAATAAATGAAAGTGAAAATGTTCAACAAAAAATAAACGTTGTTAAACCAATTACTGAAATAAAAATTTTTTCATCTGTTGAAGAATTTAATGACTATTATGCTAACAATAAAAAATTATTTGAAGAATTGACAACATGTAAATTGAATAAAATGTTTAAAGTTGATGGATTCAAAATTTCAAAAATAAAAGGAGTGGTTAGTTTGAAATCTATTCCTCAATCAAGAATCACCTCATTAATGAAAATAGATGATTTAACAAAAAGAATAGAAGAGATTGAAGAAAGAGTAAATCAGATAATTGATTTCATAAATTCAAATAATCATTAGTTTCTTAAAGTTCAATGTTGAACTCATCAAATTCTTTTTCTCGTTTATTTTTTTATTTTTTATTCATGAAAATAATTATTTCTAATTTCTTTTACTCTCTCGTATATACTAGATTTAAAGAATTCAGAACATTTCCCATAATCTCCTAAATGTTTTCTTATCTTATTGGTTTTCCATTCATTATATGAAACTGAATAAACTTTATCTTTATCTTTACACCTTTCATCACTTCCAATATATTTATATCTCAGTTTTGATTTAGCATTTTCATATTCATTAGCGTTTAATAATTCACAGTCTTCCTTTTTAAATTGATGTTTAAGATATTCAGGATTAACAATTCTATAATATTGCTTCCCTTTAAATCTTTGAATATAAACAGGAACACCATCCTCTAAAATTCGATAATCTATTTTATCTGGTTTTACTTGTTGGGTCATTTATGTAAGAATAAAAAAATAAATTATTTTTAAAAATAATATGTTAAAAAAATGATACAAAATCGCTCGATATTGTATGAATTCTTACGTTTACAAAAAAAGTCACACACCCCGCCCTATCCTACTACTATGATAATTTTGAAATATCAAGAGAATTTGAAATGAAATTATGTATTTTTCGATAGCATAGCGAAAGAATATATTTATAATCTTGAGTTAAAGCAAATTCGTTAAAAATTTTTAAAATGGATTCTGGGAGGAAACTTAGTCTCGAAAATTTGAGTGCAGTTTCCTCAGCAAGATCAGTTGCAACGCCAGCTTTTGATGAATCCATGCTCACAGACGTAACATTTCCGCTTACTAAACCTTTTATGAAATTAGAATTGAAAGAAAAAGAATCTCTTTTTCTTAAAATGTACGAAGAAACAATCTTATTTATACGAAACAAGGAGTTAAAATGCGATAATACACCAATAATTCAATCATATGAAGATGATCAAATTACACAAATCGAAGAAACGAGAGAGCAGAACTTAGAATCATTTAAAGAAAGCGAAACAAAGCGCCAGCTTACTCAAAGACAATCAAAGACTCTTTCAACACTTCCATCTCGAATTGATAACGGATTTACACCAACATTTGATCCTCTTCTAAACACTAATTTCACATCAAAATTCACTCATATTGAAGAATTCAAAGCATGCATCTCTCAAATTCTTATAGAAAATCGCGCAAAAAAGAGAATTCAACAAATCAATCAATTTTTACGTGAAACAAAGCCCAAAGCCTCATCCAGTCTATCAAATACCATAAGACTGAACTCAAATTTTTCAAAATCAGAACTTTTAAACGTACAAATTGAAATCGCAAACGATCCAATTAAATTCATTATAGATCCTCCTCTTGTCCCTCTATTATACCCTGAGATTAATATTGCTCCTCATTCGCCTGATCATGAATTTCCATTATATGAGCCAACATTAATCGAAAGATTTTCGCTCACTCCGTTCAACAGGACTGAAATCAATGCCTTTGTTCCATTTACTGTTACTCCACCAGATATATTCCCAACCGTTCGTGAAGAACAGCCCATACAAGAAAGAGTTGTTCCTACAACAGAAGAAAATATTTCAATTATTGCTGAACCGACATCATCTCCAACACAATCTGCACGTTCATCAACTAAAGTCAAGCAACAGAGTTCGATGAATTTATCATTTGTTTCACAAACATCGAAAATTGTTCAATATCCACGTGAAACAATTTTATATTCGCATGAACCTCCATCTGAACTTGTTCCAAGGCCAATTGATCTTCCTGATCTTGATATAGAGATTGGAAGGAGCTCTATTATGGCTTTGCAACCTCAAGACTACACTCCAATGATGATGAGTGGAAAATTCAAGAACGTTGCTCCATTTAGTTTCGCTGGAATGATTGGCGGTAAGCTTAAAACAATGTCTGGTCCTGTAGATGTTGATTTGAGAGAAATAGAAGAAGATGATGATATTGATAACATCAATGTTTCTCAGAATCCAAAGCCAATTACAGATTTTCTTACAAAACCAGTTGAAACTAAGAATAAGAGCCACATTTTAACTGAAGCAATCATTGATGGACAAGGAAAGTGGAAAGAAAGGCAAAGAGAAAGTGTTAAGAATCTCACCGAGAGTATTACAGCTATGAATGATTTGATACATGATAAAACAGTTAAGGTAACAATGCCTGACCTCCTTAACTTCCTTCAAGAATAAAAAAATAAATTTCTATGTTTTTATTTAAATATGATAGACTAAATGTTTAAATGGAGCATCCTTATTAAGATTATAACATGTGGTTGATCTAGGTTATTTGTTTCTATGAAAAATTGAAATGAAATTTGAAAATGAATTTCCGATTAAGATATTTGTTAGCTGAAATAGAAGGATTTACTCAATGTTGCTCTGAGTTCATATATCTTTTAAGGAATTACCTTTAATAAAAAAAAAATATTAAATAATCTAATAAAAACAGTTTAAAAACAAAGTAAAATATCGCAAATCTTGGTTGATATTATTGCTATCATATGTTATTTGTCTGAAAATCAAATACAATATGTAAAATCGTCGCATAATGAAAATTGAGAGTATTTCGTAAGATAATGCATTCTTAAATTGAAGGTAAACTGGACCAGGATGTATTTTGAACGTAATTTGATGATGAGAAAGATTTGTAAAAATAAAATTTGAAATGGATTGAATTTGATTAGAAAATGTATGTTTCCTAAGATTATGCATAGTTATACGTATTGTAAATACCTAAAATCATTAAGATTAAGGAAAAATGATCAAATAAATGAAGAAATATAGCTAAGAATTGCGATCCGATTGTCACGTTATGTATGTTAGTTCAATTTCTGGCATTTTTGGTGAATTGATTCGGTCATTTTTTTGAGTTTCTCTAAAGCATCATTTGTTGATGATGTCATTTCATCTAATTCATTTTGTGATGTTTCTAATGTGTCTGCTGTATTGTTCATCTTATTTTCAACATCATATGTTATGATTGAATATAATAAATCTGAATTTTCTTGATGAGCTGATGAAATTCCCTGAACAATTGGTATCACTTGCTTAAAGCACGATGAAACATTTAAGTCGCCAAGCTGCTTATCAGTTAATTGTTTGTTTCCTGATGTATTCGAATTCGCAGCACTCATTTAAAATGAAATTTTGTAAATGCAAAATATTATTGTTAATGGAAGTATATAATTGGGTGATGATCACACTTAGAAAAAAAAGAATCAAATGAAATTTCCCCAATATAATTAGACTTTATCATATAAATCATTCTGCAAAAGAAGTATTGAGAAAATAAGTAACAATAGATTGAACTGAAATTAGATTTTTTAATTAATTTTGATTAAAAAAACTCAATTCGTATCATTTTTGATACTTAATAAAATATTTTGTAGTATTCTTTAAAATAATGGATGTTTGTCATTCCAAAAAATATTCAATTTTCTTATTTTGATTAAATATTCTTATTTTTTATATTCATTTTTGAAATTTTCAAATTTTTTTGGAATTCGAGGGAAGGAATGGAGCTAATTTACAGCAACGATACTAATATAATCAATACAGCAACTCAGAATAACGAGTGATTTCTGAATTAATGAGGTTTATTAAGAGAATTTCAAAATTTATTTCATGAAATATAGAGTTTATAAGGGAAAATCCCCTTACACTGCTTTTGTAATGCTTAATAATATCATATTACATCAATATACTTATCAGAAAGCTCTTATGGTAAACAAAGATAAAGCTTTTTATTTTTTATATAAGCAAAATCAAGTTTAGTTATTCAATATATTATCTAAGATTATTTTCTTTATTTGATGGGATATTAGAAATGATTGTACTATTAAATAGAGTATGGAAAAAATATCATTAGTAATTTATACCTTCTTCTTCATGTACAACTTCCATAGTATATGGCTAATACATATTCATCACCAAAATCAGATAATTACTTTTCTCAGTTTGGCTAAGCTATCTTTTGTTGAATAAATAAACGTCTATTAATTATGGATTCGAGTGTAGAGAGAGAAGCAACAGTTAGGAAATCATTAATCATTCAAAAGGGAGAAATACTGTGCTCGTGCCCTTATGGTGATAGCAGTTATGTTGCTGCAGGTTTATCATCAGGTATTATTAATCTTTTCCCATGTAACGGATCGAAAAAAGTAATAAAACTTAATGGACATAAAGGAGCTATCACATGCCTTGAAACATGCATGAAAGATCCATACTTAGCATCAGGAAGCGTTGATGGCACAGTGAGATTATGGGTTGGAAATGAGCAACGCGATTCTACATCAATTAAATTAGGCGAAACACCAATTTCATCTATCGCACTTTCTGATAAATTCGATAAACTACTTGTCTCTTCGGAAAATACAGTATCTATCTGGGATCCAGCACATTGCTCTAAAATAATCGACTTAGAGCAACATCCTAATCACATTTCTTCCGTTTCTTTATCAAGCGACGGACTTGTTGCATTAACAGGATCTTTTGACGGAACTTTCAGGTTGTTTGATCTCAGAAGTGGTACAATAGCAAACAAATTGGATATCGGAAACCCAATTACATCTACATCAATTAGGCAAACAGGCACTGCAGTTGCTTGTGGCTGTGAAAATGGTAATGTTTTCCTTTGGGATACAAGAACCCAGGCATTTCTTAACAAAGACCCGCTTCACCATGGAGCAGTTACTTCCATTGATTTCCATCCTTCTAAATTCCTTCTTCTTACAGCTTCAACAGATAATCTTATTGGAATTTGCGATGCTGATAATAGAAACTTATACTTTACTCTTAAATGCCATACAGCACCAATTAATTATGCTAGATGGTCCTATGATGGCACCACGTTTTCAACAAGTGGCGAAGATCATCGTGTCGTCCTTTGGAATGAGCCAATTATAAGAAAGACAGAACCAGTAATGATCAAAGTTCCTCCAAAGAAGCGTAAGATCGAAAGGCTTGGCAAATTTAACGAGACATTAGAACAAGATCCAGAACCATTGCCACAATCTCCTATACAGGCATCAAATACTGTTAATGTTGGTAGCAATACTGGTATAAAGAAGTATGTTGCAATCATGCATAAAATTACAGATCAAATTGTCGCACTTTCAAAGACAATGTCTGCATTAGAAGCCCAAATGGATTCTATGGATCAACAAATTGCAATATTAGAAGCGGAGAAGCGTGCTCAGGCTAAGAAAGCTATCGCTCAAGCCAATTTAGATTAAGTTTTATGTATTATATTTATTATTAAAGTTCTTTGATTGAAATGTATTTCTCTAAGTGTTTTTAGTCTTATTTTTGAAGCTATGATGTTTCAATTTACATACATTTATAAAATTTATTTAATATTTATTTGTATCGAACAAAAATACTTTTAACAATTTGTAACGATATTAAGGAGCACATTTACTGATCAGCTCCTTGAATTATCTGTTGGATAAGACGCATATCATGTTCATTTTCAGCCGGAGTTAATTTTATCTTTGCTTCTTCGTTAGGCTGCATTCTAGTACGCATTTGAACTTCACTTGGGATATTTGGAAATGTGATTCCATTTTGAGATATGTATTGGCTATAATCCTTTCCCATTAAATCTTTAAGCTGTGCTGTAACACTTTGGTAAGCTTGATAGTATGATCTTACAAGGCGTTCGAATAATAATTTCTTGTATTCTTCTTGTTCTTGTTTAATCTTTTCTCTTTCTTTTTCAGTCTGTTTCTCAATAATCTCTGTTCTAAGTTTATAGCGCTCATCTGCCTGAGCAATTCTCTTTTCTTTAACATCATTAATTATAGAAAGGCAAGTTTGCTGATCTGGATTAGTTCCATCTTGAAGTTGATTCCATTCTTTTTCGAGATCAACTAAAGCGAGTTTGAAAGCCGTAAATTCGGCTTTGTCTACATCCGAAAGGTCATTTGGAATTTCAATTTCGGCAACACTCTGGAACATGTTTGTCATTTTTGGAATTTACAAAAACCGATTTTTGACACTTTACAAAAATGATCTCATGATTTTTTTGGCGGGGAAATTGAGGGAATTATCGTTTACATTAGGCGAAGTTCACCTTTTCTCTGTCGAAAATTCATGAGAGATTTTGATCTTATGGAATACGTAATCAAGAAGATCATACTTTCACGTTCTGACAAGAATTGTAATATATCAAAGGTTATATCTGAAGATCAAGTTCAAAATGTTCTTGATAAGGCGTATTCTGTCCTTGCAGATGAGCCTGTTCTATTAGATGTTGCAGCAAATATTCATGTCGTTGGAGATTTACACGGTAACATTGACGACTTACTTCGAATCTTTGAATTACTAGGCTATCCACCAAAAGAAAGATATATATTCTTAGGGGATTATGTCGATCGAGGGACAAACAGCTTTGAGGTAATGACGTTACTATTTGCTTTTAAAGTTAAGTTCCCTTCAAATATTTATCTTCTTCGTGGCAATCATGAAATTGAACATGTATCAAAATGTTATGGTTTCTTGGATGAAATCATTAGTAAGTATTCAACTGCCTTGTTTTATAATTTCCAAAAAGTATTCCAACAATTACCCATAATTGGAATTGTGGGAAAAAGGATATTATGTGTTCATGGTGGCATTGGACCATCAATGAAAGACGTTTCGGATTTCAGAAAGAGACTTAAACCAGATGAAATCACAGAGACATCAATTTTTGCTGATATAGTCTGGAGCGATCCAAGAAATATGAGCAATGAATTCGAAAGGAATCCACGAGGCTGCGGTTGGACTTTTAATGTACAAGCTACTCGAAAATTCTTAATAAAGAATGATCTCGATCTGATTCTTAGATCTCATGAGTCTTACGATGGATACAGTTTTCCATTCCCAACAGATGAATGCATTACCGTATTCAGCAACACAGATTACTGTGATAAGAAAAATGGAGGTGCGATAATTAATGTCTCAAATAATCTTAATGTAACAGTTACCCGATTTTCATTAATGTCTCCAGAAGAAAAGTCAAAATGGAGACCAGTATTACCCCCATGGCTTATTGAAAAATTAAATTCAAAATCAGAAGAAACAGATGAGCCAAAATCCGAAATTGATCTAGTTCACGATCATGCTAGTGATTGTGAAAGTAAATCTATTGAAAATACCTCTTCAAAAGATGCCCTTCTATTATGTAGCTAATTTATGAAATTATTTTTGTTTGTTCTCCTATACTAATAAATGTTTGTTTAATCCTTCGATTTTTTTAGACAAATGTCAAACTTTCTAATAATCTTATTCAATTCAATTGTCGCTGGCATAGTGTGATTACTTTAACAGATCATATTCTAGCACAATAATCTACAAATGAGGGCTAGAGATCGTTTAATGAATTCGAACGCTTCAATTACTCATCATCACAGCCTTTGTGTTTCTTTTTCAGCATTCAGAATCTGAATGTTGAATTTGTTCTTCTCTTAACTTCTAAATGTTCTATTTTTGATTGCATAACTCATATTCTTTTTTACTTTGGAAATTGAATTTAGAATAAATCAAAAAAGTGACACAAGATGCCTAAGAATAAAGAAAAATCATATTCTAAATTCTTGGATATGGGCATCTGCGCTCTTTTAACATTCAACATTCTCTTATACACCAAATTTAATCCATTTCAAGCCGAAACAACACAGAATATCCCAAATAATGAACAAATTAAAGTATTTAAAAATTTTCCAGGTCATACAACAATGAGAATTGCTCCAAGGCCACCTGAAATTGAATATACTCAAGAAGAACTCGATGAAGCAATTATTGAATTGAACCTTCCAACATGGTCACGTTCATACGTTCCTTGTACATCAAATGAAAGCGAGGTTACGTGCTCTCAGATTGTTAAAGCGTGGAGGACTATAAAACAATGGGAGAACCACGTTAATACTACTTCATTAGAAGATGATCGCTATGTATTAACTAAACATTACTTCGATGGTGTTGGAAATCGTATATCCATTGATATTATTGTATTTTTACTTGCTCTCATGGGTAATCGAAGAATGGTTGTCGAAGGTTCATGTATGAAAGGTGGCCAGGCAGTACAAGGATGTGGTAATGCTTACTATTATCAGCGCAGTATCCTTTTGCAAAACAAAACAACAGAACTTATACTTGCAGATGCATCTAGAAATCCTCCGTATTATGTACAGACATTCGATGGATGGTGGTGGGCAGAATTTAATGGCCCATTTAAATCCAGAGTCACTCTTGATTTATCCTACTTAATGTATGCAACTCAGATGTATACTCACTTCCAGATGTACGATTACGCAAAAGACAAATTCGGAATGCATGCAATTTATTTCATATCCAATTTCCTCTGTAGAATTCCTCAGAAAAACATTGACCAAGCGAAAAAAATTATCGAAAATATACCTAAAGGAACAAGAATATTCGGAGTTCATCTTCGATTCCAATTCCCTGGTCAATTCTACAGTTATAGTGTCGAAACTACCATGAAAGTTGTAAAACCATTTTTATGGCAGAAAATTCGCGAGCAACCAACCGTAATTGCGTTTGCATCAGACTCCAAAGCCATGGAAGAGGAATTTCTTAAGGAGTTTGGCAAGTACAGCGTTAAATCAAACGCTACAAGAATGGCAGATTTCGACCACGTCTCGGCTCTTACGGACATTGCGCTTCTCATGATGTGCGATGAATGCTTACTTAGCTATAGATCTACTTTTTCGTTTGCTATTGCCTCAAGAATGGGAAAGAGATGCTGGTTTTACGAAAAAGAAGCTTTGGGAATATTCCAAGCTTCTAATTCGCAAGCAACAGCTGTTTCTTTGTTGTTCCATAACTGGGATGTCAATGATTGGCAAACAAATAGAAGATTTAAACACGCATCTCATAATGAAGAAGGAATGAGGTATTTCTACAAGTACTTTATGCTTTAATGCAATTCATTACTTTCTCTGTAATTAAAACTAAAATTGTTACGTATATTATTTTGATTTTATGCTTATTTCATCTTTTTTAGACTCTGATGCCATTTGCTCATTTGTAAGGATATTTTACATCAATGTTTATATTAAAAATATCCTATTCTATACTAAAATATTCTGAAATTATGGGTATTTTCTTGCATTATCAATATGATGGAAGAAAATCCAAAAACAATGATAAACATGAAAAGAAAGCGAATCGGGCTTCATGTGCAAGCAGATGTTACCATGAATGATAACTCTAATGCATATATGAATAGCTTACTCTCAGCTTTCTCATGGCTTTGGGATTGTGGTTAAAATTATGAAAATTCCAGTCAAGAAATCAAAAATCTTCATCATTTTACTGGAAATCCAGATAGCAGTCACAATTGATGTTTACGAAAGCGGGTTTACAAGAACACACGATAACAATCTCGGCATTTACATATAACCACTCATAAATTCCATCGACTCCAGAGAATGTTCTTCAGATCGAAGTCAAACTCTGGATAAACATTGATCGAACCATGGGCGCTTCAGTAGAATGCAAATCCTCATGTGTTCTCAAGAAAGATAACTGTTATGAATGACAAAATTTAACTCTCTTAGGCTGGAATTGAATTCTGGCGCAAAAAAAGTAAAAGTCGAAAATTGAAGAAGCCAAAAAGAAGTTTGAAACTATGAATTATCCTGAATGTTACTGTACTAGTGTTTGTAATTAAGTTAATGGCGGAGTTGTGATCAAGATTTTATTACCAGCCAAAGATTCTATAAAAAAGATCTTGAATGAAACTCTTTAATTAATTGAAATTCATGGGGAAAACCAATCGCTAACATGTACTGCAAATAAAGCAAATAATATGCTAGGTAGAATTTATCTATTTATGCACAATAACATGAGAAACTCGAATAGACGATATTCTCCAGGTTTCAGCTTCATACAGTGCTGATGAGGTTGACAAAGAAAACTGTGGTGTAATATATCATGCACTTCGGTGTCTTTTCTATCTTGAACAACTTTTATAATGAATTTTCATAATGGAAAATATTTGATTAGTTATCTCAAAATTTCAGATGGAAATTTGACACTTTTGATATTGAATATTTATTTTCTAAGGGTATCGTTTTCGCAATAATAGATAAATGTTGAATATACACTATGTAATAAATTAATTTTTTTTGAAAAAAGCACGTTAGAAAAAAATCCACAATTTTTTTTGGCTAAAATACAAGTTAAAAATTAATTTAGATATTACATAACCATATTTCGTAGGATAAAATAATCCGTTTTTGTAGATTTGAATTTTTTTTGAAATGATATTGAATCTCTAAAAAAATTATTAATATTATGGAAAATAGTTATGCAATTTTTCAAAGTGTATCGTTTTAACCACAAATTTACCAAAACGACTTTTTTACATAATCCGAATAATGATCATCAAATTTTGGATTTAGAATAGGTTAACATATATGACTGACCAAATGTAATAAAATTATTGAGAAAAAGTTTTTTTCACAATTTGGTAAAATTTCAAAAAAATAAATATCCATAAGGTTGAAATTTATTATTCATTAGGCATAAAGCTCTTCTAATAAACATAAATTCTAACTATCTATTGAATTTTGATTAACCAAACAAATTGATTTTTTGATCATTGAAACGTTTAATGAGTTCAAGAATTTTAAAATCAAAATTAATAATATTCAAGTCCGAAAGAAAATAAATCCAACGAATTATTTTTTTTGGAGAATTTTTTTTTTAATTTGGAAAATGCTTTTTGAATATAGAATCCAATGTATATGAAAGAGAAATAGATTATTGAAATTTCTCATTGAAGTCCTAATTGATATTCAGATGTCTTCAATGACAACATTATTGTCAAAATTTTGTATAGTGATTTTAGAAAAAACACGTTATAAATTTTGATAGAAACTTTGTCAAGCTTATTTTGCATTTTCCAGCATAATTCAAATTAAAAATATATTACGTTTATTTATATTGAAATTGAATACTTCTGACATGTTTTTTTGTAACTTAAAAAAATAGTCGCAGAAAGTCCAATGGAACGGAAGAAATGTTGCAGGAAGGTAAAGCGGTTCACACAAGAAGAAGACGCTCTAATAAAAAAATTCTTTCACAAGTATTCTGCAAGTAAAGCTGCCGATAAACTCTCTGCTTTAATGGATAGATCGAAAAGATCGATTAGAGAAAGATATACTAAATTCCTATCCTTAGACAGTAGACCCTTCTCAAAAGAAGAAGATCAAATCATTTTGGATAAGCACGCAGAATATGGTAATAAATGGAAAATTATCGCATCATTTCTCCAGTCTAAGTCTGACATACAAACAAGAATCAGATTCAAGCAACTGACAAGAGAAACAAATTATATTGAAATGGAAATCCATGATATTAATCATAATAATAATGATGATGAAAAAATGGATAATTTCTTTATATCAGAAGGCGATCCGAAAGACACATCAAGCGATTTTCCTTTTGAATTTTAGAAGGAATGATTTTAGATATATTTTGTTTTGTAATTGCTTTAATTGAGATTAAAACTACCTAATAAACATAAATCATAACAAAAAGTTAAATTTTATACGACCCAGAAATTTTTGTACGACCCGGAAATTTTCACAACAATTTTCTATTCAATTCCGCCATGAGAAATAATGTGATATATTAATTACCCGAATGGTTTCCTTTGGAAAATTATATTAGAATTGAATTTAAAAAATTCAACATAAATTTTGAAAGCTTTTGAAAAGTTCAAAAGGCAAAAAATTTGTTTGAATACTTTACATTTTATTAGACATTAGTTGATGAATATTATGAAAGAATAGTTATCCAAATTATATTTGTTTCACATAATGACATATCGCTATAAATAATATCATTTATTGTAAATTAATTTGCTCTTCATTCCAGGATTTATTGAATTTGAAAATAAGAATGGATATTATTAAAAATTAATAATTATATTAAAATTTGTACTTATTATGTTGTTTCCATGGCATTAGCATCTATTAAGAATATGATTTTAATATGTGGAATTTAAATTTCATTCAAATTTTTAATTAAATTTTGAAGGTTTGAATACCCATATGAACAATGCCCAATAAACAAATATTGAAATTACAAATTTAGATATTTCAAATTTTCGATTTTTCTTTTATCAAGTGCGAATTAATTGTATATGTTTGATATACTTGTTATAGAATATTTTGCACAATGGTAATGACAGAAAATGAACATCATGTTGTGTTAAAAGCTTTAATATAAAATCTTATATTTTTAAATGCAATGCGGCAAATATTGAGGGTATATTTTCAAATGTGAATAGAGCTCTTTCATCATTGAAAGTATGAGCTGTTTCAATCGATCTTATATAGAAAAAACAAGAGACTTATAAAATGAAAAAAAAGTGGATTTTTTTAAAGACTCAAATATGGGGTATGATTTATAAGTTGGTTTTAAAGCCGTAATATCAACTTAAAATAAATACCATAATTAATACACATTTTAGAAGGATATTATGAATATTGATGAACTTGGTGGTAAAAATTTTTTCAGAAATTACCAATATTTTTGATGTGTGAGATAGATATTCAATACTATGCAGAACACGTTGCAGAATGGTGCAATGATCCTGAATGGATTGGATTAAGGACGAAAGAGCAGTTGATTGATATTCTAGAATCATCAAAACTGAACTATAATCAATTTGTTTCAATCTTCAGGATTGTTCCTCAATTTTTTGATAAAAATGATGTCATTTCCATGTTTGAACATATGCATATTGAAAATGCACTAGGTACACAGTTAGATTTCTCATTTTTGGAGTTTTTAGATGATTTTCTTCATATCCCATTTTTTTCCCATAGCATTATCAGCTCACAAAGAAAATCTCAAAAATTATGAAGCAGAAATCAATAAATTAAGGAAAGATAATAAAAGATTACAGGAAATAAATAATAATTCACAGGAATCAATGCAGAAATATAGCCAACAACAGCAGCAAGAAGCATTAAAAGCACTTGAACAGAATGTCAGAAATGAATTAAAAAGAGGAGAACAGAAAGTCCGGAGAGAGATAAAGAAAGTATTTAGATGGTAGAGAAAATATTTTCCTAATTCCGATAAGTGCTAATGATATAATCATGTTATTATATCTCAATCAGATTTTTTAAATGAATTCGGAATAAAATTTATTAAAATATATTTAACATTTTTAAATATCAAACAAAATCAAACAAAAGTAAAAATACATAAGTAAAGAATATAAAGGGACTAAAAGAATCGAAAGTGTTGAATTATTCATGTCTTGCAATTGGCTTCCAGAGTGTTTCAAGTTCTGAATTGATACGTAATTCCATAATTAATGCATTTCAAAGGTCGATGCGATACAGTGTCATTATTCTCCAAATAATAATGTTTTCAACGAAAGCTTGCATTTCTGTCTTAGAAACACAGTAGATGAGTATATCAGCTGCAAAAGTTGACTTCATCCTTCAAAGATGTCACAATTGCGCTCATTTTTTTTTGAACATTCTGTCAACAAAACAAACTTTTTAGGTACATTAGATTTTTAAAATAGATACCATACAAAGCTCACCTAGTTTTAGTCTGGATGGTCTCTAGTTTCTTTGTTAATTCTTCAATAGGATCATAAATGGATTTTACATCTCTTTTCTTTATTATATAAAAGAATAGATTTTTTTCTATTTTACATAATAGATGAAATATCGACAATCATAGCTTAAAGAAATGATCAATTACTGTGCATACAAAAAACATTCTCTTAATCGAGCTATTTCTCATCCCAAATGCATCAAAATTAATAAGTTTTTATTATTATTTTTTTTAAATACACTTTTGTTTTGTTTCTTTATAGGTGCATTTCTCACTCTCTAGCATTCACTAATATCTATGTGAAGGTGATAGAAATACATCATCTCATTGGTGCTTTTGTCATAATATTAGGTATTCAATCATGATTGAAAAGCAAAAAGTTGAATAATTATCGCATATAAAAACAACATTTTAGTAAGACATCAAACAAAAAATTGAGAAAGTAAGTGAATCCTTAATGAATACACTTACCACTTTCTGACCCCCTCTCAAAAAGAGGGATACAAGCATGAAGAGACTCAGATTATAATCTCGTATAATTTGCAAAATCTGGGTCATTTTGCTCCTTTTTTAAATAAAAATAAACCATATAGAATAAGTGCACGTCCCTGGTAAATAGTGAAAACACATGAGGTAATATATAGTAGTTTCGATAATTTCTTATATTTAATTCATCAACGATTCCTGTCTTTCTGAGTATAAATTCAAATTTGTATTTATATCTGTCCATTGATATGTACTTTCTAACTGGAAGTTCAACAACTTTGTCAACATGAGAAAACAAGAGGTTCCTATAAACCTTGTCTAAACTTAAAAACTTGCAAAGAATATATAATTTTTGTGAAAATTTGCTTGTAAAAAATTTGACAAAAGTTGAATTTGTTGGATCGATACATATCATTCGGATTTGACTTTCATTCCTTTCGATCATAATGAAATCCTCGATTTTTTTACTCTTTTTCCTACTCGTTCTGCAAAATTTATTGTATGCGATATCAGCAACTTTATCTAGGACATATTCTTCTTTAAATATATATATAATCGTCTGATTTTCATTAGAAAAATAGCTTTTTATTTCAAATTCCCAAGAACCGTAATTAAAAACGAAAGTATCACTTTTTTCGATTGAATAAGCGTGATCACCCTTAGGTTTTTGTTGCAGTCCATAGTGAATGATTACCGGTTGCTGATATAGTAAAGAATAAAATTGTTGATAAGATTTTTGCGAGTCGTTTGCATTTCGAAGCATTTCTAAGAAGGCATCGGACTGTGGATCCATACCCGATAGATAGCTTAAAAATGTGAATGGTAGTAGCCCAATTAAAACGAGAAATAATTTCATAACATAAAAATTTCAGTTTGACAGAATATTTCTGACAATTGCAATCGTTGTCAGGTTAAAATTTTAAATAGACAGGATTTTAATTTTCAATCTAAAATTCCGAAATACCCACTAAAATTAATAAAATCACACAAAATGAAATCGTAAATTTCATTACAAACCGAAACAGATTTTACACTAGCTAATAATCTTAATTGCTGTATCAGAAGGTACTTCCGCTGCAATTTTCTTATTTTTGCTGATTCTTTCTTCGAAATCTGAATTTCAAACATATATTATTAAGAAGTAATAACATAAATGATAAATTGTTCACCACAAACTCAAATCTAATATATTTAAATACATTTTCAAAACATATATTTCTTAAGGATACCCTTACATTGCGTAGTTAGAAAGAGAATATGATATTGTCATGATTGCTAAAGTTTTAGGCTCCAGAAATGAATATACATCAAACTGAAACAATTGATAAATTGAATGAACTTTTGAGAGGTTCTCAAATAAAAAAAATTATCTAATTTTTTACAATATTACTATTATTTTATCCACATATGTATATATAGTAATTTGAGAAAACTTTTAGGAAAAAAGAAGTTTAATAAAAATCTGAATTTTACTTGTTGTGGGATTGTTATTAATTGACACTCCAGACGTATTACTAATAGTTATGCGTATGCAATTAAAGTATTTCTGATGGACAAAATGTGAGATTTATATCAGATAATTCATTTCTACTATTAAGTTATTCATTTATGAGTTTGCACTTATTCGCACTAAATAAATAACTATTAAAAATTGTTTTAATTAATTGACACCATATAATAGAGTGAATTTTGTTTGATCAAACAACAATAGATGATAGATATAAAGCCAAGAAACTTGCTATTAATATGCTCTACTTGCTATTTCAATGTAAGTATGATATTTTCTAAATGTTTCGTTCAGATAACTTAGATATATTAGTCAAAATTTGAAATTTTAATAGCACATATATTAAAAATAATTATTATTCATAAAAGATTAATGAAATAGTAAAAAAAATCAATCAAATTATAAAAATACAACATTTAGAAGAATTCTTATTATCCTTCAAAAAGTCAGTATTTCTGCTGTAATTTTCTACAACATTGTAGTTATTGCACTTTGTCTATGGATTTGTATATATGTTATATATAAATTATATATCTAAACTGCCCATAAGTGCAATTTTTATATAAATTGTTTATTTCTTTAACAATTTCATATGAAATATGATTTTTTAAGCGTATCAAAGCTGTGTTCTTAATGTGCATGGATATATCAAGAAAAATGTCGGAAAAAAATGTGAATTCACAAATTCACTGAATTTTCACCGTTTTTTGAATTTTGCTACAGCACTAATATTAAATAATACTAAAATCTTCTGTCTTTGTAAAAGAATAAATTCTGACAAAAAGTGCTCGTTTAAATTTAATGATCATCTGTATGACTAAGTGGTAAAAAGTGTTTATGACCAAAAAAGGGTTACATGCTTAGTCTATTTTTCTGACAGGATACTCTAGATTTACATGATCTCTATTTCATATCTCCGTTTTTAGATTCTTCGACAGATTTTATGATAGAAAACCAAGATTAACAAATTTCCGGCATGTTAATGAAGAAATCTGCAGCTACCCTCAATATTATTTCAATAATCAGTATCGTTTCTCTTACAATTTATTTTTTTCTCAATAATTTAACAAGAAATAACAATACACACTTGGTTTTACGTATAAAAGCTAAGTGTCGAACTTAATCAACTTTACTTACTTAGCAAATGAATATTTTTGTGGTTGCGAGTTCTGAATGCTGAAGTTTTAGATTTCTCTATAAATGATATCATTGCACTTACAATGTTGTTCCAGCCTATCGCATAAATCATAGAAAATCCAAAAAAAAAAATAATATAAAGAAAATTCATGTCATGAAGTTCAAAAAATACCGTGTAACATTAAAATTTGTTATGCATAATACATTTTAGCTATTATTGATTTTTTTTAATTTTCGAGAAATTGAATGGTGAGTCCGATAGAGAAATTTTTAAAAATCCTAGTGCCTCATAGAAGTAATTTCCCTCGTCTCCCATACTTCCAAATGTATGCATATGACATAAACTTTTATGCATTACACAAGTGGCCAATAATATCTATAGAGTAAAAAATTAGAAATTTAATTTTTTTATATGATAGTTATATTTCAGATTTGCGAGCGTAACTTTTTTCTCCATGGCATACTTGTTTTAAGAGCAAATGATCAAAATCGTCCTTCAATTATTGAAGGAGCTGATATCTTTTGAAAATTGAATTGAAAGGGTATTCAATTTTCAAATTTCCTCTCAATTTTGGAAACATATCAACTCTATGAATTAACAATTATGTGCCTTCACAGTTTATCAGTCATATAAGGTGCTTATAAAGAAAAAAGTTACGCTCGCAAAATATGTTTTTATATAGATTTCACATAAAATAATTATGTAATTTCTAAAAAGAATATTTTTGTTCTTGAATATTAAAGTGTATTGTAGTTTAAAAAGTTTTAAATATGTTGCTAAAATTTCAGGTTTATAGCTCATGTCTAGCATGACTTCTTCGTATGCGCAAAAAATCTGACACGTAAGGGTATCCTTAAGGTTTTAATAATTTCGGATATTATAACCAAAATACAAACCCATCTGAGAATATACCTGCATTAGCGCCGAAGATTCTAATTTATGGCGTTTTAATTTAAAGATACAGTTGACATACCATGTAAGGTTTCAAATGCATTGGTTTGGTCTCTATGGCCATGAAATACTTTTATAAGAGATAGATTTGCATACATTCAGTATAAATGTTCTAATTATATACGTATTGATTCATATTGTTATAAGAAACCTCCTCTTAAGCTATCAAATAACGAGATAGAAGCAATTAAGCTATCACATCATTTGAAAAGGCTTTTAAATTTGTTGAAATTTTAAAATTGAAGTTTGAAAACATAGTTAAATATAAAAAATAAAACACAATTAAAATAAATCATATAAAATAGATAATTTTATGAATAAGCTCTATAATAAAATTCAATAATCTTCTGGATTTGCCGGGCCATTCATTCCTTGCAAGTTCTGGAATGTCTCTTCCTGTCTGTTCAAGTCCAAATCATTGTCTCTTCTTGAGAAAAGAGTTGTAGAAATAACAAATTCTCTAAAAATGTGCTGGAACTCCACCATATTGTTGGAATTAGCAATAAGACTACTCATGTAATTCACGAGTGAGTCATAATCTCTATTAGGGAACAAATCTTGTATTGCAGATGCAATTGTTTCGCCATTTAACTGTTGCGTCTGCGTAGAAAGCAATTTCCTGATCAAATTAACTTCCTCTCTAAAGGCAAACTTATGATATGTATCAGTTGTCACCTTTATTACTTGAACTAAAATATCCATGTAGAAATTACTCAGAAATTGCCTGTATCTGTTCATATTTGTATCCTTGATACTCTTAAATAGATGTTCCGTAGCAGAAAGTGAGATAATACATACTTCTGGTATAGTATGATAACATCCGAGTTTAATTGTCTCAATAAAGTCGGAAAAGGTCTGATCAGGAGCTGACAACATGATGGAGATATAGTTTGTGACAATGTTATCAACAAATTTGAAGAAAGGAACTCGAAATTCTGGGAAAATTGAAAAATCATCTTTGATCATGGCCAAAGTTTCATTGAAAATGGGGCCATAAATGTTCGGAAGCACTTCACCGAACACTTTCTTCATTTTGTTCGACATAGAAGTGACTAATGACAAAACTTCGGGAACACGACCGAGAGGATGGGAATTTTCGTATTCCAAGATGATTGTCTGGCTGATTGGTTCAATTAGTTCGTTGGCAACTGACTCAACATCGGGTGTTTTGAGAATATAATCATTTATGATGAGAACGATCTTGGATTTGATCCTCTTGAAGCAATTGGCTTCCTTTGTTTCGGAATATCCGGGCTCTCCGATGAATTGTTGTAACAAATTGGAGTATCTTGAATAAACTTCCATTAATTGGTTGAAAATGATTCGTAACTGGCTTCCATAAGCATTAGTTATGTTACTGGCTATTTCTGAGTTGCATTCGAGTAGGAATAGAAGCTCTTCCGAGTAAGATTCATTTTGTGGTTCCCAATTTTGAAGAAGATTGTTCCAATTCTCGTTTAGGGAGCTTACAAGGAACAAGAGCATCTCAACGCGCTCGGCAGTTCTTGGATGTGAACCAATAATTGAAGCCAAAATTCCAAATAATCTGATTATCAACGGTTTGTTTTCCAAATTCTCAATGATCTTGTTCAGGCTTTGCATGATTTCCATGATAAATGGAGAATCGCTGCCGGATTTCTGGTTGAAATACTTTCCGGTTGTTTTCTGAACTAATGCGAGGGAATTTACGGCCATCTCTTTAACAGCGGGGTTAGGGATAGCCATAAATTCGAACAGCTTGGCAATCAATGTCTTAAACATTGACAAATCGCTTGCCAAGAATCTTGGATATTGAGATAATATGTAGCAGAGGCCAGCTGATATCAGAGCCTTAACCTCTGTGTTTCCTTCAGCTTTTTGGTTCAATCCTAGGACGGATTGTACGACTTGAAGTAGGAAATCTTTTTCAGGATCTTTTCCAAGGGTTCCTGTGATAGCTCCGACAGAATAACAGAAAGCATTGAATAATCCTTCATTGAAACTTTCCTCTAATTGTGCCAAAAGCTCGTTAATTGCAGCGACCATATCAGCATTATCGATATTTGTCAAAAATATCAATAATTCTTTCTCGCATTTGAACAATTCGATATCTTCTGTATTTTTCGTCTCTTGGCGGATGCTTCTGCTCTCTTCTGGGTCTGTATTTAATATAAAATCTTCTGGTCTTGTTATAATCTTTATGTAGAGGCGGCGGATGTACTGCATGATTGGTAAATAGAGGTTTTCGGATGCTTCTGAGAGGTTATTTGCTTCTTTCCATATACGTCTTGCAATTTGTTTCCAAAAATCAGCGCAAATCCTTTGGACGAAGGAATCTCCTATATCACTCATGTTGTAGATCCATTCCAAGCTTAAGTTGAGCTCCTGGGCCAAATCTGGGATCTCAATTTGAAGAGATTGCTTTAAAAAGAAAGTTATCAAGCAATTTGAAAGGGATCTGACTTTAAATGGATCAGCATCATATACTTCTTGGAAATTTACGTCAGATAAGTTAGGAGCCAAAGTAGTAATTAAAATATGGAAAACAGCAGCGGCATTGTTGACTAAAACATCTGGGAGATCATCCAAACCGTATACTTCCGCTAAAAATGATAGTGATTCTGAGACTAAATTGGGATTTGGAAGGGCTTGTTGAATAATAGTAGTAAAAATGTTATTTTCAACGATAACAGCGGGTGGAATGGATTTAATAAAATGGCGGAGAAGTAAAAGAGTGTTTTTCATTAAGCCAACACGAGATATCATATTTGAAAAAACTAATTGAACGATATTGAAGATATCTTCAGCGGATTCTTCAAGAGCAGTAGTTATCTCATTGATTCTTCTATACGGTATGTAATTTTCCGCGTTTTCATTGTAAAGTTCATCGAGTAAAAATTGTAATATTCGAACGATGTTCTCTAGGTTGATAGGGTTGGCTATAGAAAGAATATCTTTAATAACATTGGGATAAAATTGCGGATATGTCTTCAGAATTATAGCAACTGCGCAATTGTCGATTTCCACGATAATAAATTCCGATGGTGGCCTGTTATTTGTCACATCAACCCATTTTTCAAATACATAATTTTGAATTCCTACTCTTTCATCATCATTAAACAATTCCCAGCGTTTTTGTATGTTTTCGCGTAATGTCTTATACAGAAGATGAATTACTTTGTCATATGTTGCAGATTCAATGAGTTGTTGTATATAGTTTATCATATCTTCTCGATCTTTAAACAGATTTAGAATTCTATCGCAATCAGTAGAATATTTACCTTCAGAAAATAGCTTATAGACTCGCTCTAAAACTGCAATGTCTGGAACTTCTCCTACCTCTGTTAAACAAGAAGTGTTTCCAAGCATTGGAAGATTTTTAGCCTAAAAAAAATTTTCACTCTTTTTTTTAGGGGGCAAAAAACACTAATTTAAAATCAATTTCCAAGATAGTTTTATATATATCTGGAGGTTCTTCATAATGAAAGATATTTTCATTCATTTTAAAAATTGAATGCAAAAGTCACTGTCAAAATTTTCAAAAGGTACATTTTCAAATAAATAGGATATTTGAAAATGTTTCTTTTTATTATCAAATTCGATATTTTTTCCCCTCCCCAAATTTACACTTATATTAGAGTGCGGGACAAATTTGCCAAGTGTCACCTTTTCAATAACCTTAAATTACACTTTTCTAATTTTTTAAAAATAACCTTAAATTATATTTGAAGAAATTATGTCTATGATATATGTTTTATGCTAGAATCTTGGAGTTTTCATGCACTACACAAGAGCTCCAAGGTTCCAAGAGTGAATGCTCAATAGCAATTATAGAGATGTACCTTTTCAAAATGACTTTTACTGATTAAATTTAATCAATAGAAGACATTTTGAAAAGGTACCTCTACAATTAGATATACAAGAGATTCAAAGCTTCATTTCAGATAGATTTGAAACTTTGAAACTCTTGGTAGATTTTGAGTGAATGCTGACAATCATCTTTGAGAAGGTTTTCTTTAAGAAAACCTTCTCAAAGAGGTTTCTCAGGAGTCCTGAGGCTCCCTTTCGTAATGATTGGGAGCCTTGGGGCTCCTGAGACGAAGAATGGCTTCGCCGAATCTTTGATCAGCAGAGGCCAAATGAAAAGGCCTCTGCTGATGGATTCTCAGGAGCCCTGAGGCTCCCTTTCGTAATGATTGGGAGCCTTGGGGCTCGTGCAGCAGAGTATCGCTCCGCTCCATTAATTTTTTTTAAAAAAAGTGCCGTGTGGCAAATTTGTCCTGTTCCCCTTATATTACAAACTTGTTAAAAATGCAATAAAAGTGTAATTATAATACTAATGATTATTTTTTAATCTATTCTAATTAATGTTTGACTATAAAGAATTATTGGAAGATATATCCTTCACATCAATATTTTCCTCACCTCAGAAAGAAGGTTCCCTACCTGACAATGCTTTCGGAAAAGCTTTACAAGATGTTAACAGCATAAGAGTTCTTAATTCTGAAGAACTTAATAAAAGCCATGATTTTTTTTTTCACTTGTTTAATAGATGTGATCCAAAACAATGAATTCCATATTCATCAGCTTATACTAACTTTGATTTGCTTTCAAACATGATAAAAATCTTGCAATCATAAGAATGTATTTATTATTATTCTGAGGTTCTTGAAATCATTTATAATCTCTCAAAGTTTGACAAAGTCCTCGAATTTCTTAATGACCAAGATATCATTAACCTTCTAGATAGATTTGCATTTAATCACGAAGAACTGCAAAAACACAACAATACGCAATTAAAATTCTCATAAGAGTACTTCCTCATGTTGAATTCATATTGCAACTTTACGAGGATGAAGATAATAGAACTAATCATATCTAACAAACTCAAGTGCAAAAAAATAGGCAAGAAAAATTATTTTAAATCCAATTTACTTTTTAATGAAAATATTCTTCGAAAATACCAGAAAACTAAAGGATTATTATGTAAGAGCATTATTCTTTCGCACCATGTGAAATGAGAACTTTTGCAGTTTCTTTATCATCATATTGTGATGCATAATAAAGTGCGGTTTCTCCATTATCAGTTTTTTCATTGATATTCGCACCATGTGAAATAAGAATTTCGGCTGCTTCTTTTCTATTATTCATTGCTGCAATATGAAGTGGAGTTCTTCCAAATAGATCTTTTCCATCGATACTCGCACCATGTGAAATAAGAGCTTCAATTATTTCTTTATTATTATTCAATGTTGCAAGTTGAAGTGCAGTTATTCCATCGATATTTTTTTCATTGATATACGCACCATGTGAAATAAGAACATCGACTATTTCTTTACTATTTTTATCTGCCGCAATATAAAGTGGGGTTCTTCCGAATCCATCTTTTTCATTGATATCCGCACCATGTGAAATAAGAACTTCGACCATCTCTTTTCTATTATTCTCTGCCGCAATATAAAGTGCAGTTCTTCCATAATAATCTTTTACATTGATATTCACACCTTGTGAAAGGAAGAATTCCAAAAGGGATGGAATATTAAATATCGGCGATTCAAGAAAGCATTTTTTACATCATTAGTTTGATCGAAATAAACTAAAAATGATTCAAGATTATTATATTTTCTGCAATAATATAATTCGATCTCTATATTGTATTCATTCATCAAGAATGTAACAAAATCAATGTTGTGTGAAATAATTGCATATTCCATGCACCATTCATTTGGTTTCTTATGTTTCAAACATTCACTCATGATCTCTTTGTTTCTTCCCAAAAATGATAAATTTAGACATGTTTCAGTTCTTTCTGAGTTAAATTTAGTTCTTAAGAACTTGAAACAATCAACTGCTCCATGGTAACAGCATAATTCAAGTAATGAATATCCTTGGTAATCAGTATATGGATATAATTTGCTTTCAAGTTTTTGATCTTTAGCAAAACTTTCTCTTTCAGTGAATGAGATGAATGTTTCTAAGTCATTATGCATAATGGCCCTGTAAATTGTATTTTCTGTATGAATTGCAAGATTTTCTGAGTCAATTTCTTGAAAAGAGGCAGATTTGTCTAATTTAATTCCATATTCTTTATTAAACAGGAAGTTTGAAATAGTTGCAACTTTTTTGACCTCTGTGACATGGTATTCATCAGAGATGAGTTTGGCAAGATATAAATATGATTTTGTATAGCGATTATTATACGGAATGATATCTAAAATGTCTTTCATTACATTTGCTGGGAGATATGTCTTTGAATCAATCAATTCTGTTTTGATCATTTTGTAAATTGACTTTAATTCTTCTTCTTTTTCAGTTTTTAGCTGATACAATGCAAGATATGAATCGATATAATTTTTGTAGGTACTTCGTAAATTGTTGAATTTGCTTGGATGAACGTCTTGCTCGGACATTAATAATTTTTAAAAAGGACACATTTGTGTTTTACCATATTAAATACCTTTTAAATGCATTAAAAGAAAAAATACTAGGTTATAAAGATTTCGGATATAATTTATGAATTTTGATTAAGTTCATGGATATAAAACGATGCAGCAACGATTAAAAAGCCGATTACAATAGAATTTTCATCAAGATACTTGTTTTATTCAAGATTTTTTTGCCAATCATTCTAAATCAATTGATTCTTTGAATATAGATAAAGTGATATATTTAATTAATAAATAGATTTGTATTTTCTAAAATCTAATAAATTTTTGGCTAAATCTCTTGCCTTTCTTCACCTGAGGAGCTTCAAAACTCCTAACCTCTGCAAAAGGGAGCTTTGGAGTTCCTGATTCTGTACCAGCAGAGACCTCTTACCATTTGGACCTGCTGATCAGAAGATTATATCAGCAATTCTGTTCTTCAGGAACTCTAGGGTTCCCATTTGTTATTTGGGAATCACACTGCTTTTTTAATTTCTATTAATTAGAACAAATTCGAATTAATATTATTCCGACCCACTCCAAATCTGTTAGATAATTGGAACTTGTTTTTCTCGAAAGTTCAAACTATCTTCCAGAGTTGGATTTTAAAATTTGATTAAAATTTCTGAACGAAAACTAATTGTTAGAGATTCAGAATGTAAAAGTGTGAGTATTGTGTTCTATATATACTGTATTAAGATAGAAAACGAAATTTGATGTTTGAAGTGTATGAAAAAGATTTTGGTAGCATTACATACAGTATTATCCGTAGTGATTGTGATTTGATATGGTGTTATAGAGAGTATAATGCTTGTAAAACTCAATCAAGGTTGAGATTAAAATAATAAGTAAAATTAGAAATAAGATTGCCGAACAATGTGCCATTCTGGGAGACATGCACAGGCAATATCTCACATAATGATATATTACGACCAACAAGAGTGTATATAATACTCTTGTCGGTCAAAGTTCCGCAACCTGACTGTGATTTTGAACATCGTGTCATTCTGCGAGATTTGTGAACACAATATCTCTGGAAACTATACATTGTGACCGACAGGAGTGCAAATAACACTCTTATCGGTCAAAGTTCGGCAACTAGAGTAAGATTCAGGGGAGTGGGCTTCCCCAAATATTGTCTTGATCTAGGGCGGTATGAGAGGAATCCAACCATGGGAAACAGTAAATACGAAGCTCTGGCCTGCAAAAAATTTATTTTATGGCGTCCACCAAAGACTATGAAAGTATATATGTATATCTATCAAATTCCATAAAACTGAGTTACTATATTTATCTGGTATGGAAAGATCCAACAAACAAGAGTTATTCGATGTCACTTTTTTGTCGAATAACAAATCAGGAATCAAATTTTTGAATGGTCACTTTTTTACAAGCAAAATTTTTATATCTTAAAAATCTCATCCATTTCAATATCCAAATATTTTCATTAAACAATATTTTTTGTTGAAAATTTTCTCGTTAGCGCAATTGTGAATGGGTCAACTACCATCGTATCCTAAGCCTGATCCAATCACACCGTCAAAACTAGAAGACTTTTTGAGGTCTTCCGTTGTTGGCGGCTATATAGAACAGCATTTTGCAAAGCTCGCGAGAACGAATTTAAAAAGTGAGCGAGAAATCTACGAGAATGTCACGAATAAGATGATACAATATATAACAAATAACAAAGGAACTCAATCGATAAAGCAATTACTATTACAAAGTATCATTTCGACACTTTCTGATAAATTTAATCAAGAAAATGAGTATAACAATATATTTTCTCATCTTGATAATGAAATAAATCGTGTTATAAATTCGGAATCAGACATTTCTGAGTGCCTAGTTCAAGATAATTTCAAAATTTCTCCAATAGCAAATACTTATTCAATGGCTTTACAAATTTTCAACGAAATAAAACCATCAACAGACTTCGCAGAAGAGTTTATCAATGCGCTACATGAAATTTGTGACGAAAATGTGAATTATAACCAAATAAATCCAGATATTTTCCTTAGTATCGAACGCCACTACCGCCAAATATTTTCACAACCAGAATTCTCCGGTAAAATTGTTAACGCAATCGCTACATCTTGTTTACAAAATAAAATTGATTTGACTGGGTACTTAGTATTATTATATCATCTATTGCAGCATCAAGAACTATCTGAGCATATACTTTCCAGCCTGCCGCAGACTCTAAATGACGCAGATGAAGGAAATTCTACAAACAATTTGTCTATTCGTGTCAGATTAGGCGAAAACTCAAAAATAACAAGTGTTTGCAGTACAAACAATACTATTTACGCTTTGGCATCAGGAAATAAACTATATTCAATAGATATGAATTCAAAAGTTGTAAATCAAATCATAGAAGACCAATTTCTAGAGAACGGAACTCTCTGTGCAACAAACAACTTAATATGTGCTACAACACCCAAAGAATCCACGTTTATTCTGCTAATGGAAAAACAATGCGATTTCAAAACCGCTGAAACTGTTCCTAACGCTGTAATCTCATGTTTTTCAATGCAGAAGACAGATTTACTTGTCCTCACATCAGATAATCAACTTTATTCGTGCAATGAAGATAATAAAACATTATTAGGTCATGTTGATGCCAAAGACCCAATCTGCATGCACAACTCGAATGATATATTAACAATTATAACAAAAACGGAGACATTGATATATGAAATCTATCCAAATTTAATTTATCTCAAATTATTATCAAGAAAAGTATTAGATTATCAAGAAAACATAGTTTCAATAGATTCCAAGTACTACATAGCACTCCTTGCACACAGATCTTACACAGAATTCATAATGATTCCAAGACATGATGGTCCTTACGTAAATACTCAAGATTTCAGCAGAGAACTCATCTCACAACCCTATACAAATGCATTTCACGAGAGTATAAGACGAATAATCAACCTCATGCCGTTGAATTATTTTGTAAATGAAGATAATTCAAAATACTTCAGAATTTCATCATTTTCTTATGACTACTGTATTACTATTCTCAATATTTTGCTATCCATAACACTCCCGGCCCAATTATCCTTTTCTATTCTCCATTCTGTCTTATCCATCGTTGCAGGCATCGTAAAACACTTTGATATCACTGAGAAACAGGCCAAGGAAATACATTCTACCTTATCTTCCCTTGCGATTACGAAATTTGCCTCGAAACAATCAATAATTTTTATAATGAGCTACATTATGTCCACAGGCTTCGAAAAGATCTACAGGAAGAGGATCCCAGAGTTCATTTCCCTCATCAAAACCATGTCATCCGACTCAACAAAAATATCATTATTGACAAACTGTATTCCAATCTTCTTATCGTCACCGGCAATCGTATATATAGACCAGAACTGTATCAAAAAGATACCAGAGAAGATGAAATACTCCGTTCAGAAAAAAATGATATTTTATTGCGCCCAAGAAATCGAAAAAGGCACTGAAGATGCCATCAACGCCTTGCATAGTTGCTTGCCATCGGATCTCTCCAACCTGATCTTCTTCTTTTCCATTCTTTCCTCAAAACACATTGCCCAATATTCGACGGTTTTTTTGGACCAAGTTTTTCCGATCATAAAGAACTTGATCGACCAAATAAAGCCTATCGTCAATGAATTTACAGAAGAAGAGCCATTAGTTAGAGCATCACCACATCCCATCAGAGAATCAGTTGCTTTTTCATGGGAAGTCGAAATAAACGATGCAAAAGCAATTGAAGTGAAATTTGACAGTAGATGTTGTTTAATTTTCGGATCTACTGATTTCATGAAAGTCTCTGGCCAGGATGGTTTAGTTTACCAAAGAAACTACTTAACGAAAGAACCATTTCCCTCTAAAGTTTTAGTAAACGGTTCAAAAGCGGTTTTGACAGTTCATTCTCATGGCGGCGAAAGTGTTTACGGAATAACTGCTTATTTTAGAGGAATTGGTAAAGACGAAAAAGCAAGAAAATACCATGATATAATGAGCTTCTATGTTGCATATTTATTACATAGAACTAGTCTTTGTTTCTGCGAAGTTTTCCTTCCAAATCAAAAAGACGAAAACATGAAACATTGTGATTTCCTTTTGAATTCAAGAAAATTGACACTTTTACCTGACGGATTGAAACAATTTGTTGCTCCAAATGTCATGGACTTATTGTACCAAGAGAACAAATCACAAATAAAAGTGAAAGACGACGAGAAAGAGATAGAAAGAATGACAATTTCAGCGGTTTTGAATCAATTAGAAATAATCAACATTGTTCTCAAAATGAAGTCACCTCACATGATGGTCACTCCTCCATCTACACCGAAAAAGACATCTAAAACACCTACACTTCAAAAGACAATGAAGAACTTAACGATTAAAAACAAAGCGTCAATAATTTTGCCAATTTCCATGTCAAAGAAAATAACAAATCCGTTGAGACAAACTCAGCCAAATCCTTTACCAAAAAGTGACAATTTTCAAATGGAAGAATTTATTTCTTTTATGATGAAAGAGTTGTATAAGATGAGATCTAAGATAAGATATAACAGACAAAAAGGTGCAGGAAGTTCTTATCTAAATGAAGTACTCAAGAAAAGTGAGCATTTCTCAAATTGTAGATCAGTTTTTGAAGAATCAAAAATTGTAAATGACGATAGAAAAAATCATTGCATTGACTTAATGAGATTAATTGGTTCTGATACTCCTTTGAATACTATTATATCATATACGAACCAATACATCAATAAACTCAGTGCACAACAATCTGTTTCTAATTTTTTGGCAAAATTTGTAACAGAAATCGAAAACAAAAAATTTTTCGGTTATTTGTTTTATCCGTTATTTACATTTTTACTTGAAAATGGAAAAACTCGGTTCAAAACTTTGGTTGCTAACAACTTTTACAAGGTGTTCGCACAGATTGACTCATTAAAAGAGTTTAATGAGTTAATGATGTTATCGGTTTTAACAGAAATAATCGTTTTCGGCTCAAATTCACAACGATCAAAAGAATTGATGAAAATGATTTGTGCGAGTGAAAAAACACACTTAGAAAGGATTTTCTTGGAAGCATTTTGCTCAAATCTTTCTTACAGTTGTTTCTACGATAACTACCAAATTTTGTTAGAAAACGGTTTTGTCAGTGAATGTTTACAATGCCTCTCAATTTTCTCACAGTCATTTGAAATGAGTGAAGAGATTTTAATGAGTGTTTCTCCTTATTTCGCGTTCAAAACACCGATAGAACTTGAAAGTTTTTACCTTTTACTAGGTAACTACTTTGCAAATAAAGGTTTTGTAAACTATTCAATTCCGATCAATGACAAAATCTACAATTACCAAGATTTCTTCAAACTCCTTCTCAAAAACATTGGTTTAAGATTGACAAAAAGTGACATGACGATAATTAACATACAAAAAGTGCCAAGTGAATCACAAGACTATTTAATGGGTGTTTTAATTTCATTCTTCAGGACATTACTTTTATCAAAATATGCCAATGATTTGTTAGTTTTGTTTGACAACATAATTTTCGATTACTCAAAAACATTGAGTTCAAAATTAGAAGTAATCGCAATTTTCACAATTGTTGGTAGAGGAATTTTGCCATTTTCTTGCGGTTTTTGTAAAGTAGAAGATCATCCACTAAAAGAAGTGTACAGAATTGCAGAAATTACAGAAAGTGAAGTGACCATTTATGATAACCGCTCACAAGAAAAACGGAATTTCAAGAAATCGAAATGTTTTGGCTCAGCACGAATTTCTTATTCATCCCAAATGTTTCCAGCCACGAAATTTAGAGCGAATTTCATCATGACACAATTATTGCAGCCATTAAATAAATCATTGTTACAATCTACAATTGCTTTATTCGCTTTGGATATTGTACAAAACAATGAATGGCTCGGAATGTTGTCTTCTGTTTCTGACAACAAAATTTTGGATACGGCAATTAAATGTACAAATGAAATCTATTTCCATTCAATTCCTGAATTAATGCAAGGATGCCAGGAAATAACAAAATCAGCCGTTTTATCTAAATTAGTAAGACAAAATAAGAAATTATTAATTGGTGACGGTTTTGTAAAGAAAAGTGACAAAATTGAGATGATTTACAAAGAAGGAATGGAAAAAATTGGATTTTTGGGAAGTTTGTCAACAAACGAATACCAGAATGCAACTTTCATTGATTTCAAACAAAACTCTTTGTATATGTACGGAAACAAATTCATTTTGTATAATCATAAATTTGAAAATGGAGATAAAATTTCGATGTCACTTTTTGACAATTCAAAAGTGACATTTTGGATCAATGACAAAGAAATCGAATATGATTGCAACATAAATGACTACAAGGTAACATTGTTTGCTGTATCTATTTTTGATTTTGACATAAAAATAAGTCAAAATCAAATTTCTCAAAACCAAAAATCTTCTTCTAATTCCAAATTCGATGAACCTGTTTTCTTTGATGATAATTTCGATGACGATGATGGATTCGTGCAGCAAATTAAATCAAATTACCAACAGTTAGAACAAAAACAAAATATTAAAATAGAAAAACCAATTTCTGATGATTATTTGGTCGCTGCAAGAAAATTCTTTTTCACTTCAAATAATCAAAAAATTGTGAACTTTACAAAACCGAAAGATCCTTACAAAGTCATTTACAAAGGCAGCAAATTTTACGACATGACAGGAAGATTGATTTCGCAAACAGACACAACTACAAAACTTGAATTCGTTGACAAATTGTTTGGTGAAATAGAAACAGAAGAATTACCAACAATTGGTGTCAAACCGTTGTTAAATTACATTTTGCCACTTTTTGTAAGTGAAACAATATATAATATAATAGTTATTAGATGCATCAGATTCATCTGTTTGCATTTGCAAATTTATGATAATGAGAAAAGTTCAAAATTGGTTCAATCTCTTTGTTCTTCGATTATTTCTACAAATTACAAAATTCCAAATGAAAAGAATTTTAGTTCACTTTTGACTTATTTCCAAAACTGTGTGAAACAAATACCTGATTTCATCAAACAAGTCTTGTCCATCAATTTCGAAGATAATAGACAATTTTACTTCACTTTTAATTCTCCAAAAATTGAAAAACAAAGATTTGTAAATGATGTCACTTTTAATTCAAATTTGACATTTGGATTTTACTTTGATGATGAATTTAAAGTCACAGGAACAGATTACATCAGAGTCAATTCAGGTACAAAGGCGTTTTTCATCAAAGAAAGTAGTTTTGGTCAAGGAATAGAAGAACAGAAAAATTTACAATTAAAAGTGTCACTTTTTAACAGAAAAAGTGACGGAATTCGATTTTCATTTTGTCCTATTTTCAAATTTGGCACATATTCGAATCAGAACCAGAAAACATTTATAGTTAATTTGATTTATTCGTTGACAGAATTGATTGGAAAATCGAAAATTTCTTCTGAAACGAAACAAAAAGAACTTTGCTTGAGTTTGTTTGATTTTTATTCTGATTTAATATTGTCAGAAGACAATGTATTGAGTTATGCTGCTTACCAGAATTACTGGCATATTTCCAGCACATCAAATATTTTAGATGTTTCAAGACCAAGTGAAATTTGGTTTGGAAATCATTTTTCGAATCTTCAAAACGAAAATTCCGAATTTTCTCGACAGTTTATTTTCGGATTAGCTATGTCTTGTAGATGCAGAATGTCAATTATCCCTGATTTATCAACAACTACTTCTTTGGCAAGGATTGAAGCTTATTTGGAATCATTACAAATGAATTCAAACACAATGACAGAAAATGTTTTGTTATTGATGTCATTTTTGAATTCAAAGGCATCTATACCATTTTTATATGATTGTTATTTGTATTCTACACGTCATGGAAATGTTACGTTCCAAGTAACGAAACAAGATGAAACTTTTGTGTTTTCTGACACATGGTCGATAAAATCGATTAAAAGTGTTGATGGATCGAGTATTCCTAGTGACATGGCAGTAGAAATCACGAAAATGAATGATTTCCCGAATAATAACAAATTACATATTTATGCCGTTAAAGAGGAAATTCCGAATTTGATAATTGATTTCGATATTCCTCAAAACATCGAAATCCAAAAATACATCCAATTAAATGACGAAATGTCAAAGAATTGGTCAAAGAATTTTGATAAATCTATTGCAGAATTAACAGGAGAATTAAAAATGATTTCTGAAATGGATAAATTACGTTTAGAAGAATATCCAAATGCTGCTGTAAAAGAATGGAGAAGTTACTTGATTTTGAGGTTAAATATGATGTTGAATAAACTCGTGAAAACTGATTTGAGATCGCCAACTTTAAGACCTTTGTTACACGAAATAAGTTACGCGATAGAACCACAATATAAATACAAACAAATCGATCACGTGGCCAGACAAAACATCACTGAAAAACCAACATTAAACTTCTCAAGAACAGCTGCTGCTTTGGTACAAACGAATCCAAATTCTCCACACGCGATTTCTCTTTTCGATCAAGTTATTTCTCAAGTTTCTCCTGAAAAACTTTCTAGTTTAAAGAACAGAAACGCGCCGTGGATTGCGGATTTGGTTGGAGAAGGAGCAATCGACGCAGGAGGACCAGGAAGAGATGTTTTCTCTGAGATTTGCCAAGAAATGTTTTTGCCATTTAACAAAGTTTTCATTCAGACACCGAGAACAAGGGCACAGAACCAAATGTGCGAGTTCATTCCTGATCCGGATTCATCAGAAGAAAGATTGCTTTATGCAGGAGCTTTCGTTGCTTTGTGTTTCGTTACACAAAGTCCACAACCTTTGAAATTAAATTTTTCTGTTTGGAAATATTTGACAGGAAACGAAATTTCAGATCAAGATTTGTTAGACATGGATCCTGATTTTGCCGCAAGTTTGAATGTTACAGGACAAAGACCTTTATCTATTATAAGTTTATCAGGAAATAAAATTGATTTGATTCCATTTTGCGACCAAAATTCAGTTGATTCCGAATTGTACAACCAATTGGCAATGGAATACCGAAGGAATGAGTTCAATTTCGCAATGAAATCATTCAGGAAAGGTTTCGAAATTATCATGGAAAAGAGCTGCAGAGAATTGTTGTCTCCTGACCAATTAAAATACATCTTTTGTGGTCCAGACGAAATAAGTGCAGCGCAATTCATAAGTTTGTTGAGGTACTTAACAGTTGCTGACTCAGCATCGAAAGAGTACTTCGAATGGAGCATTTTAATGATGACAAGCGAGGAGAGATCGATGCTTCTCAAGTTTATTACAGGAAGAGTTTCAATTCCTGTGTCAGGAAGCGGCTCAAATTTCGCAATAAATGTTCATTTGGTTAAATTGCAGAAAACGAAGCCGCCTTACTCTTTGCCGACAGCAGCAACTTGCTCGTCGACAATTACTGTTCCAGCGTATCCTTCAAATGAGATCATGCTCGAGTGCTTGAGAAAGGCTCTCAGATATGGTTCAGATTTCACATTGGATACACAACTTGACGCGACAACGCGTGCTTTTGAATAAATTGTTTGTTTTTTTATTAATTTATTTAATGGTTCACTTACCACTTTCTGACATTCTCTCAATTTTTTTGACACTCAAGTTTTATTACACAACTTACTATGAAAAAAAGCTAATATTTTCATAGTTGAAGAATCCATATTTGCTAACTGTGGTTCCTCCACAAATGGTGGATCTGTTAACTATAACTGTTGGATGGGAGGACAGATTGTTCAACATAAAACTTGCTATTATAAATCGATAACAAAGGAGTATTTCATATCATTTTATCAAACTGTTAAATCTAATTATTCTTACAAAAACTTTATAATTGAAGTTTCAGTTTCGAAATGCGGAGAAAGCGAAACAAAAGGAGGATACATTACCGTAACTACAGCTGGTAATATCTGTTTTTCGAATAATAACATCACAAACAACAAATGCAGTTATTTTTCATCCCATTATAGTGTTGTTGATCTAAATTCAAGTACTTTTAAATTCTCAACATTCAGAGAAAACAACCAAACTGATAGTCGATCACTTTGTTTTAATAGTTTTTCTAAACCATTATATCAAACAGTTTCTTATTGCAATGTTATTGGAAATAAATGCGGAACAGACAATAACCAAGTTTTATTTAATTGTCAATACAAAACTTACGTTGATCATTGCATATTTAGAAATAACACTGCAAAGTACATGTTTAGGCAAGAACATCAAGGTTATACTTTAACTATTTCAGATTCATATGTTGAATCAAATTCTGCAACAGGAGTAATAGTTACATTTACTAATCTAAAAGAAAATTACGATTTCAATCATTTTTCTCATTTTTACAAAGATAATTGTTTGGTAGATCAAAAAGTAATCTCAAATACTCATAAAATAGCACCCTATCATATTCCAGATCATTATCATCCCAGAAGGCGATAAATACCATATGCATTGTTTATTTGGATTATTTATCAAAAAGAATCTTAAACACAATTTTCATCAAGAATTTTTTGTTTGGGATCGTCTTATGGGGAAGAGGACTCTCAATACACTTATTGTTCGTAATTTTTTATTATCAAAATAAAACACTAAAAAATAATTAAAAAAACGAAATTATATTACTTACAAAACAGATTAGAATGGTATATTCGATCGTATAATTTCAATATCCGCTTGTACAGATTCATCCTTGATGAACTGTAACTCTCTCAATATCTTGCTTCCGCTCAAATGCTCTTTCATTTCTGGATGTTTGCTGAAAAGTGAAACAATAGGTACAACAAGCACTGCCCAGCCATTTGTTGTGATCATTCTGTGTATGTATGGAAGAATTGTGATGAATCCAGGTGAGTATCCAACATCTGCAATTTTCTTTATGATTTTGAGAGATTCAATGATCAAATCTGAGTTTCCTCTCTGGAATGTCTTATCAAAAAGCCTTTCTATGAACTGCTGTGAGAGTTTGACCATTGCTGGAGTGATTTCTATTGACATGAAAATTGGTTAAATTGTTTCATACATATCACTCTCGTTTTCGAGGACGCTCTGAAGGAAAATAATGATTTCTTGTGGTAGATTGGTCCTGCAAGACTTGTGAGAAAGAATTACCATCAATAATTTCAATGTGTACTCAAGAGTGGGCAAACTCATGACTATCCATGATTTCATTGATGAGAAAATGATTTTAGCATTGTCAGGATTCTTCGCAACCTCACAGAGAACTAATGATGCGTCGATATTCTTTTCCGCTAAAGAAATCAACGATTGGATGACTGATTCTGTGACGAACTGTGGACATTTGATGATCCAAGTAAGGATTCTGTGGCCTAGCATAGGTTCATCCAAATTTTGAGAAATAAAATTCTCTGGAAGAGGAACACGGAGGTCATTTTCAGCGCACATCATGTCTAAAGCTATTGCTGCTTCGTTTCCACCTCTCATAAGTATTGATTTGAGAGTGTTTTGGATATATTGCAATCTTGCCTTCAAAAATTGAGGATATAAAGCTAACAATGTGAAAATAAGCTTTGCGAGGCCTTGTGCGACACCTCCGTTAATGAATTCTTTGTCATATTGAAAGACCATATCTGCAAAAGCCCAAAACTTTGTCAAAGCACTCTTCCTGCATCTCTTGTTGCATGTGTATGCATTAATGAGTCGCAAAACATGCATCGGATGCGTCGGAATGTAAAATTTGACTGTATCAACAATTTCATCTGAAACTTCTGCTGGAGAATTAGAAAAGAACTGGAGATAGATGCCAAGGATCTGATGAGCAACTGATTCGTCTTTAAATTCGCCACAGAAGACCAAATTAAAATATAAAGATGGTAGTGATTTCCATGAAAAATAGAGTAAATAACAAACATGGATAATATTTATATAAAAAACAAACATACAAACAAAAATCTAGTATAAAATAAGCTCCATTAGGGAGGATTAAGATATATTATATGAATTAATCCGAAAGCTGGGCTCTATAGCATTCCCAGCCTTTGGATGTAGTATTATAGTTGATAATGCAGGTTGTAAGCAATATACGGAACTTGGAAATGTAGTCTGGTGTTATCTTGGTTTTCATTGACTCCGAAATTTTTCTAGTTGTAGCAATTTCGTCCATGACTGCCATTAAATACATTCCGCAGTCATAGGAATTGTCTTGAATTGGTCCCTTCATGTTTTTGAAGTTGTAAGCTTTAAGGTTCAAGCATGAAACAATCTTTTTGACGAAGTTTTTTGCTGGAACAATATTTCGATTTTTTAGGGAGTCGAAGTGAAGAAATTGATTTTTCATTCCAGGGCACCATACGAGCAATGACCAGTGACACGTATTATCTGTTTTTAGATTGGAAATTGGAAAGAAAATTAAATCGAATTTTGAAAATGCCGAATTCTCAAAGAGAGGGATAGCATTTTCTTCGGAAGATCTTTGAAATAATTGAGTTACAAGTGGAGACACGAATTTATATTTCATCATTTCCCTTTGAAATCTAAGATTTTCAATATTGCACAAAAAGTGGATTATAGTATCTTCTACACGCTCACCTTGTTTAAATCCTTCAAGATCTTCCAAGCTGATCACAACATCATCAGCTTGCGCGACAATATTCTCGGAGGATAACAAAAGCAAGTTTGAAATTTAATAATTTTTAACAGTTTCAATACGTATCAACGATTAATTCTCAAATTGTGAGAGTGAATAAACCATTGAAAATTTTGATGGGTGCCGTAGCGCTTTCAATTTTTGACACTTTTACGAATTTATTTATTTATTTGCAAATAATATTTAAGTTAGATTATTTAATATTTAAGGCATTCTGATAATTTTGAATTAATTGCCTTTTGAGGAGACACTCTCAAATGATTTAACGGTTCGCAAATGAATTATTCCTTAAGTACTACATTACTTCTATAATAATCATAAAAAATTATATTTCAATTCTCGAAATTTTTTATGAATTATTGAATATATGTCGTTAAAACAATCCATACGCTTTATGCTTTCCTAGACATATTCGTATCATATCCTGATTTTTTTTAATTATTTTTTCATATCAAATTGAGAACGATATCAGCCATGGGTTGAAAGGGAACAATTTGTTTTAGGTCATCAAATATGTAGAGATAAAGATTCTTTAAAATCGATAAAAACATAACTTGATTAATGTAATTTCTATCTGAAAATATGAAATCATTGCCATTCACCGAAATACCAAATATTTAAAATTCACTTTAGTTCTTTCGGAGATTAAGGGTGCACACGAGAGGATCATGTAAACTTCAGAATTTAAAACCTTATTTTTAGGCATTATCTTGGCTACCTATTTAGGCTCGAAAAGCAAAAAATATCAAAAAATACAACTTGACTCCATTATGACCCTTTCATGGAGGTAGTTTTTATCCGCTAGTATTTTCCCTTTGAATCTCTTTACAATTCGAAATCAAATTCAAAACTCAGTAGAAGAAAGGAAGAATCGACTTACTACGGTTGTAATACGAATAAATACATATATTTAATTATTTTTATTTACATAATAACTGTTTGAAGCTCATATTCCATCAAATTTTTAAATAAAAACATTAAAATGTTGAAAATGTTCATATATTTTAATAGGGTTTTGGCACTTTATTGAGGAATTACTACATACATAGTCGAACTGAACTTGATATTTTGAAATTTAAATTATTTATCAAAATTAAAATTTAACTTGAAATTTATAATTATTTAGTCATATTTTGCATAATTCTAAGTAGATTTTGTAAAAAATCAAGAAAGAAAAATTTAACGTGCTTTATTTTTTCTTTTTATATAATACATATTATTATATAATTAACATATTCATAATGTTTCACCCTTTCAAAAATATAATCCTCCTCTCAAATAAACGTACATACGGGTGGCCTCTTTTTTCAAAAATTAAAATTTGAAATTTTGGGCTCAAATATTAGAGATTTTTTCAACCTTCAACGATATATGTTGTCTATATCAGACCTCCTTTCTTTTTGATACTTAACATTGTTCCTAAATCTTAGCCGTTAAGGCTGTTCTGAAAATATTTTTTTTTTGAAAAAATTCGAAAAAAATTCTTAAAATTCAAAAATCCCTTAATTCCTGAGGATTTTGGGAAAAAGTTTTTACATGAACATGTGTATATTATATGAAGTATATTGATAAGGTAAAAATCAAATTTTATTGCATATTCATCGAGAAAATAAACTAACGAATCCCTTAAAATTGAGAGGGTAATCCTCCTCCTCTCAAATAAACGTACATACGGGTGCACCCTTAATCATGATTAATATTAAAAAGAGTAGGTAACATAAGTGGGCTGTGTAAATTTTTGTAAATTGTCAAATTATTATTTTTGACAATGTAAACTCATATGAGATTCCTTCCAAAAGAAACTTGGGGCCCTGGTGTAATGCACCAGGACCCGAGACCTCCGAGAGGGAATACCCCAAAGAATTTTAACAGATTGTTGGGATAAATTTTATGATAATCTAATAGAGTTTGTTTTTCCAGGTCGAATTTTTGTAAAAAAGTTTACAAATCAGAACGATAGAAATTGGGACCCTCCAGTCCTCTCCCTGTTATGCTATAAATATTTTGTAGGCTTCCTTTTAATGATATTTATATAAATATCTAATATATCTAATAGAAATAAACAATATTGATTAATTTTATTAAGGGTTCTGACCGACCACCTATCTCCTCTCAAAATTTTCAACTTTGGTGTCTCATATCTTGGCGAATACTAGGCATCAGCCTAAACGCCCGGTACATCTTTCCAACCTATAAGATATAGTATTTAAAAATACCTCAAAGTGAGGTCTTTATCGATGATCATTTTTTCGCCTTGCTTTTTTCGATTTTTTCGGATTTTTTTCAACATGCCAAATGAGTGAAAAAATTTATGAATATTCGATGGATTTTTTTATAATTTTGTACACATATTCTGTGAACAATACCTATGCATATTTTATCACCAAATACAGTAAAGAGATTTCTGACACGTAAAGTTTACGTGTCAGAGTGAGGTTGATAGAAAAAATTGAGAGGGAGGCCGAAATTGGTATTATTTTAAAATTTTATAACAATTATGTCCGAAATTTAACAGAGATTACCATTTCAATATTCATTTTTTCATAACCCTTAATTTTTGAATTTAATATAACTAATTCGCAAAATTGACCAGCAATCACTAAGTATTATATTTGCACTGCAAAAATAGCAATAACGGTGAAGAAAAATTGGTTTGATTGCATATATTAGGTTAATATAGCGTATATTTTGCAAAGAGATCATGTTCTATTCTTAAGTCAACTGGATATTATTATGATTTTATGTGAGTAATGATGTTTCCAAATTAAATTTGAAAATACGATTAACAATTCATGAATAATTAAAATACTTCGCAAAAAGTAAATTTTTATTATATATATTTGCACCATTTATCTGCCAGGAGATAGGATATGCATATATCAAATACAATTTTATCTGCTTGAAGATTTGCTAGTAAGGATGATTAATTATTCTAATAAAATTACTTTAACCAATAAAGTAACAGTATCTGTTAGTCAAATTTTCCATAAAAATACAATTCGTCAAATTATGTAACTCGATAATCCTCATATTGCGATATGAAATGAATATCTTTAGATTAATTATATATCTTTCTATATATTATCACAGATAATGTATGTGACTTATTGTATAAGATAATTATGTTTCTTTGCTATATTTCACAAACTAAGTTTATATATATTAGGAATTTTCAATTTCAGACCAAATGAACATAATATATGACCATTATCAGCAAGTAGCATGCTGCTTTATATTACTATATTCAAGTGTCAACGAGATTAAATAGAATTTTTTCTTAAATATTAAAGTAACAAATAAAATTTCATCTGCAATGACTAGGAAATAGAATGTGTGGCAATAGATGAGACTAAATATGCATGGACGGCATCATTTATTTGTTATTGAAAAAGTTTGAGCAAAATTAGTAAAAAAATCGATAAAATGTTATACATTTATGCATACTCTTACATTTCTATAGATACTATATATCTAAATTAGCTAGAATTTGTATTTTTGACGAAATTGTATTCAATAATTATGGATTGGGGTGGTCTCGAAGCCCCGCTTGGCGATGGATATTTTCTGTACATATAAGTGCTGCCAAATCCGTAACTTTGAAAATTTTGAAAATTTTTAGTCAAACTCGAGGCATTTTTACCACATATTTTTAAAATGAGAAAATCAAAAATTGATACCATAAATTGCTTTTTTCAAATTCATATAGTGGATTTGAGATTCACCTATCATATATGTATTGAATATTATGAAGTAACACTATCATGGTGTGTGGGGTACATGGAATAATATCAATCATGAAGGCATATACAGTGTCTCGAAGTGGAAGAAAATTGAGAGGATATAGTTGGTCGGTCAGAACCCTTAAAGTATTTCGATATAGATGTAAATAATTTTGATATGCAAAACATAACCTGACGATTGTTTAATAAAAATCATGGAAGTTAATATCCGATTCCCAAATAAGATCTTTTAGAGTTCACTGATTCAATTTATCTTATAAGATATTGGCAGATTTTGATGGGTTTAGACAACAATCGCTTTAAGTTTGGAGCTGTTTAACATTTGAAAAAGTGATATAATTAATTTTAATACTTTCTATTGCATAAAACGCCCATTCTTTACCCAACACATTTGTGATTCAAATTCATCGCTTTTCCAAATCTCACAAAATTTGTGAGCATTGACAAACAAAATTTACTGTGCATTATGAATATCATTATTGAATTTAACTTTTTTAATAAAAAAAGTTTTGTTTTTCGTTTTGGTTTGAATTGAATTGAATGAAATTTTTGAAAATAAATTATCGATTTCAATGTAAAATATCAAATTTCAAATTAAGTTTATCATTTTATCTGGATATTCAAAAATTTCAATAAGTAATTCAGAAAACTATCGGAATTTTTCATTGAATAATGAATGTCGGTATATATTGGTGTTTAAGCTTGCACAGATATTGGAATGAGTACTATGACGATTCTCTTATATATAACTCTACCATCCTTTCTTCAGATCGTCTCGAAATAACTTCAAATGTCGGAAATTATAGAGTTGCATATTGCAAATTTCAAAACTTCAATATATCATCGGCAGTAAGACTTAATTCAGGTAAAAATAATCGTACTCTAATAGAAGATTCTTTTTTTATTGATTGCGGATTATTTCAAAAAGTTAAACCTGGAAATGGGGGTTGTGCACTCTACGTTGGAGTAGAAGGAATAATTGCAGTAAATCGTTTATGTTTTGTCGGTACAACCGGAAATACTACAGATTTACATTGCAATTTATATTCAGCTTACAACAAGCCTCAATATATTCCACTAAGAGTAAACTTAACATCTGCTGTTAATGGAAGAAGTAGTGGCAATAGTGCCTTTTCAATGTATGGTGGGATGGTTAATTTTAATAACAAGAATCTAACGAATAATATGGCTTTAAGCAACCCAGGTGTTAGATTAGTTTCTGCATATAATATATCAAAATTTTCATATAATACAATTCTGAATAATACAAATTCGAATAAAGCTGCAATATCAGCAACATTTTATATCTCTACTACCATAAATGGAACAGTATACATTAACTTCACTAATAATATTCAAAATGAAGATCAAAATTGTTTCTATTTAAATGCTTTACAACAGATTTATATAGATTCATGCTCATTTTCAGAAAATAATTATACAATTTTTGTGAACATAAATTCACCTCAAAAATATCAAAGTGTATTAATTTCGAATACGTACATTGATGACTTTAAACCATGTAGTGGTACATATGCCTTGAATTTTGAATCAAACCTTACATCATATACTAATTTTCCAGCTCCTATTGTTGTTAATGGGGATGGCGTTCAAGTCAGAAAGACACATATATACGCAGAGGCAAAGAACTTCAATGACAATGCCTTTGCCTATGGTATTATTGCACTGTATAGCTTCTCTTCTTATAATTAATAGAATCATTTTGTTGTTCTTTTTCCAGTATAATCTTATGAATTTCCAGATTAAGAACAGTTTGTAGATGTTATGCTTCTTTACTAAAAGTAAAGAGAGCTGTAAATTGAATAAAATTTATCATGTTTATATTTAAATAAAGCTTAGTTTTAGTTTGATTTCTTTTCTCTAGTCTGAAAACAGCTTAATTCTTAAATCAAATCATACTTGGCTCAAATGGGATTCCTTGGATTTTAAAAAGTGACAAGGACTAAAATCTTCATGACGCAATTGCTTTTAGAGGCAATTTGGTCATTGACAGACAAAGATCGTGTCGAGGAGGCCGACAAATACATAAAAGAGCTCATTGATACTGATAAAATTGGCTATATTGCAAACCTTGTTGAGATTTTAAATTCAGATGATCAAAATGCTTCAGTCAAACGAAATACATTACTTTTATTATACAAAATGTATCCAGAAGATATTGCCCAGCAAAATGGGGAATTTGATGAATCAGATATGATTCCACAAGAAATTACATCGAAAATTATTGAAATAACATTTGCATTACTTGGAAATCCAGATGAAAGCTTAAGAAACAATGCAATTCATCTCTATGCTCGCGCTGTTTCATACTATATTAATTTACACGACATTGAACCATTTCATGCATTAATACAAACACTAATGGAACTTCCAGATGCTAATTTAGCGACAACATATACATCTGCTCTTTGTGAAATTTTAATTTCATATTATCCCGAAGAAGCAGAGACTCATCATCTCTTTAGACTTGTTTTCGTCATGTTCAACACACAAGATATACAAATGCACTTCAATGCGATCAAAATTGTGAATTCCATGGTCGAGAATATTTCAGATTTCTTTGAACCCGCCGATGAAGATGCCGCAGAAGAGAACCAACAGATAGTCATAGGCATAGCATCCGCGTTACTTCAATACAGCCAACCAGGCGACCTACAATGTGAAGCCTTCAAGTGTTGGGACAAAATTGGAAAACAAGCTCCAATAATTTTGGCCGAAAACGAACCAATTCTCATCGAACACGCGTTGGGAGCAATGGAGAACAGTGAAGATAGAAACCTTCTCTTTGCTGCATGTGCGTTAATCAAGAGAATTGCTAAGATAGAGATAGAAGATGAGACAGAACAATTAAACGGAATTGAACAAAATATACAAAATGTTTTGACAATGTTAATGGATGTTTGCAGCAGTGTTGACGATCCATCTTGCGAAACAAATGAAACATGGGAACCGTACATTGCTGCATACGAAGCTATGAAGACTGTTTGCAAGTTAACAGCTGATACAATCGCTGAAGGAATGTCAGAAAATTTCTCTGAAATTTTGAATTCAAATTCAATCACTTTTTCAGAGCGCGATTGCTGGTTGAGATTACTTGAATGTGTCATTGTTAACACTACAAACAAAGAGTATGTCAAGCAGTATTTCCAGCCACTTATCAGTTTGGCAAGTGATGAAAGCCCATGCATAAGATTTAGAGCATTAAAATGCATCAGAAAAGGTTTGGAGTTTATCTCAGAAATCAACAGAAACGATGAATATCTAATAGAGCTTTCCAAAGAAGTAGAGAACCTCGCAAACATACTTGACGATGATGGCCATATCGCTTCAGAAGTTTGTTTCATTTTGTCATTATTTACAAAAGTGACAAATTATGAAAGAACATCAGATATTCTTCAGTTGTTAACAGAGAAAGCTGTTTCCGTACACCAGCATTTCGCCAAAGAACCGTTTGATGCAATAGAAAGAATCGTGACTGAAGCTGATGAAGCGCAAGTTTTGAATTTCTTCCCAAATATTTGTGGTTACTTAGAAAGCGCTTTGAATCAAGAAAATTTCGGATGGTTAGTTCATGATTTAGGAGAATTGGTACAGGCATACGCATTCAGATTCAAAGAACAGATCAGTCCTGTTGTTGATCATCTTTGTAATTTGTTTTTGCAAGTTTGTAACTCTAATTCTGAATATTTACCTGAAGTTTTGTTGCCTTTCACAAGTTTATGTGCTGCAAATCATGAAATATTCGGAAAATATCTTCCAAACGCTTTGGAAATATTCGAGAATATTGTTAAGGAAAGTTCATTCTATCAAGCACAATCGAGTGAACACTCTGCTTTCTATTGTGTTGTAACAGGTTTCTCTATCATTTTGTTGGAGAATTATCCAATAGAAAACATCCAAAATTGGCTTGAGATATTGGCAACATCTTTATCTGTTGAAAACAATTTAGTTGAGAATATGTGTGCTGCTGTATTATGCATTGATTCCATTGCAATCAAATACAGTGAAATGTACTCTAATTTCGCTAAAACTGTTTTGGGATACATCAGAACTTATTGCCAAGAATTAAGCCTCAAATATGGAAGTGATGGAAATGACAGTGAAGGACAGAATTTGGCTAAATGTATTTCACAGATTTTGTTGACAACTTATAAGATAATTGGACCAGAAAACATCGACCAAGAGAACTTGGAAATGACTGGTGAATTGTTCTTGTACTTTTGCGAACAAGAATCAATTACTAGTGATTTCATGTACAATGTTCTCTCTTTGATGGAGTTTATCGGACAGAATTTCCATGATTTCATGGCTGAATTGATTAGTAATAACCCTGATTTGCAGGTGAAACTTGAAAACGCAAAAGAATATTATGATAACTGCGAAAAGTTAGTGGCAAGTATTTCTACAATGTTTGCTGATTTATTTGAATAAAATAGAGTTTTATTATATTATTATACAAAATAAGTAAAGATCAAATTTTCCTACAAGCGCTAATTGATGCATTTTTAAATTAATCCATATAAAATCACTAAATTTGATTATGTGAATGTCTTGATTAGACATTATAAGTCACAATTTTGCAATTTACAATATAAAATATGGCTTTATAGTTAATTCGGAGAAAATATGCATAATAAAAACAAGACTGATCTTAATCTAGAAATTTTTCCAGGAAATTTGACCCGTCCTGGCGGTTTTTAATTCAATTTTTGAAGAGTGTGTTTGATTTTGATTATAAATTTTGTAGACTTTTCAAAATTCCCCAAAAATTCATCATTTGCAATATTTCAAATATAAGTGTTTCTATGGACAACTATTTTAAATAATACCCAGGACCCTCAAGAAAATGTGAAACCCAAAAAAATGTGCAACGTTATTAAGGGTGCACCCGTATGTACGTTTATTTGAGAGGAGGAGGATTACCCTCTCAATTTTGAGGGATTCGTTAGTTTATTTTCTCGATGAATATGCAACAAAATTTGATTTTTACCTTATCAATATACTTCATATAATATACACATGTTCATGTAAAAACTTTTTTCCAAAATCCTCATGAATTAAGGGATTTTTGAATTTTAAGAATTTTTTTCGAATTTTTTCGAAAAAAAAAATATTTTCAGTAGGGATGCGTTAAACACGCCATTTGACCGGGCGTACATTTTTTTTGTTCGCCCAAAAATTTCGCCATTTGAGAAATTCAAAAATTAAAAATAAAATTTTAATCTTGATTTTTTTATTTTCGTGATTTTTTTGAAACTTACATAAGCGATGAAATACTTTTTTTAGTAATCGTTTATTATATATAAATATATCTTAATAAATTTAATTCCTTAAGGTAGAGTGTGTTCAAATTTAAAATCTCATACAATATTTTCTTAATGGCGTATTTTTCTGAGGTCGCCCAAATAAAGGCGAATTCAAAATTGAGAACTCCAAGGCGTATGGCGAGTATTCAAAAAGTACGCCACTTACAAAATATTGAATGTGGATTATCAATTTTTTGGCGTGTTCAATTTCAAATTTTGATATTTATGTTTATTTTATTCAGTATAATGCTAAGAATTAAAATATAAAATTCATAGAATTTTTTCTTTGAAAATATTTTACATTTTTATTAGACCACTCCTAGACTAGTCATCAGGTTATCCTCAGATCATCCTCAGACTACTCCTTATCAGATTACTCATCATCCTCAGACTACTCCTTAGACCCCTCCTCATCAGACTACTCCTCAGATCTTCCTCATAAGACTCCTCCTCAGATCTTCCTCCTGAGACTACTCTTCAGACTACTCCTTAGAGTCCTCCTCATCAGACTAGTCCTGAGACTAGTCCTCAGACTACTCCTGAGACTAGTCCTCAGACTACTCCTGAAACTACTCCTCAGATTATCCTCAAACTACTCCTCAGTCTAATCCTCAGACTCCTCCTCAGATTATCCTCAAACTACTCCTCGGTCTAATCCTCAGACTCCTCCTCAGATTATGCTCAGATTATCCTCAAACTCCTCAGATTATCCTCAGACTACTCCTCAAACTACTCCTCGGTCTAATCCTCAGACTCCTCCTCAGATTATCCTCAAACTCCTCAGACTACTCCTCGGTCTAATCCTCAGACTCCTCCTCAGATTATCCTCAAACTCCTCCTCAGATTATCCTCAAACTCCTCCTCAGATTATCCTCAGACTACTCCTTATCAGATTACTCATCATCCTCAGACTACTCCTTAGACCCCTCCTCATCAGACTACTCCTCAGATCTTCCTCATAAGACTCCTCCTCAGATCTTCCTCCTGAGACTACTCTTCAGACTACTCCTTAGAGTCCTCCTCATCAGACTAGTCCTGAGACTAGTCCTCAGACTACTCCTGAGACTAGTCCTCAGACTACTCCTGAAACTACTCCTCAGATTATCCTCAAACTACTCCTCAGTCTAATCCTCAGACTCCTCCTCAGATTATCCTCAAACTACTCCTCGGTCTAATCCTCAGACTCCTCCTCAGATTATGCTCAGATTATCCTCAAACTCCTCAGATTATCCTCAGACTACTCCTCAAACTACTCCTCGGTCTAATCCTCAGACTCCTCCTCAGATTATCCTCAAACTCCTCAAACTACTCCTCGGTCTAATCCTCAGACTCCTCCTCAGATTATCCTCAAACTCCTCCTCAGATTATCCTCAGACTACTCCTCAAACTCATCAGATTATCCTCAAACTCCTCAGACTACTCCTCAAACTCCTCAGACTACTCTTCAAACTCCTCAGATTATCCTCAAACTCCTCAGACTACTCCTCAAACTCCTCAAATTATCCTCAGACAACTCCTGAAACTACTCCTCAGACAACTCCTCAGATTATCCTCAAACTCCTCAGACTACTCCTCAAACTCCTCAGATTATCCTCAAACTCCTCAGACTACTCCTCAAACTCCTCAAATTATCCTCAGACAACTCCTGAAACTACTCCTCAGACAACTCCTCAGATTATCCTCAAACTCCTCAGACTACTCCTCAAACTCCTCAGATTATCATCAAACTCCTCAAACTACTCCTCGGTCTAATCCTCAGACTCCTCCTCAGATTATCCTCAGATTATCACTTTACATATATATATCGATAACTAAATAATTACTTATTATACTTTCTTTATTTTTTTTAATTTTAAAATAATATTAATATATCTTTCTACGTTTAATGATGAAAAGAGAAAGAGGAGTAAAAAGAGGAAAGAGAAAAGAAAGAGAGAGAAAAAAAAAGAGAAAGAAAGAAAGAAAAAAAAAGGACGGCGATAATTTTGTATTGTTTTGTTATTCGGCCGAATGGCGGGTACTTCGTACCCGCCATTCGGCCCCAAAAATGGCGTATTATTCTATTTTTAAACGGTCATGGCGTAAAACCGTCGCATCCCTAATTTTCAGAACAGCCTTAACGGCTAAGATTTAGGAACAATGTTAAGTATCAAAAAGAAAGGAGGTCTGATATAGACAACATATATCGTTGAAGGTTGAAAAAATCTCTAATATTTGAGCCCAAAATTTCAAATTTTAATTTTTTGAAAAAAGAGGCCACCCGTATGTACGTTTATTTGAGAGGAGGATTATATTTTTGAAAGGGTGAAACATTATGAATATGTTAATTATATAATAATATGTATTATTATAAAAAAGAAAAAATAAAGCACGTTAAAATTTTTCTTTCTTGATTTTTTACAAAATCTACTTAGAATTATGCAAAATATGACTAAATAATTATAAATTTCAAGTTAAATTTTAATTTTGATAAATAATTTAAATTTCAAAATATCAAGTTCAGTTCGACTATGTATGTAGTAATTCCTCAATAAAGTGCCAAACCCTATTAAAATATATGAACATTTTCAACATTTTAATGTTTTTATTTAAAAATTTGTTGGAATATGAGCTTCAAACAATTATTATGTAAATAAAAATAATTAAATATATGTATTTATTCGTATTACAACCGTAGTAAGTCGATTCTTCCTTTCTTCTACTGAGGTTTGAATTTGATTTCGAATTGTAAAGAGATTCAAAGGGAAAATACTAGCGGATAAAAACTACCTCCATGAAAGGGTCATAATGGAGTCAAGTTGTATTTTTTGATATTTTTTTGGTTTTCGAGCCTAAATAGGTAGCCAAGATAATGCCTAAAAATAAGGTTCTAAATTCTGAAGTTTACATGACCCTCTCGTGTGCACCCTTAAATTTTTATAAAACCCGATGGATCCAACTGTTCGCCAGCCGATCACATCCATCGAGTTCCTTCCTTATTCGAAGGAAGAAATAGAGAATTTCAGTGTTATGCCAGTTACAGCCACTGGTGTTTTTGATAGACAAGGAAAGCCAATCGCAGAAGGCGTTTACGATACTCATCTTGGTCCTACAGAACATGACCAGACATGCCCAATCTGTGGCCAGCATGCATGGAACTGTCCAGGACATTTTGGTAACATCAAATTAGCAATGCCTGTTTACCATCCACTTTACGTGAAGCAACTTGGTCGTTTCATGGGTGGTTTCTGCACAGAATGCAACTGTCTTAGAATTCCGAAAGAAATTATGTTAAATGTTGTAAATGCTTTACAATTGATCGAGCGTGGCCAATTGGTCTCAATGGACGAAGTATTTGCCACTTCTGACGAGCCATCATCAGTCACAGAGCAACGCCAGAAAGAAATTAATGAACTTATTGAAAAACTCCCAATTATCGAGCCAAACACATACACAGTCCAAACACGCGAGAAAATCATCAAGGAGTTCCTTACACGCGCATCTGGTTACCGCATGAAGTGCGCTAACTGCATGCATGATAACAGGAAGATCAAATTTGATAATTTCCACTTCGAATTTGTTGTTGTCTCTAGCGACAAGACACAAGAACCTAAGTATGTCCAATTGGCGAGATTCGTGACAAGTTAAACCAGTTTTACAAGGGAAATAAGTTATTCTTCAATACTTTCTTCAACCAGACAGGACCAGACTTTTCTTCATTGACACTGTCTGCGTTACACCACCAAAATTCCGTCCGATGTCCGTTCTTGGCGATAAAATCAACGCACATCCAACTTCTTCGGATATGTCGAAGTTATCAAGACAAACATCAATCTCCTTAAGTACTTGAGAAGCCAGATCCAGATCAGATCCGTGCCGAGCACAACAAGCTTCAAACAAACGTTTCTACACTTATCGATTCTACATTAAACAAATCGAGCAAGAAAGTACCAAACGGCATCCGCCAAGTCCTTGAAAAGAAGGAAGGTGTCTTCAGAAAGAACTTAATGGGCAAGAGAGTCAACTTTTCCGCCAGATCCGTCATTGCACCAGATCCATACGTCGCAACCGATGAAGTCGGTGTTCCAGAGGTCTTTGCCAAGACACTTTCATATCCAGAACGCGTCAGAGATTACAACAAGGAAAGATTATCCAAAGCCATCTTAAATGGAGCTGACAACTACCCAGGCGCCAACCTTATCATCGATCCCTACGGCCAGACATTCCAATTAAAGGGAATGAAAGAGTCTCTGAGACAATCCTACGCATCCAAGATCTTTGCCGAATCAGATGGCGACTTTCCATGGACAGTTGGTCGCCATGCCATCAACGGTGATTATGTCCTCATCAACAGACAGCCAACTCTCCATAGAGTTTCCATTTTGGCGATGCGAGTCAAAGTACTTCCTAAACAGAGAACAATTAGAATGCATTATTCCAATTGTGCGTCATTCAACGCAGACTTCGATGGCGATGAAATCAACCTCCACTTACCACAGAACGAATTGGCGAGAGCTGAAGCGAATATCCTCAGTCTTTCTTCACGCCATTACATCACTCCAACAGCAGGAAATCCAATCGTGGCCTCATTCAAGACCATGTTGACGCTGGTGCACTTTTGACAATGAAAAACAATTTCTTGACAAAGACACAATATCAAGAATTGGTTTTCACAGCGTTTGGCGGTGAGATCAACCACAAACTCGAAATGCTTCCACCAGCAATCATCAAGCCAACACAACTGTGGACAGGAAAACAGGTTATTTCAACAATCATCATCAATTTGACGAAAAATTTGTCAGACCAAATGATGGATTTGACATCGAACTCCAAGATTTCGTCAATTCTCTGCTACGGATGCAAAGAAGAGACAACAGTCAGATTCGTTGATGGACATCTCTGCACAGGTATCATCGACAAAGCACAATTTGGTGCTTCCAAGTTCGGTATGGTTCATACAATTTATGAATTATACGGTTCTGACATGGCCTCACGATTTTTGACGATGTTGACGAGGTTATTCACATATTTCATGCAATGCCATGGTTTCTCGTGTGGTATTGCAGATATGATTGTCAACCACAAGGGAGAAGGAATGAGAGAAAAGATGAAAGAAGAAACAGATAAAGTTGCGATCAAAACAGCGAATGATTTCGTTGAAGAATTCGGAACAAAAGAGACACAATACATGAATTTGAAGGATAGATTATGGGATTTGATCAAAGACAAAGACATGAAGGAAAGATATGACCACATGATCATGGGCAATCTTAATAAAGCTGCTTCAGACACTTTGAACGCAATTTTCCCTGCAAACATCACTAAACCTTTCCCTCAAAATCATTTGACAATGATGACATCGTCAGGTGCAAAAGGATCCGTTGTCAATGCCACACAGATCTCTTGTTTGCTAGGCCAGCAATCCCTTGAAGGTAAAAGAGTTCCGTTAATGAGATCAGGAAAGGCTTTACCTTCTTTCGAATTCATGGATATGTCCCTCAATCTGGCGGTTTTGTCAGTTCCAGGTTCTTGACAGGATTGACACCTGAAGAGTACTATTTCCACGCTATGGGTGGAAGAGAAGGACTCACGGATACAGCTGTCAAAACAGCCAATACAGGATATCTCCAGAGATGCATCATCAAGAACATCGAAGGTTTGAGAGCTTCTTACGACGGAACAGTCAGAGACGCTGATGATACGATTGTTCAGTTCCTTTACGGAGAAGATGGCATTGATCCAATGCAGAACAAGTACATCACGAAGTTCGATTTCATGCTGAAGAACATCGATTCTTACTCACAGAAATTGAACATCGAAAAAGTCGGAGAAAAAGCAAATTGTGACTTGGCACAAAAAGTCATCGATGGAGAGAAAGTCAACGAGAATTCATTAGTTCAAGCAACATATCATCCTCATAGATATGTTGGCTCCATTTCACAGTCATTTGAAAACGCTTTGAACAAGTATTGCGATGATTTAAAGAAGAAAGGAACAGACGAGGACACAATCAAGAACCTCAGAGCTGTTGCAGTCTTCAATTACTTCTCATCACAGATACAACCAGGAGAAGTTGTCGGTGTCATCGCTGCAGAAGCAATCGGAGAACCAGCCACACAAATGACATTGAACACATTCCACCTCGCTGGTTACGGTGGAACAAACGTTACATTAGGTATCCCTCGTCTTCGCGAAATCCTCATTGTCGCGACAAGAACACCAGCAACTCCTATGATGTTCCTTTCTCTGTCTATGGATGATGAGAAGAAATGCCAGGAATTCTTGACAGAGTTCAAGAGAATTCCTCTCAAAGACGTCGTAGAACAATTCACTGTCAGAGAGTCAATGAACGCGATCAGCGAAGTAAGGCTCGAAAGGAAGATTGAAGTTACAATCAAATTGATTCCAGACAACTTCCCACAAGGAAAGAACTTCAACTTCGCGATCGATTCGATCAGATCTCACTTCGCAACACAGATCAAGAAGAAGTTAAACTCAATCTTGAGACAAAAAGGCGACCACATCAGAGAAATCGCATCAGATGAAACAGCAACAGCAGAACAAGTCAGAGATATGACAAAAGAAGAAGAAATGGGCGCAGACAGATCTAAAGTCCTTTCAAGAAGAAACGAACAGAACTCATACGAAAAGGACGATGTACAAGAGGAAGAGAAAGAAGACAAAGAAGAAAACAAAGAAGAAAAAGAAGAGAAAGAAGACAAAAATGAAAAAATTGAGTCATCTTTCAACAGAAAACATCAGAATTACATGTTTCTTTCACTATCAAGGATGTATCAATCAAGATCTTGTTCGAATCAATTGTTCAACAAGTACTCTCCGAAGTATACGTCCACGAAATGCCTGGTGTTAAAAGAGCAACATTTTCTGATGTTAAAAGTGACAGTGGTCGACCAATTATTGTCACTGAAGGTGCAAACTACGGCGAAATCTCTAAGCGCCTTGAGATCGACATGAACAAGTTCTACACGAACGACATCGCCATCATTCTCAAGCACTACGGCATTGAAGCCGCGAGAATGGCAATCATCAAGGAAGTTAACTCTGTCTTCAAGAACTACATGATCGATGTTGACATGAGGCACCTTTCTCTCATCGCTGATTTCGTTACAAACACTGGAGATTGGTTGGGCATGTCTAGACACACAATGAAGAAGTGCGCTTCTCCTCTCCAACAGATGTCTTTCGAGACAACAACTGCTTTCTTGACACAGTGCACAATGCACGGCGGAAAGGATATGATGGAGTCCCCATCCGCCTCTCTCACCGCTGGCAACGTAATTAAGATGGGCAGCGGACTTTGTGAAATCCTCGTTCCATTTGAATAATAGATATTAACTATAAAGATTTTTTTTATTAATTTAACATTTTTTTAGAATTTCGATGGATAGTCTCAAGTGTGTGAGATATTATTGATATAAGTGTTTGCATATAAATAGTACATTGATTTATCATATTATTTGATTGAAGCCTCTTATAATCACTAAATATAGAATGATTCTAATAATAAAAAGATGGCTTTAGAAGCACGTATTCATTATAGTTTACTTCCCATAACTGATATAAACTCGTATTCCTTCGTAAAGTTTCTTGTTCAACTTTTTGAAAGATGTTCACTCATTGTTGAGGCAAGAGTACCATTAGGAGACTTTACGTAGGAAGATGAGTTTAAATTATAATATTCAATTGATGAAATTAAGTAAATCACAGTAAGAATAAATAATCTCTAGAGAGGCAATACATTTTTCATATATTTAACGGTTTATATCATGCTTTTAATTTCAAGATTTTGATTTTTATGTTTTTTGTTCCAAAACATTGGGAATACAATTAAGACAGTTGAAGGAAGTTATGAGTATTGAAAATCAAAAAGAAAGACACAACTAAAATTTTAGATCCGAACAGAGTATCTCAATTCTCAAAATCAGGGCATGACTGATAAACAACAGGAACAAGCACCAATAAATCCAGAGGAAGAAGAGAATTTCGAAGCTGAGGAGGAGAATGGTCCAGAAATTGTGATTCAACAAGGTGAAGACGGTGAAGAAGAAGATATGTTTGGCGAGGAAGAAGATATCAATGTCGAAGATCAGTCAGTCAAGTCCTATTTCGAACACAAAGATCCTGTCTACTGCACTGCTTTTGCACAAAAGAAATTATCAAATGGTTGCATCGCTTTTGCTTCAGGCGGCGGAGATGACACAGCAGTTTTATACCACATCAAAGTTACACCGGAAGGCATACAAGATGCTGCTAAATTCGTTCTTAAAGGACACGTTGATAGCGTTTCTTGCCTTTCTTTCTCAGCCGATGGTTCAATTCTTGCCACGGCTGATGTCAGCGGTCTGGTTAAGACATGGGATACATTGACAGGAAAGCTTCTCGCTGACTGCATTGGCCCAACAAAGGAAATTCGCTGGTTGAACTTCCATCCATCACTTCCAGCTTGTTTGGCAGGTGACGAAGATGGTATGGCATGGTTCTGGAACGCTAAGACAGGAAAATGCGCTAAAGTTTACGTCGGCCATTCAGATGTCAACTCCTGTGGTTCATTCCGTGCAGATGGCTCTGAAATATGGACTGCCAGTTACGATGGATCACTCCGCGTTTGGTCTCCACGTACAGGACAGACTACAGCCAAACTTGAAGGAATTCAGTTCCACCAAGACCAAATTACAACAGGACAGTCATCTCCAACAGGTATTCTCGTTGCTACAGGTGACGCAAGCGGAGTTGTTTACGTTTCTCGTTTTGATGATGTTAAAATTTTAGGAAAAATCGATACAGGCGCAAATGAAATCTTAGGAATTAGATTCTCACCAGATTGCGCATGGATTGCCATCGCTTCATTCGGCGGAAACCTCATTATTTGCGATTCAAACGAATTCAAGATTCGTCACGTTTTAGAACACCCAGATTGTGTCATCTGTTTAAGATGGCACCCAACAAAACCATACGTAATTACAGGCTGCGGCGACGGATCAGTCAGAGTTTGGGATATCAGAAATGCATCACTTATCAGAGAATTTACAGGCAACAAACGTGATGTACATGCTCTTGATGTCCACCTTGTTGATCCTGCTAAGTCAGACCTTCTTATCCTTACATCTTCTGAGGATAAGTCTGTTCGTTTGTTTTCATTTGTTGAATAAGAAGAATATATAGAATTTATATGATAATAAATTTATTTCTTTTAAAGTAAATGTATCTTTTCACCAAAATTTTGAAAAATCTTTTTTTCTTCTTAATTAATCAAAGATTTTTATGCAATTTATTGAGTTTTAGTAACATCCATCCTTGATTAATCGTATAGTTGAAATGAACAGTTTCTTAATAAGTATCATATGATTAATCGTATAGCTTTTAATGAAGTTAGTATCTACAAATATTAAATTATGTAAACCTCAATGGCTCAAATGTTGATTGAGATTGGAACCAAAAGAAATCAAGGTTTTCTCAATTTTATAAAATGTTTTTGTTAGATATACTCAGGTATTTTCATGTTAGTCGAAAAAGCAGCATATGAGTATATCTAGATTGTTTCTGATTTATCTCTTTTTCGAAATAGAGTTGATCCACATTACTAGTATGAAACAACGGTATTCTCTGGACTCTAGAATCTTAATGTTGCAAAAAAACTCAATTATTAGATGTTCAACTCAATATATCTTGCATTAAAGTTATTTTTTCAGAAATATGAGGATAATAACATTTTGCAATGAGAGAATCTTTTAAAAATTAAAACATTATATTACAGTTTAAAATATGAACAAATTTAAAATTCGAATAGAATTATATAAAATACAAAAAAAAAGAAAATATTTCATGGTAAACAAAATATAACTTAAAGAGGTGTTTTGTTACCTGTCTTGATCCTGACAATCTTTGGCTGAGCCTTCTTAGTTGTTGTTGTCTGTTTAATTGGCTCATATTTGGAGAATGACCAGTTTTCTGATTTAATGTAATCATCAGCATCATCAAATGGCGCTGAGAAAGCAAAGTAAGCAGCAGCTGGTGTAAGAATTGGTCTTTTTTCTTTGAATGAAGATTTTGGAGCAGAATCCAATTTGCTTGTCATTTCTTTGATTTCTGCAATCATTGCTGTAAGTTTTGGTGCTTCAAATCTATCATCCTTAGGAGTAACTTCAATCTTTTCTGAATTACCTAATAATTGTTTAAGAACTGATCGAACTGTTGTTGCGCATTCATTCAAGAAGGTCAAGAAAGCTTCCTGGTCTTGGGACATCTTAAATTCGGGCTTTGGCGGCATGTTTCTTTTGGCTTCTTCGATTGCTTCGATTCTTTGCTGTTCCATCTTTCTTTCTTGTTCACGTCTGAGCTTTTCTTGAGCTTCTGCTTTTTCTTTCTCTTCAAATTCCTTCTTAATGGCTTTCAATTTGGCAATAACGTTTAATTGTTTTTCTTCTTGATCGCGAAGCCTATCTGTCTTCTTCTGTAATCTTGATATTTCCTGTTGCATTGACATATTATCTTCCTCAATTGTTTCATTGACTTCTGCCAAATGTTGAGATGATTCAAGTTGTTGAGTAAGGTTTTGAACCTGCTGCTCAGATTGTGTAAGGAATGTAGTTGACTGTGGACTAATGTCATCAGATCTAAGTCTTAAGGATTCTGCTCTAGCTTTTCTAATTGCTTCGGCTAGATCAACGCGGTGCTTTTCAATCTTAACTTGAGAAACACGTCTGTAATATGCTACGTTTTCGCTGCAATTAACACGATTCTGGTGGATTTTTGACTTAAGTTCTGAAAGATGTGTCTTGAAGGAGTCAGCTTGGCGTTGCCACTCGGCGTAATGAACTAGCTGTTCATCGACTTCACGAGTTTCTTTCAAAATAACCTCTTTCTTTGCATTGAATTCGTTTGTTAATTCAGTTGTGGTTTTTTCGTGCTCTTTTTTGGCATTTTCGATTGATTGTTCAACGCTCTTGATTTCAGATTTTATATTTTTGAGGTTTCGCTTAAGTTCTATGATTGAATTGAGAATTAAACTGTTTGTTGTACGGTTTGAGTTCGCAGCTTCTTTAATCTCATTTTCAATTCTCTGTATTGTAGCTTTTTCTATATTTTGAACATTAATAAAATCCTGATTTAACGAAATATCATTTCTTAATTCGGTTAAAACGCGCGGACGATCCTTTTTAACATCTTTAGAGCTTTCCGCTTTCTCTCTTGCAGCATCTTGCTTTAGCTCGCCCTTTGTCATCTCACTAGGCTTGAGTTTCGCGGGCTGCCTACTCATATAACGTGTTTTTTTGTTTTTTTCAATTTTTTTTTTTGATTATCCAGTCATCCATCTATGGGTTTTATACGATCTAGGTGAAGACATTGCCGATCGAAGGTCCGCAGTGTCTGAACCCTCCCAAATTTATATTAAAATGTATGTTATTTTATGGGAAAAGTTCGAGATTTCGAACTCAAAATTTAAAATTGGGTTATTTTGGATTCTTTCGCTTTGAAAGGGCGCTCTGCACCCTCCCAAAGCGATAATAGAAAAAAAAGCTTATTGAATTATATCAGAAAAAATGACTTTTGGTATGAAAAATAACAATTTTATAATTGATTCATATTCGCCCATGTTTCGCCCATGTTTTTGCCTAAAATTTTAAAGACTTCTGATCAGCAGGAGCCCAAATGGTAAAATGTCTCTGCTAGTACAGATTCAGGAACTTCAAAGCTCCCTTTTGCAGAGATTGGGAGCTTTGAAGCTCCTCAGGTGAAGAAAGGCAAGAGATTTAGCCAAAAATTTATTAGATTTTAGAAAATACAGATCAATTTATTAATTAAATATATCCCTTTATCTATACTCAAAGAATCAATTGATTTAGAATGATTGGGAAAAAAATCTTGAATAATACAAGTATCTTGATAATAATTCTATTGTAATCGGCTTTTCCATTGTTTCTGCATCGTTTAATATCCATGGATTTAATTAAAATTCATAAATTATATCAGAAATCTTTATGGCCATCGTTTTCTACGTGTATAACTTAGTAATTTTTTCCTTTTAATGCATTTAAGAGGTATTTAATATGGTAAAACACAAATGTGTCTTTTTAAAAATTATTAATGTCCGAGCAAGACGTTCATCCAAGCAAAGACAACAAATTGCGAAGTATCTGCAAATACTATATCGATTCATATCTTGCATTGTATCAGCTAAAAACGGAAAACGAAAGAGAATTAAAGTCAATTTACAAAATGATCAAAACAGAATTGATTGATTCAAAGAAATTTCTTCCAGCAAATGTCATTGAAGACATTTTAAATATCATTCCGTATAATAATCGCTATGCAAAGTCATATTTATATCTTGCCAAACTCATCTCTGATAATTACCATGTCACAGAGGTCAATAATGTCATAAGTATTTCAAACATCCTATTTTATAAAGAATATGGAATTAAATTAGTCAAATCTGATGATTTCGAAAAAGTTAATACAAAAAATCTGGATATTCATTCAGAAGATACAATTTACAGGGCCATTATGTATAATGACAAAGAAAAATTCATCTCATTCACTGAACAAGAAGGATTTAATAAAGACCAAACGCTTGAAAGCAAATTATACCCAGAATCTTATAATAAATATTCATTACTTGAATTATGCTGTTACCATGGAGCTGTTGATTGTTTCAAGTTATTAAGAACCAAATTCAGCTCAGAAATAACTCAAAAGTGTCTCCAATTTTCATTTTTAGGAGGAAATCCAGAGATCATGAGTGAATGTTTGAAACATCAAAAACCAAATACAAAATGCATGAAATATGCAATTATTTCACACAACATTGATTTTGTTACATTTTTGATGAATGAGTACAATATAGAGATTGATTTATTATATTGTGGAATTTACAATAATCTTGAATCATTTTTGGTTTATTTCGATCAAACTAATGATGTAAAAAATGCTTTCTTGAATCGCCGCTATTTAATATTCCATCCCTTTTGGAATTCTTCCTTTCACAAGGTGTGAATATCAATGTAAAAGTTCAATTTGGAAGAACTGCACTTCATATTGCAGCATTGGATAATAGTAAAGAAACTACCGAAGTCCTTATTTCACATGGTGCGAATATCAATGTAAAAGTTCAATTTGGAAGAACTGCACTTCATATTGCAGCATTGGATAATAGTAAAGAAACTACCGAAGTCCTTATTTCACATGGTGCGAATATCAATGAAAAAGATGGATTTGGAAGAACCCCACTTCATATTGCAGCAATGTTTAATAGTAAAGAAACTGCCGAAGTTCTTATTTCACATGGTGCGAATATCAATGAAAAAGATGGAAATGGAAATACCGCACTTCATATTGCAGCAACATATAATAGTAAAGAAACTGCAAAAGTTCTTATTTCACATGGTGCCAAAAAATAATTCTCTTACATAAAATATCCTTTAGTTTTCTGGAATTTTCGAAGAAGATTTTCACTAGGAAGTATATTGAATGTAAAATAATTTTTTGGGCTATTTTAGAGTGGAAAAAGTTTAAAAAAAAGATGATCAAAATTTACTCAATTTTCCACTTTTTCCTAAATTAAAATTATTTTTCGTATTAAAAATTATATCAACTAATGTCAATATAAAAATACTTTAATATTGCCACCCTTTAATGATAAAAGGTAGTTTGTTGGCTTTAAAAAGGTAGTGTTTTATTCTGGGGCTCCAAGTGAAGTGCAGGAGCCCCAGAATGAAAAGCTTATAATAGAAAAACGCATGCCAAATCAATGCAAAAAAAAGAGAAAAAAGTGGAAAATTGAGTGAATTTTGATCGTCTTTTTTCCACTCTAGAATGATACATTTTTTTGCGCAATTTTTTGCACTCGAGTTTGTCAGATGTGATGAGTTATATTATATTCATCCTCGTAAAATTGAACATGAATTCACTGGAATCAGTCTTCCAAAAATGCACTACATGTTTAGGAAGAGATTCAATCTTGATCGTATTACGCCAACGAAATATATTATGTTGAACAAAAAGCCGACCGAAATTCGACATTTGATGAGCATCAGACAGAATTGAACGCAAAATGCAAGCCTATTCAATGGAACATCTTTGAATTATGCAATCCACATGAAGAAAAAGAAAAACAATTTGCTGAAACATTATTTTTGATTACTGGTGGAGGATAATCGTTTATCATGTTCTATTTATGAGAGAAAGGTCTTCCATTGTAGTATTTTATGCGGATCTTGTCTTTAAATTATATATCCTTCATCTAATTCCTAATGATCTTTTATTCCAAATATATTTCTTATAAGTATAAGTATTTTCTCCTCAAAAATGCAATAGCTATTATTCGAATTTTTGAGAAGATCCTTCAGAATTCATTTCTATCCTAATACAATGATCTTCTTTCGAAAATCACGATCCCTGATTGTGAACAATGCGATTTTTTATAAAGCATCGTGAGAAATACAGACATCAAGGAAGTGAATGGCGCTCAAACGAAAGTATTGAAAGGCAGTCGATTTTCATCAGTAATATAAAATAACTTTATATTGACGCCGAAATTGCTTGTTTTGAATTCAAAATTGAGTTGAATGAATACCTATAAATATAGCAAGAACGAATCATATAATATGTAAACTAGAAAGTTTGATATCAAAGTCTCCATTTTGAACTGTATTGATAAGAATTTAAATGGATTAGTTAATGTGGAAATTAATTTAATAAAGAGACTCTGTAAATAGAGATGTTTATTGAATTAATAACATTTTTCCAGACACAAGTATAATATATGCAATAGGGATCATCCGCATTCGTGTATGCCCATTTATCTTAGCATAGCAAAACAAAATGGCTAATTAAAGAAAAGTGACAAATATAAAAAAGTCCCATTTATTTTGATTCATGAGTGAAGAGTTACTAAAACGATTTGATGAATTTATTAAAACATATGAACGGCTCTTTCACATCAATTCGAATGAATCGATTGATGAAATGCTAACTTTGATTAAAAATGTTTTAATAATAAAATATAAAATGCCTGTAGAACAACTTCTGAAGAGCATATTTGTAGCAATTAATTATAATTTCCGATCAATCAAGCTTTATATTAATATTATTAACAACATTTTATCGAATTATCCAATTTCAGAACCAAAAGCTATTATTTTATTTAATTCTGTTGAAAAATACAATTTGCAGTTTATTCATAATACTGATAACATTTTTCATGCAGAATTTACAGATGACCCCTTTCCTAAAGAAGATGAACTTCTTTATTTTATAATTTATGACCAAATTGGAAAATTCAAAGAATATGTCACTGAGCATTCTTTGGAAGACATTGATATATTTATTCCAGACATATCTTATATCTCACCTATTGAAGCTTGCGCATATTTTGGATCTATAAATATATTTACTTTCCTTCATTTAAGTTTAGATCAAGAAATTACAGAAGAATGCCTCAATTTATCATTTATTGGAGGAAACACTGATATTATCAATGAATGTATGAAAGAGCAAGATTTGAATACGAAATGTTTACAATATATCACGCAAAGTCATAACAATAGCTTCTTGGAATATATTTTCAATAATGAAATTTCAGAGCCTGATAATTATAACTATCCTGCAATTATCGATTCACAAAACTTAAAAGCACTTATATATTTATTCAATCAAGACAAAGATTCAATTTACCCATATTGCGCTGCATTGCCGCATATGCTAGATATTCTTCAAAGTGAAAATTTTGACTTTAGTAAAGTCTCACTAATGAATAGAACTGCTCTTCATTATGCAGCAAGATATCATAATAAAGACGCAATAGAATTTCTAATATCAAAAGGAATAGATGTAAACGAAACAGATGATGACGAATCTACAGCCCTTCATCTAGCTATTGATGATATTGAAACAGCAAAGATTTTGCTTGCACATAATGCTGATGTAAATGTGGAAAATGATAATTTTCTCACACCTCTTCAAATGGCTATTCAATTTGAAAATATAGAAATGGTAGAATTACTTATTTTGCATGGTGCAAATGTAAATGTAAAAGAGGATGACAATTGGACTCCTCTTCATGAAGCTGCAAATAGGAATAATAAAGAACTTGTCGAACTACTTGTTTCTCATGGTGCAGAAGTAAATGCACAAGACGTTACTGGAGCCACTCCACTTATTATGTCGGCGTTTAAAACAAATCCTGTTAATAAAGAGATAATTGAATACCTTCATATGCATGGAGCAGAAATTAATAAAAGAGATTATAAGGGATTCACAGCAATTTTTTGTGCAATTCAGAGAGCTTGTAAAGAAACAATAGAATATCTTCTTTTGAACGGAGCAGAAATAAACATCAAAAATTTTGCCAGTGAGTATCCTATTCATCTTGCTATAGAATATAATAGCAAAGAAGTATTAGAACTTCTAATTAATCATGGCGCAAATATTAACGTAAAAAGGAAAGGAGGACAAACTCCTCTTCATTTTGCAATACAAAGAAATAAAATAGATTTTGTAGAACTTTTCATAAACCATGGTGCACGCTTAAACTTCAAAGACAAAAACGGTGAAACACCTCTGCATTATGCAATCAAGTTTAGAAGCCTAAAATCTATTCAGCTTCTTCTTTCACATGGGGCTAAATACAATATCAAAAACCACTATAATGAAACTGCACTTGATTACGCAGAAAATAGTCTTGACGTAGAAATATTTAATCTTTTTAAGCCATATCAAAAGCAAAAAAAATAAAACGGCTGAAATCGGGCACTGATTTTACTTTAGACAGAAGACTTCCTTTCACAATAGAAATCACATGAAATGTATGATCTATTTTAGAAAAAATACTTTGTTTGGATATATTCAAATAGATAATGATTCTAATTCATATGTCAAATTGTAATTAATTTCATCACCGCAACAGATTTTAAAAACCATGTCGAGAAAACTATATTTTGCAAATGTAAAATAAATATGGAATGTCACATTATTTAACTACAGGTTTAATATTTTTAATGTGGTGTATGATTTAGACTAGCTATAGTAACCACTTTCCTAGAATAATAGTGTAGTATCATTTATATCAAGTATTTAGTAAGCAGTTCTGCTTCCCCTAATAATCAAATGCTGAATATAATTTTAGCTATTTTTGAGCTGATAAATTCATAAAGAAATATCTAAATGATTATTCGATAGCGAGAGATCCCATAAGTCTATAATGAGAATATTTACAATAAAAGTGACGCGGCTAACATGAAAAAAGGATCGTCAAAGATAGGAAGAATTTTCTTATTTGCAATTCATATATTGATATTGGCATACACCTATTTGAGATTCATTTACGACAAAATTGTTCGCAGTACAGTTGGGAAACTAATTATTACAGAAAATTCTTTCAATCATTTCAAAAAAATACCATCGCACGTTGGAATTGTATTTAATTCTGATAAGGTAAATCAATATGCAGGTCAAATCCAAGAAGTTGTTGATTTGGCTTCGACAATTTCCGGAATCAATGAAATTTCATTATTTTTCACAAAAGACATACCGGAATTGAAAATAAAGTCCGATAAAGTTACGATTTATTCTCAAGAATCCGTACAAAAATGCTTTTTGGCTGAAATGAATAAGAAGTCTGCAATAGAGAGCAATTTAGACCCATTCAGATCACCGTTAGATGTTGTAATATTCTACTGCAGGGTTCATTCCCTCTGTAATTTCTTCCCATGGAGATTAGATTTATGTACTCTTGTCTACCCCGGCGATATCAAAATCTGTTCGAAATATTCGTTTTATCATTCAATTGTCGAGTTTCAGAAGACAGAACAGAGATGTGGAAAATAATCATAATTTTTTAGAGCTATGATATGTTTTATTCATTAAATAGAGTATTTTATGTAAATAGACTATTTTCTTTCGTTACAGAATACATTTTTATTAGAATATTCTCGACCATTTATATAATTTGGTGAAAATTTTAAAAATAAATTAATCATTTAACACGAATGGTCAAAATATGAATAACGATGACAGATTAGTCAAAATCAAAATTAATAATTTTATAATAACAAACAAAAGTTTAGTCATGAATACCCAATCCAATAGCACTCATCTTAGCATCAAGCTTATCTTTGCTCTTCTCCCATAAGCTCCTCTGACGTTCAACATCATCGAAAAAGTCTAGATTCTCTGAAGTTCCGCTTCTAAGCTCTTTTATTTGTCCCAAAACTTCTTCAAGCTTCATCTTGAGCAATTTTTCGCGTTCTTCGCCTTTCTTAACTATTCTTCTGCATTCTTCCTCTTTTTCGCGAAGTCTTTCTTCAAGTTTTCTATTGATCGCATCAATAATGTTACCACTACTTACATCAATACCAGGAATTGCTTCTTCGATATCTTTTCTGATTCCAGCAAGAGCTTCTTCTTTCTTAGCTTCAATTGAAGTTTGAATAATTTGCTTAACCTCTTCATATCTCTTTAGAAAGTCATCAACGGTAATTTTAGACTTAGTTGAAGGAGATGAAATAGAATAAATCGCATCTAGAACAGTTTGAGCTTGACGTTGCAATCTTTTCTGTTCGGCACGAGCAGATGATAATTGGGCATCAAGTCTTTGCATTTTCTTGTCATGAATATTAATTGCTGCTTGCTGATTGTTATCAATTGTCTTTTCAATTTCGCTAATACATACAGATTTAGCTTGTTGTATTAATTTCTTTTGGCGACCAGTATTTTTAAGGACAGTAGACTTTAGATCTTCAACTTGGTTTGATAATTCACGATGTGCATTTTGTAGATTTGTAATTGAATCATTCAATGCTTTGAGCTGATTCTGTTTGCTTGAAACTTTTGATTTGAGAGATTGTTCTTTGCTTTGTTTCTGAACTTCTAGTTCTTGAAGTTTGCTTGTTAAGCTCTCAATTTCAATCTTCAAATCTTCGTTTTGTTTAGTGATAATTTCTGCTGAATTGCCAGCTCCCTTTTTGGCTTCTTGGTATTTCTTTTGTAAATCGACACATTCTTGATAAGTTGTGGCAAGTTTTCTGATTAATTCTCTGAGATAGCTTTCACGCTCGCCTCCCATATTGTCAATAAATGTTTGAACCATGCTATTAACTGCATCTTGAACAACGAAATTTTCAGGTCTTTCTTTAAGAATTTGGTTTTCATAAATCATTTGTTCATAATTTAGTCTTATATATGAAATGATTTGCTTTTCTCTTGTATCCACAGTTCTGCTCTGTGCCTTTGCTGGCTTTTTCATTGCTTTCTTTCCCTGATTTTCAGCATGCATTTCTTTATTGTGTACGTTTATTAATTTATAGATTCATAATATGATGTATAAAATAAGAATATCTATTTAAATAGTATAGATAGTAAATATTTTGATTTGATATCTTCGAATGCAAATGGATCAATTTCTTCGACAACAAAGATATCGACCATAAGTGTGTCCATTATGCTTGACATATGAAGCATAGTAATATTATGTATGGGCTCATAGAATGACTTCCATTTGATTCCGGGATATATGATGAACTTTTAAATTATTCATATTTTACATGAAAATACAGATATATTATTGTATTATAAAAATCAAACGAAAAGATCACTCAAGCAGAACAAAATTCGATGTGAAGAAAGAAATATGTTTATTGATTATGCTGCCTTCAGGTAATTTTTGAAGAAACACTTTTTTCGTTTTTCTTTCTACATGTGTATATAAATTATGCACAAATAATGGTTTGTAATTAAAAGTATTTTTAGAATTGGATAAATAGATCGTTATATCTTAGATTATACTAATTATTTCTTCTTACAATGAGATTGTGGTAACAATGGCTGTGTATAATAGTTGTGGTATCGTTTGAAATTGCGCGAAATTTTGTTAAGTTTTCAAAACTATTTATAGTATGTTAAAATATATTAGAATTCAATAATATGCGATGGCGTTAACTGAAAACAATCGGTATTAAATAATTGATGAAAATCGATATCAATATTTGATGTTTTCGAAGTTCTTTTGACTCAGAGCAGTTGCTTTGGTCACCTGGAATGAATCTATCCTTAGTGAATTTCTCCAAATATTTTCCACTTTAAAAAATACCTAAGCAATTCCTTAGAAAATTAAAAATGTTTTTGACAATTCTCGATTTTTTTTGAAAAAATGAGGTTAAAGTTCTTGAAGTTTTAAAATTATCATAGAAATAAAGCAATTTCATTATATTCTAAATCGATAAATGATTTTTATTTTTGTTATTCATTATTTTTTCTTAAAATTAATCAAAAGTACAAGAGAATCAAATAATGTTTTTATATTGATATAAAACAGAAGTTTGCTTTCCAAAATTTTAGATCAAATTGATGTAGAAGAAACAAAATTGATCGTTACTATCCAAGTTAAATGTCTGAATTTGGTTTTGCATCATTTGTTGATCCACTAATATATTATATGAAAATTCTATGATACGATATACATATAAATCAGTATCTAGGCATACTATTGATAAAGAATTACTAATTGACATACTGATTTGATATCTTTGAATAGACAATGACATTCAATGAATTTTATAAGATACTATACTATTTTATACAGAAATAATTGCTTGTATAGCAATCTTGATTCTTAATACGAGAGTCAATTTACAACATCTTTTTAGATAATGTTTGATTTCCAAAAGCTAAATTTATATATCAAATGTTCATTTAATGCTATCTTTTAAACTCTTTGAATTAGAAATAAAACTTCTGAATGTATACGTTTAAAAATTTCATAAGGATGAAGAATCAAGTGCGCCAACCAAGAGAAAATCAAAATAAAGACATTAATGACTTATCATTTGCCTCAGATGTTGCCTCTCTTAGTTCTAAATCTCAATTGAAATCTCCAAAAACGCCTACTGATACGAATTCCCAAAATCCAGAGACAAATAATAATTCTGACGATAAGATCAAAGTATATCTTAGAGTTAGACCACCACTTCAGGATGAGGAATCATTTGATTTTTCGATTGAAGGAAAAACAATCATTATCCCACCACAAAAGACTGCGAACTCCTCATTTTTCATTGATAACAAGACATTTACATTTAGAAGTATACTTGGAGCTCACTGCAAGCAATCTCAAGTCTATCAAAAAGTTGCAGAGCCCCTCATCAAAGATTTTTTGGCCGGAAATGATGTATTAATTTTCTGCTACGGCAACACCAATGCAGGAAAGACATATACAGTAATGGGAACAGATGAAAATCCAGGCATTCTCCCAAGATTGCTCGAAAGAGTAGTTCCAGAAATTCTCTCACAAGCTACTCAGACAACACAACTTTTCGCAACCTTTAACGAAATATATAATGAAAGAATTATCGATTTGCTTAACGTTGACAAAATGAAAGACACTTTAACTATTGGTATCAATAATCTTGGAGATACTGAAATCAAAGGATGCACGGAGTTTGCTATCAAATCAATGGAAGATGCAACTAAAGTCATTGAACTAGGTCTTGAAGGCCGCCATAGAGGATGCACAGAATTTAATGAAGATAGCTCAAGGTCTCACACTGTTTTCAGGCTTAAGCTTGTAAATGGTAAGAATTATTCATGGTTTTCCGTTGTAGATCTCGCAGGATCTGAAAGAGTCTCCGTAATTAACTCCGAGCAAGGTTCATTCAGAGAAGCATGCAATATTAACAAATCGATGCTTGTCCTCGGAAAATGTATTCGTAGTTTACGTGAACAAAGTACTCCTGGATCTCAAAAGATTCCAATACCATATCGTGAATCGAAACTCACACACATTTTTAAGAATTTGTTCGAACCAACTAAACGTCAAGCACGTGCAGCCATGATCATTAACATTTCTCCATGTATACAACAAATTAATGACACACTTTTTGCCTTACAATTTGCTGCAAAAGCTTCTGAATGTTCAATTCGCCAAGTTTCAATTGATGCAAATTCTGCAAACGGAGGCAGTCCAACCGGAATTAACCTTCTCATGGATGATCATATAGATCCAGACAGCCCTGAATATATTGAGAGATCAATGAGAGTTCAAGTTCAAAAAGAAATGGAAGAATATTTGTTAAAAGCTCAAATGCAGTATGAACACCAGCTTCAATTGATGACGCAAAAGACATGTGAAGTTGCTAAAGTTAGAACCGAATCACAATGCAGTTTTAGAACTGTTGATGTTGAGCTTGAAAGACTTAAGGGCATCTTAGATGAAACAAACAACGAAAATAATAACTTATTGATGGAAATAGACAATTTAGAAAAAGAAGAAAAAGAGTCAATGAAAAGAGCTGATTCAGCTAATGAAGAATCAAAGAGAATACTCAATGAAGTTAATCTTTTGAAGAAGACTCTTGAAATGATGGCAAATGATAGCGATCAGTGCGACAAAAAGTCTAAACCATCAAAAGATAAGATGCCAAATGCTTTTGAGGAGATTTATAAGCTCCCAGAGCAAATAATGATCTAATCCAAATCCATAATATGTTTCTTGTTTTTCATTGATATTATTTCTTAATGCAATAAATCTATTTATTTGAGTTTATTATATTAAAAATCATCTGTATATTTACATGAAGTATATTGATACAGCCTTTCAAGAATCAGAGGATCAAATAAGGAATCCGATTCAATTTCTCTTTCCTCAAAACATATTGAAAATGATTTGTATATAAGTTAGTTATCATCTTATACATCATTAATACATAAATGCTAAAAAGACTTATATGATTTATAACAAATAAAATTAAAGCATAGTTTATAAATTTTATACATTTTGAATAATAAAAAAATTATTGTGCTTGGTTCTTCTTTCCTTTCAATGAAGCCAAGCATTTCTGAACTGATTCAAGCAACAAATCTGGTACTTCATCTTCCGCAACAGCAAGATCTCCAAGAATTCCAACAAGCCAAGGAATATATTTCTTCTTCTTTTGTGTCTTAACGAGGCTATCTAACAACTGTGATACAATCTGGCAATTCTCTTCATCCTTTGAACTATCAATAACGAACTTTAATAATTTAGCTGCAGGATGGTCTTCACCAGTCAAATTAGTTGCATCAACAGCTAACGAATCTGTAATTTTAGACAAACATTTCAAAGAAATGTTCTTAAGTTCATGACCTTCCATTCCTTCATTAGAAGCAATTGATTTGATTTCTTCTATTGCATCTAATAATAACTGTCCATCGAATATATGCAATGAAATCAAATCAGTCATCAAGGTTAAAATTGTAACAAATATTTCGTATTGCAATGATTTCAGAGGAATATTTTCTGGGAAGAAATTATCCTTGATGTCATTCATCATTTGTATGAATACTTCTCTTCCTATTACTTCTATGAACTTGTTATAAGCATCCATATCATTATCAGCCATCAAACTAAATGACAAATTAATTCTTAATGTAACAACTAATTTGACAGCCATTACATAGCAATCTGTTGATAATGATTCTGCAATAGAGAGCTTATCTTGTGGTAAAGTGTTTGTTCCACCTTCATATCCAAGCTTTGCGTAAAGCATTGGGAATATCTCATTAACAGCACTGAGCAATGTTTCAATTGTTTTCATGTCTTTGTCAATCTTTGAACGGATTTCGGATGTTGAAAACATGAACATCAGATATCTGACTGATCTTGTAATCTTAGCAGATCTTTCTTCATTCGACATCTCTCCATCTTCTCCGTTCAATGCTTCTGTAAGTATCTTTGTCTGTGTAACTAAGTAATCACTTAAAGCTCCCCATTGAGTGAGACAATTCAATGCTTCCGACCAAGCAGAATTCTTTTCGGAGGAAAGATACTCAAAAACAACATCTGTTGAGTCGTTGTCTTTTCCGAGTACTTTCAACAATCCAAAGAATGACTGGTGTAGAGATGATGGTAATCTTGAAAAGATTTCTTTCGCGTTGAAACCAGGGAATGTTTTTTCTCTGATTTCTTGTATTTGCGCTTCATCTTTCACCATTTTTCCTAGAACATTCATCACGCCTGAAATGACTGACCAGACAGCAACATGCTCTGGTATTGATTTCTCTTCTTCTTCATCATTTTCTTCAATGTTGTTTTCTATTCTGTATAATCTGACCAAATCATCTTCGCATTCGAAAGCAGGAAGAGCGCATTCTTCGGAATTGATCTGTTGGACAGCAGGAAGTTGGAGAGTAGGGTCTCCTGATGCTGTTTTTTGGCTCCAGAAGTATAAAACATGGATAAAATCAAGCATGTCATCAGTTAATGCTGATTTTGTAAGAATTGAATAAAATTTTGTTGCTGCTTGGAGACTACGATGGCAAAGGTAAATGCAACGTGCACATCTGAGCTTGTTAAGCTTTCTCTTGAGATCCTCTTCACTATTTCTGTTCTTTGAAGGTTTGACAGTGAATGCGAACATTGATGGCTTCAAAAGCTCAACAATATTCTCTACAACTTGATCACTATCAACACTCATCCTGTAAATGAAATGATCTATATGGATCACCTTGAAAATGTTGACATTTGACTGTGTGCTAACAGTATTTAATAATTTGATGAAAGCAATACGAACTTGCTCGGACGGATCATGTAAGCGCTCAACAATATTAACAATGTATGGAGCAACAAAGTCCATACCATCATGAAGGCCACATAAATAATTCAAGCCTTCAAGAACAGCAACTCTGACAGCTGTGGACTTTCCATCACGACTAAGATCTTTGGTAAGTGTATCAAGAAACTTCTTTTGTGCTGATGTTGGGAAAATCTGCCAATATTGGTATAATAATCTGCAAACTGCTTTGGCAGCGTTAGCACGAACTTTAGGACAATCATCCATAAGTATTGTATTCAATTCTTCGATTTGAATATTCATTAACTCTTCTTTTCTTTCCTTGGTAAAATCTGTTGATTCGATTGGGAATGCGCATGATGTAAATAACGAAAGTGAATTATCTCTTACAAGAGGATTTGCTGCATGCAAGTATCTAAAGACAATTGGCTCGTAAATGTGAGTAAGTGCAGTCCACAATTCTTTCCTTCGACTTCTCTTGACACCAAACTTTTCCAGGAATGCGCGGCAGTTCTTAGAGAATTGAGGTGTCTCTGCTAAAATTGCGCATTCTGCAATTGGCTTCAATAATTGAACTTGAAAGGTTGATCTTTCGGTAACATCGCATTTTGACCACACTGTAACACATAATTCACCAAATTGTTCTGCTTGTTCTGTCTTTTCATTTCGTAAAATCGATTTAAAACGTTCGCAAATTTCTGGTAACTTGAAAAACACAACATGAACAATAGAAGCAACAAATTTCTTAGCCTTCTCTGTTTTGTAATAGTTTGGACAATGTATTGTATCTAAAAGCATATTCAGAATTTCTTCGTTATCTTTGTTATGTAGGTCTAATTCTTTGATTTGGTCAAGAATTTTGATTGCGCTTGAAATCATTCTTGCTTTTTGATTTGGTTTGAGAGCGTCACGCAATGTAAGTTCGATAAAACCACGTTTCTTCGCAAGATCTTCCTCCATATTAAAAATTTATAAACGGCAACTTCCTCAAGAATTTTTCATCTGAGAAAAAAACCTAGCAAAAGAGTGTCGCTGATTTCGTTGGGAAAATACGAGAATTTTTTGCATTATGTTATCATTGAATATCAGAAAACTTATTGTAAATAACCTGATTATATGATCTTCTAACACTTTGGAGTGAAATTCGTTTGCTTACTGTAATTTAAAAATTATTCAGTCGCAACATCCATTATTCTGAATGAAGTCCAATCTTCAGATATTTTGTCACTTTTTATCATCAACATGGAAGAATCTTCAGATATAGTACCAGCAGTAAAAGAAATAAATCCTGAAAAAAGGAAGATTAACCGATCTAAAAAGAATGCTAACATGGTTGTCGCCGAAGGTCCAAAAATCATCATGGACATGCAGTTTGGTGCTTTAATGAATGATCATACAACAAAAAAGCTGATTTCACAGATATCACTTTCTTATGCATTTGATAAAAATGCTAAAGAATCTCTTCCAATGATTTTTACTTCAATGGACGACAAATGGAGGGATTATATAAATAGGGTTAACGGAAATATGTGGAGTAATAAAATAATCCAATACAAAGATGTTAGTGTTGTTGATGCATTTCCAAAAGAAGATTTAATTTATCTTACTGCAGATACTGACAACATTTGCACATCATTAGACCCACACAAATGCTACATCATTGGATGCCTTATTGACCATAATTCTCACAAGAATATTACTCGTGACTACGCAGAAAGACATAACTTAAGAATGGAAAGGCTTCCTATTCCAGAGCATATTACGATGGATGGTAGGCAAGTCCTGACAGTAAATCAAGTTGTTGAGATATTAGTACGTTATAATAACAATAAAGATTGGACAGAAACTTTATTGCAAGTTATTCCCCAAAGAAAGAATCCAAGGCCGGTTCATCCAATCAAGCAATCAGAGCAAGAGAAGCCTAAAGAAAAACCATCATTTTGCAGAATTGTTTAAATATTTTTTGAAATAAAAGTGTTAGTTTTAGATATTTTATGTAAAAATGTATTTGTACATTATAATTGGTTTTAATTACAGCATATTGCTTGGTAATTTATCTTTTATGCCAATATAAAATAAAATAAGTTAAACTTTATTTTCACAATAAAAGTGTATATGTTTAGTTCATGAAGTTCCAGCCAAAGAGGAACAATAATGAGAGAGCTACGATATATTCAGCAAAGGCGCGATAGTTTGAAATTGAAGATTCGATTTCTGGTGTTAAATGAAGACGAAGAGATATCACTAGAACTGTAAATCCGAGGCTCATGCAAACTGCAGAGACCATACTGCAGAATGGATAACCATGGGTTAGGCCAGAATATACAAGTTGAATTAAAGCGACCATAATGCCAAACAAGGCAAATATATCTAAGCCTCTAAAGTGGGATTTCTGTTTTCCGTAGACTTCTTTAAGCTCAGCCAATATTCCTGAGAGTGAATTTAACTCCATTTATTTTTGTCACTTTTTTACATCATTTCGAATTTATTGGCAAATAAGGACTTCGAATACGAAAATATCAGTGCCATGAAATCAAATAATTATATGAAAAAAAAGGTAGTGGGGCTTCCAGGCGCGTTGCGCCCTCTAGCCCATAAAAAATTTCTGAGGACGAGCCAGCCGGTGACTTTTTTGTAGAGCGCTCAAAATAGTATAACTTTGTCCGGACAAGTAAGGGTCTATCGTCGCTACAGGAAAAGTTACAGGCGTTCCAAGAAAGTATACTTTGAGAAGCCTTTTTCCCCTTATAGAATGAGATAGGACGGTTATTTTACAAAACTGACAACACTTTGACCGAGTAGTTTTTTGTGCTGAACAAAAAGTGTCATATAAACATCTGTCAAAAACCGCTTTTTAACTTCACTTAAAATGCCACGTAAGCTACGTAAGAATATACGTAAGAGGAAGGGAGCATTGAAACATCCAATAGTAAAACTGACACCACAACAACAGTTGCAACAACAAATGATGAATGACCCCACTATGTTGCAACAAATGTCAAGCAACCCTATGCTTTTAAACCGAGTTATTGGTGCACAGAGTTGAGGTTTAAGAGCGGCACTTTTAGCGAAAATGGCAGGCTATGGTGGAGCTGCAGACGGAACAGCTTATAACCCTCAAAGTCAAATGAATTTGAGTTCACTCAAAAATCAAATAACAGATGTCAAAAAGTCAAACATAGACATACAGAAACAAATAAGTGAAAACGAAAAGAAACTAGAATATGACAGACACACAAAGAAACTCAATGAGTTAAACATAGAGAAAAAGAAGAAAGAAGAACAACTGAAAGAACTAAGTACAGAGGAATATGCGAAAAAAGTGTCAGAAAAAGCAGCAGAAGTAGCAAAAATGGAACAAGATGTTATAAATTTGAAAAACCATACTACTCAATATAAAGTACTGAAAGATGAAGAGATAAAACAAAAAGCCATGAAGACATATATGGATAGCGATGAGTATAAAAAAGAAGTTGAAGCAAATGTAAAGGCAGAAAAACTTTTACAGTTGCAAAACCAAACCGTACAGTATGAAAACTTAGCACAAGAAAGTAAAATAACGACGCAGCCATGCAAAAGGCAATGAAAAGCGCAGAATATATAAAAGCTAATAATGACTGGTTAGATGCCCAAGCCAACGCTAAAGCAGCCCAACTTATAGGGTCAATAAGGACAAAAATACAAGCGGATGAAGACAGTTCAAATGAAGCTTTAATGAATGCTGACTTTAAGAATGCCTTCGAAGCTCTTCATAGTTAGATGAAACTAGTGAACGACTTCTCATCTGGAAAGAAACTGAAGTCTGAAGGTTTCGACAAAGAGTTAAGAGAAGTAGCACAAAATATGACGAAAATAACAGATGCAGCAACGAGACAGGCAGTTCAAAGTGCCTATGATGCCGTTAGAGCAGCTGTTGTGGAAAGTCAAGAAAAAGAGTTACAACAGACCAAAACAGACCTAGTAAATGCTTTCTTAAAAACGAAAAGTCAGGTAGGACATTATGCTGTAGATGGAACATATGTGCCAGCTGGTGGAACTTATATACCACCAAACCCTCTAAGAGAAGCGCCTGCACCAGGACTACCTAAAACATTTACATCGTCACATGGACACAGACACAGGCATGCACCAAAACAACAACCAACACAACAACCAACAGTTCAAAATCCAGCACCACAACAACAACCAAAACCAACAGTTCAAAATCCAGCACCACAACAACAACCAAAACCAACAGTTCAAAACCCTGCACAACAACCAACAGTTCAAAATCCAGCACAACAACAACAACCAACACAACAACCAACAGTTCAAAATCCAGCACAACAACCACAAACAGAGCAAAGACACAAAAGAAGTAGAGAAAAAGGAAACCAAGAATTCTTAAAAATGCTTAAGGAAGATTATGGTTACCCAGATACTCTTGACTTTAGTGACAGATATAAAGAAGCTATTAGAAAGTTCAAGGAAGGAAATACTGACCCGAACCTATTTAGCTTTATGGTTCAGCATCAAATCGGATATAATCTCAAACCTGGAAAATACAAGCTCGCTAAGGGATATGATTTAATAGCATATCATCCAAATGACATGGATGAATTTACTCCGAGATATTTGATGTCAGAGCTAAATGATAATTCAACTCTCTTCATGAAACGCGTAAAAAATAGAGACGGAACGAAAGAAGAAAGGTTTATGAGTCCGGATGACTTAGATAGGGAACTTGTTAAAAACGGTCTCGGAATATATGAAATGCCAGCAGATGAGGTACAAGAAACTCCACAGGAAGAAGTTCAGATACAACCAGACATGGAAGAAATAGTTCAGCAACAACAGCTAGAAGAGCCTGAAGGAAACGAACAAGTCCCTCCTTTGGAAACTAACTTCACAGAACTAGATGAAGATTTGGAACAGCCGAAAAATCTTGACCCTCAACAAGAGTATGAGGAGAATATGGAATCTTTCCAAGAGTCTAAGAAAAATTCGGCTGACATAGTAGAAGGATATCGAAAAATGTTCACCGACATACAAAAGACTCCAACATCAGATGAAAATATTCAGCATAGAATGGAAGTACTGAAAGAAAATGTACGCAAATACAATAATCCTTTTTACTTACGACCATATAACGTTCAATCTTTGGCTGAACTCGGTGAAAATAAAAGGTTAAATTTCAACAAAACATATAGAAATGAAACATTGTTTAAAGTTCATTCAGAACCTAACCAATATGGAAACAAACCTACTTTTGTTTCTGCAGACTATGGAACTACAATGAAATGGGGTCATAAAGCTAATCCGGATAGGTGGTTCATAAACTTACAACCTCAATTCCAAGAAGTTGTAGACGCAATGGAAGTGAATGGTGAACCAGATATAACGGGTATTTTCAGCGCGGCTTTAATGCCATTGAAAGATATGAAAGATGCAGATATTTTGGACCAGTATGAAATGAACATGGCTGAGGGAAATATAACACCTGACGTTCTAGAACATTTATCTCAAAGAACTACACAGAACCATAGAGATGGTATATTTGGTGAAGAGTTTAGAAAGAAAGCTAGGGAGAGAGAAGGAAGAGAACCTATTGTACATGACCTTGCAAACGAAAATTTGCAAAATGTCATAAAAACTTACTTTGCAGACAATGAACTGAGAAGGGATGAATATTTAAGAAAACTCAAATGGACAGTACCAAATGAAATGTTAGTATTGAAAAACATGTTCCATGACAAAATAAAACCAACTACAGAAATAAATGACGCAAGACTGAAACGTTGGGTAAAAGCTTTCCCATTCACAAAAGATATTATTGGTTACATGGAAAGAAAACCAGAATGGCTACAAAAACATATATTTGGAAACGAGCTTATTCCATATGGACAAGCTCTGTTTGAAGAGCTTGAACCGGAAACTCAGGAAAGAGTCATGCAAACAATACGCGAAGACTCAAATACAAACTATGACAAAATCTTTCTAGGATATAGGTTACCTGAGATGGGCGACCAGAGCCCAAAGGCAAAAAGGACATGGAAAATTTACAACATACTAGGTGAACATGAGGCAAAGATGCTACAACTTGAAGCAGAGGGCAAGTTACCAAAAGCGACACCAAAGAAGAAGAGTAGAACAAAGTGAAAGTAGTGAAGAAGTAACTTCATCTAGTGAAAGTAGTGGCAATGAAGGAAAAAGAAGAGTTAAAGATTCAGTTAAAAACTCAGTCAGGAAGAAAGTAAAGCTTGGTCCGAGTGGGTTCTATTATGACATATAAATCCAACTATTCTATATTTTTACCCATATGAAATGTACGCCGCTCAGAATATAACGCCAACAGTTTTGGATGCCATGAACGGAAATGTTTCCGAATGGTATAACGAATGCGACAATGCCATTAGAAGGTCAGAAATAGTTCCTGGAACTTACGAATATACAACTGCTGTTTCTTATGGAAACGTAGGTGAGTTTGGAGAAGGTTCTTCAACAACAGTAGATATTGCTTGCGACAGGTTTCATATTATTTCTATTAACAACTCATTCTTATACGTGGAACAAGACATTGAAATAAAACCTTCTGCCAAGTTGTCTGACAAGAAAGGTTGCAATGGAATTTTCTATGTCGGATACCAATATGCTCCAGAAGTTTTCATGGGATATAAGATATATTCTAACTCTGACTTAGTTCAAACAGTAACATGGGCAAACTATGAATGGTTCGCTTTGAGAAACTCAGTACAACCACAAGCTAGAGAACAAACAGACCAGTATGCAACTATTGAGAAAATAAGAAGACTTGACCCTAACGTTCCAGGAGTTTATGTTAACCTTTCTGGTTCAGATGGAACTGCTGCCACTAAAGTAAAACTGAAACTTAGAGTTCCTTTGTCATCTTTCCTCATCTTCAGGTTTTTAAGATACTTGCCAAACTGGGCAGGAAAAATTTCTATCGAACTTACTCCAAGCAAAAATAACTTAGTCATTGCACCAACACAAGACCCATTCACTATTACAGACGTAAAGGGAACAAATCAAACGTCATTCGCCGAATTTTGCAAAGACAAAGTTGACTTAGACTTTGGTTTCTCAAACTTCAACAATGAAGTAAACTATTATTTCAATGCTGCTGGAACTGCTTGGGACCCAGTTAAGTTTACATGCGAACAGTTTGAATGCAAGAGAATAGAAAGCAGACTTACAGTCTATATGTTGGACCCAGATATTTCAAATGCTTTAGCTGCCAAATATATTGCAGTTCCACTTATGTTCCCTATACACCAAATATCTGTCAAAGACTTTGCAGGTGAAGTTGGAAACCAAAATCCAGGAGCCGCAGGTGCAAGAACAGATATTGCTTTAACAACTGCAATGAAACATGCAGATACTATGTTTGTACTGTTCAGACGAACTATAAATGACTATTCTTGTTTCTACAACCCTGGTATTAAATATCATATAAACATAGATGGCAAATATTATCCAAGAGAAGAATATTCTACAGTTGAGGATATGAGGCCATACAACTTGACATTAGATGCTATGAACTTTAACAACAACTTCACAACAACTATTAACCCTGAAATGCAAAGTTCTATTATGCCATATGTGAAAGTATGAACTCATACAGGAGGTCAAAAAACTCAATATACAAATGGAGACCGTTCAAACTTTTGGCTTGGCATTCCATTTGCTGACTCAGAAGACTTTATGGGTGGTATTTCAACTGTTGGTACTGTACAAATACAATATACTGGTGACAGAGACGGTCCAGATGAATTGAGAGCAAAGAAGTTTACAAAACCAATAGCACTTTTCACGGAAGATGCTCTTTTGAAGATTCGTTCGATGAAACCTGCTGGGGCTCCTCAGATTGGCATAACGACAGCTTCCATCGAGCAGATTTTGGCAGCAGGTCAGTAAGTTGTTCTTGAACTGACTTCTCTCCGTCAAATATTGACAGTACGCCAGTTTTGACATAATATTGTATTATAAACTTTCCTTTAGTAATATCTGTAAGTTTTGAAGTTATATTTTTGTCTGCTTCAAGAACTTTCACCATTTCAGTTATACCAACTTTCTTTGCTTTATGAAAATATTTAGGTTCAGCAAAGACTGCTATTCTATAACATTTTCCATTGTTTGTGTAAAGAACTATTCTGTCAATGTATTTGTATTGTTTGTGAGTATAAACTTTGTTCTGCTTCAATTCAATAAGATATCCGAATACGTCCATCTTTTATTCTAAGTAAAATGTCATTTCCGAAAATAGAAGCGTAAGTGTTTCAAAAGGTTTAATGGCGGTGGCAGATGTGAAGTTAAATTCACCAACTCAAACAAACAGTCAAAGTGTTATTGTCAATGTCAAAGACAGAGATGTTGAAGTGGGGAAACCATACGAAGACGAAGATGGTATAACAATTGTTCCTGTAAAAGAACCAACATATCCTGAAGTTAACAGAGACTTAAGTTCTGTTGCAGATATTCGAAACGACTACCAACAACTGAAAGACAAACTTCAAACTCAGGAGAAGATTTGTCAAGCTTTAAGTATAATGTTAAACTTGGTCGAACACAACCCTGTAAAAGTGAACTCATATGTCATTGCACCTCATGAAGTTTTGAAAGAACTATTGAAACTTTTGACAGAGGCAGACGATATAAACATCAAAGAAATAGAACCCGACATTGGTTGCTGTGGTGTTTCATATAATGTCATTGACAAGATATACGTTATGAAAGGAGGTGAAACGTTGAACTTAAAATATAGTTTCCCAGACGTTATAAAAATATTTGACGACCACAACATTTCATTAAAATTTATTTGCTAAGTAAATGGCAGAAGACATAATGGTTTATACTATTACAACTAAAAACCCCGAGTCATATAATTCTATAACAACAAACTTGCAAAGTCCTCAAGGACGATATTGTAAACTAACCTTAAACACAATGACGACTAAAGCCTGTTTTGCTCTTTTGACACCAGAAGACTTTATTGTTGTGAATGGTAAAAAATACTCCTTTGAAGATACTTACTCAGATATACCACCAACAGGTTTTGTTGACTTATTTAATACTTTAAGTACGGGTGTAACATGTGCTGCAACTAGAGCAGGTTTCATTATGTTTGGATGTCCGACTGAGTTTACTATAAACGATATGAGCTATAATACAAAACTTATTTCTGGTTTTTACTACCAACAGTTTCCTATAACAGGAAAAGGTGTCATACAAGGAATGTCTATTCCATTGACATTAAGCACACCAATCTTATATATTGTTTCAAACTTAGGTTCAAAGTGTTATTCGAATGTCGACAGAAACTATTATGACCAAAAGATACTTATGCGTATAAACAATACTTTCTCTGCTGGTTTGCCTATTGTTCATTCGAATGCAGAATTTTCAACCTTAGTGAACTCAAACACTTTGGCAAGTATAACGTTGACATTAGTTGACGCAAACTTTGTTCCTGTAAAACTTTTATGTCCTATGTATTTGTCAATGACGGCAGAAAGTTTCGAATTGGAAGATGCAACTGGTGAAAGTATTGTATTACAAGAACAACTTCAACAACAAATAGCTCAAGAACAACAAATGCAACAAATGGAACAACAAAGTCAAGAATAAAAAAATAATATTTTTTTTATTTTTATAAAAATGTACAGAATAGATGTTTCAGATTTTTATGACTTCCAAGCATTCAGAAATATGTGTCCATTTAGAGACTATAACAAAGCAGTCGAGAATTTGAAACGTTTAGTCATTTATGTTGACTCTGCCCCAGAATGTTATGTCATGAAAGAATGGGATGTTGTCTTTAACAAACCAAGAGCAACAATAGTGTCTGAGCAAGAATGTAGACAGAAACTTAAGAAAATAAAAGTCGTACAAGTTGGTATGAAGATGTTAGATGCTTGGGATATCTTATTGTCAAAGTTAGAAGATTTTTCAGTTCGAGGTATAAAGTTCTATACACCATCTCCAAACTTCTATTCTATCTTCACTGGATATAAATACGAACAAGTAGAATGGAAAGAAAATGTTATAGAAGCTTGGTTAGACCATGTCAAAGAAATTATATGCAATGGAAACGAAAAGGTTTATGAGTATATCTTATGTTGGTTTGCAAACATCTTACAACATCCAAGTGCTTGTTATATACGAAAACGATAAAAACGGTTTGACAGAAAAGTGACAACTTTACGTGTCAAAAATAGAAAAAGTGACATTTTATTCGTAATATTAAAATGAATCATCATAATCTTCTTCATAAGGGTCTTCATAATCTTCTTGATATTCTTCTTCATAATTTACTTCGTATTCTTCTTCTTCATTACTATCTTCTTCTATTTCAACCGGATTCGCCTTATTTTCTTCTTCTTCAACTTCCTCGCCTTCTTTTTCCCATTCATCTTCTTCGATTCCTTGGAGCTCTGGCATCTCATTGGCCATAAGTGAACCTGGAAGAAAATCTTGAGAGACTCCATCCACAATCCATTTTGCCGGTATTCCCCTTTTCCAAATTGGAAGTTTCTTCCACATTTCAGATGGGCTATAGTGAATTTGTTTTCCATTCACATAATGAGTTGGTAATGCTAGATGAGGTTTAGCATTATAGTACTCAACCCATTGTTGAATCTTTGCCCATGACAACTCTCTGCTCTCTATGTTAGGCCACAAGCGCTCGATTTTCCCATTTTGGTATGGGCAATGGGGGACAATATATACATTATTGATCCCCCGAACCCTCATAGCCTTTAGGAACTCGCCTTTATTCTCGCCGCCATTATCGGACCAAATTGTATGTGGTGGTCCATAACGGGCTATTGCTCTCTTAATTACTTTCACTGTTTGGCTAGCATGTTTTGACGAAAGATGCTGCCATTCTATGATGAGCCTTGTGCAGTCATCAATCACAGCATAAAGAATCTGACTTCTCTTTTTGCCAAGAAAGTGGATATCAACGTGCCATATTTGGTTAGGAAAGGCAGCTAAGTATCTTGTCTTTCCTTTTGGCCGATAGGGTCCCCTTGGACGTGCCAAGCCTAGCTCTCTAAAAGATCTTTCTACCATATGTCTTGAGGGGGGATGTGGAAGAGGGTTTGTAAGATATTTAATGTTCCTCAGCTCAGATGGAAATGATAATGGAGACTCTTCAATCATAAGTCCGGAAGGAATTGTGGAAGAAATTTGATTCAGGGGCTTAAAACGTTCAATAGCGGAGAACCATGCTTGGGTAGGCGTTGGCTGTGGAACAATACCCGTCTTCATGCCCAAAAATGCCTCAAAATGAGATTTGGCATATTCGATATCTTTATTTATTTGGTTATAGGCGGAGATTATTCCAAGATGGCCATGCTGCTCAATTAGGTTTCTAATAGTTACCTTAAGATCTTTTGGTACATTAACTTTGGATCTCCAGCGCTTAAGGGGAATAGACACAAATGGGTGAGGCTGAGGCTGAGTATTGGCAGAGAGCTGTTGCTGTGGGGGAGTGTTGGCAGAGAGTTGTTGCTGTGCCGAGGTGTTGGCAGAGAGCTGGCGTTGAAGATGCGTGTTGGCAGAGAGTTGTTGCTGTGCCGAGGTGTTGGCAGAGAGCTGGCGTTGAAGAGGAGTGTTGGCAGAGAGTTGTTGCTGTGCCAAGGTGTTGGCAGAGAGTTGTTGCTGTGCCGAAGTGTTGGCAGAGAGCTGGCGTTGTGTCTGGGTGTTGGCAGAGAGTTGTTGCTGTGGAAGAGAGTTGGCAGAGAGCTGGCGTTGTGGGGGAGTGTTGGCAGAGAGCTGGCGTTGAAGATGAGTATTGGCAGAGAGTTGTTGCTGTGCCAAGGTGTTGGCAGAGAGTTGTTGCTGTGCCGAAGTGTTGGCAGATAGCTGGTGCTGAAGAGGGGTGTTGGCAGAGAGCTGGCGTTGAAGATGAGTGTTGGCAGAGAGCTGGCGTTGTGTCTGGGTGTTGGCAGAGAGTTGTTGCTGTGGAAGAGAGTTGGCAGAGAGCTGGCGTTGTGTCTGGGTGTTGGCAGAGAGATGGCGTTGTGTCTGGGTGTTGGCAGAGAGTTGTTGCTGTGCCGAAGTGTTGGCAGATAGCTGGTGCTGAAGAGGGGTGTTGGCAGAGAGCTGGCGTTGAAGATGAGTGTTGGCAGAGAGCTGGCGTTGTGTCTGGGTGTTGGCAGAGAGTTGTTGCTGTGGAAGAGAGTTGGCAGAGAGCTGGCGTTGTGTCTGGGTGTTGGCAGAGAGATGGCGTTGTGTCTGGGTGTTGGCAGAGAGTTGTTGCTGTGGAAGAGAGTTGGCAGAGAGCTGGCGTTGTGTCTGGGTGTTGGCAGAGAGTTGTTGCTGTGCCGAGGTGAGTTAGTATCCCTATCTTGGGTACGGCGGCACTGCGTTACACCTTACCCAAGATAACGGTTTGACACTTTACAAAACCGCTAACGTATATTTTACAACACAAACACTAACTTAACCTTAAATATTTACAAAGCCGCCAACCACTTCACCTCACTAACATTTTCGCTAACGACTTCACTAATGAAAAAATAAACGTTCTCACTAACGTTCCCACTAATGTTCTCATTTACAAAAGTATTGCAGCGCTTCCCATTGCTGTGCTTCACACAATAGTTCATATTCTTCAGTATCGCTGCTGTCACTCCAATCGTCAGAGTCAAAGTCACTGTCAAAATAAATGTTAGTAAGTTTTGACAAAGCTAATGAAACACGCTTACCGTTTGTATCTATTGCTTTTATATATCTCCCATTATGTTTGTTGTCATAAACGCTCAAACTAACTTTACCCTTTCTCCCTCGTATCTGATAGAATGTATTTTCACGAGGAACGAAGAACAAATTCTTGAACTCATGACCGTTGTAGTTTGTTATCTCAATAGTTTTCGTCATTTATATAAAAATAAAATAAAAAAATATTTAAAAAATAAACTTAAAAAATTTATAAAAAATCAGCCATTAGAACAGTCAGTCAGTCAATCAGTCAGTTAGTGACTGTTCTACAAAAATATTTCATACACGACAAAAATAATTTTGAAGTTTACTCCTCTTCATTGCTTTATAACTCTCTTCCTTGATTTCTTTTTAGTTGCTTTCTTAACATCTGTCTCCAACTTGACTGTCTTTCTTCTTCGGCCGTAATGATACCAATTACTTCCACCAGTCAATGGGTCAAATGGTCGTTCATAAGGGTTTCCATACATTCCATAAGGCCCGTATGGATAAACCGCTGGTGGAGAAGAAACATTTTCTTTAGTTCCATCGACTCTATTTAAATGCATTGTTTCACCTTTCATCTGGTCATTAAAGTCTTTTGCGTGTTTTGCAAACTCATCGTCCTTTCCTAAAGCATTTTCTGACTCAGTCGCAACCAAATTGGATGCTTTATTTATGAGCCCTATTTTATTTTAATCTTAACTTCTTTGCAACCCAGCTCCTATCTTCCCTTTATTTGCATCTAATGTCTTCGAAACCCTTCCTCCACTCATTTTATTTACTGCGTCATAAGCTCCAAGTGCTTTGCTCCCAAATGCTAATGCTTTTTCCCATTGCGCCTAAAGCTGCCAAGCTACCATTTACAACCATATTAAAATCATCTCTCTTCAATATTATCTCATAAAAGTTCTCGTTACTGGAGAAGTCAATGAAACATAAGCGTTCTCACGGGCTTCGCCCTCACGCTTTGCGGTCTATCTAACTTCTTTCTTTATCATCTATACGCTTCAAATGTTGAACAATTGCTAACATCTTCTACAACAGTTATTTCATCATGAATGACCTTCAAGAACAAGCTCATTTAATATGCCTATTAAATTATCTCAATAATGAGTCCATCCTTTCCGTCTTTGGGTAGCACAACATCTTTCATTGAAGAAGGTTTGACAAGTCTTATGTTAAACTTACTGACAAAGTTTGTTATACTATAATGCTTCGGCGGCGATACATGTAGTTTGAAAGACATAATTAGATTCTTCAGCAAATTCACTTATACTAGATTTTATAACAATGTTCTCACGAGACCAAATACCACCAATTGACAATCTTGTAAGCAATCCTGCTGAACCTTCTACTGTAAACGTCGATGGTAACATTCCACGAAGTCATCTATTGACATCGTTGAGTCACTGTATTTAAATATTTTCTTAAAGCAATCGTCATTATCTAACCATGCAATAGCTTTGAAGTTTTCATTCGAATATACATCTGCTTCATTAAATGTAAAACCTGACTTCTTTGCAGAGATGACTTTAAAATCTATTGAGTTTGTTTCAAAATTATATGCTATGGTAACTTCTGAGGTAATGGATGCCCTTCCGCAGTCAGTTGTTCTCTCACTACCGTTTGAAGCTTTGTATTAAAAACTTTCATGTTCTCCTGTATCTAAGTTCACATACACAGCAACAGGGAAACTATCTTGCTTCTTTGTTTCATCATTTATCTCAAAACATTAAAGTTCGTCAATAATATTGTTCTTCCTGCTGGAATACTTCGAACCTGTCTGATTTCAATAGCTTTCTCACCTCCTACATACTCTACCCAGTGTCTTGGATATTCATAAGTATACTGACTTTCTTGAATTTTGGTTGGTTTCATCATAACATGTTCATAGTATATCTTTATACTCTTGTCAGTTAGATTCGGTGCTATGTTCTGAATATTTCTGACTTGCATTTTTAATGGAGATAAAATGAAGCATTTAATACATGACGTAGATGAAGACATGAATGAAAGCAGTGAAAAGCTCAACAGTTCTCTCATTCTTCCTTTCAGTAAGGACTATGAGTTCTGTTCAAATGGTGTTTATTTCTATTGTGGAAAAATGGGTTCGGGAAAGACTTTTAATTTAATTCGTCATATACTCATAACAGAACGTTTAGGAAACGACTCTTACTATGACCAAATCATTATATCAGCAACTTCAGACTCTATGGACTCAACAGCGAAAACATTTATGTCAAAAGTTCAAGCCTCTGTCGTTAAAGTTCCAGACAGTGAACTCATTGAATTTCTTCAACGTTACATTCGACGTAAGAGGAAATATTATGCCATCGTTGAATTTATACAGTCAGGAATGCAAAAGACTTCTGAGGAGATGGAAAGAATTATTGACAAACACCACTTACGTCAATACTCAGGAGTTTACGATATGAAACGACTTACAAACTACATTCTATCAAAACTTTCAAAATACCCCTTCAAAAAGTATCCTTCAAACACCCTGCTCGTTTGTGACGACTTCGCCGGAAAAGGTTTAGTGTCAAAACCAGACTCACCATTAGCTAACATCATAACTAAAGTCAGACATTACCATTTAACTGTAGCAATACTTATGCAAACATGGTGGTTTTTAGCTTTAAACATAAAACGTCTCATAACTGACTTCGTTATCTTTCAAGGTTTCTCACGTTATGATATTGAACTCATTTGGAAACAGTCAGGTATAACATTACCTTTTGAAGAAATTTGGGAAGCATATAAGTCTCTCATCTCTCCTCGTTCATACCTTGAGATTCATATCATGACTAATACCATTAAAGTCAAAAATATTCCATGGGAACGACCAACATTGTTTTAAAGTTTAACCTTCAATTGACTGATGGTAAACAAATTCCATGCATCTCTGTCGCCATTTCTGTTAATATTTTTGCTGTCATTCATATCATCCACTTCCCCATCCGTTAGCTTTTGAGGATATGCGTTAGAATAGCTGTTCTTAAATGAAGGCTTTTCACCTTTGAGAGCATAAACTCTATAACTTTCTGCATACTTTATGTTTGAACCTCCTGAGCCATCATTGACATAAATTTTTATAGGCTTCCACCTTTGTTCATGTTCCTGCTTCTTCCCTTAGCTCTTTGTTCAGTAGTTCTACATCTTTATACACAGCACCTGTCTCAGTGAATTCAACAATATTTTCATTCGTTAGCTTTACATTCAAACCCTTGTCGAGTATATTGTTCATTTCATACATATAAAAGGTTTTTATTCTATATGAAATGAGAAGCAAATCCATCTTAGCTGGTGCCGTTAATGTTCCAATTGAACCAACATCAAATGTTGACTCACGAACGACAAACAATATTGTCATAAAGAACTATAGTTCAGAGTGTTTGAAAGAAAAAGAACCAGAACTTAAGTCAGTGAATTTAAACACAGCTTCAAACGCTAACGCTACATCAGATGTTAAGTTAGAGTATCCACCACTGGACAAATTCTTTCAAGAGAAGCCAACGACAACCCTTACACAAATGTTCAAACAAATCCTTCAGATAACGTAGACCATTACCTTCTTCAGTTATACCAAACAATTTTACTCAAAGACGATAAGAAGCTTTTGACAAATCTTATAAGCAAGAACCAAATAATTCTAACAAAGGAGGACCTTGAAAATGTTATCTCACGAATAACAGGGAAACAATGTGTCATTGACTATCTCGACCCTGAAATCGAATGCTGTGGTCAAACGCCACCATTCATGAAAATAGGTAACATCCGCATCATTGAAATACCAGGAACTCCAGGAGTTGAGTTTAAGTATAAATATTCGAATGAATATACAAAACTATCTACTGACTATAAGCTTTGTTTGAAATATGTTTTAGTAAATTAAAGCAGTCAGGACCTTCGGTCTTGGCGCTTTGCGCCGTCAGTCAAAAAATTTCAAGTTAGCAATTTGTAATATCTATCCAAAACTTCTTCAACAGTATCGAACTCATCTTCATAATGCAAACCTAATCTTATTGACTTGGTGCAGTTTTCACTAACACAATATTTTTCTGTTCTCTTGACTGACATAACTAACTCATTTGTTTCATCAAACAGCAACAACCAAAGTTCATGACCTAATACATAACATTCATACTTTATATTTTTAGCTCTGAGTTCTCTTGTAAGCTGTTGCATTTAATATTTTCTAAAAAGTCAACTTCAACAGTCATTCGCACTGGTGCCTTCAGTTCTACAGGCTCTCCTTGAAAGTCAACAAGTCTGAATTGCATGTCTTTCAAATTATGAGGACTAATGCGAACCCATTTACCTAAATGAGTTGCTATGACAGGAACGTTTGGAATGAACATTGAATTGACTGCATAACAGAAAGACTTATATTCTACTGAACCTTTACTATTAACTCCTGAAATACCTGTGACATTAGCTATTTTAGACTCAATGTACAAACAATTGCCATAACATACGTATGGAACAGATTTCATCTCAATCGTTTTGTCAACACTTTTCAAAGGAAATGTCATATGGTATGCACCCAAAAGAAGTTGAACTCTATGACTCATTTGTGTTATCTTGAACTCCTTCGCATAACTGAACTTCAATGTTCCCTCAGAAGAGAGTTCGACATCTATGTTGTCAATAGTTTCTTCATTTATGAGAGTATCTATGACTCCAGCAATTTTATCTATTCTATACCCAGCTCTGTTAGGAAATGTTATAACACTTCTTTTGTCATCTATTTCAATCTCTATGAAATCTGTTTCATCTGTTATGACAAAAGTTGCGATAGTATTGAAGTCAACAACTCTGAAAGCAAGCGCTTCATTCTGAAGACCTAAGTTTGTTTGTAGCTTTACTGTCCCGTATTCGTTTGGGTCTGTACTTTGCAAATAGAACAACATTTTATTCTCATTAAAATATGACTATTGCTGCATATGCGTATGAAACAAATGAAGCAAGAAGAGCACATGAACTAGTAAACGAAAACTCAACTTTAACCATTGAAGGCAATGATTTAGTCATTGACGATGGAAAAACTAAAAAAGTCATTGATTTCGATACTTTTAACACTTATGACCCATTCATTACAACAAGCAAGGTTCCCATCATAAATGATGGAACGGTGCAATATATAAATTCTACAGTAGATGCCTCATTAGTGAAAGTATTAAATGTTCTCATTGAATTGTTAAAGAGCTTTCGATTTGACGACAACATTAAATGCCTAAAGAATTTAGTCATGAATGAGAAACAAATTCTCGGCGTTGCTGGTAGCAGTAATGATGTACACCTTATGACATTAGAATATTATAACGAACATAAAGATGAACTGAAAGGAGAGAAGGGTGACACCGGACCTCAAGGACCACAAGGAATACAAGGAATACAAGGACCTCAAGGCGAAAACGGTTTGGATGGTGAAGATGGAAAGGATGGAAAAACTGCTAAATCATGGATATGGAACCTTATAAATACTGGTTTAACAGCTGCTTCATATGGAGTTCTTCAATACCAAATCGGAAAGATATGGGCAGTACTTGGTGAAGAAGTTTTAGATGACGTTAAAAATGCTTTGAACTTCATTTCAAATGGTTCGGATACTATTAAAACTTTATCTGGTTGGATGCAAGAAACAAGGAGTCAAATAGATACTGTAAGACGTATAGCAAACAATGCACGTACGGGATTGGATACTTTACGAGAAGCACAAAATACACTAAAGGAAGCAAATGATATTCTTGGCTCAGTATCAGACATGCATGAAGATTGGCTTAAAGGTATTGACAAATCTTTAAAAAATCACAGTCAGTCTATTGCTGACTACAAGAAAAGTATAGATTTTTTACATAGTGCTATGGACGTACATGATGGAAGCATAAGGAACTTACTTAATGCTAACAATAACTTACCAGGAACTATTAAAGCATTTATAAAGTCCTTTGTAAAACCTGGTGCTCTAACATTTAGGTCTTTGAGAGCAAGAGCATTGAAGTCAAGAGATGCAGAAACTCCAACAGAACCTACAGAAGGAACTGAAACAACAGAAACTCCAGAAGAACCACCAAAACCAACAGCTAATGAAATATTGTTCGAATATTTTCCAAGGTACTCTGTTCTCATTGCATACATTCAAGAAATACTTAAGAAAGCAGACTTGACTTTAGGAGATGATGAAAGTTCTGTATATCTTTCGTTCCAGTTTCAAATAGCAGAACTTTTGAGACAGATATGCTTAATGTATGACAACATCTCTGATTTCACAAGATATGATGACGACCATGACCCCGAACACGGTGAAGAAGAAGTTTTACAAACATCCATTAAGACAGGAAAAGTTTTAACACAAAGTCTCATTATTGACACCAAAGATGGTGAAGTGGATGTTCTTCAAGAGCTGAAGAAAAATACTTCTGAAGGAGGTGGTGGTAGGCATGAACTTGAAATAAATGAGATAGAAGAGAAATTAGCCGAAAAAGCAGATAAAAACCATGTTCATTATATAAGTTCAGATGAACAGATTATAACGGACTACCATGGATATTTAACACGAACTGAAGAAAGAGTGAAGACGGAAGATGTTAATGAAAGAAGATATAAATTCATTCGTGCTAAAGGTTATGACATACACTGTACTGTACAGTATGACACAGGTAAAGCACCAGAAGCATTTGGTTATAACGATGAAATTTATGCTTCATACTTCTTTGTTAACGGTGTATTAGTTGAACCAAGATTTACTTTGAGAGTTAAGGCAAAAATAACTTTTGAAGATGCTATTAAAAGTAAAGCTGACAAAGATGAACTTGACGCAACGAACAAAGTTTTGAAATCTCATAAACACAATATCTCCGATATAAATGAACTTCAAGCTACATTAAATAGTAAAGCTGACAAGAACCATACACATGAATCCTTCACTACTGTTAGAGCAGACGACATAATACTGAACTATGATTTGGGTTCAAGTGCACCTTTAGAGAATCCGAGTACAAGCGTAAAAGATACACTAAACAATTTAGATAACAGATGTATGAACATTGAAGGTCATGCCAGAAACTTTGAAGCATACGAACTACCAGCAATGTTAGATAAGAAAGCTGACAAAGAACATACACATGAATCCTTCACTACTGTTAGAGCAGACGACATAATATTGAACTATGATTTGGGTTCAAGTGCACCTTTAGAGAATCCGAGTACAAGCGTAAAAGATACACTAAACAATTTAGATAACAGTTGCAGGAATATCGAAGATCATGCCAGAAACTTTGAAGCATATGAACTACCAACAATGTTAGATAAGAAAGCCGACAAAACTTATGTAGATGAAAATTATGCAAAGAAGTCGGAAGTAAATGCTGCGCTTAATGGAAAAGCCGACAAGAACCATACACATGAAGAATTTCAAACAATCAGGATTAAAGAAATTAAGGCATGCATCGAAATAGTAACAAAAACAGGAAGAAACGGTGCAACTGTACAAGAACAAAGAATTTATCCTCCTACTTTTCCTAATGGTTTAATAACAAACAATATAAATATTGTAGAAGGCAATAAAGCTATAAACGTTAAACATGAACTTCTAACAATGAAGGCCCAGATTCTTCAAACCATATATCCTGTTGGTTCTATTTATACGTCAATGAATTCAACAAATCCAGCAAGTGTTTTAGGTTTTGGTACGTGGAAGCAGATTGTAGATAAATTCTTATACTGTGCTAACTATTCAAAGCAAACAGGAGGTTCGAAGAAAATTAAAGAAGCAAACTTACCTGCGCACACTCATACAGGAACGACAAACTTTTCTGGCGACCATAGCCACTCATTAAGAGACCACCCATTATACAACTCAGAATATAAAGCTGGCAATGATGTTTTATCTCCATCTTATAACAATGCAGCAAAAAAGATTTTTCGACCAACTGAACCGGGAGGTAATCATTCACACACTTTCACAACAAATCCAACAGGCTTGGGTGCAGATTATATGCCACCATTTGTGACTATATTCGCATGGTACCGCGTTCAATGAACGCGCTTGAGCCTAGACCCTTTGGGTCAAGGCTTACCGTCTTGAATAAAATCTTTAACTTTACATAAATGAGCTTGAAAGAAGTATTCGAACAACATCCATGGAAGTCATTTAAGAAGTTCAATGAAGCTGCAAAGAGTTGGGGATTTACTAACAGAGCTGAAGTGAAAAGGTTCTTTGACAAAAATGTTGTACATCAAACAAAAATAAACCCTTACAACTACTTTTTACCAATTTACTCCAACGCTCCTGACGCATACCAATTTGACACTCTCATTCAAAGCAGAAAAGGAGGACATAAACCATTCCTCATCTTCATTAATGTTAACACTCGCAAAGCATATGCATATCCAATGAGGAATAAAGGAACTCATGAAGTTTTAAGAGTTTTGCAGACGTTCGTGGCAGAACATCATCCCACTTCATTAACATCAGACCAAGACGGTGCATACCTCAGTAATGAAATCACAGAATTTCTCATTAAGCATAACATAACTCACTACACTACTGAAGACCATAACCATAACATACTCGGCATCATAAACTGCTTCATAAGAACGCTCAGAGATTTAAACCAAGAGCGAGACTTTACCGAAGAAACAATGAAACATTTTCTCGAAGTATATAATTCCTCAACACATTCTACAACAGGACATACACCAAATTCAATGACACAACAACAAGAAGAAAAGTATATACAAAAGAAACGAAGCCAAACACAAAATATCAGAAATTCAACACAATTTACCCTCATTCCTGGTACAAAAGTTCGTGTAGTTCTTGACGACAAACCGTTGACAAAGAAACGTTTAAGGTTATGTAGAAACTATTATATCGTAGACTCTACGCAAGGTAATGGATATCTTATAAAAGCTGCTGACGACTCTATTGCGTTTTACCCTCGTCATAAATTAGTTGAAAGTAGTAATGGCAAACTTGCTGAAACCATTGACGAAGCAAAGCGAGGAGTGGTTATTGAAATACTTGGCTATAACATAAACGATGACACTTATAAAGTAAGATATGAAGGAGGCGTTGAAGATGTTATACCATCTAAGAACTTGAGAGAGTCAAAGCCAACACATCTGGGACCATTAGAGCGGGAGTACTGGAAAGACAAAAATATGCCAGAAAGAATAAGAAAATTCTTCTAAACTTTTTCATTTTGTTGCTGAAAAATGACCAAATTTCATGAATTTTCATAAAAGATAAAAATAAAGTTAGTTTTATTTTTATTTATTTTTTTATTTTGTATGTAAAGACAGTAATGTCAAACATTGAGTTTGAAACAGTAAGAAAGATTGACAATGACACCAAAGTGGTTAGAATTGGTGATTTAAACGTAAGATACTGTAAGAAATACAACAAATATTCTTTGTCAGACATTATAACACCTTCTGGAAAGAAAACAAAGGACTGGGTTAGAATTGCTTCTACTCAGAAAATTTTGACAAGAAATCCTGAGCTCATGATATCGGTAAGATTCTATGGAACCACAGCATATCTCATTGACAAAAGTCTTATACCAATAATTCTTCTGTGGATTGACCCTGTTGTTGGATATAACTTCATAACTTATGGTTCATTCGACTCAGAACGTTGCAGTGAAGGCTTACTTTACATCGTTCAGAAACCGAAGGACTTCAATACAAAGAGATATAAGATAGTAAGAACATATAATATAACTCAAAGATATGACTCTATAGTCAATAGAGTCAAGGTTGTGTTCGTTAATGATATGAGAGCCGCAGAAACAGAACTACTCGAAAAGTTTGAGAAAATGTATGGTGCTCCCATAAAAGGTAAAGAAACGTTTGAAGTAGATGAGATAGATAAAGCTATAAAATTATTTGACGAAGTTGCTGAAAAATACATGTAAAGCGTTTATTTTTGTCTTTTGTGAAAGTCAGAAAATAACGCTAATTTTTTCCTAACAAAAATTTTTATCTTGTATGTAAAGACAGTAATGTCAACATCAGAGAACACAACAACTGCTATCGTTCATGAAGCCATAAATGAAGAATACGAGTACATACAGTATAACAAACAGTTACGTCTCATTCGTTTAGTCAAAGACGATATGTACCAAATGCAAAGTATTTTGAATGCTCTTCGTTCTACAAAGCAAGCATATCATTGGTTTGAAAACCAACAGACAAAAGAACTTTTAGAAGAATTTCCTCATATGATTGCTTTGCAGAATGAAGAGATTCCGTATGAAAATCGCAAGAATTTGGCTCCTGGTTTGAAAGGTTATTATGTTCATAGACTTTTAGTAAACGCTGTAGCAATGTGGGCTTCACCTCGTTATGCTTGTTATATTTTCATGATGTTAGATGAACTATATAAAGCAAAAGATGAAGTCATTGAATCCAAAGACAAAAGCATACAGAAAAGAATACCGCGTTCAGTACCAAAAGGAAAGGAAAAGAGTTATAAGTATATGATATATACTGAAGAGTTGGAGAAAGAAGAAGACAGAGATATGGTTATGTTGCATTTAGTGAGAAGAAACAACAAGAGCTTTTACGACTTAGCTAAGATATATAAATCTGACAGAAACTGGTTCTATCGTGAAAACTTACCGATTTCAATGACACCGAATGAACAAATAAAGGAAATTGTCAAAAATACTCTTCCTGAAACACACTATGACATCAAAGGTTGCACAATACTTACATTCAAAGAAGACTTAACATTACTGAAGGAAAAAATAACAGAATATTTCGACAACTTCAAAGAGGAAGAATGAAAAAAAATCTCGTCGGGTGCCACGTTAGGACCATAGTGGAGAAAACCATGATAAAAAACAAAACCCTTCGTCAAGTTTATTTTGTTTTTACCATTTAATTGTTTCCATAAACGCTCCATGTCGAACATAATTGACGAAGAGAGAATCGTCTGATCGTCAAGTTTATTTTGTTTTTACCATTTAATTGTTTCCATAAACGATAACATTAACGATAACATAAACGATAACATTAACGATAACATAAACGATAACATTAACGATAACATTAACGATAACATAAACGATAACATTAACGATAACATTAACGATAACATAAATGCTCCATGTCAATTATGTTCGACACTGATAACATTAACGATAACATAAACGATAACATTAACGATAACATAAACGATAACATTAACGATAACATTCATTTTTGCATTAATCCTGCTGTGTTGTCAAAATGTCATGTTGTCATCATTTTTAAGAGAAGTTAATTAACCTGGTGACACATGGTGACGTGGTGACATAGTGACGTGGTGACACCATCAGTTATTCAAAAATAAATTTTCTTATAAAGCTTCGGGGTCAATTTCTTCAACCATTTCACTTCCTTCGTCAATGTCAATAGAAGCTTCTTCAACCTTTGGTAAGAATTTCTGTATAACATCTTTGTTCGTTATTGTCTTCAGAGCTGAAGGATAATATTTCACATTTGTTTCACCCTTCTTATATTCTTTCTGTTCGGAAAGATTTAAAGCAATACTGAAGAAGTCAACGTTAGAGTTCTTTATGACAGTATAATGAGTATCTTTGACATTCACGAAGAAACTCTTTTGTTTCAAAACTACTGCTAACTCTTGTGAAGTATAACGTTTGCGGTCAATGACGATAGCTAATGGTCTGACATACTGACCAAACTTAGATTCTTTCACAAACTTCTTGTTAAAGATAACATTAACATTTGAAGCATTATTGAACTCATTCTTGATGGCAGTAGCGAGAGCATTGTATGAAAAGAACTTGCAATCTTGCATGTGTTTCATTAAAATAAAAATATTAAATTATTTTGAAAAATAACTTAAAAAATCTAATCTAATTTTTTCAAAAAATATTTTTTTATTTCCTACTAAAGATGTATCGGAAGTTGTCTAAGTTAGAACACTCGGAAATAAAACAACTTCTTACAGAAGCTAATATAGATGTTGCAAAGCATTACGCAACAAACAAAAAAGCACTCGCTGACATCCTCAATGACTACAATGGTGAAATAACTTATGATAGAATTCATGAGTTCATAAAGCGGCAACGCGGCGAGGACGAAGTCCATGCAAGAGCATTTCCTTTAAATGACATTGTTATTGACTTATATCATAGACGTTCAGTACCTCATGAAGTAAGAAGAGAAATGTTTGACATAACAAATGCAAACGTTGGTGAAACAAGAAGAAGAGACGACACACTGAAACAACAGAGAAGAGAGATGTTTAAGAGCGCTATAGAACAAGTTCGCAAAGCTAACGATGTCATTCGTTCCATTGACGACAAACCAAAAGAAGGTGAGAGATGGTTAAAGAAAGATGAAGAGAATAGGAAGAGAAATGTGAAGTCAGGCAATAGACTCATTGACTTTAACATCGAAGCTTTAGATGAACCAAACAGAGACTACTTACACAAACATTTCGGTAAGGTTTTCATGAGACTCTTAGAGAAAATTAAAATAAACTCACAACAGAGATGGATGGTATGTTATAAACTTGGTGGAAAGTATGAATGTTCTACGTTAAACCTCAATAATATTGGAACATTACTACATCAGCTCTTGAAGGAGAACTTTATATCAGAGATAGAAGCAAATGCTGCAGGTATTGTTGAAATGCACTATGACTTCTTCTTGACAAACATAAAGAATCTTACCGAAATAAAGATGTATGATTTAACAGAATATGAAGGCTTAACGATGTCAGATGTAAAGAAAGGCAAACCAAAAAAGAGACCATATAGAGATGAAAGCACACTGACAAATGACCAGAAAGCCATTTTGGAAGCTCTTAAGCAAACAGGAAACCCAGCACTTATAGAAAGCTTTTGGAAAGATAATGGTGAAAAGAAGTTTTATAAGAAGAGAAGCGGTCAGTTCTGGAAGTATCTTTGCACCTTACCTATAAATCTTGAACGCTACCAAATCTTCAATGAACTGAACAAAAGAACTGCAACACTTATAACAGAAGATAACTGCTTCGTTTATGCTTGCATTCAGGCTGGAGTAAATGAAGAAACTATTGACCACATGAGAGAAGTCATTCGTGTTAGAGACTTTCCTCAAAGTAAAGTACAAGAAATTTCTGACGCAACAGGTATAGCATTTAATGTTACCATTGGTTACTTCAATGACTCAAGACATAATGAAATAAAGAGATACATACCAAAAGAATGTGAAACTATTCGAACTATTGACTTACTTCTTGTTGAAGACCACTACATGCTAAATGAAAGATTACCTATGACAACATATTTTATCATAAATTATAAAGAAATTCTCAAAGCTTGTGGTGGAATGAACATTGAGAAACAGATGAAGATTTATACAAAGAGAGAGAACAAATTTATTGTTCGTTATGATAGAACAACACCGTTATGGGATGTTATGAAAACATTGTGGGAGTGCAAATATTTCGAACCTATTTCTTATGGAGAATTTTTCACATATACGACTGACTTATATAAACAGAACCTTGCACCATTTAAAGATTTGACATATGCTCCAAAGTATTGTGTACAACTGAAGAAGAAAGCCGAGTCAAAAGAAGTAAATAAAGCTAAATGTAAGTTCATTCCTGAGCATGTTTTCTTTGCTGACTTTGAGTGCAGTACCGATGGCTTTCATAAAGCTTTTAACATCTGTTATGACAGTGAAGATGGTTCAGTGAGTGAAAGCATTTGGGGTCAGAACTGTGCAACAGAATTTTTGGAGCGACTTCCTGACAAGAGTTTAATATATTTCCATAACCTCAGTTATGATATAAACTTCATCTTAAGACACATGACAGAAGTGAAAGGAACTCCCATCATTAAAGGTTCACGAACAATGCAAATAACTGGCTTATATAAAGGAAGGGCAATTATTATAAAAGACTCTTACAGTGTTATAAATAAGAAGCTTAAACTATTTCCTGAAATGTTTAACTTACAAACAGGACCGAAAGAAGTATTTCCATACAACTACTACAGCAGTGTTTTGTTAGCAAATGACAACAGAACTGGTGTCATTTCTGAAGCGTGTAAGTTTATCCAGGATGCGGATACGTTCATGAAAAACATAGATTTAATCGAAAACTGCAGAATAGATGAAAACCATTTCGATTTAGAAAAATATAGCTCATTTTATTGCAAACAAGATGTAAGGATTTTAAGAGAAGGTTTTGTTAAGTTCAGAAATGATATATTAAAAGAATTTGATTTAAACGTTTATGACTACGTTAGTATTTGTTCTATAGGGTGTCCAAAGGTGTGTTTAGCACAAACCTGAATACTGCGAATAGAAATAAACAAGTTACATATATATAAAGTTTATTTAAATATAATCACCATTGGATTCAATCACGCGTTCGCAGCGATCGATCCAGGCTTGAAAGACACGCTTTAAATCATCATGAGAAAATTGCTCAAATTGCTCTCTTACAAAATTTTCAAGATCATCTGGACTCGCGAATTCGCGTCCTTCAGCTCTCTTTTTTAGCGTGCCGAATAAATAAAAGTCAGAGGGTGCAATATCAGGTGAATAAATTGGGTTTGGAACAACTTTGACATTGTTTTCCAACAAGTAATTCATTACCTTATGACTTTTGTGAACTCTTGAATTATCAAAATGAATTGCAAACTTTTGTTTTTGTTGTTTGGATTTCTCAAACTCATCAGAATTGATAATTTGAGTAAGAACATTGTCAATTAGATACTGAGCATTCATCGTATTAGGTTTTTGAAGAATATCAATTGCGATGATGCCATTCACGCCCCAAAAAACCGACAACATCATCATTGGTGTGTCAATTTTTTTCTTCGGGAATGTTTGCGGATTTTCATCCTTCGGGATCCACATGATTTTGGCTTCTGTTGCATATTGAAACCAAGACTCGTCCCCTGTTACTAAAAAGCGAAACTTCTTGGATTGATACGCACCCAATATAGAGAGGAGCTCTTTCGAAGATTGGACTCTAGATTTTTTTTGAACTGAATTAAGGTTGTGCGGAACCCAACGTGTATACGCTAGTTTGTAGTTCAAATAATTGTGCAGATAATAACTGACTGTTGTACGTGGTATCTTTGTCATCTCCTCTATCCTTCTGAGTGATGCTCTTGGGTCTTCATCTAGCGCTTGAAGAATTGCTTTGATTTTTCTTTGATCCGGCGATTTTTTGTCAATTTTTATGATGGGCGCCTTTTTGTTCATGAAGTGATACATCCTAACATGATACGTTACAGTGGAATAGCTAGGAGCATCCATACCGAAGCATTTTACCAATGTCTCGTAGATTTTTTTACAGTCTTTGCATTTTTTTGCAAGAGCGAGGATATTTTCTTTATGATTCATTAAAAAAATGAAAAAAATCCCGCCAAAATTTCCCGCGAAACCGCCTCTTGTCTCAAAATTCATTTTATATCCCGGCATGGCGCCAAAATACAACATACTCATCATATACATATATTCATATTTTTTATTATATATTTATAATCAGCATATATCTCCTTTAATAGTCTCATATAGAGCGCTGTGCTAAACGCACCTTTGGACACCCTATATTGCTAACAAATTGTTTGAGAACAGAGTGTACTTCCCGAATGGAAATTTATATGACCTCTCAAATAAACCAAGAGAATTTATTTCACGCTATATTCAAGGTGGAAGATGTATGCTGTCAGATAACATGAAACAAAAGAGCGAAAAGAAACTCATTGCTGATTTCGACGCTGTTTCATTATATCCATCCGCTATAGCAAGACTTTATACTTTAGAAGGTATTCCAAAGGTTATGAAGAAAGAAATGTTAAGCACAGAGTATCTCATGAGACATTTATTCGATGACGACCAAAAGGAACCCATTGGTGAAAAGTTTATGTCTGGCTTCTTTGTTCTCATTAAGATAACAGAGATTGGAATACATAGACACTTTCCTTTAATAGTTTGTGACCCTGAACTAAATCCAGAACTTAACGTTCCCAGAAGTTCAAACACTTGCTGTTTAATGTATGTTGACCATATAACATTACAAGACCTCATAAAATATCAAGGTGTCAAATGTAAAGTGTTGCAAGGATACTATTACGATTGAAACAGAGATATTAGAATAAGAGATGAAGTAAAGAAGTTGTTTGAGTTAAGGTTAAAGTATAAGAAAGAAGGAAATCCTTTGCAAGAAAATATAAAGCTCATTCTGAACAGTATTTATGGCAAAACTATTCTATCTCCTATTGAGTCAAAAATAACCATAGTAAATGACAAAGATGCTATAAGATATGCCATCAGAAACTACAACCATATAGTGAAGTTCGAAGGTTTGGATGGTTCAGATAAAACTATTTTCAAGCTAACGAAAAGCATTTGCAGACACTTTAACTTCTGTCCACTTGGTGTTAATATTCTATCTATGCCAAAACGTATTATGAATGAAGTATTCTGTACTGCTGAAGATATGGGACTTCAAATATTTTACCAGGACTGTGATAGCATGCATATTTTCAATGAAGACATCCCAAAGCTTGCAGCAGAGTTTAAGAAGAGATACGGTCGCGAACTTATAGGAAAGAACCTTGGTCAATTTCATTCTGACTTCGCAGAAATAACACCTGGAAAACAAAGTTTAGCATACAAGTCAATATTTTGTGGAAAGAAGACCTACATAGACTTACTCACGAATGATTTAAATGAAGTTGCATTCCATGCACGTTGCATAGGTGTCAAACAAGACGTCCTTGCTTTAACAGCTAATGAAATGTTTCCTGAAGCTATACAATGCTATTACAATGAAGATAAGAACATTCACATACCTGTTGGAACATATGACAAAGACTCTGAGTTCAGTTTAATGAAACTTTACAAAGCACTTCATGATGGTCAAGAGATTGGATTTGACTTATGTAAGTCTTCTAGTCCTTGCTTTGCTGAAAAGTTTAACTTCTCAATAACGACTAAAACAAGCTTTATTCGTAAGTTGAAGTTCTGAGGTCATTTATTTTTGTCAGCAATGAGGTCATTCGTGATAAAAATAAGCCGCTAGCGTAGATTTTACAATACTGCGATGGTAGAGTTTAAGAGTTGTGCTTCAATGTAGAGACAGTCCTTATGGTCTGGAGGTAAGAACACTGGTGCTTTATGGTCATGAGTGGAGAACATGTCTATCCAAAACTCACGATTGAAGCCAGTTAATTTATAGTATTTAGGGTTAGGAAGTGGTGAAGTTCTTGTATGACCAATGAACTCATTTTCAACTCCCTTACTTAAGTTTGAATATAATATAGCTTGCTTTCTATCCCAAATACCTGGAAATCTAATTTCGGAAAATTCATTTTTCCTCGGAAGCATTGCATCATAATTGAAAACATTCTTGAAATCATCACTTGGTTCAGAGATTTGAAATCTTATACGTAATGGATTTTTTTTCTCTTTAGCGACTTCATTGAATGGTGAGAATACAATGAATTGACAGTCATGAGTTCCATCTTCATTTGGTACAAACTCGTAATGAAAAGCTATTAATCTTTCTACAATTCCTTCTTCTTTCAGTTCTGCAAGAAAATCACGTAAAGGCTGTAAAGTTTGTACTTCAATGTTGAACTTCTTTTGAAAATTTTCGTAAAATGTAATTATACAGTCTTCTAACGTCGTACTGTTTTTAAAGTATTTGTATATGTGAATGTTTTGGACGCTTAAAGACTGTTCGTCATTTTCTATCTCGACTTGAAGTATAAAGTCAACCTTTCTGAAAGCACGTGTTATATACATATTTGTTATGCCAATGTACTTCTCTTCATTTATGTTCACAATCCAGTCTGTTGGAAACTTAAACGTTACTCTGTTCCCCTTTATTTTGACGTCAGGGTTTTCACTACTGAACGCAACAGATAAAGGTATTTGTCTATACATTTAGTTCCGATAAAAATAACACATTTACTCTTTCTTTGCTTCAGCTTCTTTAGCTTTTGCTTCAGCTTCTTCTCTAGCTTTTTTCGCCAGTAGTCTTGGGTTCTTTTGTCTTCCAGCAGCTAATGCAGCAAGTTGTTTTTCACTAAGTTTTCTTTTTGGTCTCTCTGGCTTTTGTTCTTGTTTTTGTTCCTTCAGTTCGGATAAAATTTGCTCGCGAATTTCTTTCTTCAATGCTTCAACATCTATGACCCCTTGGGTCTTGTCAGTAGGGCTTGCCTGAGTCATTTGACTGCAGATAAAAAACAAAATTAAAACTTTAACCGATGTAAAATGAGCTTGTCAAAATCAGAGCGAGAGTCTATTATATTAAATGACGCAAGAGGAATACAACATCCTTTCTATTACGTAAGTCAGAGTAAAGATGGTAAAATATACGTAAGAAAAAGAAAGGTTCCATTAGCGAATGCAGAAAGCGACAACATTAAGGTGCATGGCACCGAGGGCGAAGCCCATGTTAAGCCTTCTATTCAAACTGAAAAGTCAATAGAACCAGAAGAAAAGAAGCCAGATGTACTTTCAATAACGAACCAAGAACTTATTGCAAAGTTCGTGAATTTCATTGAAAAACAAACCGAGTCAAAGAATCCTGACCCGCCAGTGAAAGAAGTTGAGACAAAAGAGAATGTACAGTTCATTGAAAATATCAAGAAACAACTTCCACCACGAATGCCAAGAAGAAGAGTGAGAATAATGAAGTAAATAGATATTTTTATCTGAAGTAAATACATGCAGAACGAACAGCTAAACGAATTTACTCCAGCAGAGCATATTCATCAGATTCGCTCATATTTCGATATCATAGACAATGCAGTTCAAATTGGTGACACTAATAGAAAATATTCTGACGCAAAGATTCCATCACAACCTGGAACTGCTAAAGATAACACATGGGTAACATTCAATCTCTCACCTCCTGGTGAAAATATGTTGGACCTTTACAATACATTCATTACGTATAAAATGGAAGGTCAATTTATTGTAGATAAAGAAATTGGTTCAGGTTCCAATAAAACAAACCCACCAGGATTTTGGATTGGTTTCGATGACGCTTTCTATGCAGTTGCTGGATATCAAATCCTTGCAAATGGTCGTATCGTATATTCTCAAGACAACGCAAGAGAAGAAGCATATATAACTTCAAACTCACAAACTACCGAACAAATAAAGAAAGTAGATGTTTTCTCAAAGACTCGACATGAAGATGTATGGAGTCATTCGGGAACATGCAGAACAGGACAAATTGTTAGTGGTCCAATTACAGCAGGAAAATCATTTGATTTTAAGCTTCGTTTAAGAATTCCTGTTAGAAGATTCCTTCCATTAGAAGCTATTCGATTTATTCCAGCTTTTGCAGGAAACATTCAGCTTAAAGTAAAGTTCAGTAGCGACGCCTTACAATGCACATCTATATCTGTAAATGATATCATTGCTTTCAATCCAACTCTTAAAGTTGCATTTGCTTCAGATTCAAATCCACCGACAAATAAATTTGTTCCATGGAATGAACCATTCACTATGATAACGAAGGCAGTAGAAGCTAGTGGAACAGTTACTATTACAACTGTAACCCAGCAACTATTTCGAACAAAGATGGATTTTAATGAATGTTTCATTCATCCAAAGTCATTCTCTTTAGACCCTAACATTTATACAGAACTTGTAGAACATTATACAAACGAGGCTTTATGTTTTCCTGTTAAAGTTATGGATTGGATTCCTATGGACGGTTCATTCTCAAAGAATACAGATAGTTCAAGTGCAACATTTACAGCAGCTTATACGCCTATTAATGTTAAAAGTATTTGGGCACTATTTAGAAAGAAAGACAACTATTATGTTAATTTTGAGAACCCTAAGTTTAAATATCTTCAGCTTTCCATGGGAGCTTATGGAAATATGCCTGCAGAACCCGAAAAATCATATGGACCTGTATTTTATGAAATGGTTGCGAACGCTTGCAATACAAACAATGATATGATAGGATTTAATGAAGATGTTATGAGGTCAATGGTGGATAATGGTAGTGTGGAACATAAATGGGATAGCTATGACAACACACATTTCTTATGTGGTTTTCCAACAGAAGTGGACTTTTGCTTCCAGCAAGGTCAAACATCTACTGCTCCAATAACATACAAATTGTCTGTTAAAGGACCTATTGAACTAGCAACTGAAAATGTACCAAAGCCACTTATTGGATTTATGAGGGATTGTTGCTTTGCCATTCAGGTGCGTGCTAATGGCATCCCCATAATAAGATTAGATGACTATAACTTAGCTACGGACGACAGTGAGGAATAAAGGATGAACGTTTATTTTTAAAGCTTATAAATGAGTTCTTCATCAAGCTCTCGTGAACCTTCACCATCTATGAAACAAACTTTACCAAACGATTATGGAGCACCTATTGAATATTTCTTACGAGCTGCACAATGGCAAAGAGCAGTCTCACCAAGGTTAGGTGTTCCACCAGCTCCTGTCAAAAATAGCATTTGGTCAAGTCCTTATATAAAATATGGTCTCCCACTAGGTTTGCTAGCTACAGCAGGAGCAGTTATGATGTTGAAAAGAAATAAAGCAAATGTTGTAAATAATACTGAAGTAGCTGAAGTTAAACAAACTCCAACACCTTCACAAGCAAAACCTTCAATGACTCCTGAACCTATGGAAGTACAAACTCCTGTTCAAAAGTCAACTCCTAAACCGACTCCAACATTTAAACCAGAACCTACTCCTCAAATAAATCGTAAAACTCCTGCGTTTCCTTACTGAAAAAATAACGTTATTTTTATTTAATATTAAAATTTTTATTTGATTGAAATGACAAATAAAGTCACTGAAGCAATGAAACAAAAGTTTTTGGTAGAATACATTAAATCAGGAACTATTCCAGAAGGTTTTTACATTCATACTATGAAGGATGGTAGAGTTCAGTTTAGAAAGATAAAGCAACCATTAGATAGAGAAGGTATATTAAGGAAGATTAAACTTCATGAGGACAACATTGCTGAACTTAAGAAGAAGCTAGAAGAGTTGGATAAAGGAAGAGAGTTATAAAGCAATGAAGAGGAGTAAACTTCAAAATTATTTTTGTCGTGTATGAAATATTTTTGTAGAACAGTCACTGACTGACTGATTGACTGACTGACTGTTCTAATGGCTGATTTTTTATAAATTTTTTAAGTTTATTTTTTAAATATTTTTTTATTTTATTTTTATATAAATGACGAAAACTATTGAGATAACAAACTACAACGGTCATGAGTTCAAGAATTTGTTCTTCGTTCCTCGTGAAAATACATTCTATCAGATACGAGGGAGAAAGGGTAAAGTTAGTTTGAGCGTTTATGACAACAAACATAATGGAGATATATAAAAGCAATAGATACAAACGGTAAGCGTGTTTCATTAGCTTTGTCAAAACTTACTAACATTTATTTTGACAGTGACTTTGACTCTGACGATTGGAGTGACAGCAGCGATACTGAAGAATATGAACTATTGTGTGAAGCACAGCAATGGGAAGCGCTGCAATACTTTTGTAAATGAGAACATTAGTGGGAACGTTAGTGAGAACGTTTATTTTTTCATTAGTGAAGTCGTTAGCGAAAATGTTAGTGAGGTGAAGTGGTTGGCGGCTTTGTAAATATTTAAGGTTAAGTTAGTGTTTGTGTTGTAAAATATACGTTAGCGGTTTTGTAAAGTGTCAAACCGTTATCTTGGGTAAGGTGTAACGCAGTGCCGCCGTACCCAAGATAGGGATACTAACTAGGTGTTGGCAGAGAGCTGGCGTTGAAGATGAGTGTTGGCAGAGAGATGGCGTTGTGTCTGGGTGTTGGCAGAGAGTTGTTGCTGTGGAAGAGAGTTGGCAGAGAGCTGGCGTTGTGGGGGAGTGCTGGCAGAGAGTTGTGGCTGTGGGGGAGTGTTGGTACTGCTGGCTAATGAAAGCTGGCGTTGAAGAGGAGCGTTGGCAGAGAGCTGGCGTTGTGGCGGGGTGTTGGCAGAAAGTGGGCTTTGTAGAGGAGCGTTGGCTGTTGAAGAGCTGTTTGCTGTGGAACAGAGTTGGTAGTGCTGGCTGATGAAAGCTGGCGTTGTAGAGGAGTGCTGGCTGATGAGGGTTCTTCCTGTATACGAGAGTCGTTTGAACTTTGTAATATCAAATAATCGGTAAGGAGAGTGTCATCTCTGTGTTTCAAAATGGATGAACACTCGTAGAGTTGATTATTATATTTAATGTAGAAAGTAGTAAACTCTTGAAGTTTGTATGTATGATGTAAGTACTCTTCAATAGTAATTAGTCTATTACATAAGAGAGCTTTGTAAAATGTTATCTTGTTAATTGATGAACGAATAGTGTTGTTGACTAATGGAACATTTGTGAGAACAATGGCTAACGGTGTGCGCCTTTGAATCTGTGCTAGAGCTGTTTCAAGCCAAGCTGAATCAACTAAGGTGTACAAATTCATTTTAAACAAATTTGAAATGAAATAATTTGTGAGAGTTTGAGAATAATTTAATTATTTCAGAAGTCTATATTGAAAAATATTCTTAACAAAATTAATTTAAATGGTTCAGAAAATAAAAAATTAAAATTAATGGAAAAAACATGATTAGGAATAATTAACAATAATAAATATCATGGTTTTGGATTATTTAAACAGCTATAAAAGAACGAATTTTACAAATTACGATAAAAAATTATTGAAAATAATGAAGAGGATAAGGATTTGAATCGAAAATTAGAAAAGGATGATTATGTGTCAAATTAAATTAAAATAAAAATTTTAGAAGATTTAGACAAGAAATAGTGCAAAGAATTAGAATTAACATAAAAATCGAAAATTTAATAAAGGAGAGATAAAATTATTGTAGTATTCAATTGAAAATTTTATAAAATAAGGAATATTGGTAAACAAATAAGTTTCATCTAAAAAAAGGAAAATAAAAATATAAAAATTGAAATAAAACAGAAATATAAAATATTTTTAAAATGCAAAAAAGTTTCATACTAATCGTTTTTGTATAATATTTATCATTGAAAGATTATTGAAAGATATTTTGAAAGAAATCGAAAGAGTTAAGAAATATTGAGAAGAAGGACAATTGAATGAATTTTTGGCCGATTGTGCTATGCAAAGTTGATGATAATTGCAGGAAATTTTGAGATTTTCGAGGTTTTGGAGGGTGTGAGTACTATTATATGTAATAGTATCTCACACCCTCCAATTCATCCTATGGCGTCGAGAAAATTTTGGTGAAATGTCGTCGCATTTCACCAAAATTTCTCGGCGCCATATAGAGAACTAGAGTCTGCGAGGTACTGATTCTATTTATGTACCTCGCAGACTATAGTTTTGAGCCAAAATGGCTAAAAATTGCTCGCAATTGTTTGCCATGTAAACTGTCACTTTTTGAGGAGATTTGACATTCTGTCAAATCTCCTTTTTTCGTATATAAGAATACAACAAAAGTTTTGAACTCAGATGCTTTGAAGAGTCTTATAACAGACAAAGTTGGAGTTGTTGAAAGAAAGTATAAAGACCAAAGAGTTTGTGAAAATGTTGCAAACTTCATTATGGTTTCAAACAATGCTGTTCCGATGAAGTTAAAAAGTTCTGACAGAAGATATGTAGTTGTCAGAACGTCAGAAGCTCATATGCAAGATACAGAATATTTTGACGACTTAGCAGAAACTTTGACATTTGACTTTTACAACCACTTGTTCTCATATTTCATGACATTAGATATTTCTAAGTTCAATCCAAGACAAATTCCACATACCGAAGAGAGACAAACATTGTTAGAAGCAAACAAGAGTGTATATGAACTGTTCATAGATGAAACTGACTTTGTGTCATTAGATGAAAAGTCTTTATATGATGAATATAAACAATATTGTCAAGAATATGGTTATATGGCAGCTTCTAAACGTACATTCTTGGCAAATGTCAAAAGTCTTTTAGACATACAGAATGGTGTATATACAAAGAAAAAATTTTCTGAGTAAATTTAAAAAAAATATTTTTTTATCCGATAGAAAAGATGACGAAATATATTTCAGTAAACAAGTACATGTCAGGACTTAAAGAAGAACTAGACCCATTCACATATTTGAATGTTTACTTCTACCATTTTGAAAAGTCTTCATTCAGCAAAGTTTGGAACATCGAACCAGTTAAGTTTGCTATTGTGACTAAAAATGGTGCGAAATTTGAAGACTTAGACATAGAAGGTTTGTTAACAGTCAAAGAAAGCTTTGACAGAAGGTTCTCAAACCTTAAAGAAGGCAAAGCATACAAACTTGTTATACCTTATGAACCAAAGAAGACAGACGACTATGAATATTATGAGTCTAAAGTTGTAGAAGTTCATGGTAAATTGGGTAAAAAGCTATTAGAGTCTAAGCCAGTGTTTACTCCTAAAGAGGAAGAGAACATTGACATTGACCCAGAAATGTTCTAAAAATAAAATTTTATTTTTACATGTCAAATTTCTTTTTCTCTGGAACTGGTTCAGGTTCTTTCTTCTCTTCTTCTTTTTTCTCTTTCTTTTCTTTCTTCTTCTTTTCTGGTGGTGAGACGTCAAATTTCTCAGAACCATATTTATGTAAAGTTCTTTGTCCTTTAATAGCTCATCTATTCTGTTTTCTATTTCATCTTCAAGAACAGCGCATGTGTCTTCTTTGCATTCTAAGAACTTTTGTTGGACTTCATCTTTCCAATCGGCGTCATCTCTGTCAACAAGTCTGTCATTGACAAATTTTAAGACTGCTCTTTGTAATGTTTTATGGTTCTTGTCATATTCCCAGAAACAGAACTTTAGAACAAATCCACCTTTCTTGTTTACACTATGTAAGATTTTATGGTCGACAGATGTTTTGCTGTCAAAAAGCTTGTCTCGAATATAGATAGCGAAATCGCTAGACATTTTCTAAAAGATAAAAATTTTAATTTTTCTAAAAATATGTTAGAAAAAAAGTTTGCTGACATTGACAAAAAAATTGAGAATGTTTTAAATAAGAACAAGAGGAAGTTAGAAAATGCTCAGATAAAGCCTATACATGACAAGTTCTTATTTGCTCAGAATGGTATAACAGGTCTAATTGCACCACCTGGGTCGGGTAAGACTTTCACTTATCTTAAAATGGCTGCACAACAACCAAGAACTAGATGAGAAGAACCCATTCTATGAGTTAGTTGTTATTTGTTCGACTTCTGGTCAATTTGACCAAACCGTCAATTCGTTCAAAGATATTATAAAGAAGTCTAAGTTAGTATGTATAAAGGATACTGAGTTGTTAGATTGGATAAAGAAGTACCAAAGAAGGGTTTTGAAGTATAATGCTATAAATGAGTATATAAATTCTAAGTTTAAAGACCCAAATGAGGAAATGCAGAGAATATTAGAGAAGAAACACTTCAGAAACAAACAGAAAGAGATAGAATACATTTCGAAGAAATCGCAATCTTACGATTGGAAGACTTACCCTCACAGATGTCTTCTTATCTTAGATGATTTCGCCTCTCATCCTTTGTTAAAGAACAGAGAACAAGATATGTGTCGAATTCTTAAGAAGCTCAGACACTTTAACATCTCAGTTGTCATTTGTGTACAGACAGCAAAGAGTTTAAGTAAGGATGTTAAAAGAATACTTACTGACATAATACTTTTCCCCGGATTGTCCGAAGACGATTTCATGGAACTTATGAAAGAGTCCATGGCAGGTAAGTTTGACAGACATGAACTATGGGAGAAGTACAAAGTCATACAAGACCCTCATACTTCTTTCAGAATTCATATCTACGCAAACAAAGTTCAAATTGTAAAAAGTCAAGCTTGAAAAATAAAGAGTTCATCTACCCTACTTGTTTGAAGTTGTCAAAATACTCTGTTATCTTTTCCTTCAGTAATGTTAAGTCTTCTTTGAATGTAAGTATTGTACAACCTTTAATATCATAGTGTGTTTGAGGTAACGTATCTTGAACTATTTGTTTCACATCTTCATTTGGGGTCATTGAAATCGGTAAGTTTTCGCGATAGAACCAATTTCTGTCAGATTTGTAAATCTTAGCAAGGTCGTAAAAGCTTTTGTTGTTTCTTCTGACTAAATGCAACATAACCATGTCACTGTCTTCTTCTTTCTCCAACTCTTCAGTATAAATCATATACTTATAGTTCTTTTCCTTTCCTTTTGGTACCGAACGTGGTATTCTTTTCTGAATGCTTTTGTCTTTTGCTTCAAGCTTGTTTTCCATCTCTTCACGTTCTGCTTTATATAGTTCATCTAACATCATGAAAATATAACAAGCATAACGAGGTGAAGCCCACATTGCTACAGCATTTACTAAAAGTCTATGAATATAATAACCTTTCAAACCAGGAGCCAAATTCTTGCGATTTTCGTACGGAATCTCTTCTCTCGGTTTTCCGAGGGAAGCAATCATATGAGGAAATTCTTCTAAAAGTTCTTTTGTCTGTTGGTTTTCAAACCAATGATATGCTTGCTTTGTAGAACGAAGAGCATTCAAAATACTTTGCATTTGGTACATATCGTCTTTGACCGAACGAATGAGACGTAACTGTTTGTTATACTGTATGTACTCGTATTCTTCATTTATAGCTTCATGGACTATAACTGTTGTTGTGTTCTCTGATGTTGACATATCTGTCTTTATATTCCGGATAAAAAAATATTTTATAAAAAATTAGCGTTATTTTTCTAACTAATGAAATTCATTATTTTTGTGCTGAATTCAATAAAAATATATTTTAGGGTAGATGGTTAGATCTAACCCGATATCTAACCTCATTTCTACCCCAGTTATTTTATAAACGTTTCACATGGTAAACGTTATTTTTTAAATTTTGTGAAAACTCAACGGTTTGACACATGCCCTAAAAATTATTTTACTGAGAATTTTGTTGCTGAATTCAATAAAAATATATTTTAGGTGAAGAGGTGAGATTTCACCTCTTTTTTCACCTAATTTTTCACCTCTTTTTTTCACAAGCGTTTTACATGAATTGTACGATGTATATTTGAAATCCTAAACAATTTCGTAGCTTCAATTTCTTCTTTTAGTACATCAAAAATTTTAACAATGCCGAAAGTTTCTTTATACTTCTTCTTGACATCAGATAATAGGAAATCGTCAGCAGTTGGATAGTTTTTGTTCAGAAATTCTAACATGTTCATTTTATTTTGTACCGGCTTCTCTGCCTCCCTCTCTAAATCTGCATAGTCGTTTCTCATTCTTTCTATCTCTTTTACTGAATAGTTATATTTCCTAATTGCTGCTTTACATTTAGAACATTGCGGATTCATTTTTGCGTTATATTCTGAAACCTTACCTGCTAAAACAACCAAGGCATCAATGGTTTTCTTTAAATCTGAAGCAGTTGGTTTTATCTGTTCATTCCATACCTTACCTCTTCTATCTTTATCTCTTATCTGCCATACACATTTTGCAGCTAATGAAACAAAGTTGTCGTATGTCTTAACCCCCCCGATTTATATATGTCAGAGATGTTATTATATACCATGTCGCAATCTTTGTCCATAACTTTATGGTTGCAATGATATCCTAGAAACTCATAATTTACCTTCGTATGAACTTCTTTATTTCTACTGAGTCAGTTGCTTTGACTTCAATTTCGTCGAATTCAGGAATAGTTAGTTTTTGCTGCTGAATTTCAGGTAGTTTAGGCAAATGGTCGATGAGGTCCTCCATTTCATAAAGATACTGTTCATTTGTTTCATCTTTCGCATTACAGTCTAAATTACTTGTTAAAAGTTCCTGCTTTATTCTTTGTATTTCTGTTTCGAAAGTAAATGAAGAAGGAATGAAGCTTTTCATTTCTACTAACATAGATGTTGGATTCATGACTAACGAGTTTGGTGCTGTTGTTTGAATTGTTGTTGTGCCGATTGTTGACATTTCTGTTCTTTTATACAAAATAAAAAAAAAAATAAAAATAAAACTAACTTTATTTTTTCTATCTTAAGGAAATTCATGAAAATTCAAGAGGGTAGAAATGAGGTTAGATCTAACCATCTACCCTAAACATTATTTTGCTGAATTCAGCAACAAAATGAACGAGGTCAGGATGTATGTAAATACCTTTGAATTCATTTATAACGCCCTTAGTAAGCTCATAAAATGCTTGTTTGAGGTCGAGCCACTTTGCTCCACCGTATTCTTTCAACCAAAACTCAAGAATTTCCTGCATGAATTTTGTATAAAAGCAACAGTCCGAATTCCGGCGGTTGCTATATTCTTCACAAAATGCCTTATATATACTCTTCCCAGGACTTATTTTCCAACAACTTTCTAAAGTCTTTCCTAAAACTGACTGACTGACTGACTGACGGCACAAAGTGGCTTAACGAAAACATTAATATATAAAATTCATGAAAATTCAAGAGGGTGAAAAAACAGGTGAAAAAAGAGGTGAAATCTCGCCTCTTCACCTAAATTATATTTTTTGGTCCGGGAACAACTTTCTCTCAATTGGAGCTGTAGCATACTCTTTGCGTAAGCGGTTCAGACCTTCTTCGAAGTCTTGGTCTCTCTTCGATTGAGATTGGAATTGTGGGGCAGGGTTTTGCATAAACATCCAAGGGTTGGGGCAGTAAGGCATAGGCTGAAGAGGGTAGTTCGGGAAGCCTTGTGGTGGGTAGTAACCTTGAGGTGGAAATTGGTAGTAATTCGGAGGTCCTTGTTGGAACTGAGGTGCAGGGGCTGGTGCTTTAGGTTCCTCTGGTTTGGGAATGGACTCAGTTGGTGGTACGTCGGACATTGTCTTGAAACAGTACAAATATTGTTCTGAAGCAGTGCAAGTCTTGTTCTGAAAAAGTACAAGTATTGTTCTGAAGCAGTACAAGTATTGTTCTGAAACAGAAAATTTTTCTCACAAATTGAGAGCTTTTACGGGAAATTTGTTCTGAAAAAGTTCAAGTCTTGTTCTGAAAAAGTACAAGTATTGTTCTGAAACAGTACAAGTATG